CCATTGTTACTTATTATTGTAATTGAAATGATGGAATGTAAGAAAAAATGATGGACTGCTGAAGATGCGAGATATAAAAGTTGATTAATAGATGTAGATATCAGCATTGGTGAACACAAGTGAAGAATGATATATGTTCAAGATCAGCGGGACTGATTTCTCCATCTTAGAGTGTCTCATGATTTTATGAAATTGCTATTGGCAAATAAGCAGTCAGCTCATATTGTGGTAGGCAGAGGTGCATATTCGAAGAAAACATTCGTATATTGGAAGATATCCGTTTTAATTTTTTGGCAGAGTTCAACATTTTGATACGAAGCTAAACTTATATGATGTCAGCGCAAATTATTTCTAAAAGGACTGTATATTTGTCTCACGGAACGGGCGGGGAAATCATTCAATTAGGCACATGATGAAACACTGAATCCCAGGTATTGTAACCCACTTTATTGTTTCCACAACCTTTTTCAGCCATTGAAAATGCATAGCTCTGTACCGGGATAGAATAAGAAACGCTTTTTTCAAACATAGGGTCAACTGCGTTCGTACCAGTGTACGAACCCTCTGCGCAATTCGGACTAATTTATTTCATTAGATACATGTGCACATTATACACCTATTTACACTTGTAGCGACCACCAATTCTGGTACAGCAGGCTTCAAATTTATCATGGTTGATGTAGTTAGAACGGTCAGGAACATCGCATACGTTTCCATCAGTCATCATGGTTCCATTGACATCACCACAGCATCCATAGTCATATTTGGGCTCAAAGCAGGTGCAGATCCAATGGCCTTTGTCGTCTCCAGGTTCGCCTAAGAGAGAGATATATCAATATTACGATAAGAATGAGGCTCATATATGAATGCTACTTACCAATTTCTGGTGCTCGTTTATATGGGCTTCGTGGTGGAGGTGGTGCTGGTGGTGGTGGTCGAGGTACAGCCTGTACATTAGCAACGACAGCGAACAGACAAATCGTGGCAATAAGAGCGAACTTCATATTGGTTGGAGACTGGAACAGTTAAAAGAGATGTACTTAGTATTAATTTTTTGCAGGTCCGTTTGATGAATTTATCCTGGAACTGGATACTTGCCAGAATAGATTGTAGTGTCTTGGGTTGATGGCGCTTTAGTTCCATGAAATAATCTTTCGTATTTATAGGCATTAGAAAATTCATAGCCACCCAACGTGCAGCACATTAGTGTAGAGTCATACTCATAAAAGTCACTCACAGGAGCTATTCCTTGTTTGTATGCATGAACCACCTTACAGCGTGCAGTTGAAATGTTCTTTCTTCCTGACTTCATCTTTAGCTTCGATCTATTTCAAGGTATGACCATATCAATACAATGGAATGAAATGTTTTCTTTAACGCTGTCTAAGTATACCTTATGGTAGAGAGCCTTGACCAGACCATGATGAACGCCGGCGGTGGTGTTAACTACGTTTCCGAAATATCATTACAACGTTGCATGATGCAGTCGATTTGCCTGTATTTTCAAAACCTCCTGCACACAAAGTAGAGTTTCAGCTATACCTAAAAAAAATTATAAGCCTCCTTCACAGGGTATGCGCTCTATTTATGGCACTTCAAGGGTCTTCAATAGTAAACTGCGAGGTATTTTGGGTGTTGTGTTTTGGCACTATGCAATTGGAAAAACCTCAGCGTCATGAACGGTCATATTCAGATTTTTACATGTCATGATATCGTTTGTGGTTTACCAGGGATGGATGCGCTTTCCTTTTTCAGAGTATTTGTCTTAGGCACACTTCACAAGCTGAGAAGAGGTTAAGGACGGTCATTACTATTGAGGTGATTGCCGCCTAATGTTATTCTTTGCATCATGTAAAAATTTAGCATGCCCCTTGCATGGTTGGGTATAACAAACAACGGACCGTGAAAGTGCCTCTGCTCCTACGGAATGATTTGTACAAACAAAGAGGTGCAAGTACCAACACATTGTTCTCACCAAAGCAACTTGCACAGAGAATATTCCTTTTCACTTTATTTATGCTAGAAAATACAGTTATAGACATATGCTGTCCTACGACAAAGCGAAAAATAACCATCGATGGCCAAAATAGCATTTCATAGTGTCATGTTATTTCTTCTGGTCCCAACCGCTCTTCAGTGCCGTCACATTTACAGTTGCAGATAATCCAGTGTCAAGGGAAATCGAAAACTTGTCTAGGACACCGTTGGAAAAGTATGTGGTTGTAGCACTTTGTTCACCTTCGTTAAGAAAGGTTTCCAAGATCATCTTATCCAATACACCATAGACATGCCATCCTCCAATTCCACCATATTGAATGGTGGCAAACTTGTCAGTAAAAAGGGGGTAATCGAAGCCTTTCGTTCCACTACGATCGATGAAAAAGGATGGTCCATTGTCCATCAGTAGCCCCATACGCAGTTCCTCTTTGGTTGAAGAGGAAATGAAAGTAAAGTTGGCACGTTGGGTAGCTTGCCCTTGGTCCTGCGATACATAGATGTCGAAATAGTAAGCTCCAGATCCGTCACCAAGTTTGATGTTTTTGGACTTTGTCACTTTGCCACTGAACAGATTCTTATTCATGATGGTGGACATGTCAGTAGGGTTAGAGATAAATTGCCAGCTTAAGACTGGGTCGTTCCATAAAGCATATTGGCGGGGTAGAGTCATTGCACTTCTCCAGGGGCTTGTGGGAACAATGTTGGTATATTGCCAATTGGAAGCCTATGTAAAATGTGAGCCATTACATACTTCATTGTTTAAGACCCCCACCCATTGATTTCACTTACCCATCCAAGACCAAGCGTTTTGTTTTCAGTACCATAAAAGAATTGCATCGCATAGTTATCCTTTCCAAAGTCTACCCAGCGTGCAGCATCGTCTTCGGGAGTAAAATCTGTACCATCAAATTCACCAGGGAAGAATTGTGTGAAACTTCCGCCTTGCGGGGCTCCAGGGTTGACAGATACAACAAGAACCCATTTAGTTTCGCCAGAATTCTGCTGTTGAGAGTTATGAACTGGAACTTCCACCAAATTGGGACACTCAAATTGATTGCCGAGCCATCCATGATGGGAGAATGTTGATGCCTTTTTCCAATTTTTGAGATCCGATGATGTGTAAAACACTACAGAGAACTGTGTGGGCAAGGCAACTGCCATGACCCATTTCTTAGTATCTGCATGCCAAATCACCTTTGGATCTCTAAATTGGTTGCTGTTGATGTCGATAACCGGGTTTCCAGAGTACTTGGTGAAGGTATAACCACCATCAGTAGAGTATGCAATGTTCTGAGTCTCTTTACTAGGTGTATTGAGAGTGTAGATAGCAACAATGCCTGGATTGGAGGAAGACTGGTTGCCAAAAAAGCCAGAAGTATTGTCAACGTCAACCACGGCGCTACCGCTGAAGATACCTTCGTCAGGAGATTCGGGAGACAGAGCGATGGGCTGATTATGCCAATGGTATAGGTCATCGGATGTAGCATGTCCCCAGTGTTGGTTTCCAGCAGTGATACCAGTAGGATTGTACTGATAGTACATATGGTATGTTCCATTGTAGTAAAACAATCCATTTGGATCGTTCATGAAGTTGACCGCAGGGGAGAAATGCACTTGAGGGCGACGGGTTTGGTTGTAGCCAGGTACCATTTTAGCGGAGACTCCGGCGGCCACGCAAGCCGATACCAGGAAAGACACAATGCATCTCTTCATTTGAGCTTGATTGGGACAGTGAGATTTGATGTCGGCAGAAGAGAAGTAGATTCACCCGCTTTATATACTGTACTCGTAAGAGCATTTCGCACATTGGTATCCAATCTGTTTGCTAAGGATGAGATCTTATTGCGTGGGAGTCTAAGAGACTTGTCAGACGATATGATGGAGAGATCGATAGCGATGGATTCCCACATTCAATTAACTTCCCCATCTATTCGCTGCCGAACATTATAATCCATGTATGGTAGTGGTGGAACCTCACAAGATTTGGTCTTCGCAAATGAGAATGAATGCGCCAGCCATGCCTACAAACTGTTCTACGAAATGATGTCAATTCTGGCGAATGAAAGTGAAATTGACTAGGCGAAGTTTTGGTAGACTTCGTCAAATCTCCGTCGAATCATCGATCCACAATTATGCATTATCTACATCTCATTATTATCCAAGCAGCAATCGCGATAATGAAGACTATCATCCATGTATAGCAGTCGTGAAACCACTTACAATGTAACTGCTTACCACAAAAGGACATTAGAAGATTCGACCGAGACGGAGTTCTGTGCGTTTGCCAATCATTAAACCCTATCGACCAGCGAAAAGGTTGAATTGGTATTCAGGTCGGTACGAGCAACCTGAAGCTGGCATTATCGTGAGCATCTCAAATCGCTGTATCAATCATGCCAAATCGGATTAAATTTATTTCTATACAGTGCTGTATTACACTACTTTGGTATCGTTACCTTTTGATCCAGCGATGTGAAAATTTTAACAATACCTTCTAGGGCCACAACCTCTTGGGAGGAGATTATATATCGTACGTTCTATGACATTTTTTTATGACACTTTTTTGGCTTAATTGTTCACAATGTTGTTTTCTATGTGGCATTGCAGGCATTTGATGTTGTAGTTCAGTGAAAGTTCTGATTACTGTACTGAAGTCGAATGAGAGGTGGGGTAAAACAGTTTGTGCGGGGAAGCTTAAGCCGGAGATCTACAACCCATTTTCTGGTTCTGCCAGTGCCTCCTCAGTGATTGGATAAAAGATCGGTATATACCAAAATATGATTGGGCAAAAATTCATTATAGTCTCATGTTTGATTTGTTCATCCTGACAAGATGCCGTTTTGCCTGTCCACGTGATCGACTCACGTCAGCCTACGGCCGGGATGCTAAGAATTTTCATTACTCGATAGAGTTGGAAGGAAAAAAAAAAACCTCATCCAGTAATCCAGCTTCAACAGCCAACATCCTCGAAGGCGTTTTCTTATATGGACTGATATCATATACTTGTATACACTCGCAATCTGGAAACATTTTCTCGAGACCAATGGATATGACCGTCTCTCAAACTGCGGTAATGCCACCAAACACTCACAATTCAAGTTTCAATGAAAACCTCCCAACAAGTACGACAACATCCAATGCTGATATAGCGACAGAAAAAAATTCAGGAAGGAACTCAAACGATACAGAAGCATCGAAAGTAGGAAAAAAGGTGAAAACCGAGCCTACTGAGAGTAACGTTTCGGCAACTGTTTGCTCCAATTGCGGAACAACCACAACACCTCTCTGGCGTAGAGCACCTAATGGAGAGACCATTTGTAATGCTTGTGGATTGTATTTGAAAGCAAGAAATACCTTACGCCCTGTGTCACTCAAAAGGCTTTATGCCAAGAAGAGCGAGCCTACAAATGATTGTGGTAGCGGTGCTGGTGCTGCCAGTGGTTCTTGCCCAGGTGGCGGCCACTGCAACGGAACGGGTGGGTCTTCCTCATGTGCAGGTTGCCCAGCTTATAATCAACATCAAGTCAATCGTCAAGCATTAGTTTGTGCTAACTGTCAAACAACAACTACTCCACTGTGGCGAAGAGATGAAGCAAACAACACCATTTGTAATGCCTGCGGTCTATATTACAAGTTACACAATGTACATAGACCGGTCACCATGAAAAGGAGTACTATCAAGCGACGGAAACGAGTGGCTGTCACCACAGCTTCTGAAATGGCAAGCGACGAAGAATCAGATAATGACGAGTTAGAATCTGAGACACCCTCCGCTAGTGAAGCTCTTCATGATGCTGCCCATCAGAGCGATAGAACAGCCACTGAGGGAGAAGATAGTGAAGATATACCTGCACGAAAACGTGCCCATTCTCATGCTGGCAAAAAAGTTAAAAGAATACGAAAAGGACAGCAAGCGACAGATGGTAATGCAATTCAACGGAATGATGTACGGGAAGTCCCAGCCATTGAAGACTACATTGCTCCAAGAAGACTACCCGAAACAGGCGACTATCGTAGTTCTCCTGCTAATTCATCTTTGTCAAGTGGACGGGAAGGATCTTATCATCATTCTCCTGTAGATTCTCAGCATTCAACTTCTCCTTTCTCCAGTTATGCTCGTGTTCACGATATACGGGCTAGCAGACTACCACACGAACAATCCATGCGATCTGTATCACCATTCAATGCTCCATTTGATAAGTACTATTCAACCTTACCTCCGGTATCTGCGGAACGACGATCTTCCCATGGCATCGCATCCCTTTTGAACCCAACACCGACCCGTGAGCTAGAACCGTCACCGCATCTACCTCCCATCGCATTGCCACCCTTGACATCGCCCATAGCCAACGGTAAAAACGGCACATCAGCAGCACAGATTTCGCCACGGCGTGAATTCCCTTCACCATCCAAGTTTCCTTCTCTCTTAACCTCCGCATTTAGATCCACCGTTGACCATCCAGATCTGTTATCTGATCCGGAAGAGCTGCTCAAGCAACAGAAGTTGGAGTTGCAAGCGGAAATATCCAATCTTGGTCTTCTCTTGACGAAACGTACCGCCATGCTCAGCAGCATCGATAACGCTTTGACATCCCATAGCAAGCCTAAAGCAGCCAACCCGCCATCTCATAACCGTATATAAACGTTACCCTTCCCATCCCCCCTCCCCATAATTTCTTGTCCTCATTCTCATCTAGTTTCATTGTTATTTTCTCACAGCATGTACTCAATTATATTCAATGCAATTTTGCTCAAAGTTCTTTCTGCCTCCTCTGAAATGGTGTAGCAAAAGTGTATTACAAATTGACGTGGTGGAGACTGGTGCTTGCTCAGATTTTGCAGCCTTGTTGAACCACTATCCGATTTAATTCGACTCGACTACTGTGAATTCGCACTTTTTTTTTTATGAAAGATTGACAAGCTTCCAAATTCTAGGCCGAAAATGACTCCATTTGTTATCCACTACAATCCACTGTCAAAGCAACGTCAAGAGACCCTTTGGTGTTCATCAAGCTTGAGAACTCAAGTCACGATCATTAGCATTCGTTCAGCTCCGCTCTGCCCTGCCCGTACTGAATTTTTTCATTTCAGCTTCCACAGCATTTTTTTTTTTTTTTCATTCGTCGATTGCTTCTGCCTGAAAATGAAAGTAGAGAGCGAGAGCGTGTATGCAAGCCACGGATATGTGCCGTACAATGTGCGCAGTCCGAAGGAGCGGAAAGATTTATACGATGTTGTAATGGGAGTGGCCGCCGGACAGCGCGACGACGAATTGAAAGCACAGTACCTACAACATGACAGAGCTGCCGGGTACTGGCCACTTGTAACAGCCGAAGGGTAAGTGAGGCACCAATATTAACTTCGCAAAAGCAGAAGGAGCTAACAAGCAAACTTTGTAACAGTCTGGCTCACCGACATCCTGGTTACTCTGACATATGGCCGCCAGATCGATCAGCCAATATGATTGGAATTGAGCAGGAACCTATACCCGATAATAACACGCTAGAAAATATACCAGAAGACCAAAAGGACAAGTCGTTCGAAATAGGAACCCAAATGTTGCGAGAGGAATTTTTTGGCATGTTCGAAAAACACCAGCGCAGAATTGGACTATGGGACACCGTACTGGATCTTGATTCCGAAAAATATCACAAGGTGCGAAAGTTCTATGAAGAACGACTAAACCATGCTTTTAGCATGTTGGCAGAAGTCATCGATCTCATGGTATCTGTCAGAAAGGTCAGCAGCCGCTCTAGTATTAATTGGAAGGAAGCCGACATGCTACCCCCTACGTTCCCTAAAGGCTTGAGATACAGTACAGAGACCTTCGACTGGAGAGTTGTATTGCACAGCTGTGAGCATCTTCCCATTCCACCATGGTAAGTATTTCGACCAGCATGCCATTGATAACTCCATTTTCTAATCGCAAGAATCAGTATTCTTCAGAGAACACAACGTAGACTAGAGCACCTATATTCTGTGGCAGATTTCGACCCATCTGCTAGAATCAAACCACGTAACAAGGCAAAGCATGAAATTACTAAGAAAGACTCTATGGAACCTGAACACATAAAGTTTGAGGCAGCTGAGAGTTCCGAGGGTGATGAAATGTGAATTTACTTCACTTTCGTATGCATCGCCCCAGTTACCCTATAATGATGAACAAATCAATGTACATAACAGACAAATTGTAATAAAAGGAAGTCCTCAATATAAATCATTTTCGAGTATTCTTCCACGGTAGCAAAGAAAATCATTATTGTATTGTTATCGATGGCAATCTGAATTCTTACTTTTCTGGCAATTTCGGTACTGCAGCCGAAAGGTAAGTGCGGGGAGTTGTGACTGACTCTTGCAATTTTTACCGTAGTTTTCTTTCGCCCTTACTGAACCTGAATTTATGCCTGAAATCACAGCTTCATTTCTTGCGACCCATGTCCATTCCGCATTCAGCCGATGTTAGCCCACTACTCTATGATATGACTCCAGAGGAAATTGTCGCTTCTAGGGGAAACCTTGTTACTGCATTGCTTTCAACGAACGAGTCTCAATCAGGATATCTGTACGCGATCGATCCCGTCGGTGGCACGGTGATTCTCAAGCATGAGACCGAGGACAAGGCCATAGTGCTTTTACGGCATCATGTTAAATCGATTCAAGGTACTGACTGATATTGAAAAGCACATCTACGTTCAGCAACCTGGTAGCACATCTAAGACCAACTTTATTATCATGGTAGTTAACGCAGACAATCGGTTAAGTCAATCTCAGCTGGAAGATTTATTGGCTTCAGGTGTGGGGGCGGAGAGTTTAAAGCACGATTCCGAGGCCATGCGACAAAGAAAGCAGCAGGCTATCAATTTACTGGAATCGGTAAGACAAAAGAAAGAAATAACCCACAAAGCTAAAACCAATCGTAATGAAAAAAAACTTGCCTTTTAGAACCGCGTGCCAATCAAATACTCCTCTGACGATAAAGACATCTTAATGTTGGACTCAGCTCGTTTGACACCTCCCTATGTTCCAACGTCCATACAGTGTGATAACAGCATCATATCAGAGAGGATCAGTAAGATTATTCAGAGTATGCCACCATGGCAATTTCAGTAGCGGACACAAACGGCCACACTCAATGTTAGTGGTCTTCGGAGTGATGAGGAAAAAAAAATAATTCCAAATCTTCACAAGTACTCCGCTTCCATGTTTATTCATTTTGTTCAACCTCTAGATTAGTATTGTAAGATAATGCATAGACTCAAGTGTACATTTAAAACTGCTTTAGAAAGGGAGAACAGTCTATCTCAAATACATCGCTCAAGGATGACTTTTGAATCAAAGTAAAAACTAGAGCCGCGGCAAAAGTGTTTGAAAGCGGTAATCGGGATGCATGTGACTTTGATTTGATAGTCCTCCTCCCAGAGATAACGATTTCTCCCGTAGATAACACCCGAAATCATATCGCTATCATTATCAGGATGTGATAAAAAAGTCTGATATTTAAAGACGATGCAAACCTGACGCACATCGTCTTTTAACACTTCTTTTATACCTGTAATATATTTTTCCCCACTATCTTTATATCCCCCCTTCTCATAAATCAACACAATGGTCGAAGTACTTCAGGATGAAAATGTTTACACTCAATCACAAACCGATGCTATATTGTGCAGCGTCTACTACATTTGGGCCTTCGTAGCCTTTATTTTCCTACTCAACCGAATAGCAAAAGATATCCACTTCCACATCAAGAATCCTTTCCGGATATCAGGATTTTGCTGTAATTTGTTGACGCTTGTGCAGGCCACATTACTCGTATATTCCGTCGTTCGACTCCAAACGCCACGCTATACAACCATCGTTTTCTTTGTGTGTCGAATGGTCTTTGTCCTGGTGACATCTGCCAATCAAGTCATTACCGGCCGTTCACTTGGACAATCGTATCTGAGAGCTTGGTACTTGACCATACCACTCTTCCTCAGTCTCCTCGCTTACTTGGCCGCTGATCTTGCCTGTATCATTGTTGTCCCCGTATACAACATTGATGCTGCTCCCAACTGGCTTTACATAATAGGTTCTGTCCTCTGCCTAGCCCATCTATTCCTTGCCAATCTCTTCGCTCTTTTGCCACTTGTCCGACGTCATCCCGACAATGAATTAGACGCTTTCAACTGTGGCACTAGTCTTTGGCACTTTACCTGTTTCTCTTTCCTTCTGCTCGCATTCATCGCTGCCTACATCGTTTCCTTTGTACGCTCAGATGTCTGGTATACCATTTCCTTTATCTCCGTGGAGGGCATTCTTCGAGTCTGCTGCCAGTTTGTCTATGGCGCAAAGGCTCCCAAGTGGGCTCAAAAGACCTTCCTTACTCCCTTTGCATCGCTCTTCCCTGTGGAAATCACCTTCACACCTGAAGTCATTGAACACCAAGTCACTCAAGAACAGGAGGAAATGAGCATTTGCTACGATAATAAGGGAGGAAAGCATGTCCTCGCCTCAGTCACATCTGTTTAGAGCTTTCCATGTATATTTTGAACAACTGTAAATATTGCAAATATATCCATTTCACAAAAAAGAAACCACCATGTCTGTTTGAGTTAAATGTTATAAAAAGATCGTGTTGAGGCAACATATGTACATGTTGGAAGGAGATGACGAGTACAGACGAGATTAAATCGCAAATTAGAAACAGGAGTTAGAAAGAAAGGAAACACAATGGAACGAGTTGGATGATAACCCAAAAAAAAAAAATTCAATAATATCAAGGAATATGTGAGAGAACGTATGGACAGCAGAGGAACGGGAAAGTGGCACAGGTTGTCAAACGCAAAACGTGTCCATAGCGCTCGTTGCCACTGTGCAATGTGGAAGTGGAAAAGAATAAAATGAGAATTTAAGTGAAGTTGGCCCTAGCGTAGACTACCTCTATTTGTCAATACGCATCATGGGGCAAATGACCCCGCTGGAGAAGGACAGTTATGGAGCATGACTAATAAATTAGCAGCATCTGTATCGTCCTTATCCAGCGTCATGTCTTCAAATGATGGTGAGCCCATGGACCGGACTCGCATAAACGCTGATGAATGTTCTGTTCCTGGAGGAGTAGACACCTGAGAAAGATGTGTTGGAGGTCGGTGCTGTCGATTGATCGGCCGTGCGGACGGTGAGGCACTTCGCCGATAAAATCGCATACGATCCTTAGCCGATAATCGATTTCCTGGACTGGTAAGAGCTTTATGATGAAGATATGGACTACGGGGAGGAGGTGTGGCGCGCTGGTCCGATACTGGACTTTGAGGAATTCGGGGAGATAGTGGGGAGGCGAAAAGAGTAAGCGGTGGCGGAGTAGATGGTTCGTGTTGATGATCGTAGCCTTTGTGTGCATGATATGGACCGCTATAGCGATTGAGAGGTCGATAATGCTGATAACGATAGCTGGGTGATCGGTTAGGAGGTGAAGATGAATCAGAAGTGGGTAGAAGTTTGTCCTCTAAATGCGGTAGACTGACGTTCTCGTATCCATGCTGTGCCTTGAAACTAGCCAGAGCAAGCCTGGTTCTAAGTCTGCTAAGAAGCTATTCGAGAAAATTGGTCAGATAGGGGAGCTCAAACGTGGTGTAGACACCAAAGTGAAGGTAAATGAATGCAACAATGGCATCTGAAGAATGATTATAGGCCGGAGAGGCGCACGCGTTCACCCGTCTGCGACGCGCTCCCAACGTCCAGAAGTAATGACGAAACAAAAGGGCGCAAGAGAAAAGCTCATTGGAGTCAGAAAAGGAACCTTACCCTGTCAATGTCAGGCTGTTCGTAAGGACTCGTTTGCATGTAGTTGTGGGGGCGAAGAACTGAATATGGGTAGAGAGTCGGAAAGACGGCGGTAGAAAATGGACTCTGAGATATCACTTATTACTCCCTTTTCCTCACTTGACTCGTCATGCGGCAATAATAGATGCCGATTTTTTTCATGATAGGCACCTCGTCGTTCTAAATACGAAGACTTTTAAACTAATATAGACCTGCTTCCTTTCTTTCTCATTACTTTTGATCTCTTGGCAAGGAGGTCTTTAATTCATCCAATGGGATGGCTTCTTTACAGTGCCATAAATGTACGCTGGACCGACTGGCTGAGGCTAAATCGTCGAGTTGCCCGAAAGCCAATACAGATAATTACTATCTTCACGAAGACCTCAGTTGCGTTTCATATTCGTTTATCCCAGAGTTCTCCTACACTGTGCTTAGTTATCCAGAATAACACAGCTTGTAATGATATCTTGTCAACGCAGCTTTAACGAGGTCCATGGTAATATGCTTTAAGGGATTGGCATTGATTACTCATAGTCCCCTTATCTCCTATTTGTAGAGTCGTTTTGTAGCAACAATCAAATAGCTCACGTCCCAGTGTCAAGCAGTTGAAGCTGTTAAGCATGCTGGATTGGGATTGGACACTGGAGACCCCCCATAAAAACAGGCTGCAAAAACTTACCTCGACAAAATTTCAGCCAGTGCCACAATTCTACCTGTCACAATTAATAATGCCATGGCCTCATCTTCAGTAGTAGAAGAGGATGATAATCCCCTCAACGATGAGCTCCAGAAGGAAGAGCTTGTTGCACTGTCCGTAAGTTGCCGCTGGGTCATTATTCAGAACTTGATTGTCGAATCTCTGACTAATCACAGTAAGACGATGCTTGCTAGTCGATATTTGGACAAACCTTTATGTACAGCAGTCATAGGTTGACTACAGGGGTAGAACTCATATCCGGGACATTATCTGTCAGTATCGAAATCCCGAACGATACAGTCGAGGTCATACTAGATCAGGAGAAAATGCACCTGCATTATTTGCCACCTATCATCATTGAATTCACTATGACTCCGAGATACCCATTGCAAGACGTCTGCAAATTTTCTATTCAAAATGTGTGGCTGAACAAGGATCAATTGAATGTGCTGAAAACTAGACTTCACGAGATATGGGAAAGCGAGAAAAACGTGGTAGGTGTGGTATATTTTTTTTCTGCGTGAGATTCGACCCCACCACTCTAAATCCAAGCATCGTTGTCAGATACTTTACAATTTTGCGGATTTTCTCCAACATGATGCTTTGAGTTGTCTAGGTGTATCATTCCCTTTGGAGCTGAAAAATGGTAAGTGAACAGCTTATACCATGTATACGTCTTAAATTTTAACTAAACATTTACTGCGAAACAATGGTAGTGACCTGCAGCGGCGGAGTCTCTCTCAAAAAGATCTTAGAACAGCACGAAAAATCTTGCCTGCAAGAAACGTTCGTGCATACCAGCTACACCTGCAGTATTTGTATGGAAGAGAAAAAAGGGGAGTCTTGTACACAATTATCCAGATGTGGGGTAAGTGAAGTTAAGGAAATGAGGTTATACGGCACATGTACTAACAACTACAATGATTACAGCATGTCTTTTGCAAAGTCTGTCTGACTGGCTATTTTGCTATGCTCATTAGAGAAGGAATGATCCATCAAGTTCGGTGTCCTGATTTGGAGTGTAGTGCTAAGAAGGAAGACGATAATGAACCTCCGTCGCAAGAAGAGTTAATCCTCATTGTCGGAGAAGATCTGGCAAATCGATACGACCGCCTACAGCTGCAACTAAAATTGCAAGCGGATCCGTCAATTACATTTTGCCCTCGATTACAATGTCAACAACCAGTGCTTAAGGACCGTAATTATGATAAGCTCTGCATTTGTTCTGAGTGTGGATATGCATTTTGTTTGATATGTAAGTACTGTGTAAGAAAGATACATCTTCCCTCACTCTAGAGCCTTAGTATCTCATCTCATTTTACCAGGTCAAAAGACATGGCATGGCAAGCAAGTTCATTGCCAGTTTAAAGATACACCTGCAATCCTGCAACAATATCTTGATTGTGAAGATGATCCCGAAGAATTGAAGAAATTAGAGGCCAAATATGGCAAGAAAAACTTGGACAAACTGGTCAACGACTATAAAATAGAGGTAAATTTCTTGCAAAACGTGCGCTTTTATCAATGTAGTATATCAGTTGGTCTGATGAAGTCATACAACTAGATGGAGACAGAAAAATGGAAGAGAGAAAACACCGTGGAGTGTCCTACGTGTCATATACCTGTTGAAAAGACGTTTGGCTGCAATGTAAGTTTATCTGTTCGTTTTGCACATTAGTTGAAGTTGATCCGTCCTCTGATCCTTATTGCTTCTGTAGCATATGACTTGCCAAATATGCCAAACACACTTTTGCTTTTTGTGTGGATCTTGGGTTGATCCAAGTCATCCTTACAAGTATGTATTGATCCAAATGTGCTGCTTGTCTAGTTACTCTTTTCATGATACTAACTATATTCTGCCACATCAGACACTTCAATATGCAAGGCAACCTTTGTTACATGCGCCTGTTTGAAGGTGCTGGTGATGTTTATAATTTAGATGAAATGGACCTATTGGAAGTGCATGATTAAGTTATATCTTCTATGCGTCATGTTAAAAATTATATATAAATTCCATGATTTGGCAGCATTTCACAAATCACTGACAAATTTCTGACAAATGCTGGGTTTGAAATGTAGACACCACACAACGTTTGTCATCCCCGACAAAGTATAAAATGGTTATCCGGTACACCACACACTCCTCACACAAATTACAAACATGAGCAGAATCGGCGTAACCATTCTTACCGGATTCCTCGGTGCAGGAAAGACAACCCTGCTGAATAATATTCTGAAGCAAGTAGCTGAGAACGTCAATAAAACCTCGTCCTTACCCAAGCGCGTCAGCGTCATAGAAAACGAATTCGCAGCTGCCGTTGGCTTCGAAAACGAGGTCCTTACGCCACAGTATGCGCGGCTAGAGAACCTGTATGAGTTTGGATGGTGAGTACAATTGATCCCATGTATGTATCATCCACAACGCACGTAGACTCACCTTGTCGTTTTTCAGGGGATGTGTCTGCTGTTCGTCTAGCGGAGAACTTATCGGTGTCCTAGGCGATATTGCCGACAGAAACAAGACTGCAGAAGGAGAAGACGATTTAACAGACCATGTTATCTTAGAAAGCACCGGCCTTGCTGATCCTGCGCCTATTTTAAACCTAATCAGCCAGAACAGCGGAACAGGCATTGAAGAAGAGTTTTACGTGGACTCCATCATCACCGTAGTGGATTCCAGGAACTTCATCTCCACAACCGTTAATGCCATGGTTACAAAGCCAAAAGATACCACAGAATCAGCGTACAAGAATGAACGTATTGCACAAATTCTGACTTCCGATATCATCATCCTTAACAAGTTGGATCTATTAGACTCAGCCACTCGAGACGCCGATATCGACAGATTACAAGGCTTTATCAAAGACTACAACCCTACAGCCAATATCATAAAGACATCGTATGGTGAAGTCGACGCAAGCAAACTTTTTAACGTTCGACCCGAAAACGAACTGGCTGCAGAAGTGCTGAATTCCGAAACTCAAAAGCAGCATGATCCAAGTATCGAGCATACTTTAGTTCTTGTTGACGGGGATGTTGATGTTGAAAAGGTCAAGAAGCTTGTGAACGATATGACAAGCAAACTTGGTGATAATTTGTTGAGAGTCAAAGGTGTATTGTCTGTACCAAACAGCGAATACAAGATGGTCTTACAAGGAGTCAATGATCAACTCTCGGTGACAGCGCATCAAAAATGGGGAGCTTCAGAATCAAAAAATTCAAGACTTGCATTTATTGGAAAGGACATTCGACGTGAAAATCTTCATTTGCAAGGTGAACTAGAAGCAGCTCGTATAGCTTAAATTTGAGGTTATAAAATATGTATAATATGTAACAAATTGTATCATTTTCAACGCGTTCTAAATAATAATGATTATGCGTCATTAACCAGGGAATCATAGCCGTCTGTTTGATAATAACAAAAATGAGTTAGATGGTTGTTCTTTCGTTTGTACGAATTTGTTCTGCGCATAATTATACTTACAGGCGCATATGCCCTCCATGTAGCATGCCAGAACAATGCCAGCGGCAACTTGAGATACTGGATGATTAAATCTGGCGTGGAGAGACAATTAGTCATGGATACCATCATGCTTTTTCTTTCCGTTTTCCTAATTACCTTGTAAAGAAACTAAGCACGTAAAAGATCTGCCAATGGTGAAGGTGGAGTGCCACAGGCGAAAACGATTCTACTACGGGGATGGCGTCAGAAGTACTATGTACATCCTTGGTAGTGGACGATTCCCCAATCTGCTCGCCTTCACTATCCTGGCGTGCCGGTTGTGTTTCCTCATCCAGAGGCGCTTTGCCTTTACAGGACGTCAGGCTAGCTTTAATGCCTACAAAGGTCTTCTGGATGACATTGTGTGTAGATTCGTACACTATGGCCACAGCGGATAACAAGAGAAATAAAGGGATGGCCAAGGCACAGACATAGTATATGACAAAAGGAAGAGGCAGAGTCGCAGCAAGGTATATGTGGAAAGCAGCGAATGCCAGTATAACTCTATGAAAGCATTTGGTTCTATCAATGACGACACTGATACGCTATTACAATACGCTGAATACCTACGCGAGGGCGAGAAGGAAAACGATCCACATTCCGATCGGCCAAGTTTTGATCCTTGGAAGTGAAGTTTTGGTAAATGGTAGCTCAGCAATCAAAGCATAGCCGAAGAGTGAGGGATAGAAGGCAACGACTGTGATCCAACTAAATAGAACAGATCCATTAACATCATGCCCTTTCAACTATGCAATCGATCGATCAATCATGCAGACCTGAAAGCTTTTGTGTAGTTTCCAAATACAAATACAATGCATCCATATGTAAGTCCGAGCGTAATGTCACTCCAGTGCCTTGCAAGTGTCTTTGTATTGACCTCCCAGTTAAATTTGTGTGCAATAACGCGATAGACAGGATAGGGAAATAAAAGAAAGGCCAGTATAAAATATAAATAAGTCAGAGCATCGAACGAGTAAACTGCTGTTTCACTAATCCAGTCGGGATATATCCTAGGACCTTGCAATGCTTCGCAAAATGTTGCATTGACTTCATTGGACATTGCTGCTTTCAAGTCAGCCAAACAAAAGGTAAGAGAATTTCAAGAAGCAACGGGGTTACTGCATTCCAAAAATTTGTGGCAAACCCAAAACTGCCGTCACGAGCCTAGCGGATCACATCTGCTTCTTATGACTGACTGTAAGTCACTTGCATTAGGAGCGCGTTATTAGCGTCCCATCCATGATATGTCCATTCTTGAGTTTCCTGCTACTGAATGAAAACCTTCAGTAACTGTTGCAGAAGATGGTATATAGCAAAAGCTGAAGTTGTTCCTGCCGACTGTTTTCTTCATCAGCAATCATGATATAAAAAATACAAAGCAGTTATTGAGCAACTAAAACTACTTATGAGCGTATTGAAGCATCCGTATCTTGAGACTGTCAATTATTTTAAATACAGTGCTTAACATTGCGGTGAAAAACCTATCGCCGACTGCGACGCACCCCAGGGCACAGAATTTGGCGGAAATGTGACTGACACGGTAAATTTCTCGCCATTGACCACGCGTTGCAAAACATCTACACTGACAGCTTCGAATACGGAAAACGAATACAGAAACGGATGAATGGGCGGAAGAAACAAGATTCCAGCAGCATTTATATCCAAACTTGAAGAAAAGCGAAAACAGACTAGAGCTAATTTCCAAGAAGATTTCCAAGAAGATTTCGTAGCATTGGATTTCGATGGTAGCGCAGGCGAATCTACAACTGTGGAAGCTACGTCTTCGACCGTAGAATACATTGCAGAACTAATCGGGGGTACAGTTCTTCCTATCCGAGGAATTGAAGTTCAGTTCCCCTTCAAACCATGTAAGCTGTCGTTGCGACCCATTATGCATATGTAGCTGTGAATTTGTCTTAAATTTGCCATCCTCGCAGACCCTGCCCAGATACAAATGATGTCCAAGGTTAATTTACATCCACTTGAGGCCAATATGCACTCAGACGTTAGAACTAAACTTCTTCTGTTGTAGGTCATAGAGGCGCTGACTAAATCACAGGATGCGTTGATCGAGAGTCCAACAGGTACGCATTTTGTACCTGACACATCTTGAAAAAAAAAACAATTGCGATCTCACCTTCAGATTTGCAGGCTCTGGAAAATCACTAGCCCTGCTTTGCGCTGCCTTGGGTATGCATTAAATACAATTGAGAATGATTTCGTCCAATTAGGCTAACTCTTCATCTGCAGCTTGGCAAAGAAACGATCAAATGGTAAGAGCTGCCTCGATTGCAAATGCTCAGGCTGAATTTGATGAAGAAGACGATCTTCTGATTCTCACGCCGGACGAGGTCGACAAAGTCTGGGGAACGAGCAATTCAAAACAAGAACCGGAGCCAGAACCAGAGAGTGCAACACAAGATGAATTTCAGACTTTTCAACCAGCACGATTACAACGCAAACGATTACGGTATTTTGAGAAACTAGATCCGCGACTCAAAGATACAGAAGCACAGCCCAAGAAGGCGCAAACCGCTCCACCAAAGCTGTCATCAGGATTGCCGAAAGCTAATAAGATATACTATGCTTCGCGAACGTAAGTGCTTATAAAATCGACCAGGTGTTCAGTTCACAAATATTGAAACGTACTCGGCAGTCATAAACAGATTTCGCAAGTAGTTGCTGAACTCAAGGGAAAGACAGTATATCAACCTAGTGAGTTTTCTAACTGCAATTTCCCAAATGTGATATGAGAAAACTAATCTGTTCGGATTAGAAATGACGATATTGGGCAGTCGGGATCAATTTTGCAGTAAGCTGCGATTATCGTTTGCTTTGGAGCGTTGCAAGTGAAGCTAACCACAAGGTTCAACAGTACATCCCAAAGTGTCAAAGGCGTCTAACAAGAACGAGGAATGGTAAGAAAATTGTATTATCGCCAAGCTGAAGGCCATTTCTAATGCTGGTCGATGCTTTCAAGCTCAAAACTCCTTGATAAGAACCTCTGCTCCTACGGACATAATGTGCGAAAGGTCACTCAACATTCGAGTATTCAACGTGGCAGTAGTAACTTTATTTGGGACATTGAAGACTTGATCAACGTAGGACGTAAAACACATGGTATGAAGTTTCCAGTTACGTACAAGTATATTGCATGTGTTGAAAACTGACTGATTTCCATTAGGATGTCCATATTTTGCTGCAAAGAGTTTGATGGATGTTGCTGAGATCATTTTCTGCCCGTACAATTATCTCATTGAACCCCGTAAGTACACTGGGAGAACATTTGTCTCTTTAGATCTTTACTCAACATAATCATTGCTTTAGTGATTAGAGAGGCATACGACATCAATCTCAAGGACGCTGTTGTAATCATAGATGAAGGTAGCATAATGTTCGCTTGAAAATATCAAATATTCGAAAAGGCTAACAGCGATACCATTCTAGCTCATAACATCGAAGACGTCGCTCGTGATGCAGCGTCATTCGCTATCCATGAAAAAGAGCTTATACTGTTACAGAGTGAACTCACTGTACTAATCAAAAATATGATCCTTGTTGAACATCACACCAAGCTTCTCTATGTAAGTAAGATCTATAGTGGTTACTTAAAAGACATCGACATCACTCATCACCATTTTTACCGCACCAGATTGTGGAATCAATGATAGAATGGATTGTGGACCCCAACAATAAGTTCTCGGCATTGGAATACGAACATTACATCAACTCGTAAGTTTTTTGATTTAGATTATTCAAGCACTACTGAAGAGGTACTGACATTTTCGGTAGATGGACAGGATCAGAGATTGTCAGTAAGCTGAACGGATTGGGAATAAATCGCCTCACGATGGAAAACGACTTGAAGCCTGCATTGGCGCAGGTTATATTCGCTATAAATCAAATGCGAAAAGCAAAGAATAGCCAATCAGCTTTTGGTTTTGACGATGACGATGATGAGGTGATGGAAATAGGTTATGAAGAAGACGATACGGCTGTCGCTGGGGAGAAAAAAAGAAAGCCCAGGAAAAAATGCCTCAGTACCAAGAATTTGATACTATTAGAAGGTATGTTCGAGACGGACTATGTCTAGTATACTGAGAGATACTCAAAGACTATGCTTGAATAGGTCTTTTCGTCGTGTTTAGCAATCTCTTCCAAGAAGGAGTTGATTATCCTAGCGACTACGTCATGGTTTTGATGAAGCGCGCCAACAAGAATCGTATGACCTTTAGTAAAGGTATTTACGGATCAAAGTGAGCATAATGCGGTCTATGAAGCCTTTCTCATTAAATCTCTTGTTTTCAGAATCGGATTGGGAATTTAAATTGTCGTTCTGGTAAGATAGCGGTAACTATGGCAAGGAGATAGATAAGAACGCGGTTTTTTTTACAATTGTTTCTTGGCAGGTGTCAAAACTCTAGTATAGCGTTCAAGGATATAACTGATCAGGCGCGCTCCGTGTTACTCTGCAGTGGCACTCTATCTCCTGTAAGTGACGCCTTCTTCTGTTATATTATGATTCGATTTACTCATTGATACTTGAATAGATGAATACATTTAGCTCGGAATTACAAACAGAATTGTAAGATCCTGCTTTTCATGTTTGAAATTACCGTGATACATATCTGACCATTTCTCAAAAAGCCCAATCCGCCTCGAAACAAACCATGTTGTTGACAGATCACAAATTTGGGCAGGCGTCATACCCTATGGGTATGTTTAGCTTTTTAAGTTACTTGGTATCTTGAGACACATCACTAACGTACAGCAGACCGGATAGAGTTAGCCTTGTGGGAAGCTTCAAAACTTTGGATACTTATGTATACCAGGACGATATTGGAAATGGTAAGTCTTAGGAACGACTTTGATCGATCATAACTCGCCTTCTGCTGTCGTTGACTTGTCGCTTTTTCAGCCCTCCTTCGTATCGCTCAGACTGTTCCAAACGGCATCCTATGTTTTGTTCCCTCCTATGCGGCATTAAATAAGTTTATGTCCAGATGGAAGGTACGTTAGGCAGTCCTGCACAATACGACATTGTTGCGTTGTGATGTGGTGATAAATACTGAGTTAATTCTCTCACAGCGCACTGGATTGTGGGCAAAGCTGTCAGAAGCAAAGATGATGATAACAGGTAAGCATCACAACGTTTCCGATAGCAAATGTATGGTGAAAATTCATTTGGTTCATTATCAACTGGTTAAAACACTCGCCCTTTCTAGAACCCCAGAACGTCGCGAAGAATGTTTTTGAGAAGGAGCTTACAAAATACTATGGATCGGTGAACCTTAATAATGGCACCCAAAATGGCGCAATGCTCATAGCGGTAAGGGGTCATAAAGAAGTGGAGGCATAGACAGCACCTTTCTGATGATGTAGTAGGTTTACCGTGGCAAAGTCAGCGAGGGCATTGATTTTAGCGACGCAAGATGCAGAGCTGTTGTATCTATCGGCATACCTTTTCCCAACCTGTAGGTCAACGATATTTGTACACAGAGCAAGCTTTAGACTACAGTACTCACGCATCATCATAGGAAGGACTTTCAGGTCATATCCAAACGTGACTACAATACCAATGCACGCAAATCAGGGAAAAACGTTCTTAATGGTGATGAATGGTAAGACGGAATGCAACATTTAAATCTAAGAATATTGTGTGCCCGATGTCTGATAGTCTACACTTCTTTGTTATAGGTATTCCATTCAAGCACACCGAGGTATGATCTTTCTATCTTTAGTATGCATTGTTAACACTTTATTTTAACATTGTCTTCCATGTTCCCAATAGCTGTTAACCAGGCACTCGGTCGGTGCATCAGACATCGGAAGGTAAATTAACCTCTCTTTCTAAAGTGGTATATACATTTATAAGAAACTTTTTGAACTCACCTCATTATCTTTAGGATTGGGGTAAGCACCATGCCGAACGACATAGACACAGACATAGACGTTGCTAACATTGCAACCTCTAGGAGCCATCATTTTGCTGGAACACCGATTCCTGCAACCTGATAATATCAATGCGCTTTCAAAATGGATTAGAGCCCAGTGTAAAAAGCATACCAATGGGTTTGATGAAGCCATATCGGAATTGGAAGCGTTTGTTAAGATGCGTATGCATACAGATGATATGGAAATGGATAAATACATCGCGGAAGCTCAAGTTCAAGAAGAAACTGTATATGTATCAGGAAAGCTGATCAATGAACAGAATACATTAATAACAAGCGGCGAACCAGAAGAACCTGAACCCGACGAAACGAAGTTGCAGCAGCTAGAAGATGAGCAACAACAGGACCCCCTTTCCCAGAAATTCGTGATCGACTACATGGACACCACATCCGTTTATGAGGTGTCGGACATGTCAGACGAGCCACCTCTACCTCAACCAAGTTACATTAATCCCCCCGTTGCCTTTGCTATGGAGCCCACAAAGAAGACTCGCTACAATATCACATGTCAACAATGTAGGATGCAACTGGGCTACTGTGTCGAACAAGAAAACTTCGTAGTTCAACAGAAGACTGTCTCGAGCAAGTACATTGAATCTTTACGACAGCCTCATCCTACAAGCTCCCCATGCTACATATATGAACTCTTTCCACAGCAGGATTGGAACAGCAGCCTCTTTCGGGAAAAGCAGTCAGACACTATCACTGTGAAGTGGAACCTCCAAGACAAAATCTGCTATCAAGATATACACTGTCCAACTTGTGAAGCCTCCGTACCAAACGGCCTGGGCTCCTCGATCATTGGTGCTCGTATAGTCGTTTGCCAAGCCGGTAGTACGAAGGAAATCACTGACTTGCTAGGGAGGATATGGTTGTTATACGAAGCGGTCAAAATCGGGAGGAGCTTGGAAGTGCTTCCTGACTCACCCTCCAAAAAAATCAAGTATTACTAACACTGCTGACTGAACACTTCATACTCACCTATAACATGAACTTACAGACCACATATTGTACATAATAGTGTAAAAAGATAGATATTTAAATTCAAGTAGATGTAGTAATAGCAAAATTTAATGAACGCACATTGTTTTGACCATTTTGAAAAGAAAAAAAAAAAAAAAAACATCACTTCTTTGAATCCAACGATATTTTCGAATACTTATTAATGAATAATATCTTCAAGGCACATTTTTACTGTTTGTGCTATGACTTGCTGCGTCGTTCGGTTTCCTCACGACTGGACCTTTCAAGCACAGTCGGTACATCTTGCCCCATGTGCCATGTGTCCACCACATCATACTCCCGGTGGGTACGCTCGTCCCCCGCATTTTGCTCTTGTGCGAGGGCTTTAGCCTAGCAGAGATTAAGTCAGTACTTATTGAAACTACGAGTAGAAATACATTGCTACCAACCTGAGAGGCATTTTCGTAGTATTCTTGGGAAAATATTTTATGTTATTAATAGGTCGATGTCTATCACTGTTGTACCAAAGACTCACCTTGCGGAGCTACGCGCTCAAAGATACTCTGCTCGGGCGGAGGTATGAATGGAGCCTCTCTGGAATGGTTATTTTGATAATCTAAGAATAGCTTCAGGTGAATGCCTTGCTCGATATACAGAGATTACATAGCCATGCTTACTCATGCTGTTCGCGATGCAAAGCGGCACTGAAACCGAAACAGCACGGACAGTTTATCTTAGTGGGTGTGTGGATAATGCCTTTTTTGGAGTAATCACTTTTACTGTGCAAAAATCTGAAATTGAAATCGATGACGTTATTCGCGCTCTGCACTGCGATCGTGCTCAAATCTCATTTGGCAATGACCGCGCTGGCGAGTCTGCAAATAAAGACGGAAAAAGAAGCCTTTCCAAACAGATTCACCTTTGTTGCTGAATAATAATGGGAGCATTCCGTAATCTATTCATATTTCTCACCCTTTTGAATGCGGCGTTTTTGGGTTACGACCACTACCAAGGTGGTAACCTGGCCACTGAACTGGTGACAAACGCTAGAACTTTGACACCGGAAAAGATCCAAGGACACGTCTTTACTGCTATTGAAAATGCAAAGTCAATTACTCCCCAGCAAATTGCCATGCAAGTCAATGGACTCTTCGACCATCTCAAAAACGTAAACTCTCCTAGTGACTTGTTCAAGCCTAGAACTGGTGCCTCCACAACCGCTGAACTCGAGGGAAACGTCGTTGTTCTTAACGACGATAACTTCAAAACTACCATCGATGGATCGAAGCCTGCTCTTGTCGAGTTTTATGCTCCCTGGTGTGGACACTGCAAGACCCTTGCTCCTATCTATGCCCAGTTGGGTGACGCCTTTGCTCATGCTCAAGACCAAGTCATTGTTGCCAAATTTGATGCCGACGCTCACCGCAATACTGGTGGCGAATATGGTGTTCAAGGTTTCCCCACTTTGAAGTGGTTCCCCAAGGGTGTCAACTCTCCTAGTGGTGTTGAAGACTACAAGGGTGGACGCGACCTTGATTCTTTGTCCAAGTTTATCAAGGATAAGACCGGTATGTCAAATTATTAGGTACCACCAACCTTTCAGGGGAACTGAGTACTAATCATTGTTCTTTCCAGGTATTCGTCCTCGTATCAAGGCCGTCAAGTCTGACGTTGTTGTTTTGGATACTAAGAACTTCCACTCCATTGTTGACCAATCTGACAAGAATGTTCTCGTCGAATTTTATGCTCAATGGTGCGGTCACTGCAAAAGTCTTGGTAAGTTTGGCTTGGGCTGATGGGGCACCCCACGTCTTGTACCTTACACAATTGAATTTGGCAGCTCCCATTTACGAAAAGCTTGGAAATACCTTTGCCAACGAAAAGAACGTAAGTAACAATAACCGCGTCGTAGACATTTGCTGAACCTCTATACTGAACTTCATGCTTTAATAGTGTGTCATTGCTAAAATTGATGCCGACACTGAACGTGATATTGGTACTGAGTACGACATTTCTGGTTTCCCTACTCTCAAGTTCTTCCCCAAGGGCGATGACAAGACTCCTATCGCGTACGAAGGTGCACGCACTGAAGCTGGTTTCGTTGAATTCTTGAACAAGCACTGCGGCACTCATCGTGTTGTTGGTGGTGGTCTCAATGATGAAGCTGGCCGTATCCCTGCATTGGATGAACTTGCTATCAAGTTCGTCTCTACCTCTGATAAGGCTACTCGCGAGAGCATTTTGGAACAGGCCCAGGCGGAAGCCAAGAAGTCTTCCGAAAGGTAATCATTAACCTCCTTATTTGCGCATATATGTTTTGAATGAAATTTTTGATGATTTTTTTTTTCCAGCTTGGCAACCTACTACTACAAGATCATGGAAAAGGTTCTTGAGAAGGGTGATGCCTTCTTGAGCACCGAGAAGCAACGTATCGAAAAGGTTTCAAGCACCGGCTCTGTCACTGAAGCAAAGGCAGACAATTTCAAGAGTCGTAAGAACATCCTTGCTGCTTTCGACAAGAACGCTCAACCAGTGCCAAAGCAGGAATTGTAAAGATCAGTTCGGCGCCTTCGTTGAACTGTTGCATATAAAGCATGTCATGTTTCGATCACTGATTGGGAACGTGTTGGACACTTTGCCTTTGTAACTTTCTTTATTTGCACATGTGCCGCATGTTTTTCCCCAATATCATCTTAAATAAAACCTCACACTTTTTTACCAGATCGATAGAATAACTACTGCTACACCCCAAGGATGAAATATTTCATTTTATTATCAGTAGCTACCTCATCAAGGTATATTCTACTGTCGCTTATAGTTTAACATACGTGTCCGGCGAACTTTGTTATCGCTCCATTTAAGCATAGTTCAAGCGGAAGATGTCGTTGTAGACCCAGAAGGAGCCACCATCAGCAATAAGGTTGAAAGTTTGAGTAAACATTTGGGGGTTGGTTTCGTCGTCGATCTAAAGAAGGACCCATTAGTATCTATTTCCACGCGCGTTATTGTAAGCGACGCAATATACTTACAAGAAGTTGACCGGTAACAGTAACAACTATGCTTTGGTTGTTAGGGTTTGAGGGCTGGGCATCAACGGTGCTGATGCGGTGAGCAACCTTTTGGAAAGGAAGAGAAACAAGCTTCTCAACAATACTGTTGACACCTTGAGTCTGAACACCTTCGAAGGTGAGCATTGAAGGATCACGCTGCAAATGACGTTAATTATAGTCAGTATCAAGATTAGATAACACGAGGGCGAAGTCAGTCGCGCCAATACGATATGATGTTGAAACCAGTGTCAAGTCATCTGCAATTATCCGGAAGGCACAAAGTTACTTACGTAGAGTGAGGCGAGCTCGGTTCTGTTACGATCAAAAGTATCGTAGTAGAACTTTGTGAATTGTTCAGCAACAGCTTGAGTCTGGTTCATGACAACTATTGATTTCTGCGAATGGAGAAGAAAAAGTCGGTGGTATTCGAGGCTCTGCGGTGCAAAAAAAACCAAAAAACACCACCTCGCCAGAGGCACGTGATCGTTAAACCCAGACCAGATCTTATCCCCTTGCTGATGGCCTTTCTTAATATCTCGTAGAACTGCAGACTTGACCTTGAACTACGCACCAACATCTTTCTAGTTGCCATCAATCATCATTAAAAATTAATCAACCTCTTCGAATATATGGCATAGGCTATCCTCATATAAACTAAACAGCTTGGAACACAATAATATCACTGTAAAAATGAAGATGAAGATGGGCTAACTTGATCACCCTGCTTTGGCAGTTTTAGACGTGCAGATTTAGAGACTATGACATACAATAGAAAGAATTGTATGAACTACGAGGACGAGGATGCTATCCATGACGCCTTTTCTGTATGTGAGAAACTTGATTGACATGCATGTCAACATACATACCTAAACAGCATAAACTTACCAGCAAGTCTGGTAAGAAAGGTACTGCAACAACGAGAAAGATCTATAATTATCGGAAAGTGGTGGAAGATCGGATGTTCAACGTGACCAATTTATATTGTCAACGCTACTACTGCCATAGCAATTCTTTCAGCATCAAGTAATACCCGATGTTATAGGATCAACAGATCCGATAGTGCTTCCAGCAGGGGCGTTGATAAATTAAAGGGCTATTTACAAAGTTATGGTGTAACATTTTCTATATTGATCTGAAATGTTAATCGTTTACTACAAATTGTCTTGTTCAATGCTTCAGTTTATGAGTTGCACTACCTTATGTGGAGCAATAAGACAGTGTTGAAAGACCGAATACCTCCACAGGAATCGTGATTGTATGGTCGCTGATATATGACAGCCACTGTAGTATGAATTACCTTGATCGTTGCTCGCGCTTTTATACTTTGTACCTTTAAAGTACGCCTTTCATCTTCCAATTTCAACGCACCTGCAGGTCACATACCAGTTCGTATGACGTATCACACCATCATTTGAGATTTCTCGACTTTGCTGCGCTGAGCTTTAACGATCGCTTTTTTCAGATCTTTTACAACCATTGAAATGGCCACAGACTCGATCCCATTCGCTTCCGATGCAGAAACTCCCTTGCCTGCAGAAAGCCTCGAAGTAGGTGTTATTTTTTATGAGCTATTTCCTTTGGCATTATCAACTGACGCTGTAAATCTTTGAAGGTACTTCGCAAGCAATACATGAGAGAAGGAGAGTATGCAACCATACAAACCAAATTCAACTACGCATGGGGTTTGATCAAATGCAAGAGAACTATTGACATTGAAAAAGGTGTCCGACTCCTCACAGGTAGGTGGGGAAGCTTATTAAAAGAAAAGACTTGGCTTGGCAGTCCTTCTCACGGTTTTTTCATGCGTGCTTATAGAAATATACCAGCAAGCGCCAGAAAGACGACGAGAATGTCTGTACTATCTTGCTCTCGGACATTACAAGATGTCTAATTATATCGAAGCTAAAAAGTTCAATCAGCAACTCTTGGTGCATGAACCCAAAAACTCGCAAGCCATTGAACTCAATAAGTTGATCGATGAGAAAGTCTCACGAGGTATGAAACAGGAAAAGAGGAGAAAAGACGAAAGAAGAATACATTAATGACTAACGCTTACGTCGTATTGCAGAGGGTGTAATTGGGTTGGCAATTGTTGGAAGTATTGCGGCTGTTGGCGCGATGGTCGTAGCCTCCTTGGTGCGCAAGTCATCAAAGTAGGATGTTCTATAATATTTTTATATATAAACGAGTGGCATTTAGATACATCTTTAGTTGGACCCTATGGTAACTGTTGAGACCGTGTATATGTGGAGCTGGAGATTTTCATGCTTAGTAGATAGTATACCGACGCGTCTTCGGATCGGGACACTAAATTCATCGCCGAACTACCTTGTATTCCTTAACGTGATCGAACCGGTAGTGTGTCATACAAGTGCAAATCTTTGCACCAAAAAGACACCGTAATGCAGATATATCCATTCAACTCGGTGCTCAATACCTCGTGAGCATAAGATATAAGGGGGAAAAAAAAAGTTGGTGTCCGCAGAAAACAAAGCAAAGTCACGGATTTTTTCGATCCAACTTTTTGTTTGTCAACCCCCATTGACACGGTGCACTTTCTCGCTGGGTTCTAACAAAGCCTGTCAAATAATGTCAAACATTTTGAAAGCTAATAACTCTGATACAGGTTATCAGCACTCCAAGAAGGCAATGCAGGACACCGTTAGTTGGAAAAGCACAATGCCCGCTCCGCAAAGCCCTATTCTTTCCTCATCATCCAGTTCGGATCAAAATGGCACGGCGACAAGCTTCATTCCGGACACATTGCCTACCGATGCAGAAGCAGCTGCTCTTATAACCAATTTAAGCGCAGGTGTAAGTCTCATTAACCAGACGAATACAATATCCCAGGATGGCACCATGGCTTTAATTCCTGATTCTCAAAATGCGGTTAATGTTCCTGCCGTCGAGGAACCCGAAACTCGATTACGATCCAGAAGCCGCTCAACACCACCTTCCGGGAATGGCAGTGAACAAGAACAGGACAAGGCTCCTATAACCCAAAGACGTGGAAACAAATCTAACCCCTTTGCAAGATTATCCACACAACCTCGCTGGCACAACCAATCTTACATGCTTTTCCTTGCTTTACGACAGCACCCTGATCGTTGTTTACCACGAACCGAGTTGATCAAAGCAGCTCTTGCCATGGACAAGAAGATCAGTGACGAGTTAAAACTTCCAAAAGTTTTTCGAGGCAAGGTAAGCCAGGCAAAAAGTTCAGATTTAGACTTTTGTGTGGCTGTTAACTAATATGCCATAATTTTTTTTTTATTTATTTATTTTTTGGTGCAGACACCAATGAACTCGGCGTCTGCTATATTGACCAACAATAGCGACCGATATTTTATACCCTATAAACCCGCCGGCAGTCGGTCTACTCATTTTAAACTAGCATATGAACCATGCAACTTTCAACACGCAGTGGAGGAATATCGGATATGGGAGAAGAAACTTGTAGAACATGATTGGCCATATTGCTTTGGCATCCGAAAAAGCAACCCCACTGCACATCCGACAGATACTAGCAATGATATCCAATCAGAAACAACACAACCCTCCGATGCACAGAACGAGATCAAGGAGATGGAAGCATGCAGCATCAGTGGTGTGAACACAGCTGATCTGGAAACATTTTTGTCGGCAACGGCTATCCTCAACAGCGAAACTGCTGTCAAACGGGATGCCCCCGTGTCGGAAATTCGAGACACAGACATAGAAACAGAACGCAGAAGAAGTAGCGACGGATCAGAATCTAGCGGTCACAAAAGGAGCGCAACGAATAATACTGTATGCAGTGAAAACAGCGTTAATGGATCACCTCCTGCCAAGAAACCCAAGGTTGAACTGACTGAATTTGATCGCTATATATCCCGAAGAAAGCTATCATCTTCAGAATCGCCTTCAAGTGCATTAGCAGCCTCTAAAATTGAGCCAGATAGTCCACCGCCATTGTTACTATCGCCTACCCTTCTCCCCAAATCTGAGCCACCAGCATCCCCGCCCCGACCAGCTGGTCAACTCAAATCCAACTCTGCCATATCCTCTTTACCTGCTGCCATTGAAGGCAAAGACACCGGCATAAATACCACGCTGCCTTCTGAAGATCCCAGTCATGTGGACCTGGCAGACTTGGATCTTAGCAACGTACCTCAATGCTGGCAAGATATCGTAGAAGTCAAACCTTCAACTGTTCCGAATTCAGGAAATGGACTATTTGCTGCGCGCGATTTGCCTCATAACACGCCGCTTGGGTTCTATTTCGGTGTACCCATGACAGAAGACGAATTCGATTCTCTCAAAGACAATGTAGGCATGGCATCACAATACTCCATTATGTACCGAAAAACCGTGCTGGATGCAACGGATGCAGATGGTATGCCTTACACCGACCCTGAAGGAGAAATGTACTGCCCATTCCATTTTATGAACGAGAACGAAGAGAAGAACTCCAATATTACATTTTTGGAAGGTGCACTTGTCAACCAAGTCATTTGTTGGACCAAACGTGATATCAAGCAAGGCGAGGAGCTGTTTGTCTGGTATGGCCGTGACGTTGATCGTCACTGGGAAGATGCAAATACCATTGATACCAGACGCGCGCATACTAGACGCAAACCATGATTTACGTTGTTAATCTTTTGATGTTTATTTCTTTATTATGTGAACAACCCAACAAAATAAAAAAAATAAGAGCTTCCAAAACCGTTGGAAAACCGAGAAATGGCGTTCACTGGCGCTTGGATCACCATTCCTAAAAGTGGAAATGCCCGCCATTTTTCAACCTCCTTCTCACCTTTGCATCCTGATCTTTCCTATAAACGCTTCATTATAATCATAAAAATTCATGCACTTGGCTCGGATGACTTCAAGCTTATGGGATTTATGAACCACGTTTTGTTATTGAGGTCATGCAGACATGTAGTGGAGGTGTGATGATGATCGGCTTCTGAATATGAAGCGTTGCACGTGTGATACCACCCGTCCCCATTAGGTAAAAGGCATACTGTCACTACCCACCAGGCTCTCTCCCCCCAGAGAAATGGCACCGCTCAATCCCTTGAAACTCCAAGAAATGGCTTTACATGCTCGTCAGATAGCCGCGTTATGTGCAATTCTAAATTATCCTAAGATACCGTACATCAGTTTAAGCAAAGTTCTGCTTGCTCGATGCAAGTCACAAATTTATGGCCAAACGAAAAAAAAAAAAAAAAAAATGGGTTGCCACCCCCCGCCAATCCGCAAAAGGCGAGTGCGAGTGGGAAAGTCACCTCGGCGAAAGCAGCTCTACAGATCATCTTCCTTTTACATAATTCTTACCCATGCTGGTACTTCGACATAACAGTCTCGCAGCAGAGGATCTGTTCGTTGTTGAAAGAGTAAGTGAAGATCCCCGTCTATACCATGCTACTTGTCTACAGCAGAACTAAATCGCCTTTGTTCCATGACTAGAAATTGCTTCATTTCGTCAATTCACATAAAGAATGCCCACTCAGTCTAGACTTTGATGTGTTCAGTCGCTCAAGACCAGAGCTCTATGGAATAGTTCTGGGGATGTTTGCCCGTTTGGACCTGCATACGGCTGCAGGCGTCAGCTTATCCGAATTGTTAGACTTCATCATAGACGTAGACAAAGGCTATTTTCCAAATCCTTATCACAACTTCTTTCATGCCGTCGACGTCACTGGAGTCTTGTTCTTCATACTCAACGATGTTCGTGCCAATCGCTACTTATCGAAAATCGACGCAATGGCACTACTTCTTGCTGCGCTATGTCACGATATTGGTCATGTGAGTTAACGTTATATGGATTCTGGCAATGGTTATCGATGTTACTAAATAGATAACCTTTTTTTTCTTGGGGGCAATAGCCTGGGTACAATAACAATTTTCAAGTCAATATGAAAAGTGATATTGCCACAAGATACAATAATCAATCGGTATTGGAGTCACATTCGTGTACATTGACATTGAATCTACTCTCCAAGCACAAGTTGCTGCAGCGCCTTGGCCAAGCACACTCAACAAACATGTCAGAAGAAGCCATGAAAACGTTTATAACAGAAATGATTTTAGCAACAGATATGGCATTTCACTATAACCAACAAGATAAACTCTCCAACCTCATCGAGACAGTCGCTCAACAAGAGAATTGGACTCAAGTGTCCGACGCCGCATCAATACCATCACCTCCATCACCGGACGAAGCAAGTTCTCCACCCATTCAGATCAAAACTCGATTACATGTACCGGATGGATTGCTACCCAATGACATCATACTGCACTCTAAAGAGGATTACCATCCTTCTTTCAAAGGTCCGAAAAGTGAACAAGAAGCAGATTTCATATTAAATCAGCAAGATCGGCAATCGTTATGTCGATTGCTGTTGCACGGTGCGGATATCAGTAACACAGTTCGACCGTGGAGTGTATGCAAGAAATGGTCAGATCTGGTTGTAGAAGAATTTTTCAGGCAAGGGGATGCTGAACGACTGCATGGTTTACAAATATCACCCGGCATGGATCGAGAAGAGTCAACGCAAGCGGATATATCGCTTCAGTTTGGAGACTTGGTCGTCGGACCCTATTTCGAGCTTTTTGCTGAACTCTTACCCAACGCGCAATCATTTGTAGAAGCGCTTACGACGAATCGTGGACAATGGGAAAGCCTAAGTCGACAACCAGAGCCATCGCAAGCTACACTAACAAGCAATGAAGCTCCTCGTCGAGATCGACTTTCCGTCAGTAGCTACGGTTCCGGCAAGACCCATCCTACTGGGGGTCGCCGTGTTAGTGTGGCTGCTGGTACACTTTTCTTACCAGATGACGGTGACGTTCGGTTGACCAATGATACCAATGGCGGTCGTAGTGCTAGTCACTCCGCTATTGCAGAGCATGATAAGACTCTGAAAGCAAAGCGAATGGATAACCTCGAACGACGGAGGAGTGAGGAGCCTAGTGCACATTTACAAAGGTTCCAAAGAAGTGAGCATAGAGGAGACGGTATGTCGTTGGATGAAAATGAAAGAAGGTGAGATTTTAACAACTTTGTGAAAGAGAAAAAGGAAGTCAAGTGTGTTGATCATTATTGCTTTTTTTTCCTTTAACAGAGGCGGCCAAAACTATGTACGTCGAGGATCAAAGCTTGCAGGTCAACCAATTTCAATACATGCCGAATAGCGTATATATTTTCAACCGGAATCAATTTTTACTTTTCTTTTTTGGATGTATGGATCTGTCCTTTTTTTTTTCTTCTCCCTCCCTAACACAAGTCATTTTGCAATATAACACCGAATGTATAGCCCTGATTCCTTTCAGTAACATGTTATCAATATTTTTTTCTGTTATTGCCATTGCTTCCTTCGTTAAGCCGCATACAACCAGACAGTCTGTTCAACACCTTGTATCGTCCATGGAAGCATCGATTCATTCCATCTACACGAAACCGTCTTTATCCCGCGGGACACTCTGCGTTATCCAGATTATACTTCATCTCGCCTCGCTAGTACTTTTCCTTACCTTTGCTGTAGTAGCAACGATTTTTGACGATGTACAAGACATAAATTGTTTGCCGATTCTATCTAAGCGACCATCGACTGCCGATACGCATACGTCCAACCTGACCTTGGGCAATGTTGATACCCCCTCGCCTACCTCCATTGAGCCGATTGGCCAGATCTTTGCCGAAACATCCTATAATACCTTTAATGAAATTGCTGACCATTCCAAACAATTTAAAAGAAGGGAGACTGGATTAGATGAAAGGAACGATTCAGCACGATCTGACCCTCAATTCACTGTCCCTGACATTCAAAGCCAAGAAATTCCACCACCTGCAAAATCATACCAGGAGAAGGAGAACGAGCGACCTGCATCGGTAGCCACTACTCCCCTCCTGACAAAACTTCCGAGCTCTCATGCTGTCAGGAACACTAGTAGCCATGCATTCTCTCAAACACCCACTCTGGATAGCTCGCCTATATTAACGAAATCCATGCCGTTTCACGAATATCACAGAGAGCATCCACCTGCCATTGCACTTGTGCGGGACGCATCATTCACGCGAGGATTGCATAAGCGAAGTGTATCCACAAATAGTTTGGCCCTATCCATCAGCTCACAGAAAAGTTTATCACGCGTGGGTAGCAGAGTGAAAAGAGCGTTCTCCAAATTGAATCGTCGCGACGGCACAGTGTTCCCAAACCACGAAATCGATGATAATGACGTCGTATCATCGCCTGATCCCAAGAAACGATCAGCGCAAAAGGGGTTAACGAGACTCCTGAAAAGAAACTAGATCATTAAGACAATAGGTTATATGAACTTGGATTATTTGTTTTTTTTTAAGCAAGTCGATGTGTGCGCAATGATTATGTTACAAATGTAAATTGGGGGATAGCTTGCTATCTGCGAAATAAATAAGAGGGAAGAATGGCCAATTATAATAACTAAGCTGAGACAGGATTTGATCCCATATTTAATGCTACCTCCTCGTCTGGATGCCCATTCACGACGGTTTCCACAACAGCGGAAGATCCCTTTCGCCCTCGCCCTAGAGTCAATGTCTTGGTTGAAACTCTTTCCGATTGTTCCGGGCTATGAGTAATCCAAACACAAGTGTATAATTTGAGAGTTTTTTCTACCAATAATGTAGATTCGGGATCCAAAGCAGAAGTAGGTTCTGACGGTGGGTGGATAAACGGATAGCATGTATAAATATACTGTATTTTTTTTTGCTGAACAGCCACAAAACGAAAGACGTTTCCTTACCATCTAAGAGTAAAACATCCGGATTGAGAGCAAGGGCAACGGCCAAGGCAGCTCGTTGCATTTCTCCTCCAGATAATGAGCTCCAGTTCTCATGGAAATGAGACTCGCTCAAACCCCACTCAATTCCAAAGTCAATCTGCCAAAAGCAGATGATACCGTTTAGTGCCCGGATGATTCCTTTAAATCCTATTCTTCAACTTACTGGATCTCCTAGTTTGCCTTTCTTTGATTGACTAGCATACTTTGATGCATGGTTGAAAAGATCAAGCGGAGTTCCCGCATGAGCTGATGGCCTTTGAGGAACATACATCACTTTTGATCGCCAAACTGGGACTCCCATGTCTGATACCTTCTTTCCGTCCAACATAGATATTCCTGATTCATGTGGAATGAGCTCAGCCAAACATTTTAGCAAGGTGGTCTTCCTAAAGAGCGAAGAATATAGATGGATGTTCTGTTACTACTGCTTTCTCAAGTGTGCTATTCAAAACTATATTACTTAGTCACATACCCTACACCGCTGGGTCCTCGGAGAGTGAGGACGTCACCTCTTTCCAAACTAATGCAAACATTTCTGAAGAGAATGGATCCATCTGGGCGAGCCTTCGTGATGTTAGTAGCTTCAAAGAATGCTGACATGACCTTCTTCTCTAAATCAGCTATCGGCTTGAAAAGCGGAGACGAGATTTTTTTTTATATACTTTTTGATTTTTCTGGTGTGACGTGTAGCATCACATCTCTCTGCCAACTGGGCAAGCAGCAGCGTCGGGGGCCCAAACAGCCGACAGAGCAGTGCTGACAGTGTTATCAAGTGTGCAAAAGCTTACTCTCAAAACCTGTGGGTATTCGAAACATAGCTTATTCTATTTTGCACGAAGTCCTTCTGGAGACTTCACCTTGGTGAGTAGTTTATATTGTTATTATGTCATTTTTTGCTCTTGTGGGGGGGTGTGGGACCAAATAAGCACTTTGGCACTGGTCCTCAAAAACCTCCCCCAGAATATTGGTGCTTGAGCAGCTCGAACTCACCTTTCAAATCCAATTTTCTTCTAATCTGCCAATAGTTGCTCTGACTTTTCTTACTCGTTGTTTACAAATATGACTACTGTGGCTACACGGAGAAGAAAACGCTCACCTAACACGGATTGGAAGGCAGACTTTTATCGCAATGGCTACCCTACCGAAGTCATTGTAATCGAGGATTCGCCTACACCCGCTCCTGATCAACACACCAATTCCACCTCAAATTCAAATAATCCACAGTTGAATCATGCGTCTGCCTATACCACACCCCCTGCTGCTTCTACCCGCTCCAAGCGGCCTCGAAGGAAGGTCACTTCTACCTATCAACCTCAACTCGCCCCAACATCGCAGATATCATACCCTGTTCTCACACCGGTCTCTTCGTTGGTCGGGAACTTTACTCAACCAGCTGCAAAACGCAGGCGGAAAGAAAATGGAGACGCTGCTGGTTATTCTGAAGGTATGTTTAGCTTTGATTTACTTGAAAGCGGTTAAAATGCCGTATTCCCTCCCCACACTGCTTTCGGTGAAAAAGTTAACGCTGATATAACAGCATCGCATCGTCAAGATCATGTATATCGACCAACCGCAACCACTGAGGTAAATATCAGTTTTCCTTCTACTGAACCAAGTGCACGCATCATTAACTTTTATTGCCAACCTTGTAGACGGCTGCTGCGAACTACGACGATAAAGATGGACATTATATCATTATCCCGAACGAAGATCTTACCACCCGATGTATGAATTATGTCGTCTCAAATAACATGTCCTGCGCATTGATGATACTGATATCTACTTCTCTCATCTACTAGACAAGATGATCCGATTACTAGGACAAGGTACATTTGGCAAGGTCGTAGAATGCTGGGATCGTGTACGACGGCGCTATTGCGCTATCAAAGTCATCCGGGCAGTGCCTAAGTATAGAGATGCTAGCAAAATTGAGATACGAGTGCTCAACACTCTGAAGGAAAACGACCCTCTCAACCTAAAGTAAGCTTTCTCGCATCCAGCTATATGCTGCACGTGCTGACGGATGATCAGTCAAGGAAAAAAAAGCCCTTTTTCTCATTGGTTAACTCTCTTCTATAGTAAATGCATACACCTGCTGGAATGGTTCGACTTTCGAAATCATATTTGCATGGTGTTTGAGTTGCTCGGTCAATCTGTCTTTGACTTCTTGAAGGAAAACGAATTTCATCCTTTTCCTGCGCATCATATCCAACACTTTGCAAGGCAATTATTAACGAGCGTGGCGTGTAAGTTTTGTAAATTTTGCACATTGTGTGAGAGGAGATGTAACTGACGCTGCTCACCAAATTTCATAGTTGTGCACGACCTCAAGCTCATCCATACGGACCTTAAGCCGGAGAATATATTACTTGTCAACAATGAATATCGATTGGTTCCATGCAGACCAACAAAGGTAAATATAGAAACTAAAAAAAAAGACAGACAACCTGCTGCATGCAGTTAGAGGAAGTGACCTGGGCTGACGAACCAACTATTTTTCTCGTTTTATCTCAATGCAGAGATCTGGAAGCAAGGTACAACGCTTGTTAGCCAATACGGAAATTCGTCTGATTGATTTTGGCTCTGCGACATTTGAGCACGACTACCATTCATCGGTGGTATCTACAAGGCATTACCGAGCACCAGAGATTATATTAGGTAGGAGACTCTTTTCCAATATGCAGGCTATGTATCTTTTGGTACGTAAAACTCATGTTATCGTTTGATCAGGTATGGGCTGGTCCTATCCATGTGACATTTGGTCCATCGGCTGTATCTTGGTAGAATTCTTTACTGGTGATGCTTTATTCCAAACACATGACAATCTGGAGCATCTGGCTATGATGGAGGTTGTTTTGGGTAAGATTCCGGATAGAACTTTACGACAAGCGAGGTAAGGATGATTTTCAGATCGCGGTTATCTGGTGATCACCGGCCACTATTCATCTGACCATTTTTGTTGTCGATGTTAGCAGACATACGCAAAAGTATTTCGAAGGAGGACGACTAAACTATCCTAACGAAGAGACAACAAAGCAGAGTCGCAAATACGTTAAAGCGATGAGACCTTTACAGGTAGTGTATTGAATCATAACAAATACTACGCAATTTTAGCGCTGACCTTGGTGTATTACATTCGTTTCAATAGGAAATTATACAACCATCCACTAACGTCAATCGACATCTTCTTGGACTACTTCAAAAGCTGCTAATGTATGATCCAGCAGACAGGATATCCGCTCAGGAAGCTCTGAAGCACCCTTTTTTCCACATACAGTTGGATGAAAGCGGAAGAGAGATCGTTCATTAAGTGGTGTCAGCAAGGCGCACCGCTTGTCACAATGGCATACTCAAGATGTGCCACGTTGCCTATTGAGACTTGTACTGTCTATCGCTACTCAATTACAAGTGGCTACCTTTCTTTGTCTTTATTTTCCGGCGCTCCTTGTTTTAGCAGCCCTTCTTTCGTTTACTCATTGCCACATCAACATTTGTTCTATCTTTCAGTGCTTATCTCCCCATTTCCGATTTTACATACTTGCTTTATGATAGATAGGATTCCCGGATATCCATACACAAAAGACTACTTGGTCAATCAAAAATGTAATATACCAAAGTGAAAACTCTTCCTTATTAAGATCATTAAAGAATCATATTCTAGACGGTGTGTCATGTATGTTTACGATAAGAGCGAGCGAGGCTATAGAAATAAGATGGTTACCAATGCCTTTTTATCAATTGTTAATTTCCCTTTACTACTTATTAATTTTACTCAAAGAAATGTACAGTATGTATCATCCACCCATGTTGTTCACCACACAGAACATAAAAATTACAAAACGAATGGTTTGCGGAGCTGGCCACACCATCAACTCGAATTGTATGAAAATTTTCAAAGTGCGAATTTTATCATGTGACCTACAGGGATAAACTTCGTCGTTCTTTGCGATTATTTTTTCTCCCTCTTTTATCAAGCGTATAAGTCATGGTAGGCATACATGATCATAACTGAATACGATGTCCATCAATTGCATCTATGGATGTGATGATTGATGGATGGATGGATTGATGGATGACTTACTAGAACATCTCTTTTTTCAAATAACAGCCTTTCGTCAAGGAGCAGAAGAACAAGGGTGAGTTGAAATTACTATAATGCAAGAAAAAAAAAGTTTACATGAACCAAATACTCATACGCTTTGTCACCTTAGCCTACTTCAAGCGCTTCCAGGTCAAGTACAGAAGAAGAAGAGGTGAGCATTTAGTACTATAGTACTTTCTATTCATTCGCCATTGTGGCCGTTCGAATACAACCGTTGCAAAAGCCCTCAACGCAAACTTGAAAATGATGACACGGACAATACAAGGCATAGTTCAACTGACGTGGGCTTACTACCCAATGAATGTTGACCAAAATTTGTTCTTTCGCTCCTATCTGATTTCACAATCCGGGCAAATCAATGAAACTTTTTGACATTTTGTTAAAAAGCAGTTTTTTAACCCGCCTACCTTTTCTTCTTTTTCAGAGGGTAAGACCGACTACTACGCTCGCAAGCGTCTTGTCGTTCAAGCCAAGAACAAGTACAACTCTCCCAAGTACAGATTGGTCGTCCGTTTCACCAACAGAGACATCATCTGCCAGGTCGTCTATGCCAAGCTCCAGGGCGATCACGTTCTTACTGCTGCCTATGCCCACGAACTTCCCCGCTACGGTGTCAAGGGTGGTTTGACCAACTGGGCCGCTGCCTACGCTACTGGTCTTCTTGTCGCTCGCCGCACTCTCGCCAAGCTCGGTCTTGATGAGAAGTACGAGGGTGTCACTGAGCCCGATGGTACCGTCTCCATGACTGAGGCTATCGAGGACGGTCCCCGTCCCTTCAAGGCTTTCCTTGATGTTGGTCTCAAGCGTACCTCCACTGGTTCCCGTCTTTTCGGTGCCGTCAAGGGTGCTTCCGATGGTGGTATCTACATTCCCCACGGTGAGAACCGTTTCCCCGGTTTCGACATTGAGAGCAAGTCCCTCGATGCTGAACTCCTCCGCAACTACATCTACGGTATCCACGTCGCTGAGTACATGGAGTACCTCCAAGACGAAGATGAGGAGCGCTACAGAAAGCAATTCGCTACCTTCATCGCTGGAGGTATCACCTCTGATGAAGTTGAGGATATGTACACTGAGGCCCACGCTGCCATCCGTGAGGACCCCAGCGCCAAGCCCACCGAGAAGAAGAAGCCCGCTGCTGGCGAGAAGGTCAAGTCCTACAAGAAGCAGCGTCTCAACAAGAAGCAACGCGACAACAAGGTTCTCCAGAAGAAGCTTGCTTGGGAGAAGAAGAACCTCGATTAAGTGGTTTTTGTTTCCTCTTCTGCTCAAAACTGTTTATTTCAGTAAAATTGCATGTTAAAAATAATTTTACAACGATAATATTGGGATGTATCAATTGTGTTGGAGTGAGTTATGTGATTGTGTGTTCAGTCCTGCACCGCGGACTGCTATGGTGGTTGCTCCGCAGCCCTCGTTTACTTCAAGCACATATTGATGATTACACGAAGGTTCTGACATAAAGCGAAACAGAGCCCTAGCTCTTCTACAAATAAGATGTTTGACTCAATGTATGCTTGCTCTCTTACCTAAAAAAAAAAAAAAAAGTAGAGTCTCTATCATGGCAGTAGGACAATTGTCTTTGTCTAAATGTTATTCAAGCTGTTGATCGGAATAGAACGACGAAAATTTTGCTCGTACAATTTTTGCAGACGTCCCGCTGCTTTGCTACCTACCGCCATAGTTATCTAACAGCTCATTTGAAGCCAACAGCTTTCACGGTTCAGTATCTTGTTAAGGTTTCGTTCAAGCATATGGATATTTAGTGGCAAAGCTTGTACGATAGGGACTGTTGCAATACTGCATCGAGACCTAAGAAGAAGAAACGTGACTTGTACCTTTGTTCACAAAAATAATAGGGAACGCGAAAATGCTGAAATTTTTCCCTACGCGCTCTTTCTGCTTTGGTAGAATCGATTGTCATTTCCCATTGCAATGCTTTTATCCAAGCGTAACCGTAACGATAATACGTCAGGTATGTATTTCAAATGTCTGACGCCTTACCTTGTTTACCTACGTTAAGCTAACTCAATCCATCAAACAGGTCGACAGACTAAGCGTCACTCTCCTAGCCCTGGTGGCACAGATGAGAATCAGCCAACATCCTCCAACGAAAATGACGAGAATGCATCCGCCTTCAAGACACCTGAAAATCAAAGAATCAAAAGCTTCCAACAGGGTAGCTTGACTCCTGTTAGAAGTTTAGCTAAATCTCTAGAGGCAGCTGCTGGTAAGTTCACGTTCGATATTAGAGAAAGCTTTATGCCTTTGGCCACCTCTTAATGTCTAACTCGTGCTGCATTACAGTAACCTCACCTGGTTCAGCTAAAAAATCCACTTCAACTAAATTGATGGATAAGTCGGTCCTAGCGAAACAATCAGACACATCAGTGGATAACTTGCTTCAAGATGCAAAAGCCCTATTCCGCCGAACTGCTGTACCTACTCGATTGGTAGGACGATCGCAAGAGAAAGAAGTCATTATTGAGTTCCTTGAGAAGCACGTTTTGAAAAACACATCAGGCTGCCTTTATATTTCTGGCTCTCCCGGAACAGGAAAAAGTGCTATGCTTCGCGAAATAATGGCTGATATGGAACCCAAGTACGAAGATATCACTACCCATACTGTAAAGGTCTGCTCCATCAACTGTATGAGCATAAAAGAACCCAAGGCAATCTACTCCAAACTGGTTTCTGAACTCAAGGGTCCTCGAACACCAGTGGAAAGCGATGTCATCAAGCAAGCAGAAAAGCTTTTAAATGGCAAAACCAAAGCAATGCAGTAAGTAGGACTAAATGTTATTCACCCCTTGCAAAATCCTGGCTAACCTCTACAATTAGTGTTGTCATCCTTGACGAAATCGACCATCTTCTTACCAAAGAACAAGATGTGTTGTATAAAATCTTTGAATGGGCTTCCATACCTACTTCACGGCTTGTTTTGATCGGCATAGCTAATGCTCTAGATTTAACCGACAGACTACTCCCAAGATTGCGTGCCAAAAACTGTAAGTCTGATTTGCACTTTCGCAACATAGGAAATGACATGAAGCATCATTATCTTACCACTCTGTTTTTTAGGTGAACCTCAGCTGGTGAACTTCAATCCATATAAAGTCGAAGAAATTTCGGCTATCATCAAGGATCGTCTGTCATCGTTGGGCAAGGACAAGGAGACACCAGTTATCATGCAACCTCAAGCAATTGAACTATGTGCTCGTAAAGTAGCAGCTGCTACAGGCGACCTTCGAAAGGCTCTAGATGTATGCCGTCAAGCAATAGAAATGGCGGAAATCGAAGCAAAGAAAAAGTCAATGGCAAACAAGCCAGCCGCGCTCGGCGAACACAAGAGCAACCAGCAGACCGGCATTTCCACTCCAACAAATACCGCTCCTAAAGTGACCATAGCCCATGTCGTCAAGGTGATGAATGTGGTCTTTGGTAGCCCCACAGTGCAAAAGATTAGACAATGCAACCTACAACAGAAAGTGGCACTTGGCGTCTTGGTCGTCATGAGAAGTACACCTTCAAAGCAAAAGGATCAAATGAGTTTGGGTCGATTCCAAGAACAGTACTCCGCTCTTTGCTCTGCTTCCGACTTTATCACTCCAGTGTCACGAACAGAGCTGAACGATCTGGTGTCCATGCTAGAAACAAGTGGTCTTTTGACCCTAGCTAAAGCGAAAGAAGAACGACAGCGCAAGATCAATCTTTCTGTACAAGATGCAGAAGTTCTTCAAGTCATTCGAGAAATTGCTGTGCTACAGTCCTGGATTGACGATGCTTTGAAAAAAGCAGAAGGCAAAAAGCTCCTTAAAAATAACACCAAGTAAATTGACCCATATACCAATCAATACCGTTCATCCATCGAATGGTGCTTTTCCATTCTTATTCCCTTCATGTCCTCCTCCCTTTACTATAACTTCATTCTCTCCACACCCTTCAGCTTTATAAGTAGCCACTTTGAGTTTTGTAATATATACACTTGCTTTTCCATGACTTGATTTTATTTCGGAATTTGTGTTGAAATTCGCTTCAGTTTGGGATATCTGTTGTGACTTTGGCATGGCTTTATTCGCTGATGGCTGGTTCTATTATTCATGTATTTTAGCATAACGCCAGAGCATGATTTTGACGGGATGTGACAAGCTGGTGGCTAACACACCGGTACTAATGTCAAAATTGCTCATTCCGTACAAAGAGGTTTTCTGCAGCACCTAGGTCACATATCCCTTCCTCAACTCTAACGAGCAATTTAAACAGACTCATAGCTTTTAAGATATGTTTTATAATGTGATCTCATGATGTGCTAGTGCATTAACATTGCGATTATTTATTTTAGATGCAAAGTCTTGATGAATTGCCAAAATGAAATAAAAAAAAACAAGTATAAATCCGATGTCAACAATTGATAGCACCCTACATTCACATATGAAGGTATCCTTTTCCTCAATGAATAGATGATGACCTCTATTTTAATCAAGCATACATGCCTCCTACACTTTTTCATTATACATATAGATGCCTTTTTCTTTTCTTTTCCTTTTTTATTTAATTTTATTAAAATGTGATTATCAACTAGTCGAGGCAGCATCTCGTTTGATTTGTTTCGTTTCGTTTCGTTTCGATCTGAAAATTGTTATGATTAAAATAATGTAATTTAAAATCCCATGACCGTGGCATAAACCAATGAAGCTACCCTTAGGTGACAAAGTGATGCTATGATGTGAACAAGTCTGTACTAATCAGATTCTGTATGGTCAATTTTTAAAAATTGACAGCTCAAGTAATTTAGTGACCGCAGCTTATCAAATAATAGAAGAACATAAATCTAGTTGCTTTTATCAAATACCAATGATGCAGTTTCAAAGACTCGTTATAAAGTCAAGGATAAAAGTACGTAAAGCCTTACAAGCATACTCAGAACATCGACGCGAGCCCGTTACTTTCTGCCCAATCAAATGCGTTAGAGCAGAGGTCTCATTGGTTTAAATGCTTATGCAAAAAGGCACATGGTACCCACTGGCACCACTATTTCCTGCTTATTTCATTAAATTTGATCTGCGTTGTTTTTTCTTGGTCTCGGACACTCTAGTATTTACTGGTTATAACAAGACGGTCTACCCGTTCAACTTACTCAGCTTTTGCCGTAACGCAGAGCTGTGCACCACGTCAGGATTGTGTGTACGACCTTCTTAGGTGGCTATGTGAGCTATCCCATTGGTTACTGAACCTCTGTGACTTGTAATTGAGCGAATCGGTTGTTTAATTGGCTACGGAGATGAAATACTAGCATCTGTGACCACTAGATTTTTATTTCAACACTTTGATTGGCTGAAACTGGTGCCGTAGTCTCCTAAAAAATTTTCGGTTGTGGTTTGCGAAAAGTATAAAAGAGCGCGGTCCTTGCGAACTCCAAGCAAAACATTCCTCTCAGGCCTTTTGGCTAAGATCAAGTGTAGTATCTGTTCTTTATAGTTTAACAACTATAACTATGCTCAATGAGCATTTTTGTTGTTAATCCAATTTTTGCCCTTCGCTGGGTGCTCGGAAGCTTGCTTCCACACCCGGCACTGGTGTCGCTTCCCTTACACTTCAGGAGGCTTGACGCCGAGGTTCTCACCTCACCATCTCTTATAAAAAAATGAATATAAAAAATACTTTCTCAGTACTCTTACTGACTCGAGTTGCTGACTACGCAGTAAAAATCGCGTTCATGGGCCGCTTCACAGTGCCATGTCTGCGATGACCGCGTTTTGGCCGCAGTCAGCTCTTGTGTTTTGAGATGTTGTCTGAGATCTTTCAGGATCACCATCCGTTACTCCAAAATGAAGCAAGATCAATTGGCTAGACAGTTCCGAGACGCGTTTCGTTCTTTTGTGATAGTGCAATGTAGTTTATTCTACCATGGCATACTCTTTAAATCCTTCTAAACGTTCGTGCAAAGTAAATAAATTTATTCAATTTTTTTTACGGCCACGGAATGGGTATCTATACTGCGTGCGTTCTTATGTACAATTGCAAAATTAATGACGGTATATGATCACATATTTCAAAGGTAACTCTACTATGCCCAACCTATGCTGCTCCTTGGAAATCGTTTATGAGAGCTTCCACAGCATCAATGGTACCAAAAATGAGACCAACCTAGAAAGAAAAATTGCCGTGTGAATATTGTGTCGTCATTACCACCAAATATCAACCTCAGAAAACACTTACGATTCCAAGCAGTACAGTCAAAGCGTACCAAGCTAGCATGTAGATGGGTTTGTTTCGCACGCCTGTAAGCTTCAGGTAGCACACAACTGGAAAGGTAAAAACCAACAGACAGTTGGAAAACGAACCAATAAGGGACAATAGATCTCCGAAATATGGGACGTAGATAGCCACTATGCAAACGACCACCATGATGATAATACGAAGTGAAGCACGCATTAAAAACTCTCCAGTCTTCCCTCGTCGCTCTTGTGTAATGCCGAACATAGCTTCGAAATCCAATGATAGAGATGTGAGAAGGATTGGAACCGCCAGTAAAACGTGTATGGTGATGATGATTTGAGACGCCATTCGCGCGCCTTGGTTTGCCAAATTATTGTAAACTGGCGATAATGCGGTGGTTCCGTAAATATAATACCCGGGCACAGCTGTTAGGAAGTACATGACGGAACAACTGGACAAACCCAGAGTGACGGCTTTGTTCCATTGTTGTGGGTTTTTCATGGATCGTTCGACATTGGGATAGACCATATTACCAGCTAAAATTAGGTTGCATGGCATGCATTAGCCCGCGGTTCTCACGAAATGAACCCCCTTGCATACCCCAAACTTACCGAAACTAAATGCGATGGTGGATAAAGCAACTGGGAATTGGTCCCAAATAACGTCATCGTGTTCAATAGGTCCAGTTGGCAGATTTTGGAGCGAACTGATGAGCACGATGAGCACAACAGCAAGAGTCGCAAAAGCGCCTATGGCCGACGTGAACGCTACTTCCTTCATTGACTTAATGAAAATAAAAGGTATGGCCACCACGACGCCCGGTATGATTACCCACTGTGGGAATGTAGAGATGACTGGGGTTAATATGCAAACATGAACCATGATATTCATTCTCCGAGTCTAGGCAGATCATCTTACCAGAGCAAGCGTCAATTCTCCCGGAGTACCTTTGAGTAGTGAATGTAGGTTCTGGCCGATCAAAACGTAATACAGAATGGAGGCTCCAATCAGGATAATGAAGTTAAAGAAGAAAATCACCCATCCGCCAATGGGACCAAAAGCCACTGTTCCAATGTCCTTGTAGGAAGACAAACGTTTCGGGCCACCTGCATACAGACATTTAACAAGCAGGCGTCCTGTCGTAATAGACATGAACCAGGCCAGGAAGAGAATCAGAATTCCGATCCAACCGCCTTGTTTCAATGCATATGGGAGGGACAGCGCTCCAGTGCCTACAGCAACGGGACATTTGCAAACTCAGTTACATAGGAACAACACAAAAAGGCGTGGGAGTTTTCATCAACACTTACCCGCTACTATGCAGACAATGTTCACATAGGCATGCCATAACGAACCTCCATGGCTTCTTGTGGCTGTTGGATCGTCAACATTGTCGAAAGAGGAAGAATCTTAAATGCGGGAATGAGTGACGGGAATATTTTTTTTTGGTATGACTTTGAACACCGTGTGGGCTTGAAAGAGAGTTTACCGCTGATAATGTCGACATCCACTGTTGGATTAGAATTTACGTCCTTTGGCATCATAAGGAATGAGCAGAGAAAGAAAAAATCTTATTTCTATACCTGAGTTCCTGTTTCTCAACTTAATGTACTAATGTTGAAACCAGACCACTATAGCCGAAATGCTGACTCCTATTGGGTGTGTCGACCAACTGAGTGGCAAGCTTTTGGTTCTACAATTCTTTCTTATGGATATGACCTTCTTCCGGAGTACAATTTTTTTTTTGACACGGAACTGCGGATGAACAGATTACACTCCAAATAAAGAAAAGCTGAATCTTATCATTCTTCTGATCTATCTACCAGCTTGGACAGCGTACTTTGGATTTTCCCTGGCGTAGAATAGCTGCTTCGAACGAAGAATACTACGAGACCCGTTAGCATAGTGGCTATTCTGATATCGGGGAGCTATCCGAGTTCCGGCGCCATCTTGACAAATTTTGTAAAAAGGTACGACAAATTGATACAAATTGTAGTTTCAAATTGTAAGTCGTGCGAAACGTGAGACGAAACTGTCATCGACCCTAAAATTTTTTCTTTGTTCTTCCCGCTAATTAAGGGCTATGCTACGCACTAATTTTTTTTTAAAATTCGCTGTATGAACATGGGGTCCTTCTGACGTGACCTTACTGATCGTAGTTTCCTTCTCGTTTCCATACTATCCAGTCGCCAATTGAAAATTTTAAATGCATACCATGTCTAATGTTTGATACAGCGAGACCAATCACCGTTTCTCGGAGATTGGCGAAAACCACTAAGAATCTCCCAAAGGCTATACTCACACATGACTCAGTATGCGAGAACCCTCTCTCCGCTTTCTTATAAAAGCTGCCGAATTTTAAGACCCCCATGTTAACCTCCAACCTAATCATGGAATCCAAGTACGACGAAAAGCATACTGTCGATCAGTATGAGTCTCAAGACATCAAGAGTGGTGAGCACAGACTTCATGCATACAATCGATCCACTCTCCAAAGTTATTAAGACATTGTTTATAGATACCGAATCTGGTATTGCTCACGTCGAAGAATATCAGCAGGCCGCCGCACGACACGGTTCTGGATCAAGCTTCTTAGCTTATTTCAACGTTGTCTGCGTCATTGCTGGTACTGGCACTCTTGGATTACCAGCTGCTCTTAAACTTGGTGGCTGGATCGGTCTACTTATTCTTTTTCTGTCTTGGACCATGTCAATTGTAAGTGCAGGCTAAGACACAAAAAAATTTTTTTTTATTGGTTCATGTTCCTAACTGATTGTTTAATAGTACACTGGATGTATTTTGATCAAGTGTCTGTATGCTTTCCAAGGCCGTCGCCTGGAAAGTTACAAAGAAATCGCGACATCAGCATTTGGAAAAATTGGTGGATGGATTATCTTTTTCTTCAACGCTTGGATTCTTCTTGGAGCACCTATTCTCTATGTCCTTTTGGCTGGCCAAAACCTTCACTCACTGCTCATCAATACCTCAGCGGCTTTGACGGATGTACAATGGAAAATCATTGTTGCTTGCATAATTCTCATTCCCTTTGTTGTCGTCAAGAACATGAAGGAAGTGGCCTTCATGTCAGCTGTCGGAGCCTTGGCTACCGTTATCTGTGTCTTCATTGTGTTGATCGTCTCCCTCGAAGACAAGCCTAATTACCCCAATGTTGAGCACGATATCGTCATCTGGAATCAATTCCCCATTGCCCTCAGCACCATCTCCTTCTCTTTCGGTGGTAACGTTGTCTATCCTCACGTTGAAGCAAGTATGTCCAAGCCAAGACAATGGAAATGGGTCGTCACAGCTGGTTTGTCAACTTGTGCTGCCCTCTACTTTATGACCGCTGTTCCTGGATACTATGTTTACGGTGTGGAGACTCTCAGTCCTATTTACGAAAATCTTCCTGAAGGTGCCGCTAAGATCACAGCTATGGTCGTCATCACTATCCACGTTATTCTCGCCGCTCCCATCCTGATTACATCATTCGCCCTTGATATGGAATACATTCTTGGCATTACTGTGGAGCAACGTGGAAAAACCCTCGAGTTTGTTTTCCGTACCATCAATCGTGTTGTTATTTTGGCCTTTGTCACTGTCGTTGCTTGTGTCGTACCATACTTCAGTGACATTATGTCTTTGGTTGGATCCTTCAGCAACTGCATGTGCACATTCGCTTTCCCTGTCCTTTGCTACTTGAAGCTCACTGGTATTCGCAATAAGCCATTCTATGAATTGGCTTGGTGCGCTCTTTGCGTCTTGCTTGGTCTCGTTGGTCTGATCTTTGGTACCATTGACTCTGTGAAGGCATTAATCGCCGATTTCACTGGTTAAACTTTTTTAGAGCCCTCCCATACCTTCCCCACCCTCTTGTACATTTTTACCCATTGTAATTTTGCTGCTGTATATTATCTTTTGTCGTGAATCTTCATAAACAAATCCATCGGGCACCAACCCCGATCACTTTGACCTGCAGTTTTGTTTGACTATAAAACTACATGTTGACAATTCTAGGTTTAAGCAAACACTGGTGATGGTACAAACCAAAGTAACGATCGACAGTGTATCCATCGTGAAAAGCTCGATTCGATCAAAAGGTGGACCGCCTAATATAAAAAGTCCGATGGATCGAAGACGCGTGCAAGGTCTGTCGCCAAAAAAAAAACGTGAGGAAATAATTTTTTTTTCAAGGTTTTCTCGCGTCGTGTCTACCCCTCACCCATCTAATGACAGCTCCTAAATTACATAGACACTTGGCATCATACCACAAGTTTTCCGAGATTGAACGGCAACAGATCCAAAAAGATCTTTTAAAATGGTTTGACCTCGAAAAACGTACACATTTACCATGGCGAAAAGAATTTGATCACACATTGGATACAGAACAGCGTGCTCAACGTGCCTACGAAGGTATGACTCTGTGATGGTCATTGCAGCATCTACCAGTTTATATATGAATATTTTGTCTCATGATTCTTTACCTTTTAGTGTGGGTTAGCGAAATTATGTTACAGCAAACTCAGGTCGCAACAACTATTCCCTACTATAATAAGTGGATGACCAGCTTCCCCACTATACACGACCTTGCCAAAGCCGACATTGAGACGGTGAATAAACTCTGGGCCGGTCTTGGCTACTACTCGAGAGCAAGGCGACTCTGGGAAGGTGCTCAAAAGATATGCAGAGAAAGCAACGGAGTGCTTCCAAACACGGCCAAAAGTCTGGAAGAGAAAGTCCCTGGTGTAGGAAGATATACAGCTGGTGCAATTGCCTCCATTGCATGGGGACAGCAAGCTGGAACTGTTGATGGTAACATTGCGCGCGTATATAGTCGATTGCGTGCTATTGGAGGAGATCCAAAGGGCAAAAGTACTATAGAGTTACAATGGTAAGTATGCAGGTGTTAAGTCAGATTTCCTTGGCGTAAATTTCTGGTTCCAGATTGCTCAACTTCCTATGTGCTGCAGGGCTCTTGCAGATTATATGGTACCGCAAGATCGACCAGGTGATTTTAATCAAGCATTGATGGAACTAGGAGCAACCTTATGTACACCTCAAAAGCCAGACTGCAAACATTGTCCAGTGCAGAAGAATTGCAGAGCTTTGGAGGAGGTCAAATCAACTCAGAAACTACTGAGCTCTGAAAAACGGGTAAAGGATGAATCCGATGACGAAAGTGAAGTTGATATTGAAGGTAGTGTATCCCAGTGTATGATCGAACGAACGACGGGATTTCTCATTCCATAATCATCTATTTTCAGAATGTCACGTTTGTCTTCCGAACGACATTGATGATGAACTCAGCGTTACTAGGTAAGAACCACTTGGTATCAGAATGGTTGCATTTTATGTAAGCTTATATTTTCTTTATACGTTTGACAGATATCCTAGAAAAGCTGTAAAAAAGGCTCCAAGGGAAGAAGGTACGAAGAACTTGTAGCTTATAGCTTGTATTGGACTGACCAGCATACTAACCTTCTCTGCCACAGAATGTGCTGTATGCATAGTAGAGAAAAAACCTGCGGACTCTAAAAACCCATTGGACTCCAAATTTTTGCTGGTGAAACGACCCAAGACAGGTAAGGGAAGATAGAATAAAGTAACATGGGTCAAACAATGATCTGAGACACCAATCGATTTCCTTCAAGGGTTACTTGCTGGTCTGTGGGAATTCCCCTCCGTTGAGCTTAACGAAACATGTGTTGCTGAGAAGAAATCGGCGAAGAAGAGAAAACCGTCCAAAGCAGTTGTGTCCAGCGATGATAGCGAAGATGATTATGTTCCCGAGCAGAAATCAGGGTCTCCCACATTAAAGCTTCTTGCTAAGGACAGTGATGAAAGACAGGCCATCATGGGCAAGCACCTGATGACTACGTTTGATATTGATTTAGACAGTTGCAATATCTTGCGCCGAACAGAGCTCGGCAGCGTTGTGCATCTGTTTTCCCACATCCGGAAAACATACCACATGGAATACCTGGAAATTGATGCCGACAGTATCGATGATGTGGAAGATACAGATCAAGTTCAGTGGATAAGCCGAGACGAACTCGCCCTTGCAGCCATCCCTACAGGACTGAAGAAAGGCATCAAGCTCATGGAGAATTTAGCGACTGTAGGCGCAGAGAAGAAGATCAAGGTGAGAAAATGTACCTGTGAACACCACGCACGCATCGACGAAACATGTTGCTGATAAGTTTCACATATCAATTCTAGTCAACTCCACGAAAGAAGGTTAAAATTGAAAAAGATCCTGCTGCTGGCACCAGAAATCTACTGTCATTCTTCCAACAGAAGCCCAAATAAACGCATGATTCGTACTACTGTTTGTACTAACACCATCAGGAATTCTGAATGTTCGATGTACTGTACCTTTTCCTTGGCAGGCGTTAGCTTTGTGTTTGGCATTGCATTGGATCACCGACGATCAATCCAATGTTTGACAGGTGCAGCAGTGGGCATCGCTATTGGAAGAATGGCGATTATGTGAGAAATAGAAGTGCAAGGAAGTTTTTTGTTTTTGAACGACTTTTATATACATTTATAAGGATCAAAATATAGAACAGATGTAATCGTGGTACTGAATCATTGTAAATTAAATCCGGTCTATAATGAACTATATACTGACGAGAGTGTGTTTTTCGAATTTCATGTTGGAGCAAGCCGTTTGTTCAATACGGTTGGGCTGAGGAAGGACGCTTGAAATATATGACGAGAATTTTGATATGGCAGAGTATTTGCGGAAAAGTGGATTGAATAGTTACAAAATAGACAGGTGGATGTTCTTCGGCACGTGTTGTGTCTTCCTTAGGATTGGTAAGTTTGGAAAGCTTGAGCTGGGAACTCCAAATTAGTGGGGCTGAGCGATTGATTGGAGGGAAGTGGCATGTTCATAGGACTTGGAGATCTTGACCAGTTCTGAATGCTTTGTGGGCTAAGAGCATTTTGATCGAGCATCGCATTTTCGCTGGAAAGACGACGCATGTCTTGTTGTCCGTAAGTGGGGGTTAAATATGGAGATGTCATGGATTGACCACCAGTTGGTCGAAGAAGTGGCGATGGGGTTCGTTGGTTACTCATGTTTTGATCAGAAGAGGAGTGTCCGTGTGAAATAGGACTACGGGATCGGCGATCAAGAGAGTGTGCGGTTGACGTATATTTTGCGACAATTTTCTTAAGTGCGTAAGGTAGTACCTTCCATTTGAAAACTTTGACATCTTTTTCGATGTTTCGAGGCTTAGGATTGGGGAATCCCATAATCAATTTGAAGTACTCAACGCTGTCGGGCTTTGACTTGCTGACGGTGGCAGGGCGGAATCCTTCCAGATTGCGTCTGATTCGATTCTTTTCTTCAATGCTGAATCGTACACCAATGAGACTTTCCAAAAGGTAAATGCAATCAACTGATGTAATGTAGCATTCGTTCTTCTGCTCCCAAAAGATGCAAGAAACAACTATGCTTCCTTGCAAGCGGCTGTTTTGAGAGACTGGTTGGAAACCGCATGTGATGTGGGAGCCATCCTGTGTTCGCCAGAATTGCACTAAACGTCTACGGTTGGTCCATTCCTCCTGAGTCCAACCATGTGCCATGGTATTGAGATCTCCACCAATGTCAAGATTGATCTTTTCAGCATTGTAAACGGGGGATTTTGGTTTACTTGGATTTGTCCTATAAGGATAGCCATTTTGTTGTTGCTGCTGTTGGTAGACATCCGAGTTGTTTCCAAAGATGGACATGTCATTGATGCCTGACAGAGTGACATTAGACAAGTCATTGTTGCTTTGGTTCATTAAGTCCATAGGTGATTGATTGAACTGGTCATAATTCATGGATTGGCCCGTCTGGGTTTGATCATTGGGCCGAAGGGAAAAGTCTAGAATGCCAAAGTGTTAAGAAATCTTTGTTTTCCCGAGAATTTTTTAAAAAAAATAAATGTTCTTACCATCAGATACTGGTGTGTATGGTTGATACAGCGTAGGCATTTGTTCACTCTGATATGATGGATTACCCATATTTTGATACATTTGAGGATACGATGGGTTGGTGTAAACATCAACTGTGCAATAAATGCGTTTAGTTCACTACACATGGCATATACGTCATATGTGGTATGCAAATAACATACCTTTGGGAAGGGATCCGGTACTATTGCGCTTGTTAATATTATCTTGAGATTCTCTGTTGTTTCCATAGTTGAAAGATGAGCTTCTTCTTCTTTTATCTATAATTATGTGTTATTGACCTGGTGATATAGTAGGCAATTAATAATATATAAGCTAGGATAAATACCATTTGATACGTAGTTGAACTTTCCAACAGGCCAGGTTGTGATGGCCGCATTGCCTTTGTAAGCACAGACGGATACGGGTACGGAGTAGGTATTGCATTGCGTGAGTACATGGTTAGGTGCAGCAGCAACGAGGGTGTGTAAATTCATTGTTGACATCTGCTTGGTCTCAACGATGAAGCTGCCAAAAGCAATTTTGAAATTGGTGTCGGTCAAGGCGGATTGCACGATAACGGTAATCTCAGTGCCATCAGAACCAACAAGCGACGAGCATTGTACTACACTGCCCATGGGGTTCTTGTTATCAGAGATCAATATATCCCCATTCTTGGGTCGTGGCTCAAAGCCAGAGGCTAAACGTATTATTGGAGCTAAATGTCAAAAAGCGTTAAACTCTATCACGAAAAGGAAAGTAGTACGTTGCACTACGTACCATTGTCTTCCATATTGGACTTTGTGTGAATTGTTGGATTGTGAGAAGCGTAAATATAAACAATATGCAGTGAAAGAGATTGCTTGAGAAGCACAAGAGGCAAACTTATACATTGAATAATCGGGAGCTTAAAGTCTAGAAGAAAAGTCAGGTGAAGGGCAAGAAAAAAATTAATGCCCGACAACTATCTTGTCAATGGGGAAGTTTCAAATGCCATCGGGTGAAAACCTGTCACATCGCATACGCATGGCTATCCAAAATGGAAGCTATCACGCATTTAGATTTCTATGAATCAGAGCGTAAACAATGTGTGCAGATAACTTTTGCTTCCTCATTGACCTGCTTAGAGCCTTTGAGTCATTTCTGCTGACATGAAGGTGTTCTAATCCAAAAAAACAGATATCTCCTTTGGGAAATTTTTAAGAGCGTAGAACCTTCCGAGCGGCGATAGAAACTGCGATCAGGCCATGGTTAAGAAAAGCCCGTTCATTGTATTCTCTCGTGAGATATTGAAGATAACTGTCAGTTGTACCCGTGTAGTAAATATAGTATCCCCCGTGCCTGTACTCGGATTAACTATGTCTTGGCCTGTGTACCGATGCATTTCTTTTTCTCACTGAGCTGCGCAATAAATTTTGTGCCCTGTGGAAAAAGAAAAATGACGTTCTCCAACCTAACTGTACAAAAGGCTCAGTCAAATTGATCGCTACAACGAACGCCAACATATGATCCTATACGTGGGAAACAATTAACTGAATTTAATTGTTACAACAGACGAGATCTAGTACGCAAGGTGCGTAGTTCTGAGCGAGCATCTTTGAACAGTGATCCAGTCTGTTCCCTAAAATTGGAAATTCTTGGAAATGACGGAGTGGGACGGTTACCCGTGGGCGCGGGCTCTGCGTAAAAAACTCAACCGGTGCATTGACAGTTATCATGCAATTCTTTATGCGAACGAACAAATTTACAAGCCCGCTAAAATTCATAAGCAGATCATGGGAAAGAAGTCCATGTTATACTATTGTATTATTGTCATATCATGCTGAAAAAACTAAGAACGGGGGTATAAAGAAAAAATATGTACATCGAAGAAGTGGCAGTAAAAGCAATATAAGAAAATACATTTCCATAGTCATATCCAGAATGATCTTATTGTAATTTAACATCTTGATAGAAATGAAACGGGCCCTCATAGTCTTGCTGATATAGCAAGACTAAACATATGTAAAGACGACAACCGTTTTAGTTGGCTTGTGTAAAAAGAAAAGTGGTAGGTCGGCGGGTGGCATAAATGGTGTGTATGAAAGATGGTAAGGTGAGTGTTGATTTTTTTAACTTTGGGATGTTTGTTGGTTGAGTGTAAGAGTCGGCTTTAGCATATGATAGATTTTTTTTTTTGGGTTTTCAGTGATCGATATCCTCTAGATCTCCAAGGAAATCCAGGTCTTTTCCAACGTTAAGAGTCTCACTAGATAGTGAATCTCCTACAGCGAACATGTCTATTGCTCCGTTCCCCCGTTCGAATTCATAGATCATGGCCAATAAGCAGTTTGAGTTGGATTCACTTTGCGTTAAAGATTCCTTTGTGCTGGGATTTTGCATGCAATCCGCAGCGCTACCTAGTGGCGATTCCATCGTAGGTGTGGTTCCATTGACACAATCATCGGCACAGGTATCATAGTTGGTAAACGTCTGTATTGTTAATAGATTAGTAAAGGTTGTCAATTTGAATGCAGCACCATATGCTTCTTTTTTTCTCTCTCTTACCTGAACAATACACAAGTTGCTAATAGCAATATCAACCTCATCCCAGGAATGCAGTGTTCTGATTCCTTTCATGAAGGCATCAAAGAATTGGTTGACATATTCAAAGCTGTACATGTATTTTCCCTCGTTTACCCAGAGAGCTTGCTGGGTTTCCTTAGCTTCCAAAACAACGTTTCCGAATGAGTAAATGACCGTCGTACATTCGACTGCTCGTCGTTCTTTTGATTCCAAGACAGATGTATTATTGAATACAAAATCGGATATATTGAGATTCAGATCCAGCTTCATCTGAAGCAGAAAACCAGTTAGTTACATGGAATACCTGGGTATCGTTTGATGTTTGGATGTTTACCTTTGCAAGTAGGGTAATATTAGGCTGATATTTTTGGAGAGTTTCCACCTGAGGGCATTTATCGGCTGAAACGGATCGTATGTCGATAGTTGGAAGGCAGTTTGGATAACAATGGGGCAATTGTGCCAAAGTGTGAGAGACCGTAATCTATTTATGGAAGGTCAGTATATGCCAATGCCCGTTGTTAGACAGCAGCAGAAACAAAAACATACCGATGGATCGTAAGGAAGGGAATATTCAAGGTATAGACAAAAGTAATTTGGCCATAAAGGAAACTTAGTCGCCTCCATGTCGGTTGCCATGTCGTTAACACAATCGTCTTCCACCTTCTTTTTGTAGGATTTTCGTTTAGCGATGGTGATGGATGATTTTCTTGGTATTCCAGTAGAGCAAGGTTTTTTGATTTTGCGTGCGTTATTTTGGAAGTTGAGGCTCATGAAATCGGTCATGGAACAAGGTGTTTGTGGTAATATAGCTGAAGGAGATATCGAGGAAGGAAGACCATTTGCCATCACAAAGTTGGACATCAAATCATTTGGCAAGCCAAAAGACGACATAGCTGAGTTGGCGGCGACATATCCATTGTATGGAATCTTGTATTGGTGCTTTCCGTTGTTATCTAAGAGCAAAGGTTCCTGCTTCATGGCGGCCATTTGGTGGTTGATTCTTTCAAACATTTGGCCTTTGAGATCGAACATTGGGGCTGCTGAATGATGAGCATTGGGATCGCCATACATGAATTCAAAGACATAGTCGTTAGGAGATGGAGAGGAATCAATAGAAGAGTCGTCTGAGGTGAAAGATTCTGATGATAAATAGCCAGTTGCGTTTTCAGGTGCTGGAGTAAAATCATCTTCAATCTCAACAGAATCTGTCAATAGGCGCATAACTAAAGGTAATTGACAGATCATTTTAGTCACATGGTTCTGATAGTAGCACTTTTGATATGAAGAAGAGCAGCTTACAGTTGGAGTCTCCCTTTCGCGTATTTTTGAGCACTTGAATGTGAGAGGAAACCTGCTTTCTTGTTCTGATTTTGTTTGTTTTGCGAAATATATAATCCGATATTAACTCATTACGGCCTATGTAGGAAGTACAAAAGAAGTAAGTAAGCCAAGCTTCTTTTGACATAAAACATGGATGGTGGATCTACCTACCACATGGTTTTCCATTGACGAGAATCTTTCTTCTTCCCAATTTTGGAATCGCTTCAAGCGCTGCAAACATGACGATTGATTAGTGTGCTGTAAGAAGGATGATGATGAATCAACACATCACATAAAATATCAAACCTTCAACAAAAGCTGCTTCAACATCTTGTGGCCAAACCTAGATGCATTTTTTTTTTGTTTTTGTTCTTTTTGTTAATCAAATTGCATTATATATCGGTATTCAATCTGTTTCCTTGCTAACCTCCTCTTTTTCTCTGTTTCCGTTGGTCATAATGGTTTCATTATTGGGACCACTGTCTCTGCGGTTCTTAACCTTTTTTTCCTTTTGATTGATTTCCGATGAACCATAAGCTACCTGCTGCTGTTGTTGCTGATGTAGAGTATCGGTAGTTTCATCTTGAAAGAAAAATTCTTGTGCGCAGGCAAGCATGTCGTACTAGTCGTAAATTTATTTGAATCGGCTAGAAGTCGAGTGATGTTTAGGGCTTAGAAAATTAAAGATGGATGATTGAAGTGAACTCGATTATTAAGAAAGAAAAGTAGAGACATCCAAAGGACAGGTAGTGATATAAAGACCAAGAAAAAAAAATAACACACAGACCAACCGTTGCACGTTTGATCTCTATAGCAAAGACCCCTTGACCATATCTGGACATACAAGATAAAAGCACTTTCAATAACACTCATAACATAATAGAAAAAGACAAATTTGGGACGGAACCCAAATCAACAACAGTAATATAACCTCTAATTGAATGCCAATTGGTTCACTAGCAGGCAGTGACATGACCGAAATCAAGAACTCAGACTCTCGTACATCTCCTGGAACCCCCTCTCACTGAATTGAAATTAAAAAATAAAGAACAAGAAAAAAAATAGCAATAATGTCAAGCCCCAAAGCATCCTGATGCATAAATGTATTAAAAAACCGACCTTCTGTAGGATATAGGCTACCCCTGAATTCATTTCCATTATATTACAGACACTTTCCTTCACTACGCGCAACGGCAAGAATGTAGCATTACGAATTGGACTGTAGCTGAAAAATTTCTAGTGAACTCCGTGTAATCTTTCCATCTTCTATCATTGACTTTCATTCCCAAGCCCTTTCGATTATTATTTACTCTCGTAGCATGATCCCCCCTGCTCGCCAAGTTATCTGGCTCACTTTATCATCGAAAGATGTCGTAAGCGGTATACTATTTTGCTGACGACATCGGTCGTGGCCAGTAATGTGACCAAAGCCACCTCCTGAAAGGAATATTGTCCGTCCGCCCCGCCATGTCATTAACTGACGCTGTACGAAGGCGGGTGGAATAGGATGAGGTTAATTAATCCACTTAATACCACAGCAAACACGATTGGTAGTCTGATGCGCTTTTGATACTGAAATCGGGAGGAAAGTAATATATAAGGTTCTCTCTCGCTTCTCGTGGAGTAATAAGATATCATTCAATACAAATACGTTTAAATTACGTGTGGCAAGTCTTAAGTACTAGGGTTCACTCACTGTCACTGATATGTGAACAACTCTCTCATATTAACGCAAGACTAAGATCAGTTATGTAGGGACTATTGAAGACTAGAAAATTATAACAGCCACTTTATATTTTACTTGTACGATTGATGAACATTTTGTTGAGAATATCTGCCGTGGTAACCCATTTAGTATTACCACGACCTGGCCCTCAAGTTTGCAACATCGGTATAGCTTCAACCGCATAACTTACCATGTGCTAGAAAAACAAACACATTTAGCTTCTTCGATTTGGATTTTCAAAATATTATGTATTATTTTGCAGTGCTGCACATGAGAATAGGCAAAAGTGAGAAGGAAATGGCTAAATTTTTAGAGAACAGAAATCGCAGCAGCGAAAACCTGATCAGCCAGCCCGCCAGCCAAAAAAAATTCAGCCTGAGCTCGAAGCTTATGGGTCATATTTTTTTAACCTCTCATTATGACATCGTCGAACGAAGGATCCGATTTGTTCATAAGCTATGAGCAAGACTTTAGCACAATTTGCGATACCATTCGCAGCAAGATAGAGAAACAGATACCTAACCAAAGTGGAGGTTGTTATTTGACCCAAACGTAATTGCTTGGCGGACTTGACAAATGGCTAAACAATCCATTCACATGTAGAGCAGCGCAAGGCTACCGTACGTGCCGCTGAAAGAGAAATTGACGAAGCTGATGAAATTGTAAGATACATTTGACGAAGCTTAGAGTCTTCAACTGGAAATTAGGGCTAATTGATGCATCCTACAGATTGCCCAAATGGAGATGGAGATCCTCAATATCCCGACCGCCTCTCGCACACGTCTCCAAACCAAGTTGAGACTATTCAAGTCAGAATTTGAAAAGACCAAAAGAGATTTGGTATGTAATGTGATTAGAAACGTATTCAAATACTGCGGGTTATTATGTTAACCAATCTTTGGCTCAGCGACGTGCAACCGCTCAAATGCCGTCTTCTTCTAACAGGGAAGAGTTATTCGGTGGTTTGGAATCTGGTGATGGAGATTTGGATGCTTCTACTGTTGATCAACGTTCAAGATTGCTCACTGGAACTGATAGATTGGGTGAATCTAGCAGAAGATTGCAAGATAGTCATCGATTGGCGTTGGAGACCGAAAACGTGGGCATTAATATCTTGGGCACATTGAAGGGTCAGAGAGAGACTATCCTCCGATCAAGAGATACGGTATACATTTTCCCCATTTTGAATCTTTTACACCACTTTAAAATGACTGACCATGTGCATTCAATAGTTGACGGAAGCTGACTCCCATATTGATAAAGCAAGCAAGACTCTGAAGGGCATGGCTCGTCGGTAAGTAAACACCGCAGTTGACGAGGTAGTTTATCAAAGAATACCCACACGTTGCTAACTTCTTGACGTCAGCATGGCCACCAACAAAATGATTACAGTTGCCATCATCCTTGTTCTCATTGCACTCATTGTTCTCATTATCTGGAGCAAGTTCGGTTGAGCAACCTATATGCCGACGTTTACTATGAATTTCCTTTCCCAATTTGCTCAGCCTCACTACTAGCCATGTAATGTATGACATTCTTTATATTAATGAGAAGGTTGATTTTTTGACTATATCTATTGGAATGATGATGGTTTATTTGGACTTGTCTTTTGACGGGTTGTTATTTCGAAGGCTTGTTTTCTCAAGCTTGACATCGATGGGTTGTTCGAAAGGTGCATTCATTTTCAAAAACCCTCCTGTTTCCGATATCGCTTTAAGGGTATGTGCTTTGTCTTTGAATGTGACAAATCCATAGTTGAGATAGGCGTGTGTCTCTGGGCACTGGTAGGGTAGAATGACTATTAGTGGAACATAAGCAGAGACGTGCAGAAGGTGACAAGGCCTACCCGAATGAATTTATATTCTAGTAATTCACCAAATCGGTTGAATTCCTTTGCAATAGCCCTAGCATGAGTCACTGATGGAATGGTCTGTGATGCTCGAAAAAAGAATCGGACTGGTGAAATTGTTGTGAGGGACATTGAGTAGAGCTTCTTTGACTTTTGCAAACAAAAAAAAAATTGAGTGCTATAAATTTGACTGAGAGCGGGGTTGCCGGACTTTGTCTTGGGCATTACCGAAAAGTCATGCAAAAATCTCGATGCTCAATGGAATACGGCGTATAATATCCGGGAACAGAAAGCGGTTAGTAGTGCAAGACTTTGATCTTGACCTGAGCTGTAAGTACCAATTTAACTCGACATGTCCAGTTGGCTCCCATCTAACGTAAAAGCTCTTGGGCGAATCAGATATCACTGATAGGATTATAGCTACTTCCTTTCCCTCTAGCGGAATAGAGGGTTTATACCGAAACACATATCCAGAAGTCAAGCGGTACATGCTTTTAAATCTGCATTAAAAGTTTAGGTAATTGGTATTAACATCTTGATAGGTTTTTAGACAAACACCACCCACAACATTATAAGGTGTATAACCTGTGAGCTCCCGTGTATTTCTTGATGTTCATCCATGACAACTACTAATCTATAGCCTTGCAGCCGGTCAGAGAAAGGATACACAAATGATTTATTTGATATTAGTGCTACCTTTGCTTTCAAAGACCATCAAGCTCCAACTCTTCGCACGGTGATCCAATTCTGTGAGGATGCCAGTGATTATTTAGCTCTGGACCCTGAAAATGTCGTCGTTGTGCACTGTAAAGCTGGAAAGGGGCGCACAGGAGTGATGGTTGCGGCTCTGCTGCTGAAATTGAAAGTGACAAGCGATCCTAACGAAGCCATTCAGATCTACGCACGAGAAAGGACACATGATGGACGTGGGATAACCATTCCTAGCCAAAGGCGGTATGTGTTTTACTTTGACTCCTTCCTGCGTGATCCTTGGTCAGTCAAAAATCGAGAAATTCGAATCAAGAAGATTGCTTTGATAGGCCGTCAAAGTGCTCTCAACAAGGATGGTAGGTGCTAGAGCAGGCCATGGTATAGCCTGTTCAGCTATTACATACTCATATTTGCTCTCTTGCAATACAATCTAGATAGCTGTATGATCTGCATCAAACTCCCCAACGAGTCTAGAAAAAGTTGGCATACTCTTTCGAAGGTAAGTTGACTATCGGAAGAAAATATATTATTAATAAAGTTTCCCACTTGCTTATTCAGTCTGTTAGCGTACGATTAGTAAAGAAGAAATAGAACTTGTGCCTGAGGATGAGTTGATTGCTGAGAGCGACTTCATTGTCATACTCTGGCGGACTCGTGTCGCATATAAGGTGAATGTTTGACTCATATTGTTTTATTTATACAGTAGCTAATAGAGTGATCAACACGGACAATGTAGAAAAAGATTCTTGCGTTTTCACTACATAGTCGGTTCGTGGTACCCAATCTAACAATCGCAAAACCTGACCTTGACATCGCAGCAAGTGACAAGCGGTGTGTTCTTTTCGATAGTAGCTTCAAGGTCGAACTATGTTTAGATTTTCTTTAAAAAATATTATTCTCAAACATTGATATACAATTATATGTTTCATCAGAAGAAGCAGCCAACGTTACGTTTCATGAGCTACTGCTGTAAAACACAAGATTCGCATTTTGTGACAACAGTCTTTGAAGTGAACCTCCGCTTGTACGACACCATATATGCTTGCCGAGCTGCTTTGGATTCGGATTTTTTTTAGGGCAACCTCACCAAGGATAATTTAGCATGAACCTGGAGACCCAATATAATGAACATCAGCGATCAGATTTCGAAGCGGCATCGACTTCACGTTCATATAATACACCTCCTCCAAGCGTGAGAGTAGTGGATACTGATCGAATGTCTGGACCAGGAGATCATCGGACATCACAATCTGGCATCAGTGTCGCTTCGTCCGACACCAATTTCACTGACATTACTTCAACTACTACCACTACAAACGCATCTAATAGACCTCATGATATTTCTTATATAATCAATGCCAATAAGGCTGACCCGTCACGATTGTCACCGCATCGACAACAGACGCTAGATGTAGATCAGGATTCGGAGATTAGAGCCTCCTACCAGCAGGAAGAACACCAGGTTCCTGACTTGTTGGAAGAAATGGAGAAATGGTATGCTATGACGGACAGGTTGGTATTGTTAATTTAACATCAAGTTGTTGTTTACAAGCAATGGCATTTTAAATATGTACCTATCTTTCAGATATGGGTTCATGCAAGAAAGTAGCGATCAAGCGTCTGGAAGCGATACGTAGGTTAATTTTTCGTGGTCAATTGATAAGCAGGCGATATAGCGTGCGACTAAAAGTGAGATTCAATTCAGGTTGGCCAAAATTAAGGCACATGAAGTTGAGCGAGCTCAAAAGTGGGCGAAAATGGCCAAGAAGCAAGAGAAGAACGGAGAAGTATTGCATTCATTCGATTGGTCACCAAAGGTAAATGTAACTTTAGTGAATGTAGATCGCAACTCTTCTTCTAACGCCTTTTGAACAGTTTGTGAAAAGAGTATACAAAGGCATTCCTGATTGCTGGAGGCGTGATGCGTGGTAGGTATCGGAATGATAAAAGGTCGTATCAAAATGGGTAGTAGATACTGACTCTATACAAAGGTATTTCCTAGCCACCAGCGGATTGAAAGGCTTGAATAAGGACGCAGCTTTGAAGCAAAAATATGAGGTATGAGAGGCGTAGTTCACTGGATGATAGATTGAACCGTACTAACAGTTTTTCTTCAACCTTAGCATCTACTGGAAATGCCATCGTCACATGAACGCCAGATTGACCTAGATATTCCACGAACTATGCGGGACCATATCATGCTTCGTGAGAGATATGGATTTGGGTAATTAAAATGTTGGATCAGTGTGGTGGATGTATCAGGAGCCTATTCTAACTGTGTTTGCTTTAGGCAAAGAGTCTTATTCAATGTACTTCGGGCATTCGCAAATTATGATGAAGAGGTTGGATACTGCCAAGGCATGAGCAACATTGTTGCGACATTAGTGATGTATTTTGAGGAAGAGGTAATAGTTACTATTCGCTACTTAATGGAATGATGCTCCATCTGACATGTTTCAACCCTACAGAAAACCTTCACCATGCTTGTTCACATGTTCCAAAAGTGCAACCTGCACAATCTCTTTATACAAGGCTTTCCTGCATTGGTCGAAAGCTTTTATATCCAGGAAAGACTCCTGGAGCAGCATCTACCGAAGGTTGCGAAACATATGGTGAGTATCAAGCGATACCGAGGTACGCTTTCAGTGAAAGACGTGCTGATCAATTGAATCTTCATCATCAGAACAACAACGATATAACTAGCAGCTCTTATGCAACAAGATGGTACATTACGCTATTTACAGGAGGCATTGTAAATTATCATACACTACTTCGAATATGGGACGTCCTGCATATGTGTGGCTTTGATGTCTTATACTATGTAGCATTAGCACTGATGAAGACGATACAGAGTACGGCCCAAGCGTTTTTGCCTTATCTGCACAGCTTAATACATCCATTCATTAACTTATTTTTCTTGCATCATTTAGAAAAGATTCTGGAAGGAGACTTTGAATCGAACATGATGCTGTTAAGCTCTATTATACCCGTAGAAGATGACGATAAATTTATGAAGGTTGTAAGAAAATATTATGAGCGTAGTGTCGAGGCGGGCACAATCAAAAAGCTGCGAAACGAATACAAAAACCTGTGAAATTTTCACCAAACGGTTTTCCTGTCACTCAACGCTAAATTAACTGCAGTTTTCTTCATTACCTTCTCCCACCATATACACCATAAACAATCATACCATAGTCAATTTAATGCTAAATTTCTCATATCTACGCCGCCCCCAAATTTATAAACTTGCTGCTGTACTTGAGACTAAGAGATTGGTCCATCAGGACACCGTCATTCAAAGCCTTCGCGACAGGTAAGTCATTTTACGAGTAGGAATGTCGAGATGGCTAGCTTCAGCCATTGACCGTCCACATTCAAGACTTTCTCTTCAGAAAGCATCAGAGCTGAAGGTAGAGGCCATATCTACTGGAGTTCAAACGTCAGGCACAAAGACGGAGGTCCTGGATCGTATCATTTCACAGTACAACGATGTTATTTCACCCAATGTAACGACAACCGGTCTAAAAATGGTTCCTGAATCTGTGATATCAATTGATGTTGGGTACCGAAATCTTGCATTTGCCCACGTCACTAAGGAAAATCAAGTATTGCGCTGGCAGCGAGTTGATTTGGATATTGATAACCATCATCCGTCGCATAGTGCTATCTCCGTTACTCGATTTGTCCGCCAACAGCTACTGATAAGTATCGAAAAAGAGTGTGCTATCGTCATCGAAAGACAGCGGTTCCGCTCCATGGGAGGACACTCGGTTCTAGAACATACTTTAAGGGTCAATATGGTGGAGGCGATGCTTTGGAGTGCTATACAATGTATGACTGGACCAGACATAGCGAAGGAAGCCATCAATGCCATTGCTGTCGAAAAATACTGGAGTATGACTGAACCTGATTTCAGTACGCTTTCATCGGCAGAGTCAAAGACACCGAATCGGTCCAAGAAAAAGAGAAGTCAAGACTTGGTGACCCACTGGTTGGACACCAATGTATTGGATTGTAGCCCTAGCCTCCGGACCATGTTCAGTGCCGAGAAAAAGAAGGACGATCTTAGTGATAGCTTAATACAAGGTGTTGCTTGGCTGAATTGGAGGAAACATATGAAAAAATGCATTTTAGATACCCACTTGAATGATTGATTTGCAAGAATTCATTTTCAAACATTTATATCGCATTAGGCATCGATTTGAGCGTGCAAACTATTTAATCACTTTCAAATTAATAATGAACGGGCCACTTAATATCATTTCACTAAAGAGTAACCGCCTATCAATTAGAATGGCATCAGAGGCAAGTTTATTAGACACATGATAAGTGAAAAGAGCACGCCGTGGTATAGGAACCGCAGAAAAATGAAAGCGTATAAACAATTGGTTCATCTACTGTAGGCTAACTACATTCTAAAATGTCGAAACCGTGCATGAATTCACTCATGTCTGGTATTTGAGGATCCATGCCTAGCGAGTACCATCGAGAACTAGAAGCGTCAGATTCACTTTCTCCAGCGATACTTTCTGAAAAGGCTTCATGATGACTCGTTAGTGATGCAGGATCTTCAGAGAATGGGGCAAAAAGAGCTGGTTTTGTAGCAACATCTTTTGTGGCGGTCGCAAACATCACACCTCCTTTGCTATCTTCAAGCGACTCGTAGATCTCTGTGGTTTCTGACAACTCGTTTAAAGCCATCTGGTGTTTATCTGGTCGTGACAGAATGGTGATGAGGTCTTTGATAATATCAGCAGTGAACAGGTTGGCGTTCACGACTCGTCCGTCAGCCGTCATACCAGGTCTGATGGTGGAGAAAGAGTCCGTGGCCATGCCAAGTAATGAAGTCCCAGTTGAAGTAATGATTTTGGAATCTGCCATCACTTGAGATGAATTCAATTGTGCTGGCATGGAATAAGGCATGGCGGATATGCCAGTGTCCGGTTCTTGCTTCAGAGTGTCTTGCATAACCACAGGGGCATTAGATACCTGGCTAATTGGCACAGCATCCAACGTAATTGGGTTCGTAATACTATTAGCGGTACTCTCCAAATCAATCACTTTAGGCGGCGTTGCAGGTGCTCGATTCGCTGGGTTCTGATGATTTGCGGCTGCCGAAACATGTGCTTGAGCCATTGCTTGGGCCTGAGCATTATTAGCCTCGTTGGCAATTTGCTGCTTCACTTGATTTACCATGTCATTCAACATTGCTTGAATTTGTTGTTGCTGTTGCGGCTTAATGTTCGCTTTCCCTTGGGCAGCTTTTTGTAGCACCCAATTTGCCTGAAGTGCTTTCTGTGGTAACTTTACAACAACTTGAGGAGGATATCCAGCCGCTATCGCCGCCTGTATAATGACTTGTGTGTTGGCTGGCCGTCCGCCATTGGCTGCGTCACCTTGCGCAGCGGTATCTAATTGTTCACCTTGAGCTGTTACTCCTGGTGCAGCTGTTGGCGAAGCCTGTGACTTAGCAGCAGGAGATGATTGTTGTTGTGGCTGCGGTTGTGAAGACGTGGCTGGAGAATCTGCTCCTTTTTGTCGCTTTGACACTGGAAGTTTTAAATCAATGTTTCCATGTTTCAAACCTAGGCCAGACTGCATCGCGGCAGCTGCGGCTGCATTTGGCATTTGTGGTTGTTGTTGCGCGGACTGTTGAGCACTGGCCATTTGCTGCTGTTGAAGCTGTTGCATTCCAGCGGCCGCTGCTTGATTTGGAAGAAGCTTTGCAGCATTGGGCATATTTCTATTAGCATTTTGCGCCGTCGCTCCTTGGTTTTGTGCAGTTTGTTGAGGTGACACTGGTGAGGCAGATGTTAAGTTACCTGCTGTTGCAGCATTGACATTTGCACCCGTACCATCATCAACAGCTTGCTGTTGACTGGCACCGCTCATAGCATTTCTGATCCAAGTAAAGTACTTTGTAAAATGATCCTTCAACTTCTGCATATGGTCCAAGGATATAAGGAACTTGTTTTGTGGTAGCACATTGAGCTGATCTTGAAACATGTGTTTCATCAAAATAAGTCGCTTGGTAGCTTCACCATTGGCCGTCATGGCAAGAAAAATTGGTAAAAGCTGATCCAGCTTCTCGCACATCGGTCGAAGTTGGTTGACTTGCTCTCTAATGGATGCTTTTTCTTGCTCGCTAAGATTTTCTATGGGAGTGGCAGGGACTGGGAATGAAATGTTAGTGTCAAGCGTCATAGTCAATGCATTATGCAGCCAAGGTTCATACATCTGCTTGCTAGGATAGTCTTGTTCATCTGCGCAACTAGGTTTGCGGCTTGCATTTGCTGAGCAGGTGGAATAATTGGTCGATTTCCGCTCATTGGTTGTGTACCGTTGTTCAAATTACCACCAAATAATTGATTCAATTGCTGCTGTGAATTCGCAGCATTCTGACCACCTTGTGGTTGAGCTGCTGCTTGTCCCTGCGGAGGTTGTTGAAGTTGAAATGGCTGGTTGTTCAGATCTTGAATCATTACAGAAGGAGACTGTTGACTTGCTGGCATCTGTTGTCCTTGCTGTACTTGATTAGCATTGTTGATTTCGTTTGTGGCTTGCATTCGCTGTTGAGACTGCTGCTGCTGCTGTTGTTGTTGCTGCTGTTGTTGCTGTTGCTGCTGGTGTGCAGCCATATTTTGCTGTGGCATTTGAGCCATCATTGGTGTCGACATGGACATCATTGACGTTGGAACATTTCCATTCAATCCATAATTGTTAAAATTATTCATTTGGGGTTGTTGATTTGGCATGTTCGTAGGACGTATGTTAGGAGTCACCTGTTGCGGCTGCTGTTGTTGTTGCTGTTGCTGCTGTTGTTGCTGTTGCTGCTGTTGTTGCTGTTGTTGTTGCTGCTGTTGTTGTTGTTGTTGTTGTTGTTGTTGTTGTTGTTGCTGTTGTTGTTGCTGCTGCTGCTGCTGCTGGTTTGCAGCCAACCGGGATGCATTGGCATTAAATGACTGTGCATTGTTCATATTCAGGCCAACCATATTTCCTTGCTGCTGCTGTTGTTGTGGAGGCTGTTGCTGTTGCTGCTGTTGCTGCTGCTGCTGCTGGGATTGTTGTGGCTGTTGTTGCTGCTGCTGTTGCTGTTGCATAGCCTGTCTGGCTACCAGCATTTGGAACTGCTGCGGTGTTAATGAGGACAATGAAGCCGCATTGATATTGCCGAGATTTAGTCCTTGGAGAACATTTGCAGGAATTTGATTTTGTTGTTGAGGCTGATGCTGTTGAACTGGCACCTGGTTTGCTTGCTGGTTCCCACCCTGTTGCATGTTTTGAGCTTGCTGAGCGTTTGCTTGAAGCGGTTGTCCGCCTGCTGCTGCAGCAGCAGCAGCCCTTTGTCGTGCAGCCAAGATTTGTTGCTGTTGCTGTTGCCTAGCTTGTAGCAAAGCAGCCTGCTGCTGTTGATTCATGTTTGGGCGAACTTGATTTTGTGCTGCTAAGTTGTGCTGTGGAAGGTTTGGGTTAAGTGGCGACGCTGATGGCGGTATAGATTGGCCAGCCTGTTGTTGTTGCTGTTGCACTTGCTGTTGCACTTGCTGTTGTGGAGATGACATCTGAGTATTTGGTTGTTGACCACCAGCTTGCACTAAACTATTCCAGTTTTGTTGATTGGGTTGCATGACAGGCATGCCATTTTGAGTACCCATGGCACCAGGACCCATGGAGGTTGCACCCATAGCATTCATGACTTGTGCATCGCCATTCATACCCACCCCGTTTTGATTTTGTGAGATAGATCGCTTGATTTGAGCATACTTCTTACTATATGCAAGCAAATATTCGTTCTGAAAGGTTGCGTAAGAGATATGTATTTATCAGGAAGCTGTTCCCAAGTTTCCTGTTATGTTACCTTGTGATTACTTCGACGGTATATTTGCATTTCAAAAGATCGAGCTACTGTCAAGATTTGCTGTTCGCTTGTTTGAGGCGAGAGCATACGCAAAGCATTGCCTCTAAAGGTGTTGTTTAGTATTACATTTATAACGCAAGCTGAGCTCAGTCCTAAAGCCAAACGTACAACTGAGCAACCAAGCGCGCCCTGTCTTGGACAGTCAGTTCCTCACGCCAGTTAGGATTAGGGGGTTCATTTGATGGTTGAAAGTTAGTTCCAGCCAGGTTCAATGGAATGCCATTACCACCTTGTTGATTCATCGGAAGTGTGGCCACTTGGAGATGTGGGAGGCTACAGTAAACGTTGAGAAATTCTGCAATGAGCGGAAGTGTCAGCTCATCACATGATTGGTCCCAAAGAATCGAGGCGAGATTTTTTGCTTGATCAGACCTGCGGAGACAAATATTAAGGGAAGTATTACTTCTACTATCCAGTATGCTATAGTAGAAGCAACTAGTGACTATGGATTATGTTCGTGTAAAGGTGTTTATTTCATGGTAGATCATTTATAGAGTGAAAAAAAAAAAAATTAAGTCTATCAGGTATTGTGTGTTTACACCATCAGAAGCATTGTACGTCCTATTGAATAATTCTCGTCATACAGTACATATTGAAATCAGGACACTTCTCTCTTACTGTGCCATATATCATGATTGTGGAAAATGGATCTTTTAAAAAACGCAGCTTTTGCGAAAAGTAGCATTTGAAAAAAGTAATTCTTTTATCAGCAATATGTACACAGGTTATGAAAGGTTATGCATCTATATAAAGATTGAAGAAAGCTATCGGCGCCTAGGTCGACCATGTTCCCCTGGGTGTCCGCGACGTCCTCGTCCATTATTATGACCATACGATCCTCTTCCTCGTCCACGATTGAAATCTGGTGGGCGGCTTTGTCCTCTTTCCCGAGGTGGATACATACCAGCTGGTCCAGTTGGATACTGCTGGTAGCCACCTGAATTAGGAGTGTCCCATCGCGACTGCCTTCCCAAGTTATTTGAAGGAGGTGGCACATCTGGGGAGGAGTATGGCGGGTTGCGATTGTTCCAGTGCTGCTGCTGCTGCTGCTGCTGATACGGTTGATACGACGATGGTCCGGTCGGTATATGCTCATACTGAGAATATGGAGGTCGTCCTGAGTCAGAAGGTAAGTCATTCCGTGAAAGTCCTTCTGGCTGGTGCTGTATATTTGGACGATACGGAGAAGGGTTATGCATGGGCTGATACGTATCGTGAGATGGTCCTGTCGGAATAGGTTGATAAGCAGTATTTACGGCTTGCGGAGCATTGTTTGCTTGATTTTTGGTGAGAAGTTGTACAATATCCTTATTGCTTAGAAGCTGTTTGATTAACGGATTTACTTCACCATTTTGTAGAAGGCTTGATAAATCAGGAGTGCCGGTTACAGATGGCTGGGGTATGGTCGAAGCGGTGACAGGCTGAGGTAGCGGAGGCAAAGTTGGTTCATTATGACTTGAGATGCTGGTATCACGGTTTGAGCGGCTTTCGCTTGTTCTTCGCGGGTCGGCTGCGACCTTCTTGTTCAACACTATGATACCGAGTAGCATGTCCCGATCTCTGTCTTTTTCTCCTAAGCCATGATTGAGAGCAACCAAACAATCAGGCAAATTTTCTTGAGCGGTTAATGGGATTATATAGAAATCTTTGATGACAGGCTTATTTCGTGCCACGACACCATATCGGTTTCGTGAAGAGAAGTACTTCAGCAAGTTGTCGGCTTCCTGTTGACTAGCTGGCTGAGAACACTTGATCTCTATCAAAACCAATTCCTTGCTAGATGAGAATTGTGTTTGCGTGAGGTAATCGGTAACACGGTCAGTGGGGATGCGGCCTTCAATCCAGATGGTAGGTGAAAGAACATTTGCCCATTCTTGCTCTGCAAGGCATCTACCGCCAATTTGAAAGGATGAGCTCTCAAATTCTGCCACTTGTTGCATAATGGTTTTACCATTCCAGATGGGGTGTAAAGGATAAGCTTTCGGTTCATCACATGATAATGTTGCGGTGGCAGTACCATGTTCTTGTTCATCTGTTATATCGGTGTCCGATTTCATGGTTGATTCTACCAATCCTTCATCATCGCTGCCAAATTCCAGTTGGACGTCCTCATCACCGAGTAATTTTTCCATGTCAATGTTCACTTTGCGCTTCTTCTGCTTGTTGTCACCAGGACTCTCCGCTGATCGTTTGCCATTGTCTTCGCCTTCACCTGTAGGAATCATGCGAGCCAGTATGTCATCCAATGTATCAATTTTTTGCATTGGAGATTTCGGCGTAAGTGAGATACTGGATTTTCGACTATTTGGACTCCTAGGTGAGCCAAGGTCGTCCCTTTTTTCGTCAAGTCTAACCAGTGGTGATCTCTTTCCCGCTTGATCATCAGCAAATGAGGCATTGTCTTTTGAAGGCATCATAATGATGTCGCCTTTATGCGTCTTCTTTATAATTGGCATATTCTGGATCTTCAAAACGGAGTTCTTGATACTTTTCTGCCTCAAAGTTTCTGACATTGACTTCAGCTCTGGGTTGGCCATGTCCTCCGCAGACATATTGACTAGGCTTTCTGGAGTTAAGTCACCAGTCATTACACGAAGTTGAAATATCTCATTTGCTTTGTCCTTGAGATTGTGCAGAAGAGACCTGAATTTGCCTTTATATTTTTCTCCGCAGACTTGTGGCTTGCTGGCTGGGAACTTGGGATGTGGTTCCGCTAGGTGCTCATACATCGCATTTTCTATGTTTGCTGCTACTTGTTCTGCAATATTCATGGCGGATGGTAGTTGAGCAATCGATTTTGCTTCGTCGACTTCTTCTGTGCTGGGGCTCGTTGGCGTAGCCTCTGAGGTTGAAGGTTTCTGATCTTTCGAAGGATCTGGCGTACCAGGTGACTGTACGGTATTGGCACTCTGGTTGGTGTAATTTGCAAATATCGTTGGATCTTTTGTTAATGCTGACTCGATTAGTCCCTTCAATGTTGCAGTTAAGCTTTTAACTACGTTACGTCTGACAGCGTCAATCTCAGAACTCCTGGATTGAATGGTAGGACTATCTTGCGTCTTTTCTGTTGGAGATTGAATGGTCTCTGGACTCTCTGTTCTTTTCGATCTTCGTCTAGTGGTTGCTTTGTCATTGACATGAGCACTCGCACATTTCTCACTGCAGAACAAACTGTTGCTCTTGGCTGGCTTGGAACATGTGGATAGCAGACAATTTCCTGGTGTCGCACTCTTCTTTCTTTCCACCTTACGTTCTTCCTGGATCTGTCATTACGCAATGTTAGTTCAGAGTAGCATACATGCATGGCATATTAAAATTGCCTACCTCTTCATCTTCTTCTTCTTCACTGCCATTCCATTCTGCAGAAGCCTCTCTCTCCTTCCGCCATCGGGAAGTAATATCTGTAAATTGGCAAAATATCAGTAAGTTACAATCCATTAATTGTGGCTGTACATTAGTCAGGTTGCAAGACGTGCGAGTGGTGGGAGTTGTGAGCAATCATGAACAGGATTTTGCCATCATGACGGACGGAGATAGACAGCCGACTCTAGACATTGTCAGATCAAGACACAGTAACTACGAGAGCGTACGCTGCCCATAGTGCCGGGATTACCACATTGGATGATGGTTTCCGCTGCCAGTGGCATGCAACTGAGCTTTCTCTTTCTTTGGCCAGTGCTAGTCGAGCTGCTGTGGATGGCTGCCTCTGACATACACGTCTCTTGCAAATGGGCTCCATCTCACGCTAGAAAATGGTACACATTGCAGATAAAAAAAAAAGTATAAAAAAAAGTAGAAGAGATGATAACAGTGCTGTAGGAAGTGAACAAAAAAACTCGATTTAAAAGTATTTTGTTTAATTACAAAACGATGTGTATTGCAAATTGAAAACAACGAGCCTCTCGGCATGCGATCAATAACTATGTGAAGGCACGCCATAGATTCCGTTCTTTCGTTCCATCCATCAAACGTCAAATTTCGATACAGCAGCAAATTGTCTTTGCTATCCCATGAGAGTATTCGCACGTCTATAACCTGACAGCGATTGTGTAAAAAGTATAATAAAAAATGCTTACCCTTTTTCTTCTCCTTTCCTACCGCTCTACCTGGCTTCTTTGAACAAGAATCGCATGTCCACTCAATATCCTCTGCTTCCTCAGGGTCTAAATTCACACAAGAGCAATGGAACCTATATAAAGCTGGGTAAGTTGTCTATCTTAGCATGTGCAGTATTACTTCAACAACCACTTACCATTCCTGGCAACTATCACATTGTACCATAGGGCTACCGTCATAAGGCTGCTGGCAAATGCAATACAATTTTTTGGATTTCTGCGTTTTTCGTTTTGGTTCCGCAGTCTCAGTAGAGTCCTGCTGCGGATTAACGTAATCGTCAGTAGGAGTTTTGTCCATTTGCCTTGTTCTTGATCGAGTCGACATTCGGGTATTTCTGTTAATAGTGTTCTGAGTAGAAGCTTCTTCATTTTGTCCTTGAAGATCTTGGTTGTTGCTTTGCTGGTATATCATGTCTGGTGTTACGAAACTCGGATTGGTGGTTGAAATTGTTGTTGCAGCTGGGGCTACCGAATGACTACCTTCTACATCACTTGCGTTTATGGTCGGTGGCTTGTCTTGAGCAAACATGGATTGATCAGTTAATAGCTGGCTTTGATCTAATATTGACCAATCTTCCGTTTCCATTGGCAATAAAAAGTGTGTGACGTCGTGATGGACATGTAGGTTGTCTAATGCGTCATGATCTGGCCATGATGGTCTTTGATCTTCCATAAATGTCGCTGGTGCTTGCTCATGATCTAGTCCTTGAGCTTTCTGACCATCTCCTTCAAACCCATTATCTCGAAGGTATAGAAAACTATCCATGTCGTTATCATTCATGTAAGAGAAAACTAAGAAAAAATGAAATGTTTTGGGTACAGTGTGGCGCAAATGAAAAGACGGTGTGGTCACGTGATAATGACGTGGACACTACAAGGTTGACATTCATTCGCACTGAAGTTTTGCTTTACGAAGATGCAATGTTTTTTGGCGCCAACACCAAGGAAAATCAGGTCCATGTGATGGTGATAATAAAGCATAGAGAAAAACATATAAGTACACAGTTAAGGTAGATCGAGATAGAAGCAAACTTCACTTTGGCAGGTCGGCGGCACTGCAAAATATCATTTCATTAGTATGGGCTTGGTAGAGACCTACAGCCGTTTTTCCAATAATGGTATTTGAAATTTTGTCAGTGGGATGAAAAGATCCATTCGATATAACTAAGCACTTTATTATATGTTACCAAAACTCATTACACGATCGCTATCGATTTCGTTTTAAAGAAGTAATTGAAATTTTAATTATTTCACAACTTGTCAGATATAATTTTTATGGACGGAAGACAACAGTAACCTGACCAGCAGCTGCAAGGAATACAAAATCAGGTCCGAGCCAACTTCTAACGTGTATTGGTGAGAAGACGATCAAAATACACAGGTTCTCATTATATATCTTTGAAATCAGCGTTGCTCAATGCTGTATCGGCGGTCTGATGATATAAGAGTACTTCAGTCTCAATGCCGAAAATAAAAATGTTGAAAGGCTGCCATTGGCGCCTGCATTGTTAAGTAATTTTCTATATAAACAAGTGCTTGATGTATGGATGCAAAAGATTTTACGAGGTTTTGTTCAGCAAGCGTTGCAAATAACTGGTTTTCATATTAAATAGTATTTCGGTGCCTTTCAGATCGCACACTTCAATGGTTTCTATGATTTGAAAGAAAAATCTTCAGGACAATGCTCTCAAATATACTTTCCATCAAAAACAATCGGGAATTCTCATCTAATATGAAGCGCTGATAGCAAAAGAAACACATGCCAATCAATATCTGACAAAAACAATACAGAAAATCCCACCCGTGTCGCAATAATACTTAAAAATCGCAACCTTGGGACTGCTTTCTGACCGAAATTTTCACGATGGTGAAATTCGCTTTGATAGATTCAACAGGTTAAATCAACATGGCTCAAACTCTGGAAGCTATTAAGTACGAAAATGGTGAACTTTACGTTCTAAACCAGCTACTCTTACCACATGTCACCCACTTTGACAAAGTATGCACTATTCAAGATGGACATGCTGCCATCAAGGAGATGAAAACTCGAGGTGCTCCTGCTATTGCCATCGTCGCAGCTTTGTCTCTTGCCGTTGACTTGCGATCCCGCTCCAATCAAGGAGAATTCGACTCTGCTGCTTCCGCTGTAGAATTCATTAGAAATTCTTTGGAATACCTCAAGACATCTCGGCCAACAGCGGTCAACTTGTTTGATGCTGCCGGAAAACTGTGGCGTACTGTAGAACAACGTGCACAAACTGCAACAAATCAATTGGATATTGTCGATACATATGTCTCCGCCGCCGTCACTATGCTTGCTGAAGATGTCAAAGATAACAAGAATATTGGATCGCATGGTGCCAAATTTATTTTGGAAAACTCAAAGAGTTCTGAGGTCAGTGTTTTGACCCACTGCAACACAGGGTAAGTAATGTTAATATATGAACATACATAAAAATCCTTGCGAAAGACCACTAATCAATTTAACTAATCTAGATCGCTTGCCACTGCAGGCTGGGGTACCGCACTCGGCATTATTCGTGACTTGAACAAGACAGGAGCTTTGAAGCACGCTTATTGCACTGAGACAAGACCTTATAATCAAGGATCGAGATTGACAGCCTATGAGCTTGTCTATGAACAAATACCCTCCACTCTTGTGTGCGACTCCATGGTGTCAGCTCTGCTTCGACAAAATCCCAACATTTCTGCTATTGTAGTCGGTGCTGACCGCGTAGCTGCAAATGGTGATACTGCAAACAAGATTGGTACTTATCAATTAGCTATTACCGCCAAGTACCACGGTGTTCTCTTTATTGTCGCTGCTCCAACGACTTCCATCGATCTCAACACGAAACGTGGTGCGGATATTGTGATTGAAGAAAGACCTTCTGCCGAAGTCGTTCAGGTTACTGGAGCTGTGGTTGGAGGAGAAGTAACTGGCAATGAAGTTCCTAGACAAACAGTTCAAGTTGCTGCTAATGGTATTAATGTTTGGAACCCAAGCTTTGATGTAACACCTGCCAATCTAATCTCATGTATTGTGACCGAGAAAGGAGTCATAGTTAAGAAAGACGGAGCAGAGGAATTCGACATTCCTTCCTTCTTGTCAACTCTGTAATTCGTAGACATTTCAACTAGAGTTCAATAATTAAATATACTTTTGTTATCCGCATTCCTAAATCACCTGAAGCTACCTCCACATGAGCACAATACCGCTGTCCACAAGCTACAATAATCGCTATTACAAGTTACGATGTGTCAACTTCTAATGCGCCCTGAAGTTACTTCCTTATCAGCACAATATCGCTGTCCACAAGGTACACTTATCGCCACTATATCTGCCAACTTTTAAGAATTAATCCTCAGTCTTTATTTGTAACCAAATGGGATCTGATTTAATTTGTGAGTTTTTTTTTTGTTGGTTGCTGTCTACATCTACATGTTTAAACAGTAAACATGCTTAACGGAGGCGACGAGCCTCACGTTCAGATTCGAGAAGGCAGAGAATGTCGTTTTCACGGACAGGTCCCTTGACGTTACGGATGATGGAGCGAGAGGTGTCATCCATGAATTCAACGCGGACTTGAGTGACACCACCACGGGAGCCAGTACGGCCGAGAACCTTGGTAACCTTGGCAAGCTTGACGGGAGTCTTTTGAGATTCCTGTTGAAGAAAAATCAACGTTAGATTTACAGATTATTGATTTAACAAGCTGGGTATTGCAATGGTGGAGGAGATAGCCGAACCAGTATCAAAACAGTGTCGTCTGGATCTTTATCCTCTAGAGCTTGTCGTTATAACAGTTGAGTCGTTTGAAATTTTGAACAAAAATACATGTCGCTACATTTTGAATGTGTTGATTTTGGTCAATCGCAATTACACAAGGCCTGATAATCTCTTTTCTTAATAGTCGGTGCGTAACACATCTGCTTCGTACGGATGGATGCATTAGAATAATGGATGGATCACTAGTTACATACCATGGTTGGATGTTAACGAAAAAGAAGGATTTTTGCAGGCAAGTAACAGGCCATGAACATGACCCCTCCAAGGACGAGCGGAGAAAGTGCAGTCACACAATTTCCTTTCCCGGCACTGTTGCTGGAAATTTTGCTGTGCCAGCTTCCCATGTGAGCATCTACTTCACAATTCGCATGAGGGGCTTGCGTGCCAAACATGCTTTCGTTCAAGTATATGTATCCGAAATGAGGCATACCAAATGATTATATAAACTGAATTTATTTACATATAAAGAGCGGGTAATGCGAAGTTGCAGACACCATAAACGTTATAATATAACTGGATGCCATTCTAGTTGAGTACTGCCGTCTACTCACTCAACGGTATACGATACTGCTGAAGAAATCACATATAAAGCAAAAATAAAAAAAAATGCTCTGAATGAATGACAGTAACTTGTCGGACAACATTTGTATCTTGGGGATAGCCTAGCTATCCATCGACAGGCTCTGCGATCTTACGCTTATAAATGTGCTCGATGTGCTCGCTTCCAGCATCCTGAATTTACATAATAGCACAGCCGCAATAAATGCAAATCAGCTTTCTTTAAAATAATATGCCCCCATCCAAATCATAGCCGCTTAAAATGTATATTGTTGAGTGACCACTATTGTGCGTGGGATGGTCGTGTTTGCAAGTGTATCTTACTTTAAGCTTCAGTGAGCTCCTTTTTAGCATACAATGTGAGCCTTTCAATAGAGAAATGAGCAAGAATGTGTTACTGGAAGTACCACATGAGCCACCAGTCCAGAGTAACCTTCTTTATGAAGGAATAGCCGTAGATATCCAATCAATGTTGCTAGCTTTTACAACCAATTCAACTACATCAGGGCTTAAAAAAAACCATTGATATCAGGTAATTCTGTTTTCTGCGAAACTTGGGTCACAAATATCAGCAATCCACATGAATTCAGATATGGGATAACATGAAATGACCTGAGGTACCTGTTTATCCCACCATATACAAGAATTATAAAGCAAAAATATACTTCAAATATCATAAAGTCATATTCACTCTACTTTTTTCTACCTAGCTGCCAGCATGTGGTGATAATGATTCCATTAGTCGGTTGACTGATTTGACCACCATCTTAGCGTTACACATAATATATTGACTATGTCAGGTGACACAAACATCGGAAGCCCGGCTAGCTCAATCGGTAGAGCGTGAGACTCTTAATCTCAAGGTTGTGGGTTCGACCCCCACGTCGGGCTGCTTTTTTGCCTTTGGCTCTAATTTTTTTTTTTCCACGATGACAAATTTGTGTCAAAGATTACAAAAATATGATTTACATGCTAAACATGGGATTTAATCTTGATACTAATGCACTGGAAGTTTAAAGGCTATGTTTTTTATACTTATCATAGGTTTCTAATACAGAGGCATGAATATCGTTTTAAAGATCAATATGCAGAAGAAGTCTGGACTCAATTTTTTTTATCTGCTGGGTTGGCTCTTGCTGCGATATTGTTTGATAGGAACCGATGAGCAATAAAAAAAATTTTTTTTTACAATAGAGCACGTTTCGATCGGTACCTGCTTTCTTCGCTCAACATTACCTATTATGACTGTCCGAGATAAGCGTGAAACGCATGCATCACGCAATACGACCAGACCATGCTATCAAGCTTGTTATCATGATGTTATTGTTATCAAAGCCGTTTCTTTTGAAATCCTTAGTTACATGATCCAGGCAGTCGTCTAAGATATTAATTAATACACAAGTAAAGTCTATTCCATTCGCTGTGCGGTACTCGACGGATTTGAATAGAGCAAAGTTTTACTCTGACACGGGCAAAGTGCTTTTTTTTTTTTTCAAATAACATGTTGGCCAGAACGTGTCCACAGCACATACGCTTGAAAAAAACAAAACCCAGCAAAGGTATCAGATTACACACCTCAAGGGGCGGAAGTCGAGGTCAAAGAAAATATGCGGTCGTTGTCGATGAATTTTTTTTTTTATAATAACAACTCAGACTATCAGAATTTCTATCAACTTGGCATACAAGCACGGGCCCTGTTTGCTTTGATCGCCATCGATAACTTCTTTAAGGAGAATACTCATTATATCTATTCATTGCGTCAATGACTCAAATAACTACACTGATTTTTGCTACCTTGTGGGGGGATGAGACCGAGATGATTCAAACATATAAAAGTGAGACTTTTGAGCTGATGACGATGAAACGTCGCTCGCCAATATACCGCAATAAAAGATATTACTTTGTTAGCAGCAAAGCTAAGCCTACACGTGATACGAGACCCTTAGACATTGGTGAGCCGAAAGGAAATCACAATCAATACTCATATCTTCTTCCCGAAACTGACAGCTGAATAACAAACCCAGGGTGAGACCGGGCGGCGGAGTTCTAAAAATAGAAATAAGACTGAGCGATGGTACGCTACTTGTGATATGTTGATACGCTGGGCATGAAAAATTTGTCATGTTTCAGCCACGACATATAAAAGAACGTTGCTTCACCAGCACAAAGGGACCTTAAAAACTCTTAATATCCAATCTTTATCTTATGGCTGTCTACGCGCTGCCAACTGAATTAATATGTCAGGTCTTCACCGAACTTGCCAGCCCTAGTGACTTCTTCAACCTACAACTTGCATCCAAATCATTCAACGCCATTTCTGACGTACCAAGCGTACGACGAGCCTTTTTGGAAAAATTATTCACTCCATCAAGGAAGCACATTTTCGCAACCACCAAAGAACAATGGTCTGACGAGACTTTCAAAGGTATCTGCGCCTTTTTGGAGTCCTCCAACATCAAGCCTGCCTATACCGACATTCGACTTGTCATCCAACAAGTTCCTACTTCGCATTTCTGCAACTTCCTGTATCCTAGCAACGATGTGAAGAGAGCTATCTTGAACTTGTTCAAGTCTCAAGCTCTTCCAGCTCAAAGTTCTAAGCCACTCACCATCCCCACTTTGGACAATGACATTTTGGCACAAGCCGAATATGTCGTTTACCAGGAAGCCACCAGCCACATGGCTCCTCGCCGCATCTTCTACAACGTCACTCTCAAGAAAGACAGCGACAAGTTTTCTCGTGACCAACACTTTTATGCAATCTTCCACCACATTGATTGTCTAGTCGCCTTCGACGACGACTTGAACATGCATGCTGGTATCCCCCAATACAAGGACGAGAGCATTATCACCAGTGCTGCTTGGGAATCATTGTTGTCCTCAGAGTCAGTTGAAATTAACAACATGCCCACAGCTGGCGGTCCAAGACGTATGCCAGTTGGCGAAGAAGCTTTCTCCTGTACCTTGGAGGATCTTCCCAAGCCTGAAAAGCCCAAGCCTTGCTTGCTTCGAACGTTCTCTAACTGCGAGCTTTTGAACGATATTGCCAAGGGTGGTCTCAAGAAAGGTCAACAATTTGACTACGTCTTCATGTATGAACATGAAGATGATGACTCTATCTGCATGGAATTCTGCACCGCTGACGATGGTGCAGTAACTCCCAGAGGTTATCTCTTGATGACCGAGAACAACATCAAGTGGCAGTAATTGCTAACGTAACATAATCATAATATCACTATCCATTGTATATATCCCACAAATATTACCAATAGTTTTCATAATATCATCCATTATAACATTCATTCATTCATTCAATCAAATACAAACTACATCAGAACAAATAGCATTCAATTATATCAATATATTTAATTATTCGCATTCTATTCTATGACTTGTATATTTTGGATTCTAAATGTGGTTTTACCCTTGTGCGCCAGTCGTCTTCAAACAAAACATAAGTGTATTCATTCAACCACTGATCGTCAACAAGCAACGACTCTCGACTGATTTGCTCCACTGTCAGGCCACAAACCTTTTCTAGCCAACCACGCATACCTTGGTTGATGTTTGTAGTGACCCATTTAACTCTATGCAAACCAAGTTCATCGAATGCCCATTTGAGAGAAAAGTAAAATGCTTCGGTGGCCAGACGTTTTCCCCAGCAAGCCTTATCCAAAATGATGCCTACTTCCGCGTTTCTATGGATGGTATCAATCACCGTAAATCCGGTCATACCCACGACCTTTCCTTTGTAAATGATATGTAAAACCAGTGTTCGATTCTCCTTTTGTCCTTGTAATTGCTTCGTCAAGCGTTCTTGTACTTGCTCCAGTGTCCATCCGCCGGGTTTGGTCATAAATTTCAAGTATTGCATATTATCCTTATCGGAAAGGATATCACGGATCTCCTCTGCATCATCGAGGCTAGGTGTTCTGTAAGTTGCTACTGGTCCTTCGAAGGATACTTCTGACGGGAAGTCTGTTATCATAGTGAGAGGAAAAAACGAAAGAGGCTGTGAGTCACCAACCAAAAAATTGTGGGAAACTTGGCTTTTCAGAATTTTCAAGTTCAGATCAAGTCAGACATGTGTTGGACAGACAGCAAGGGCTGAGATACGACTGCAGCAGTCAAAAATGCATTAGAATCTAAGAACAGTTTCAAAATAGCAAGATACTATTTGCTAGATACACCCAATGTTGTTTATGATGCTTCGCCGTGTAGGATTATAATGCCGATCATGTTTTGATGATTTAGTGTTCGACACGATTGGCGTTTGAAGATTCAGTAACCTTAATTTTTTTATATTGAAGTAGAGCTTGTCTATTGCATTGTTGTATCATGGTAATTCAAGCGTGCTTATTGCGGACAGGCTGCGGTTTGCCTGATTTGACTCCGTGCTATCTCGCTTTCGAGAGGTCATTTTGATTGGGCATTGAGGCCCAGGAGGCGAGACTTGACGATAAATACGAGTCTATAAAGGATTTTGAAGAAGGTTTCATTAAACGCACACCAAACAAGTGATATTGTAAGAAACGAAGACTGAATGCTTTCTCGCTTCCAGATTCCGTAGCGTAATTGTACGGCATTTCAAACATTTTGCTGAGTGGTAAAACTTTCTTTGTTCCTTTCCATTAAATGCCCAATCTCCCCAGCCCTGGCGAATTACTAATATACGATTATCGTGATGAAGTCCAACTATACCCAAGCAAAGCAATCAAAGTTCTTCAATGGAATGTGGAGCGCAATTACAGTAAGACGAAGGAATGAATCTCGTCTGGCAGAAATTCACATCTCATAGAATTGCGGTTCAACAGAGTCCGACGAAATAATAGAGACCATTAACCGTCTGGATCCTGATATTGCAATAATTCAAGAAATTGATATCAATTGCAAGCGCTCCGGAAATATAGACCACATGAAGAAAATGTGTAAAGAGCTTCGTCTTAGAGGAGGTTTTGTAGCGGAATTCTTCGAACTGGAGAGCCCAATACGTCAGGTCCGGGATCAGGTAAGTTATCATGAACGTGAGATAGGCACATCTTTTTAGAATCTCAATTAACAACGGTCCTTATAGGGAGGTGGAGTACATGGAAATGCAATATTTTCCAAGTTTGACATGGACTTCCGGGTTGTTGATCATAAGCACCATCCCTTCGATTGGGAAAAGGACGGCGATGCTTTACGGGAACCAAGGATTGGAAGGTTTGAAATCATAATGGTGGAAGAAACACAGCAGAATATAAAGACTCACAGCTTGTATTTCAATAAGGCGATATTCGCTTGCTGCTCAGGTAAAGCATGATGGTTTGCCACCAATGCTATGCTATTGTGTCCATCTTGAGGTATTCTGTGGAATTATGGGTAGGGTCTCTGCCTTCTCTGACATCCTAAAGGACTCCCGTGAAAACTGGACAACTACCCCACACCAAATGATTTTTGGGGATTTGAATACTATGGCACATTCAATTGCAAGACTCTCTCCCAAATACGCGCGTGATCGTTACCGATTTCTATCGCTTGGAACGCAGGAGAGCCAGTGGTGGAGCGACAATGTGTTTGGGTGGCGAGACACGGATGGCCCTCTTAATCTAAAGCTATATTTTTACGGCTATGATTGGTTATATCAGTTCTACAAGTGGTCCTGTCAGCTTGTTTATGGCAAGATTATCAACCCAATATGGCCTTGCTTTAGCGGTTTCCCTCAGGAGGTTCTACGAGACGCACGTAACCCCGGATTTACGGACTGTTGGCCAAGTAATATGACGACTTTGACCAACTACAGTGGATTTTTCAAGGCAAGGCTGGACTGGACTTTAACAAGCAGCAGCTTCGACGTTCTTGAGAAGGAGATTGGAAACACTGATTATGCAGCAAGTGACCATGCCTACTTGATGGTGCACATCCGGCCAAAACAAACAGGCTAGGCCAGACCATGACGCACAGCAATCTTTTTTTTTTTTTTGGGTGGCCCAACCGTATAAAAAATTTCATCCTGTGGGGTCGACTACTGTCGCAACGTGCATCTCCCCACTCATATATGCAATATAATCCTCTTTTGAAACTCGGCTTAATTCCTCGTCTTCTCAGTGTCTAAATTGCTCTCCATTTTGTACATTTTACCACAAGGGTCGTACTGATCTTATTGTGTAATTCCCAACCAAACAAGAACGGCCATTCCAGGCAGTCCGACGTATTACTGATCTTCCAAAATGAGCGTCTTTCACTTTGATGATGACGACCACCCAGCATTACGCAATTCAACATTCGAAGAAGAACTTGCATCAGGACCCGGTAACACAATTGCGCAACTACGGTTGACTGATTCAAATCCTCCCAGTGGTTATAACAGTGACACCGATGAAGCCAAGCCAAGCGAGGAGGCCGATAAAGAATACGAAGTCAAGCTCAATGTGAATTTTGTATCGTCCCAAGCTCAAGAAGCCCAAGGCAATAAGAAAGTTGGACCAGACGACTTCCAAACCCTCAAAGTGATTGGAAAGGGCGCGTAAGTACAATGGAAATCTGTAAGGCTATCATCAAGTTCAGCATTAGTAATGTAAACATATTTATGCGTACGTAGATTTGGAACGGTCACCCTAGTCAAACATAAGGTATCCGGAAGTCTGTATGCCATGAAGGTGTTGAAAAAGGCATCCTTGGTTCTTCATTTAAAAGAAGCTGAGCACACCAAAGCAGAACGACAAATTCTGGAGGACGTTAGTCATCCTTTTATTGTCAAACTTTTTTATGCTTTTCAAACAAAGGAAAAACTTCATATGATTTTGGTAAGTTAAATGGAAATAGGGATCATTTATGAGCTTTTCAAAATCCTCATGTTGTGGAGATTTCAGGAATATGCAAGCGGTGGAGAACTGTTCACACATCTAGCAGCTGAACGAATGTTTTCGGAAGAGGTAGCATCCTTTTACGCTGCTGAACTTGTATTGGCTCTGGAACACCTCCATTCTCTGGGAATCATTTACCGAGACCTGAAGCCTGAGAATTGCCTTTTGGACACCGACGGACACGTCGTCTTGACCGATTTTGGACTATCGAAAGTATCTGTGGACGAAAAGACTAATACAGTGTGCGGAACTGTAGAGTACATGGCACCAGAGGTTCTTATGGAAATGCACTACGACCAGACTGTGGATTGGTGGAGCTTGGGTGTACTGATGTATGACATGTTGACCGGCTCACCACCTTTTGGAGGCGGTAATCGTAAGAAAACTATGGAAAACATTCTCAAGAAAAAGCTCAATCTACCTTATTACATGACACCGGATGCTAAAGATATATTGAACAGGGTATGTATACATTATTTGAGTACAACAAATAGTTTTCTAATACTAAAGAAAAATGCAATGGTTGATAGCTTTTGCGTAAGAACCCTAATGTTCGACTTGGTGGTGGAGACAAGGGGGTGGCGGCCATCAAGAAACATAGGTTTTTCCGTAAAATCGATTGGAAAGCATTGGAAAGGCGAGAGGTCGAACCGCCGATTTTGCCGATCGTGGTAAGTTGAGGTTATGGCCGCCTACAGATGACTTTGACCATATTCTAATTCAATTCTAAATTTACTTTAACAGATCGATCCGGAGGCTGCGGAGGTAAGATTATACTTCATAACTAAACACAGCCTTGCATTCAATGAGCGAGTTTTGCTAACATGTGTAACTTTAGAACTTTGACGTTACCTTTACAAGTATGCCTATCGGAGAATCGCCTCCCAACTCCAACTCCCTCGAGCAGAGCTATGAAAATCTATTTAGAGGCTTCAGCTATACTGCACCAACCATGTTAGATACCATATAGAGGAATTATACAATATATGGCGCGGACGATTATCAGGTTGCAAATTTCAAGTTGATATTGTATTAAAAATATAACAAAAGTCCAGCTTGGCGGGCGTTAATAATGCAATGGATCTTCCCACTGCCCTATTCTTGACTTTGCGGAGAATGTAAGAGCATTGTGGGGATTGCAATTTGAAAATCGATTTGAGGTTGTACCACTAGCGGTATTGTCATTTTGCCGGATGATATGTTTGATTATCCGGGCGGGGGGGAGGCAAAAAAGTGGATTATTTCATAGCGGTGGCACTCGCAGTGCGGTGACGAATCTCTGTCCGCGCATCCGGCGTCCAGCATATGGTTAGAATTAGTGAACGAGACATCAGCTATGCATCGCTCATAAACCGGATATGTCTAAAAATACGTTTGGCAATGGCAGACGAATAGATACCAAGTATTATTCAGCTAAATCATATGGTCTAAAGCTCGCCGGCATAAAGAATAGCTGGTTTTCATTTTCATCTAAGCTGGAGTTGATATGCACAGAGGTTTTGCTGATCTGTCAGCACCTTTCTCAGCCACTCATTGGAACTGGTCATCAACCGAGGATAAATGGTGCGCGACACTTTCATTTCAATGATGAAGAGAGTGCGACCTATTTCATTTCTAAATCCATTATAGGTAACCCATTCATCATATGTCTTTTACACAGATATAGCATTTCGGACTAACTCCACGAAATGAAGCGAGAACAAGGTTTGATGAATGCAATGCAAACATTGGGGCGTGAGCACTCTTTTTTGCCTTCCGAGCTGCACCCTTGTGGCTGCCCCACATTTTTTGAAAGCTGCTATTTGATGATTGCTACTCTACTATATGGGGATTGAAGCATCACATGTACCTAGTAGAGGTGCCGTGACGATGGGGCAAGTAGCGCCATTCGGCCGATACTCTAAGGCGGTGAAGTTCCCATTAGTGGCCGACAAATCTTAGACTGAATTGACCAGCTTTCGAATGAAAATTATCTAGCTCTAAGCTCTAGGTCAAATCCGACTCGAGCGTATGCGATATTCCTGTGCTATGATCTTATAACGTTCGGCTGTTCAATTCCTACCGTAGTTCTGTCGAATTTTTGCCTTGTTCGTGCTTTGTGTAGCCGTAAGTACACTACCTCCCATAACCTTGATACTGTGTATACCGGTACATTCGGGGGCGTGTGAGTATATAGACTGGAATATAGGACCCGCATCTTGTGGCACGTGATGCTTGACAAAGCTAATGCGGGGTTGGTGAAGTAGAGAGTGTTCAAGATTACCAAAATAGGATGGGTCCCGCGTAGAAGGGAGGTCGGTAGTCGAATTACATTAGTGCGATTGGTTCCTGTGTTATACAACCACCGTCATCATTAGAAATAGTATTTAAGGTCGACTTCGACAGCAGCCATCTTTCGTTTCCCTATTTGGTCCCAGTAATATACCCTCTGTACACCACCCACCACATTTCACCAACAATGACAGCCGTCAAACGATCGGAAGACCAGGGTTTCCTGCCCTATCAAACATCATGTGCCGTTATTGCAGCACTGGCTGGTCTCAATGTCGGTTGGCATATTAGTACGTTTCTGTCTACTTGCCCTTCCGATATTACAGCAAAAGTACTTTGAAATTGATCATCTTGTATTACTTAGGTGTACCCAACATGCCGCAAACCGTCATTACCAGCTGCAACATTGAACACACCGGAGGTGGTTTACCTCCATGCCTTCCCATGTCAGATTACGTTTGGGGTCTCACTGTTGGTTTATATGCTATCGGTGGTCTCATTGGTTCTTTGAGCACTATGTTCACCAACATGTGGTTTGGCAGACGTTCAAACATCATGCTCTGCACCATATTTACTTTGATTGGTGGTATCTTCTCTGCATTGGCCGTTAACACTGGCATGGTGAGTTTTAATCTAAACATTATCTTGATTTTTTTTTTTTTTTTTACATCTACTGACTTACAATTATTTTTTTTACGTTTGCTAGTACATCGTCGGTCGCATTTTAGTCGGTATTGGCTCTGGCTTAGCAGGCTCTTGCGTTCCTATCTACGTGAGCGAGATCGCAACGAAAAAAACTCGTGGCGCCCTTGGAAGTTTCTTTGAATTGTTTCTCAACTTTGGCATTCTATTCACTCAAGTTGCAGGCCTTTACCTCAGCAAAGTCCCTGACTGGCGATTCCTTTGGGTTATTCCCTCAATTTTGGCACTTGCCCAACTACTTTTGTTGATTTTCTTCACTGTTGAATGCCCTCGTCGCCTCTGTGCTAACAAGCAATACGAAAAAGCTAAAATCGCTCTCCAAAAGCTTCGTGGCGATGCTGATATTGAAAGAGAATTCAATAATCTTCTCGAAGCACGAAAGCGCGATGAACATCGTCGTCAAATGACCATCTGGGAAGTCGTTTCCGGCAAGGACAAGTACGTCTTGATCAACACCATCTACGTTATGGTCCTTCTCGCTTACAACCAAATCGGAGGAGTTGGTCCTATGAGTGTCTACTCTGTCAGCTTCTTCACAAAGATTTTCAATGGCGATACTGGCATGGCCACCAATCTTTCCCTTATCGATGCCGCTGTCAACATTGTCGCCACCTTGATCGCTGTCTTCTTCATGAACAAGGTCGGCCGCAAAGGCTTTATGCTTATTTCCACTGCTGGTATGACCATTGCCTGTATTGGTATCGTCATTGGATCATCGGTTGCCACTGACAAAACTGGTCCTCTCATTATCTTTTCTGGTAAATGTTCATTCTACGTTACCGAAAAAATAATATGCGTCTCACATACTGATATTCTTTACCTTTTTTAGCTGTTCTTTTCCTCTTCACTTACTCCCTCGGATGTGGTGTTGTTCCCTGGATGTAAGTATCGATGATACTATGTTTAACCATGCCAAAAAACAATATACTGATCGTCATTATAATTAGCATGACTGCCGAACTCTTGCCACTTCATGCTCTTGCTGCTGGCTCTGCTCTCGGTAACAGTTCCAACTGGCTGGTTAACTTTGTTGAAAATACCCTTTGGCCCATCATTGAATCTCACTTGAACAACTATTCCTTCATTATTTTCATCATCATCAACTTTATTGGCTTCTTGTTCTGCGTGTTCTGTCTCGAAGAGACTACTCACAAGGATCTTGACCGTGACCACGCGGCAAAGCCTGGCGCTACTGATTTGGAAGATAGCAGTAACAGCAACCTTGACAAGGTTGAACATGTTGAGAACACCAGCGAAACAACTGAATCCACTCCTGACGAACAGAGATAAAGCTGCTTTATCGAGATCTCAAATTTACTAGGCAAATGCCTTCACCTTTCCTCCAAAAATATCCATTTCTTTCCTTTGTATATTATATTGTACACTATTCTTTTTTTTCCAATTAAAAAGGTTACAAATAGCCTCTCTTGACGAGAGAGCGTTCAACTGTACGTATAGTACGATCAAACATGTGCTAAGAGACGATAATCTATCACCGATCGCTCTAGCACTTGACTCGGAGCAGTGACGAAGAAAAAAAAAAAATTCGGATTAAGCTTTCTGCCCTAGGATTGTATTGCTGCTGACGAACTCGCAAAAAAGTTGGGAAAATCGCCGAACGAACAGAAAAAAAAAATTGGTTGGCAGTCAAACACAAACTTAATTTGAGATCGGCAGGCTCCAGATGCTCAAGCTATACTTCAATGAGCAGTAAAACACAAAATTAAAGATTACAAACTGAAAGGTTATTGAAGGAAGGAAATGCAAAGAGTCACAATCTTATCGAAATTTATGAAATACAATGTTAAACGGAGGCTTCGTGTCGTCCCTTCGGGAAGACTTGGAGTCGGGCAAATCTGACGGATCGCCGGCTCCTTTTCCATCCGAAACACCCGGTTGTCTTTCGTCGTCAAAACCCAGAGGAGGTGCTGTCGGTCTTGCCAAGCGAACGTTGAGTTCAGCAATATGGCCTTCCACTAGTGCGATCAAATAATCATCTACAAACATCTTGAGTACCATGAAGGTTCCTAAACGAAGAAGGAAGACCGTAAATAAACGTGGTCACTGCCAGTTGAGGATGGATGCATATATTACATACCTAAACTGACCGCACTCCTCAAACTAAAATCTTTCAGTATGGCCGATCCATAGTGATTCCATTTCAAGATGATCTGTCTGGCATGATGCACAAAACGACCAGCGTCCATTGTCTACAAGATGTTTGTAAATGATAAGCGGCGATGATATCATCCATGCCAACGCACTGAAGATGAATCTACCTTCAACATGAAATTTGATGTCAGCTTTTTAAGCCAAGATATCCAATCATCTAAAGCTTTGCCGTCATGTAGCAAATTTACTATGTCCTTGATCACTGCACGAAAGAGAGATCTTTTTAACATCCTGATTTGGAAGCTCACTTAGAGTGGTCCCAAATTGGTTAACATTTTCGTACCTATTTTCTCTACATCGTCCGCTCGACATTCACAAATCCAGGTCGCCTGGTCGATGATCATGGCAACATCGATTGCTGCCCAGTCATGCTGCAACTCTGTCATTTTCTCTTCGTTTTCTATTATTTGAGATGCAAGCTTAGCCTCGTGATTGAGCAGCACGCGATGACGAAGCTTGGAAATAAACAGTCTGGCAACTTAATGAAATTTTGAGTAAAAACGTAAGGCTGCTCACTACTAAGTGCAGGAACATTTACCATCGACTTTGCTTTGGTGCAAATCTGCAGAGTAGCTTTTGATGCTTTCGGTCACCCAATCTTCATATTGCGATGCAAATTGTCTTAACGCTCTTGTTTTTGGTGCTGGAATGGCGACGGTAACGTCACCGATTGAATTTGCCATAAAACACTACAATAGATTCATCAATAGATGTACGATTGTAGCTTGACCTAAGCTGTATGACTTACATCGTAAAGTGCACTATCCCATCGCCAAATAGCCTCCACCAATTCGTTTGATTCTCGGAGAAGTTTAGTATACTTTGAGTCCAAGCCATGCCAAAAGTCCATCAACTCTCTCCTAATCTGTAATTGAGTAAGATTTTTGAGCGTAAACTTTCACTGATACGGTATTTAAACACTAACCTTTTTCCATTGATCTGCCTGAGAATAGGTCAGTATGGTCGAGCAATGTTTTGCGTATAGTTGTGTAAAATCTGAGGCCAATTGAATAGATTCATCGTCAGCAATTGCTTCATTTCTATTATAAAGCGTAGGTGGAAAAAAACGTGGTAGTTTTAGAGGAGATTCTGAAGCCCCTGTCACGGCCGTTGTCAAGATCGGTAGCGCCGGTACCAATGTGTCTGTACCCAATGAGGGCAGATATGGAGATTCTGTGTCGGAAGGATGATGCTGTGAATGCTGATTCGCGGTCAATGGGCTGTCCTGGGAGAACACCGAAAATCCGCTTATTCAAAACGATAGGGAGAAATGTCTGGTTAACATTGAGATCTTTTACGCTGGCACTATAGAGTTGAATTTACCTGACAGTAGTGTTCATTGGGCTGAAATCAGATGTTGACTGCACCTGGTTACTGGCCTGATCTGACGACACCCTTCGTTTAATTCCTCCATAATGGTATTTTGAAGATCCTCGCGTGCCCAGTCGTCGCGTACTCATGTCCGGGAACACCGACCGCATCAATTTTCCATACAAAGCCGAATTGATTGGCCTTAAATTGAGGCCCTCACACGAACTAATGTAATGTTCGTATGCATCATTCCTCGCCACGCTATGATCCTTGTCTATAACGTAATTGCTATGAATCCTATACCAATGACGAGCGCGTAAGTAGTGAAAGGAGCATACGCGGGCAGACGGGCCATAAAACTTACCAGCTCAAAACGAATTCTCTGGTTGCCTTATCAAGTGCTGGCTGATGGCTAGAAGATGTGGCTGTATGATCTTCCGGTGGTGTGCTTTGAGGTGTGCCGGTAGTTTCGCTCCGGACTTCGTGGTGCCTCATGGCAGCACTATGGTCTAGGTCTGTGCTGACATCTATGTCCCCAAAATGCGCGGCATCCATCCCTTCAGCCTTCAGCAAAGAAGTCGAAGGTGGTCGTGGCATTACGTTTAGAATGAGAGCGTGGTATACAATGAAATTTTAACTGAGCCAGTGTTGGGTTGCGATCGTTTGTTGAGAATGAACCTTGTTCCCAGCTATAACAGAAAAGTGGAAAAGGTAATTCTTCGGAGTACCAATGCACTGGACCTGTTTGTCTATGGTCAAAAAAGATTGTTTGTTGAAGCCTGTTGACAACAGATAATACATTTTATTCAAGAAGCCTAAAGGACATTATATACATGAAAAGCATCTCTTTTTTTTATGACCATGAATAGCTCTTCTTGGGGAAAGGTCTTTGCGTATGTTCCCCGTCAGACAGCAGGTTTACCGTACTGAGAAAGCAACCGCTATCTATGATATTAAGGCTGTTGGCGTAGTCGAGATCGCAAAGAGTAATCCCAGCTTGAATATTTCCACTCCTTAGTATGGCATATTTACACTCCTCCAAAGTTTTTGTGGGTTCTGCATACGAGGACTGAATTGGTGTTCTGCCTTGAATGATGTACGTACATATGGTTGATAATCTTTGAAAGCTCAGCAGCCTTTGCACTAGTTCAATAGAATTTACATAAGGAATAATTCGATTCACTGCTATTGCTGATGATAGTAGTGATCCGCTCATAACAGAATGGGTTGACTGGAAGCTGATTGTCATGTCAGAATTGGTAGGTGATCTCGGCGGAGACTGAGAGAAGGTAGTAGTATTGGCTGGAGTATGCATTAATAGAATAGCAAGATGCACGAGCTCTTGATTTTCTGCCTGAGCTTCCGCGATGGTTTTGGCTGGTTCATTGAGAGTGAGAAATCCGTGCATTTAGTCTCAATGGTCCATAAGTTTTTAATGACTTACGTGTGGTTTGCATGTAGTTCATGTAAGTGCGTAATAAATCTCTTCTGCTGTTGAGCAAAAGTTTGACGTTGTTTACAAAATGTAAAGATAGACGACCGTCAAAACGTTGATCATAGTGAATCATATCGAGGACCTCGTCGCATTTCATGCCAGTGGTTGACTGAACGCTCAATATGTCGCTTGTGTCCAAATAAGTGGTACAAATATGGGCCATGCCCTCGGATATCATGTTTGGGAGGGAATTCTCCAAACCAAATGCTATATGTGCCAAAGAAACAGAATGTGATCCAAGACAGCCATCTAGCAGCGAAGGAAAATACACCTCGAACACACTCTCGACTCCCCGTGAAGCAAGTTCCCGGTCGAAAAATTCGACAAACCCCCGATACATCCTGAATTATAATCAATAACTGTACGCTCATTGGCAAAAATATACATGAAACCATAGCAAAAAATATACATACTCTGTTTTGCCGATGTAAGCTCTCCAATTCTCGGCGTTGATGCTACCCTGGCTAATAGACGCCGTAGGTTCAAGGTCCGCTGCCATAATGTGGTAGGTACTATTTATCTTGCCAATGTCCGCTGGGGAAGGGAAACGAACGTAACCGTGGGGTGGATTTCGAAATAAAATTAGCAGACAATGCAGTATGCAAATCCTTTTCAATGGGGTCAAATTGTCATACCTCCCATGTCGTATAAACTCAGCAAAGCTTGCGCTAATGTATAATTACTGTCTTGACGTCCAATGCGGTGTACTTTATGATGATCTGTCACAGCTCGTAAGACGAGACTCCATGCATCGCTCCGTTTGCCAACGATGTGAAAGGATTGCTGCTGCTTGAGAAGCATGGGAAACGGCTTCGTTTTGGTCATTAAAATTGGGTGTTAAATAAAAAAGAGAATATGTAACATCTGGGAAACCGCCCTTTTTATACAAAGCGTGGGGGGAAAACAACAAGCTGATTTGCGGAAAAAATAAGCCGCCCAACATTTTTTTTGCATTTGCCTCCTTTTGGATTCCTTTGTGCTCTTGATGAAACAAATCCGAGGCACTCTGATTTTTTGCGTGTTTGTGAACAATAAAAATTGCTCCGTTTCCTAACATCCTTATGGTTTCATTCGTAGATGACACATTTTTATTTCTTTATTACAAATTGAGTGAAGATGAGTCGGAAAATCAGCCAAAAGTCTTGCCATGTCGCCAAATAAACCTTTAGATTCGTGTACAAAGTGGTATTAGCTTACAGTAATAGAAGCTGTTGGCTGATTAGATGAATTGTCTGCTGATTTGAAGGCCTTGATCCATCCATTCTCAACAAAAAAGTCATAAATACGACTTGTCTTATTAACATCGATCTTGATTAACTCCCTAGCTTGTCTTCGTCGTAAGAATCCGTGCTTGGCGTATTCTTTCAGTATGGTATCTTTGATAACTAGGTAAGGACGGGGTAGGATACGCAATGCACTGCAAAGTTGTTGCTCGTCTTCTGATAAGAGATGAACTCCATCCGCTTCTTTGATGTTCAGAGGATTGGCCGGTTTGCGTCCAGCGGCTGTGGTTGGAGTACCAGATAGCTTTGGAGTGCTTGCTCTGGATGTTGGTGAAGTTTCTCGACCGTATTGCATGGCAAGTTGAGCTCGTAGAGTATTACGCGCTTGATTGCGTTCATTGGCAAGCATCGTCTCACGTGCTATGAGGCCCTTAAGATTCGTGGTACGCTGTATTTTGTCGCGTTCGTATTGCTCACCAGCTTTAAGGGTTGTGATTCCATTCTCTCTCCATTCTTGTAACTGTACAATGCGGTCTCGATACCTTTGCTCCTTTAATAACCCGTCCACGAACATTTCATAGTCTCCACTTGTCTGCAGTCGCGCAAAAATTCGCGTTCGGTTATACAATTCTCGCTCCTCTCGAGACCTCTTCTTGTCTGCAGTTTGATTCTTTTTGTAGTCAAGGAGACCGCGTTCCAATAGAAACTTTTTCTTTTCTATCCGCTTGTCCAGCCTTGAGTTGTAAATATCTAGAACCATGACCTTGAGGTCTATTTCTTCTTGCGTATCATCTTCACTGAACACCATATCTTTGACAAATGTTTCAGCTTCGTTCTCTTGTTCAGTCTCGAATTCATATCTTCGAGGCATGTAACCTTGAATTTCATGAAAAGTTGGTCCACTGGTGATTGGCTTTTGAGATCGAGCTGGTGCAGCCGGCGGTCGTCCAGACATGGCATGTAGGCGCTGGCGCTTTCGTTGCCTATATTCATCTTCGGAAATGTTGAATTCAACACTCATGTCAGGTATTGGCCAATAAGCGCTTTTGACGTAGACATCAAGATAATGTCGTTCGCACTCTTCTTTGTTTTTCGTCCCAACGTAATCGGCAATGGCCTGCCAGTTGCCCATACCCATTTTTTCGGCTCCTTCAATAAGTAGTAGTTCTTCATCGGCGTCCCATTCCTCAGAAAAAATTGGGAATGAGTGTGGTTTAACAACACGGTAATCGTGCCATGCTTTATGCTTCACTGGCTCTGCGCCAGAACAAAAGCATGTAACACACAAGTCGAAATCTGGACAATCCTTGTCAGCACAACGAATGCGTACAGTGTTGGTGACATCAGTACTACAAGCATCGCAATGATACTTGGGAGGTTCCTTGTCATCTGTTCCACTACCGCTTGCCCCAGTTGTTCCGGCGGTGGCCATCGGCTTTTTACGATGGGTTATTGTCATTGTGTTGGATGTTGTGGCGTGCTAATCAAAAGCTTTGCGCTTGATGTGACCTCAACAAATTAAATATTCGTCGATATTACAGTGAGATCACTTGAAAGAGTGGCTTGAGAAAGGTGGGCAATTTAAAAATGGTGTGGTTGAAGTTATAAATTCAGCATTCTCATTGCTGTGAACTGGTTACGGTAACAACGCAAAACACCCCGCCGTCACGTGAATTTCATTGATTCCACACTGACGATATTTCACAAACAAAATGATGCGTCTTATTATGCTTTTTTATTGATATGAAAAAACAAGGCATGTCAAAAATTGCTTATAATGAGGAAGTGATTTAAAAGTTGTGCGATTATATACATTTGCGGCTCTTCGTACGCTCTTTTCCAATGGAAGCCGAGTGTGAAGTTTCTGATCTAGTTCGTTTCTTCTTTGGTGAGCCATTATCGAGTCAATTATCTTCCATGGCAGTATCACCATCATCCTCGATATGGGGTTCTTCATAGTTGAAGGTGCCATCTGGTTCGTGGTTTCGAACAACTTCAACGTCGTCAGCGTCGGTATTCATGATGACCCTGACAGTTTCGCCATTTCGGACTCCACCATCCAACACAAGACGAGCAAGTGGACTTAGGATCTTGTTCTGCAAAAGACGGTTAAGTGGTCTTGCACCGAATATAGGTTCGTATCCACTTTGTCCAAGCCATTCCTTAGCCTTCTGATCGACTTCCAAGGTGATTTTGCGATCGTCCAAGCGTTGTTGAATTTCTTGCAGGCGGACATCAACAATGCCGGTAATATTGCTCTGAGTGAGTCTGTTGAAGATGACAAGTTCGTCGATACGATTTGTGAATTCCGGGCTGAAATGCTGTCTAACCACTTGCATAATTTGCTCCTTGATCATCAGCATTGCCTTGGTATCGTGAATTCCAGAAGTTTCAGCCAGAAGGTTGGCTCCTAGATTGGATGTCATGACAATGATAGTATTTCTGAAGTCCACCTTTCTTCCTTTGGAGTCATGAATATGACCTTCGTCAAGAACTTGAAGAAGAACATTGGCCACATCCTTGTGAGCTTTCTCCAATTCATCAAACAGCACAACAGAGTAAGGCTTTCTTCTGACGGCTTCTGTAAGCTCGCCACCTTCTTCATGGCCAACATATCCTGGAGGAGATCCAATCAATCGACTAACAGAGAACTTCTCCCTATTGAAAAAAAAGGGTCAATAAAATTCGGTCTCGAAAACATAACATTTGGTATGAAACCGATAACTTACATGTATTCGCTCATATCAATACGAATGAGCGCTCTCTCATCGTCAAATAGGAACTCGGCTAAAGTCTTGCAAAGCAGTGTTTTACCCACACCAGTAGGACCAAGGAACATGAAACTGGCCAGTGGTTTATTAGGATCTTGCAGCTGTGCTTTGCTAAGTCGAATGGCGTTGCTGACGGCTTGAATGGCAGAGTCTTGTCCAACAACCTCCTTGCTCAGATGCTGTTCCATGTTCAAAAGTTTTTCACGTTCGCTCCTTGCCAAATTTTGCACAGGAATACCAGTCCAGCGAGCGACTACTTCCATGACTTGTTCAGCACGTACAACTTCGCTAAGGAGATCTTCCTCGTTGGACGCAGCAGCTTCCGATTTTCTACGCTTCTTCTCTGCAGTCACTTCAGCTATTCTTTGCTCAACATCAGGGATAGCATAGTACTCGATATCTGCTGCGGTAGCAAGATCATAGCGATTCTTCGCTTCGTGTGCCTTTCTCTTGAGTTCGTCTAGCTTCTGGTTGAGATCACGGATTTCATCCAATCGAGACTTGTCCATATCATACTTCATCTTGAGAGGTTTCAAGTCTTCTTGAAGTTTGGCCATTTCTTCCTGAACTTTGGCTAAGCGTTCTTGAGATTCCTTATTGTTCTTTTCCTTTGAAAGTGCGGTTGCTTCAATCTCTAGCTGGAAGTGCTTGCGTTCCAAGACATCAATTTCTTCAGGCTTGGAATCCAATTGCACACGAGTATTGGCGGCAGCTTCGTCAATCAGATCGATAGCCTTGTCTGGCAAAAACCGAGTAGTGATGTACCGATCTGAAAGTTGAGCGGCGGCAACAATAGCGCCATCTGTGATCTTGACACCATGGTAATTTTCATATCGCTCCTTGAGACCGCGAAGAATTGAGATGGTGGCTCCAACGCTTGGTTCACCAACGTCAACCTTCTGGAAACGACGTTCAAATGCAGGATCCTTTTCGATGACTTTGTATTCTGTCAAAGTGGTAGCACCAATACATCGAAGTTCGCCACGAGCTAACATTGGTTTGAGAAGGTTAGCGGCATCCATGGAACCTTCGGATTTGCCAGCCCCAAGAACGGTATGGATTTCGTCGATAAAGAGGATGATGCCCTCTTCGGACTCCTTGACTTCCTTCAGAACGGACTTTAGGCGTTCTTCGAATTCTCCACGGTACTTGGCACCTGCTACCAATGCTCCCATATCCAATGAGAAGAGTTTGCATTGTAAAGACTGTGGTACGTCACGCTCTACAATTCGTCTAGCCAAACCTAAGGATATGTGGATTAGTGATTGAACGGTATTTGGAAAAAACTCAACGCTTATATTTAGCCTCGTGAGACTTACTTACCTTCTACAATAGCAGTTTTACCGACTCCAGGTTCTCCAATAAGTACCGGGTTGTTCTTGGTTCGCCGAGCCAAAACCCGGATGACTCGTCTAATTTCGTCGTCTCTACCAATGACGGGATCTAGCTTTCCCTGTTCAGCCATGGCAGTCATGTCAATGGCGTACTTGCTGAGGGCTTCGTAATTGTCTTCGGCATTCTTAGTGTCAACACGCTTGTTACCACGGAGGTGTTGTATGGCACTTTGGAGAGCTTGCTTGGTGACGCCAGCATCCTTGAGTGGCTGGAACGTGGAGTCTTGATCTGCAAGGGCCAGTATAATATGGTCCACCGATATGTAGCTGTCTTTTTGACTTTTTTGATGTGTTTGAGCATTTCGGAGCAACTTGGCGGCTTGCGGACCGAGGGATAGCTCAACTGGCGGAGGGTCTTGAGTAGGCAGATGAACCATCATCTTCTTGTACCCCCTTTCGGCCAATGCTGGATCACCTCCTGCTTTCTGGATGACATTTTTGAATAGACTACCACCTTCGCTTTCGTCAAACAGAGCAGAAGCGATATGGGCCGGAGCAAGTTGAACATGGCTGAACTCTTGTGCTAAGCTTTGTGCTTGGCCGAGTAGCTTCTCGACCTTTTCTGTAAATTGCATACCAGAACTCATGGTTGTAGAAAAAAATATGAGCTCGAAAAAATTCAGTGATGGGTGGTTTATATCATTTTTCCCAATTTTTATTCCTAATATAGACGTCCAGTACAATTGGGCAAATTCCAGACGCTTCCAGCGCATGCTCCAAATTTCTCTGCTACCAGTATGTTCCAGCTCTTGCATATTGCTGATCTTGCCGTCCCGCAGAACTAGGTCCAAAGCATTGGTCAGGAGGATGATACTGCTTTAATTGAAGAATACCTCTTCCATTTGGCACTAGCTTCTGTAATTCCTGGCGACTTGGCACAGTCTGATATGATACCTGCGTTTCATGCAACCGTCAGAAAAAATATGACGCCACTTCTGGGGGCATAGATGATAAATGTTTAACATACTGTGTCATTTAATCGGGTCAGTGTACCCAATAAGTCGGTTACTGCTTCTTCTTCCTTAGTAGCCCGAGAGGCAACGGCCGAATGGGTTATGGACAGCGTTGATTTAGATACTTTTTTAAGTGCGTGAAGCTCAGCTTTGGCTTCCCGCATAAATCCTACGGCAATGCCTGAATTTCTAAAAAACCACCGAACATGAGAAAGAGAATTGCATGAAGCATAACATAGACATTACTTACTGGTTATCATTTGCATCTAAACTCAGATGCTTCTTTGCCATTGCCTGGGAAAAAGCGCATGCCGGTCAATGCAATTGTTGCTATTCTTCCTTTCATTGCGAATATAACATACCTTATAAAAGGACGTTCCATCACTGAGGTATCGTTTTAAATCTGAGGCAATTTCGGAATTGGGAAGAGAAGAGAGTAATCCATTTGCAGTGTCATACTGGTTTGCAACACCCATATACAATTTCGCTATGAGTGAATTTGAGACTTTGCTGTGAACCAGAGCTTTACTGACTGCCGCTGATTGGGCATCGGCTGCTGCCAGTCTAAGTAGAACAGATAGTGGTTAAACGGAGCACAATCTCGACAAGATGGTTGTAATTTTGATTTACTTTGAAAGAGCCGTTGCGGCGTCTTGGTGCAGTTCTATAGCTCTCGGAGAGGAAGAGTCTGGTGGCGGGTGGTCAATACTGTCGGCGACATATGAAAATATTCCTGCAGCTCTGTTCAACATATCCGCAGCCTAAAAAATAGCTTAAATTGGGCCAATTCATTTTGGGATTGCCTTCTCACAAAAATCACAAAAAATACCTTGTTATATTGTACTTCTGAATGGTCGCTCTCAGGTGGTATGGATGAAATGATTTCTGAGCCACGCAGACAAAAGGCATATGCATAGGTCATGAGCACAAAACAAAGCTCTGCTTTGATTCCTTTACAGTTAACCCGAGGTTTCTGTCCACCTAATGCTTTCGTATGTCCACTCAGTGTCGATCGCCATGACGTTACTATAGCAAAGTCTGCGTTAACAGCCATTATTTCAAGCTAAGAATCTCCGCATATGGACTCACCTATATCACCACGCGGTACAAGTTCCTCTCCTTCTATACAAGCAATGATACCATAAAGATATGGCAAATAATCTTCTATAGTCTATAGATACATATGGGACATCTCAGTTTCAAGCATGTGTGAATTCAGGGTTAAAATGGAGCTAACCAACATTTATAACTTCCTGGTAATCCTTGTTCAGCTGTTCCTGGCGTTTAATTGTCTTTAATGCTGCTCGCAATCGGCCACGCTGTGCTGTTGCTTCAGAAATTTGCTTTGAATAAGGTCCCAGATTCTCAAAAAAGTCTGCGAGAGCAACCGATCCCGTTGTAGGTAAAGCAAAAGGATAACTCATGAGGAGGGGATGGAGGTAGGGTTTGCCAAGCAACGAGAAGCGGACTGCTTATAATCAAAGCCAAAATTTGTGGGACGGTAGACAGAATCAAACACGGTATTTATTCAAAGACACTCAGGCTCCGTATAAACCGATCAACAGCTACTCTGAATAGTTCATTGCTAATGTAACCGGCAGGGATTTGCTGAGTCTCTTGTCTTTCAGCTGCCTCAGCATCATCATCACCAGCAATTGGTATATCGTGTACAGTGGACGAACCTATCGTCCATCTAGTATTATCGAATCGCATCAGCGCGTTTTTGACCACAAATTCAACATAAAGCTGGACATAGATTTGCCGAAGTACAGGGCGAAGAGACTCGGTGTATGGATCAGAGTTGATAATGAATTTGAGGCCGGTCGGTGTCTCGTAGTAATGCAATCTGTATGCTGACGTCTTGTATGATATGAACCCATCCTGTCTGTCATACCCCCACCATATCAATAAATTTAACTTTTTCTCTAGATTCATGATACTACAGAGAGTTCGACTTACCTTCCACTCAATTTGCGCACGAAGTTCCTTAAACTTAAAACAACACCATATACAAGTTTAGCCTCTTCCTCCAGTGACATGTTGTTACCAGGTATAGCTGCGCTTTGCATGCTAGAAATACGATTGTTGTCATCGCCTGCTTTATATGAAGATGCAGCTGAGGAATTGGCGGGATTGCTGTCGACAACGTTGGACGTAGCGCTGGATGTAGAATACCGGGAAGTAGAATTGAGTAGACCGCCAGTTTTCGAAGATGTCGTTGTACTGGTGGCATTAACAGATGCCATAGAAGAAGGTCGTTGATGGGACCATTTCTGAAAATATATACACTCGCAATGCCGATCAAAAATGTATAGGTTGTGTATGGTCATCCTGTCCTGGTGCAAAGGCTCTTGCCGACAAAGTGAATCGGACCGCGAAAGTCTGCTGTGTAAATGTTAAATTTCCACTTGAAATTTGTAAGTCTCGTGACTTTCGAACTCATATAAATGGATATTGGGAATAGAAGAACGGGGGACTTTTCCTCACTTAATAAACTTATTATATGGCAAGGCAAGGCTTATATACTTAGCGTATAAGCAGGATTATTTGACAAGTTCGAGAAACGTGAAAGATCTACACCAAACCCGACAAATTTACACATATCTTTGCAACAGAATAGCTGAAGTAATTAACGTGACATCGCCGAGTATTTCCTTCAGGCAACCCACTTTGATCGAAATACAGAGATGCTGACCTCCTTTTTTTCTTTTACAAGAAGATAAGCCGGAAATATGGATGGTGCCTGAATATCCGCAACTAATTGCTGATTTATCGTTTCGCGGCGATGCAGTGTAGTTCGAGACATCGAGGCTTTCAGTAGAAACCTTAGTGCTTTCGTCAACCACCTCAGACTATAAATATTAGTTAAGAGGAAAAAAAGGAATGTTGATAAAGTTTCTGATATCCAAAACCGCCGTGCCTTTCAATACGACAGTAGCATTCAAACTCGTAAGCTAGCATCTATGGTATGGAATAAGGTTACATGGATAAACAACAACGATGGCATGTTATGCCGAACTGGGAAATAGCTTACACAAAATGGTCTGTAATACCTTACCTTATCATGTCAACGTATAGAAAGACACAAACATTAACATGCGAAAAATAGGTTTAATCATGCGCTCTGTGAATGCTAGTAGCGTCGGAGGTAAAACGTAGGACGGGCCGAGTTTACTGCTTCCTGTTCAGCTAACGATGAACGAAACAAGCGAGTGTGGAAATAGCAGTGGAAAATCAACAAAACCGCATAGAAACTCATTCCCGTTTGTGGTACTACTCTAGACGCTAAAATAGGAAGTAAATCGCTCATAGCAAAGCCTACGCATCTAAAAGCTTCTGTCGCCAAACAGTATTCGGAACTAGCAGGACAAATTTCATTTGAATACAACGGTAGAGAAAGAAAATAAATAGCCCAGTTCCCTTAATACAGAACATGTTACCAGTAACATGACTACAACGATTTGGCATACTTTCACCTTTCCTTAGGGCTATACTACCTGGATGAGAAATGGGGTTTACTTATCTCTAATTAAAATGAGCATTTGTGCATCAAAAGTACCCACGACATCGTCTGCTGGGCTTCATGTGGACTCCCTGTCTTCGTCTGTCGAAGGCAAGTTATTGGGAAAATATTAAAAGGGATGCGCTTCATGACGTTGTTATAATACTCTGCACCATGAAAGCTCATCCCATGGTAGTTAAAAACCTCATGGTACATGATAGAGCGATATTACAGTATAAACCAGCTAGTCTTGACACGAGAACATCACTGCAAACTAGCTTGGTGAACATTGTCAGATTGACAGGCACATTTGTTTTTACTGGTCTCACTTTACTCGCACTCTCACTAAATCGATATGAAGCTCGATATAGGTTTTGGGATTTTCCAGCGTTTTCCACGGTATCAATTTACTCAGATAATCGAAACACTCAGCAGACCACAAGTAGATCAAAATAAATACTAGATGTTCATGGTGGATGAACGGAACGAGTCAAAATAGGCAGTAGGCTTGAGAAAGTGAAAGAGCTACAGACTATCAAGTCTAAATATCAACAGCATGAGAATTTGTACCTCTTGCATAGCGAAATGACAATCCATGAAAAAAGATTTTCCGAATAAACTTATGCCAACGCAGGAAAGAAAAACGGAACAAAGCCATTCACCCTCAACATGCAGTAATTGATTTCATTCGCGTCAAAAAACCGTAAATGTTTGTTTGGAGATTGAATTCACAAATGAAGGGATGGTTTAACAAATCGAATCGTGTTACGACGATGTAAATTTTTTTTTCTTCTATACCGTCTTCGGCGGCCGCCAAAATTAAGGGGCCATCGAGAAAAGATTGTTTAATTTTGACGTTTGCATTGGCCTCAGACTTTCAGGTTTTTACTACCAACTCAAAATGGGATATTGCAGCAAGTGTGATTGAGTAGTTTGTACGCCTTTCATGCCAATGACGACGCAGTACGATATTTTAACAATGTTTTGTGGACAAGGCGCCGCCGATTTCAAGGCCGATCCACACGTTTTCTACGATCATAGTTCTATGGCGCTGAACTTTAGCAATTCAAGGCACGGATTATTATTTAAGCTGAACGTAGAAAAATTGAGTGCCCGCGTTGCTGTGGTCGAGTTGATCTTCATAAGATGGCTTTCGAAATTAGAAGGCTAGTGAAATTATGCAGACAATAATGCGATATGATTTTACAGGCATGTTAGGTGGTGGTTCAAATCGCTCTTCCAAGATCGAACACCGATGTGGGACGTTTGACGACGAACGGGTTACAAAAAAACTGTAAACAAAAACAATTTGGCCACATCAACCTACACCGGTTCTTCTACGTTCTTCTATGCACATCCACATGACCAGCGGGACAGTAACAAAGATGTCAAACGAATCTACTTACACCCAGCGGAATGTATCATCATGTAGGATATGGAATGGGTTCAGTTCAACACAAGGGTATTTTCCATTTGGGAATATTAAAAAATCGCCCTCAATTAGACATATGGGGATGCTTGCAGAGGGAGTAAAATAATATATCGATGCACCTAAGATTGCGGGTCAGAAACAAAACAGGGTCTTATGCTGATGTATGCTTCGTTAGACTGGCCAGGGTGAAAGTATTGTCGAGCATTCAAAAAGTCCCGATAGGTTAGGCAATTGAAGAGAATACAAAACAGTTGGAGGATATATTTTAATTTCAAGCTGTCGAAAGAAACTAGTGCAGGCTATCTAGGTAAAAGTACAAAAATTTGAGCAGTTCCGATTTCATCATAGCATGGTCATGGTTTCATAAGGGATTATGTTATGAACCATGCATGAGAAACGTAACGAGTTGAACTAGGATGATGGAAGCGGCATTCGAGTGCCTTGAATCAAAGGTTGGAACCACCATTGTTTCTTGACCTGTTTGATCCATTCACTTATAAGTTTTAGACGGTCATGAGGGTTTGTAAGTTCCAAAATTGCATGCTTTTCTTGATCATCTATGGGTATAGTAGCAGCCATCCACCAGCTGAGGGAGCTAGCATCAGAAGGCATTCGGCTGTTTGTTCGTATAATCCTTTGCAATATCCAAGGCACATTGGAACGTTGGAGTAATCTACCAAAGTTCCTTGCTTCTCGAACCATAGCGTCCGTACTGGGTGAGTCCATTTGAGTTACATCATCTACTTCCTCATTGTCCCAATCCTTCAAGTCCTCGTCGTCCTCCTCATCGTCGAACGGTTCGACTTGAGCGGTATGGTATCCATCACGAACTCCGTGCCTTTTGATTCGGAATCTATATAATCCGACTGTCTTGACCAGATAGCGACCATCATTCAATTGCTCTACACCTTCTATCTTCATCATAGTGCCGATGTCAGAGAATGTTTTGCCTGGAAGTCCCATGCACATACCGAATGCCCTTGACGCACCAGGTGCAGTGCAACGTCGGATCATGAGACGATAACGAGGCTCGAATATGTGCAAGTAGCAAGGTATGGTGGGGAAGCCGATCGAGCATACGAAAATTGGGGTATATGAGGACGCTTGCTCTTCCTCTTTTTTGAGCGTTTCTTGTCGTTCCATCTGTTCGAAAGGAAATATTGTTGAAATTAAATAAGATAATGTAGAGTTTGAAGGGTGGGTTTGCAATGCGCGTGCAATGGGTAAATGGCATCTGCAGATTGCACAGACGTTGCTGTGGTCTGCAAATCGTAGCAGGCATGCTTTGCAAAAGGTATGTCCACAAGGTATAGTGAGTGGCTCGTTGAGTAAACAATAGCACACTTGGCATTCGAGTTCGTTGAGCATGTTATCCCTCCATGACGAGGACTGGATTTCTATATCCGATATACATGCTTCCGAGCTGTCATCAGAATCTCTACTGTGATCCAAAGAAAGCGGGCTGGAACCAGAAGAATTTGAAATGCTGGGAGTGCGCTGATGGTGATACTGTTCTGGCATTGTCGCATGCATACTTGGTTCTACAGATGGTTGAAAAATCGAAAGTAGTCGCTTGTCTGCCATTTCAACGGCAATTAATTGTGAAAGTTTATGGATCGTAACATCGACCTTTAATTCACCAAACAGATGGGATTTTTCTGCGCATTCCCGTACTGGACAGTCGAAGTTTTCTACTGTCGCAGGGTCAAACTTTGGCATACATGATATGCAGACAGAGAAACCGCACGACAACGTAATCGGATGATTCAACAGTCTTGAACATGAAGGACAAGTCAAGGCGTCAGAGGCTAGGATGAGTCCTTCGTCAATTGTAGAAAGATTGTCAACTGTAGCAAACGACGAATGTGCAGTATTATTCAAGGCTTTGCAGGTATACTGGCTTCCGGTATCGTAGGGAAGGCGTTTCATAGGTACGTCTGATAGACCAACGTTGACGACGGTCATCATAGCAGCTCCAAACGAAGATTGTTGTTTGTAGGTTTGGATTTTAAAAAACAAAAAGAAAAGTTGCTATGAAAAAGAAGCAAGTAGAAGAATGGAAATTGATTTTTAACTTCTTTATAAATATCCTTGAATCGAGCGATTTGTCCGATGGTCGATTGTGGTGTGGGTATGGGTTAAACGCTCGATCGATACATTTTTTGGATCTTGCCATTTTAAGTAATGCTCGATTTTGTGCAGCATACGAAACAACTGCTCATCGAATGTTCTTACCGTTTCGTTTCAAAACCACTGCCAAGTTACAATTCAAATACATGTTGCTTCCTAGAGAGCTTTAAAACGTTGGTTCAACTCATGTAAGAAAATTCTATTTTTCTAAAGCTCGATTTCATTACCAAAAAAGTTATACAGCCATTATTTGGCGGTTTCATTTCTGTCAATAGTAAAGGTCTTAGTAGAAATCGACTTCAGTTTACAATTTGAAGGCTTGGTATGGCGGGCTGCCGGTATAATAATGAGTCGCAGCATAGTTTGTCCGTGAGCAGTTCTGATATGGTAATGTTCGTATTGACGTGGTTGATTACATCGATCGCCAAATGAAAATGGTGGTTCGAAGGTTTTTGGACTGTTTTATGTCGCACCTTACAACTATGAATAGTTAGAGATACTACTGGATTTCATTGCCCAAAGAACTAGGTATCACTACAGCGGTGCATCGATGGCGATCGGAGTAGGCGGCCAAAGCCGTTTGCTATCCAAATTAGACAATTCAGGTGTGACTTTGTCTCATGGGTTCATTCCAATAAACCCATAGCAATTTCCGTCTTTTGGATTAGTATACAACGGATGGATTCCGTCGCACTGGGCATGTAGTTCATATCGGATTTGTAAAAACTGTGCTTGCTTGCCATCGAACCCAATTTTTTTTTTTTTCTTTTTTCCTTTTTGCACTCATAATTGTGGAGAGCTTTTAACGTCGGTACTGGTAAAACCATGGGTACTGTTATGCCCAGCTGCCATAATCTGTTTCGCTGAGTCATAAATTAAACAATTTTAGCAGAAAAAACCGATAACATGTTTACAAATGCATTGCAAATAAAGTCAAATGCATCGAAGCGAAAGATTGATCTAAGATGTGCAAAAATCAGGCTACTTTTTGTTCCACCATACGGCACTTCGCCGATTCTAACCGGACTTTGTGACACAGTCAGTACTTCCTTATCGACAAACTGGACGATATTTGCATCGACGGCAACTAGACTGTCCAAATTAAACTACATGAGTTCACCGTGAACAACTTTAAACCAACGCATTAAAAAATGTGGGTTCAGCCATGTGTTTAGAGCATGTTATGCAAGCAACAGCAAAGGCCCCAGTGTTATGGAATTGAGCTTGGCTTTGAGAATTTTTCTTTAACAACTAGAGCTCATTTCCTAAACCCCCACATGCAAACCAAACCAAGCACGCCGATGCCCTAAGACATGCGCTCTTTGAAATCGACCTCTTTAACTTTTTCACCAAACCCTACTGCCCCAATGGACTTTCAGAATCGTGGTGGTAGAGGGAGAGGAGGAGGCTTCCGTGGTAGATCAAGAGGTCGAGGAGGCTTCCGTGGCCATTCTCACTCGCGATTTCAATCTGTAAGGCTGCCACTTTTTACATTATCATCAGTGTGATGTTCACATTCGTAACCAAAAGTAAAACTTTTTCTTTCATGTTATTCACTCTTGTCGTATCCAGAATCCAGACCCATATCATGCTCCTGCTGAGAACGATCAAGAAGATGACGGCAGTATAGAGTATCTAAATCGAAAATACGGATCTCTGTATTCTCCGATGTTCACAAAGGACCCTTGGCGAGAATTCGGTGCTGGTCAGTCATGAATCACATGCAGGGGAAAAGGTCACGCAATGCATGGAGGCTGGTGAAATGGCTTCCAACATAGCCTATCAGGAGTAAGCTATGTTCAACTGCTATTGAAGATTATCGCTTATCTGATTATGTATACCAAGGTTGCCATATTAGAGACGACAATGACCATTTTGAACAAAATAAATCATCTTCATTTACTGGAGACTAGATTTTTTGGTATGATGAAATTTATGCATTCTAAGGGATCGGTCCCTTTCATCGCTTATACACACATCTTACTGCGGTAAATCTAGTACATAAAATACAGTCCTTTGAGAAATAATCTGCCTTGGCATCATACAAGTTTAAGCTTCGTATCAAAAATGTTGACCTTTGCCATAAATTAACAAGTTATCTTTCAATATACAGTCTTTTCTTTCGAATATGCACATCTGCCTATCTAAGTCAATAGCAAATTCATACAATCAATGAGATAGTCTAGCTTGACGAAGTCAGTAGTCTGTCTTTCTCATTTGAACATACATCACTCTTCCCTTTGTTCGTCAATGATAATCTCTACATCAATGAATCTTACGATCTATAATTCAATGAACTTTTATAATCTAAAGAACTTTGCCCCAAACAATACTGATTTGGTCCTTCTATTAGAGTTTCCTAATTTGATTCATTAGACACTTTCCGATAATGTCTGAGCTGTAGTAAGGGATAGTTCGCGGCTACGATCATCGTCGATGGTTTTAAACCTGGCGCCGATATGAAAAAACAGAGACAGTGCTGCACTTTCGGCAATCGAATAAACATGCCCTATTTGGATAAACTGACGACCTTATGGAGATATTCTTATGGATGAACCGCTGTTAAAAAGCAGAATCTTTTGCTTCATATAGGAGGTTACTCAACTCAAAATTACTTGGATGAATCACACTACGCACTGTGTGATTGAGTCAAGATGGCGGTCAGCCAGAGTGTATCATAGCTTATTGCGCTTCAAGGAGAGAGAAGCGATTGCCGTTCTTCAATTAAAGTACGTCAATTCCTTCGAATTCAATCTTATGATGATTTTGAGTTGTTGGGTTCTGGCATTGGACATATACCCAGCTCCCGCTTTGTGCTTGCTTGACATTCGAATAGGGTTTCAGAAGAGCATAAAATGTACATGTAGATTTTCATTCCAGAATAAACAAACTTAGTATTGTGTAGTCTTTATAATTCTGTATTTCATCAACTCCCAGTCTAATCAAAAGAAATGGGAGGTAGATGGAAGGATTACTGGAAAGTTGTGGTTGGGAACGGCAAAACCATGCAAAATCCCAATATGATACGGCAAAAAAAGTGTAGAAATTTTTATGAAGAAAAAGTATATGAATCATGATCACAGCTGCTTTCTATACATATTGCGACAACCAACGGAAACCATCACCATAACCCTGTCTCATCACCACTGAGCACATGAAAACTTCGATCGGGCGGATATCCTTGAGAGGAACCTTGCCCTGCAGGTACAAACGAGTGTTAAAGAGGTATTCGACAGCAAACCCATTCCAAAAGTGATTCATTTACCTTGCCAGTGGTTTGGTAAAGACCAAGCTGTTGTCGAAGAACTTCTTCACTAACAGCATTGGGGTCGTCAATCTTGTTACCCAAGACAAGGAAAGGAACAGTAGACAATTGTTCTATGGCAAGGAGAGCCTAGATAAACGTTGGTAACGTTAGTAGGAAGCGCTTGTAAACATTACACGTATTTGCGGTCCATGAACTCACATCCAATTCAGCCTTAGATTCGTTCAATCTCTCAATATCAGCGCAATCAACTAGGAAGACGATGCCGTTGACTTCAGGGAAATAATCTCTCCACAAACGACGTGCTTGTCGATGGCCGCCAAGATCATAAGTGGTGAATTTGATGGATCCAATTGAAAGCTCTTCGGATGCTGTAGCAATCAATCATCAGATTAGAACAAGTGTTGATAAGGAGCATATAACACGCATAAATGTAGGGTAATCTTTGACATGCGGGACCCATTTGTTATAAATCGTCCTGCAACGCCGTTGCCATTCAACTTACTAGGATGAAGGGTGGGTTGCAAAGTGGCCAAACGGTCATTCTTAAGCATATGCAAGAGAGTAGTCTTGCCAGCGTTATCAAGTCCTAAGAACAAGATTTTGGCGTTCTTATTCAAAAGTCCTATAGTTCTAATGGGTTAAATTCCAAGATGCCATATGATGTAGTCGAAAACAAGTGAAATATACCAAGGGATGACAGGACATCATAGAACCAGTTCAAGATGAACATTATGACGTGGCGAGTAGTATGAAAGGCCAAAAGACGGGTTCAAATGGCGACCAAGTGTCGACTTCTGAGCGTTCAAGCCACTCCAAAATCATATGACCAATAGGCATACGGTGACATCAGGAGCTTGAGCATTTTGGAACTCTTTGTTGGCTGAGATTTTCTGGGCTGGCGGGGACAGTTGAAAACTTTGGGGGGGAGGGGTGCTGGGGTCCAAATCCTGATTGTTCGAGGGTTGGATGAACGAGACCATGTTGGAATAAAGCTCAGTATATTTCAAAAGAAATTAGTTCAATACCTTGACTGCACAGTCATCTTTCATCATTATTTTGGTATATTGGAGCAAACCATCCATATCCACTTAGTATGAGGTGGGCCATTAAAGCTGCGCAGGCGATCTGCGACCAGGCGTTCTGGCGGTTAGAGTTGCATGGAAGCATTTCGACAAACCTAGGCGTCAAAGGAGCAGCTTCCGAAGATAGTTTTATGCTATAAGCCATATTCTCTGGAACCATAGGAGGCAGTCTTCGAACCTTCATGCAAAGGCTTCAGACAAACGCTGTTAGCAACTGTGCTTTGCTGCCACATGGCTGCTATAAAGCCGATCAGCTGCTAAAGATATAATCAAAGGACACCTACAGTTAAATTCCACTACTGATTAAAAATAGCATTAACGTGATAATGAATGGATGGTTCTCTGCTATTAACAGCTTATGCCATGCATGGCTTCGCAAATTTTTATTATTATTTAATGGTTTGATCCATAAGGAGGCCGGAGAGAGGTATCGAGGATGACGTCAGACTATTTCGATTCTGCCCCGATGTTCGCCTCCCCCCCTCTTTGCGCTGATACCTACCCCCCATAAGGCTCCTCCCCCAAAATCTTGACAATTACTTAACACCAATTTGATCGAGACAAAGTTCACAATGTCTCATGGTCCTCCGGCGTATAATGCATATCCCCCTATACCAAGTCCAACCCTACCTAGCCAAACCACCATTTTGAGTCCACATGCCTTTCAACCGCTTCATCCCCAATCTAGCCCCAATGGATCTCAACACCCACAGGGTATGCCGCCCCCAGGACGGGACGCGACTACAGTGGGAGTCAAAGCGGAAATGATACAGAATGCTCATCCAACCATGTACTGTGAAAGATGCCAGCGAGCGCGGTCTGCTGGGGAATTCTTCGAAGCATCAGGAGCTATTCGACATCGATTCTGCAGTCTGTGCAGATCACAAGATGTTCAAAGACGAAGAGCGGCTGACATGGAGCGCTATGACCAGGCTTCACGTCACTATAATACACAGCAACAACGTCAGCCCACCAATGCTAATCCACCTACTACTTCTCAACAGCAGCAACAGCAACAACCACTACCGTATCCTACTCATGTACAACCCGGATACCAGCATCTTCGATCTCAACTTCCTTCGCAATTATCACCGCATATGCCCCAAAGTCAGTTACCATTATCACCAATGCAGACTCAAATGCTACCTCCGCAACCTCCACCACTGAGATCTCAGTCTCACATTCAGCAATCACCTATTCCGAGTTCTCCTCAGCTCCGTCAAATACAGACTCAACAATTGACTTCGTCACAAAATGTTGTCCAGCAACAGCAGCAGCAGCAGCAAAATCGACAGAAGCAGCAGCAGAAGCAACAACAGCAACAACAACAGCAGCAGCAACAGCAGCCGCAACAGCCGCAATCACAACCACCTTCCAATTGGATCCGTCAACCTCAGCCAATGGTTCAAGACTCAGTGGTGAAACGTCCTCACCCGTCGTCATCTGTTAACATTGCCGCACGAGGAGAAGCTAAACGACCAAAGAATAATACACCGCAAGGAGGAACTCTCCTCAGTATGCCATCGAATACCCACAACCAAGCATTGGAAGTTCTTTCTCCCGATGCTTTTGTCGAAGCTCTACACCAAAGTCAAAATTTCGAACGAAAACAGTTTGCCATTGCCATGGCACCTATAGTAGCTGAGGTGGGAAGTGAAGCTGGTTTCACACAACTGGGTAGAGCTGTCTGTGATCGTGTCCTTAAAGGAACCGGATACAATTTCAGGTGAAGTACCCTTTTTTTTAATGCAATATTGATCTCAAAATCTAGAAACTAATTTTACATTCCGCTCAATCACGTACAGTCTTAAGGATAAACGAGCGTCTACTAAAAATCCACTGATGGTCACTACTTTACGATACTATTGTTCACAACGGTCAGACACCGCAAAACATCGAAAACCAGAGCACCCGAAGGCTTCCAATCGCTACGAGTGCGCTGGAGCGTTGACGGTAATTGTGGATCTGTCGAAAATGGCTGGCTACATAACGCTAACGCATAAGGATCCTCACCCTCCTTTTGTTTCTCCTAATACCAACTCGTCTGAGTCTCGAAATCATCATCCGTCGCAGCAACAAATACTGGCGCAACAGAGACTAGAGGATAAGTTTGACAAACTCAAGGAGAAGGCGTTACGATTTGCCGAGCTTCTAGAACAACAAAAGATATTTCATAGCAAGCAATTCCTACATACAGCTACCGATGCTCTTCAAGCTGCCGATGAAATGTTAACGGCATGCAGTGTTTTTGAAGCCGACCCTACTCCCAAGAATGCGAACAAATATACTACACATTACCGTCGACGAGCTGTTAATTCCTCTACATCAGCCAACACCAACCAATAGCTGTGGCAACTTCTGTAAAAGCGGTTTTACTTTCCAGGTGATTCTTTTGTTCACCCTCCTACAACTTCGTACCAACGCAAGTAATGCCTTTGTGACTGATTGTTTTCTTTTCTATTTGTTGATCTCTTTTCTCTCGAACCACGCTTTTCTTTTTTTCTTTTCACTCGTTTTGCCTGTAGTTTACAAATGTGCTTCGTATCATTCGGATATGTTGCTGCAGCATACCAACATCACATCTATATAAATATCATCTCACGCTATTGTTCATTGTCATGACTCCTTATTAGATTTTGACACCACCACCGTCAGCATGTCACCATCAGGCAGCAGTGATTATAAACGCGTATCTACGTGCACTTGACGTGATGCTTCAACGTTCACCTCACTGAAGAGCCTCTAGCATTCAATATATATGCTTCGCTGTTCACGCCATTGATTTATTTCGCATCGCGACAACTACAGTACGTGAGGGTCATCTGCGGCACGACGTATAATGAGACTCTAGATCCAGGCTATTGCAAGCTTTGCCAGATGTAAATACATCAACTTATCCATATCAACTTACACCACCAGCAACAGCGAAAACATAGCATTAAATGTTGATCATACCTTACACTAATAGCCAAGAGCAAGAGTAGATACTCAATATATAGGTTGGTTACTTGCCTTCTGACACGTCGTTTGGCATATTTCCATCACCTCCATCCGAACGTGATGATGTTTCTGCATATAATATAAATCATTAAAATTTCTACAGTTCTGATATCAGTTGAAACATCAAATTGATCATCTACATACTGTCCACTTTTATTCAGGGTCGAGCGCCTCCTTCGCAGTATGTGCCATTTTGGATTCATCGCAGTCAAAGAGAAATACAGGGTTCGTCTAGTTTTGATCTCCGAATGTTGTCGACATGACGACAAATCAGATATGCTGAAGAAGGAGATTACGCTCCGATCGCTGGTTAGAACTGATGTTAACTTACGTTCAAATTGAGGGAAGAGGTATACACTTCATGCCCTGTGAGAATATCCAAAGTTCAAAGAAGGGGTTAGTTTGTGTCGCACCAGCTGCTTATTTGCTCAGGCAATCAACCCCCAGGTAAACAACAATATTCTTGTCTCTGTCATAACTCAGAAAAAAAATAGTTTCCCGCTAGTGCAGAAGTTATTGCATGGGACCCACGCGACTATCGATGGAGCCATTCCTGTGCACTCACTGCCTTCAAATAACATGCAGGACTTTGGATGTAGCGAAGCAGCGGAACATTTCTCCAAATGGAGAAGTTTATAGTTTGTATTGGTCCGAGGAAGCCAATCCGCCAGTTCCAATAGGACAATTTAAAGCAGGGCCGCGTTATGTAACCCTCCATGCTTAAATCCAACTCAACGAAAAGTCAGAGTATGAAACAAAAAAAAAATAAGTTATGCGCCTATAAAAGGCCGGAAGTAGCATTAAGACTAATCCAACGAATTTTCTCTTCTCTTCTTTTCTATTTTATCACACTATGGCTACTTCTCTCCCAGAGTTTTCTCTTCAAGGCAAAATCGCTGTCATCACTGGTGGTGCTCGGTAAGCTTCATCGTTGCGTTTTGATTAAGCAGGCTTGATCCAGCCTGTAGTATTGCCAGATGTTGACTCTGTTATATTTTCTTAAGTGGTATTGGTTTGGAGATGAGCAAGGCTCTTGCTGAAGCTGGTGCCGACGTCGCTATGATGTACGTCTCCAATGACTCTACCCATGACACAGCGGCCGCTATTGGCAAGCAGTTTAACAAGACCGTCAAAGCATACAAATGTGAACTGACCAACGTCGACCAAGTCCGTGAAGTCATTGACAAGATCCACGCCGATTTTGGTAGAATAGATGTCTTTGTTGCCAACGCTGGCGTTTCTGAAGGTGGTGCGGCAGAGGTAATATTGTTGGAAATTTTATCGCGGAAACCTTGCAGGTCGTAGTTGGAGTGAAACATTAACGTCATTTTTTCACTGTTCTTTCGGATAGGACTTGGATATCAACGTTTGGCACCGTGTCATGGATGTTAATGTCAACGGATGCTTCTACACTATTCAAGCTGTTGCCAGGTAGGAAGCTTTTGTATTATGGCTAGGTCTATTTGGATCCGCGACCATGTGCTTACTATATATATGTTGTCGTTCTATTTCTCTTTCTGTTCATCTAGACACATGCTCAAGCAACCCAACGGTGGATCTATCATCACTTTATCCTCCATCTCCGCATCCATCGTCAACCGTCCTCAATTCCAGGTTGTCTACAATACCTCCAAGGCTGCTGTTGGCATGATGACCAAGTGTCTGGCTGCTGAATGGGCAACACGTAAGATCCGCGTCAACGCCATTAGTCCTGGATACATGATGACTGATATGGTCAAGAAGTACATTGATAACAACAAGGCACTTGGCGAAGCTTGGGCCGAGCATACTCCCATGAAGCGCATTGGAGATCCCAAGGAACTCCGTGGTGCCGTTGTCTTCTTGGCTTCCGACGCTGCCTCCTACATGACTGGTTCTGAAATCGTCGTTGACGGTGGTTATCTAGTTTATTAGATTGAAATACCAACCTCAACCACTCCTTTGTAAATAAAATCAATTCTAAATGAGTAACCTGTGCTGCTTGGCATGTGATTGTGACTTCGCAATCGATGTCCAGCCGATATAATTGCAGTGCTTGTGCCCCCACTCGCCTTGTTTCTTGTTTGCCCGTCATAATGGAAGCGCATCTCACCAACGAAGAGCTAGATGAGCTTAGCGCTTTGGCTGAGGTAGGTTCATACACTTGTAAGCAACCATTTCAAACCCTTCCTTGCGTAACAAAAGGTTCTCGAAATCCCTTTGCCCCAGCAGTCCGACCAGTTCCATGTCGTGCCTGATCACATTGGAAACGATACATACTCCACAACGTCAACACAAGACCTTATGCGGCGAGGCGATCCCGACGCACCTTTTACTGAATCTTCGAATGCACCCACTCCTTTTCTAGTCACTATCGTAGCCAAAGTGTTTCAGCTGCTCCGACCACTCTTTGCCATTATCTTCTCCCCAAGAGTGCAAAGAACCGTTATCCGAACCGCCTTTTTGACCATCGCTCTTTCCTGGATTGTCAGTGTGGCATGCTCGGCTTATATTGCCTTCTACATGGCCCACGTTCCCAAGACTGCCCACATCGAACCTGTCTATCTGCAATATGAGTAAGTTATGCGTGAGGAAACGGTAGGTTTGCACGTGAAGTACGACCTTGTCTGATACGAGTTCGATTCTCTTTGTAGTAAAGGGATGAATCCTATGGCTTTGGTTGATTTGACACAGAAAGGAACTTATACCAAGGTAAAGTGTCCTACCATAGCTATTGTTGAAGTTTGACTTGGCGCATTGTAACAAAATTTTCCATCGCTTACAGCCACTGCGACATGAGCAGCAATACAGAGTCGATATTCATATGCATGTACCTAGCTCAGAGATAAACTTTGACGTCGGTAAGGCTACACGGTTGCTGGATATCGTTATGCTGTTGAGGAGAATGTCATACTGATGGCGTCATTTATGGTGGACTAGGTAATTTCATGGTTAGAGTCGATCTTAAAGCAGCCGACGATAAGACCGTGGCATTTTCAAGCAGACCTGTAAGTATGAGTGTTCTTGTGGATGGGTATGATGGTTCCAGGACAGCTTGGTGTCTACCGAATGGTAAGGTACTTACGGACCCTCCTTTCCCCACTCTCAGTCTATCCTACGCTATCAGTCCGCCCTTCACCGAACGTTGGCTGTATTTGCTAGAGCCCTTCCGCTCCTTCTCGGTCTAGCTAAGGAGACGCAGACTTTAGTTGTTCCAATGATGGAGCATTTTGTAGAGGACCAGTCCCATTCTGTCACCAAGGCCATTGTGTCCGTGTCGGACAGTCGCCTCCAAGTCTACAGCATGCAACTACACATGGTTGCGGATTTCCATGGCCTTCGGTACGTAGTCTTGTCTCTTTGGACTAGGGTGTCAAAATCGGCATTGCTTGTGTCAAATTTATTTAATGACTCCTCCACTTTAGGTACTATATGTACAACCATCGTATCATCACCGCTATGGTCTTCATTACCCTGTTTATATGCATCGAGTTGTCGTTCGCTACCGTTGCTTGGAGGTTGTTTGGGTACACCCTTTGGACTCGAATCAGTCAATGGGCTGATTCAGTGGCCAAGGAAGGCGCAGGAGGATATACTGAAGCGAGCAGTGAGAAAGACCCCCTTATCGCTGGCCTTGAGTCAGCATCTGAAAAATCGGATCAAGCTGACGACGACGATAGTCATTAGCAAATGAACTACGTCTTTCTTTTCCCCCTCCACCCATATTACTTTACATACCCGCTACTAAACAAGGACACTGTTACATACCTAAACCCATGGTCAACTCTGATTTTCACTATCTGTTGTGGATTCGTTTTCATTACTACGTTGTGAATGATACTAGCGAACAGCGTCGGGTACTTCAAACGCAAATGTATGAAGAAAGAAAAATAATAGTGAGAGAGCATACGAGTGAAGAGGAGGAGACAATATATGAACGGTAAATAATAATGAAACACATAGTGGGGAATACTGTATAATTAACAAGGAAAAAGTTACAAAATATGGGATATATACAATATGGAGAATTGGGGGGATAACCGATCATAGAAAAAGATATGGTATAAAAAGTGTCTTTTGTTGTTGTTGTTTTTTTTTTAACTTGGGCGGGAGGGATCAAGTTCGCTTCGTACTTGTTTTCCAAGTTTCCCGAGCTTGGGGTCGTGGTATTGATTCACTGCTGTCCTCTTCTTCTTCTTCAGAGAAGCTGTCGGAATCATCTTGGAGAAAGACATCATCCAACGGTTCGTCAAAGAAGCTATCTTCATCAATGACCTCATCGTCGTCGTCCATGTCATAGAAATCATCATCCCAGAGTGTCTCGTCACTTGTTGAAAGCCCAAACAGCGGTGCTTGTGCGCCATTTCGGACCGGCATTTCCACAGTATCATCACTGAGTTCAGCCTCTGACTCGTGATTACGAGGAATAACTTCACTGGGAGCAACCATCACTTCTCTCGAGGTAGAGGGCTGCTCATGTTCAGGGCGTGCAGTGGAAGTTGCCCATGGTTGCAGTAATGGCTGTAGGTACTTGATGTATGTGCTATACAGAGTGGGATGCGGACAGGACTGCAGGCTCTGCATTAGCATGGACAGGCAAGTGTGGTTAGTTATGTACAGTTCATCCAGCAAAATAAACACAGTCAGCTATGCGCTCACCCTTGCAATCTTGTCAAACCCAGATTCCATCAACTCCATACGCAAAGCTTCTTGTGAATACGAGTCCCAAAGACCACGATAGGTGGTGGGTGGAGTGGTAATGAGAGTACACATGAGGCGTAAATGGGTGATCTGTAATCAAGTCGAATATGAGAAGGGCGGCTCATTTCACACAGAACCACAGCCCCCGCCCCTTACTTACCAAATAATCAACAACACCTTCATCCACCATAACAGAGCCGGCGGGTTGAACAGTAGCAGATTCAGGATTACTAGCGATTTGTTCGTTAACAGCTTGCTTCCAATTGACATTCTTAGCATCCGGTTGAATTTTCATTTGCTTGAAAGCACTCTCAAATCGATAATCCAAGACTTGTGATAAGAATGTAATAGGCTCTATGCTTTTGTCCACTGTAAATGCTAATTCCCGCATCCATGCCGAGTAACGCGGAGGACGTGAACTGGATGGATCGGTACATTCCTGATCTTGAGCTTCCTTGAGTGTCATTGGAAATGGATAGTGCGATGCGCGAGCAACAGGCTTCTCATCCACTTCCTGGGCTTGCATTGCTAGGTCTTCAGGGGTATCAAGTAACAGCTGCTGCAAAATGTCGTAGCCATGCACGTAAACAGGCTGACCTTGGGTTTGTAAACTTGCCAAAGTACACAGCACATCGAGCATAAGAGCTCGAGTACTGATTTCAAAGACAAAGAACGACCTGCGTTTAGGGTTGATCGACGAAGAAAACAGAAGATCTCTAATGATCTTCAAGGGGGCTTTGTCTCCTAACAATTTATGAATCCCGAGCTACAGGGAACGAGGCGATTGTTTGGTTAGTACTCGTGGTCATACTTTGAATAAATTGACACAGGATTACCTACCTCATGCGTGGTTAGTGCTTTGATGCATTTGACTAGCTGCTGCAATAGCTTATCGTCCTCAGGGGTTCTAAGGGTAGAATTACGCACAGACGTTAGTTAGATTAGGTATGACGAAAAGTTAGGAGGGACGCTAAGGACGATTTAATTTACCTCTTTGCGATGTTTTTGATTTGAGCCAGGGTACTTGTTAGAGAATCATAGCCGCCAGCTTTAAGAAATTCGGTGGTCCAACTATTGTGATCCAGGTGTTAGTGTTGTAAGGAGTGGAGAGGGTGGTAATTTTTTTTTTGGGGGGGGAGTGTTTCCAAATTACCTTGCTATACCGTTACGAAGATAGACTCGGAGATCCATGATCTCAGCCAGTTCAAGATCTCGGCAAGTAGAGTGCATAAGAAGGTCAGCAAAATATCGTGGAGACTTTGCTTTACCACTGAGTATGTGAGCACCAACGCCTTGTGGCGCACGAGCATGAGTAGCGTAAGCATGAGTGGGCCGACGTCGTTGAACTTGATGACGGCCCTGAGCGTCTCTAACCGTTCCGGGTAATAAGAGCTGCTTTGATTTCCGTAGTGTTGCAAAAGGTGCGGTCAAGGATAAAGCACTGCTCTTCCTCGCCAACTGAGATGATCTTAACAGTGTCGACTTTTGTTCCCTGGTAAGATGTTCCAAGCTCGGGCGCAAATTCGGCGGCAAAGCATATTCTTTCTAGAAACACAGGCAGAATACATCAAGATCATCGTCTCGATAATGAGAAAAATTATATCCTTGTGTTAGCTCACCATTAAATTTTCAAAAGCCTCGTTCAAATCCCGATCACTTTGCTGAGAACCGGACCCTTCTCCTCGAGTTTGACGAACCGCCCCGATATGAACTGTACGTGAGCCCAACTTATTTTCAATAGCAATAGCATTGAAATCAGGATGTTCCGAGGATACCCTTGATTCCACTGAAAACATAGAATCAATCTTGGAGATGGCTGAATCTGCATTGGAACTTCCGGATTTGGTGCGACGACGGCGATAGTTCTGTTGTTGTTGTTGTTGTTCAGTTGCCGTTATGGTAGTTGTCTGAATTCCTTCATCATCGATGCTTGCCAGCTTTCCATCTGCTTGAGTGGATTTACGATTAAATAATTGTGAAACCTTGGACATGAACTTTGGTTGTCGAGTAGGTGGGCTACTTCCGGTTTGCATTGAGTCGGGTGTAGTGGAGGGTATAAGATCTGGCGTAATTGCCATATCGGTTTCCAGCATAAGTCACTAACTAAAAGAAAAGAAGTAGAGAGAAAGTGCGATAAGGAAAGAGAGGAAGGTAAAGAGAGAGAGAGAGAGAGAGAGAAAGAAAGAGAGAAAAAATGCGAACTGGTTGTTTGTTGTTGGATACTTCGCAATGTCATCCGAACGTACACCCCTCTATCCAGGTCAGTTGCACAGAGCGGGAACAAAGGCGAGAGCCATAGCAAGCCTTTTGCCAAGCCAGAAAGACATAATACCATAATTTATTTTATGTCTGTTATTATTATTTTTTCTCTTTTTCCTCCTTGTATGTTTCTCTTTTCTATTTTACTACTGTTCCCTACTTCCCGTATGATAGTGAAAAATTAAAGTGTATTGGCAAGCAAGTAAGCGAATGGGATATATACAATTTTGCGGAGGGTTTGTTATTCTAATACTGAAATGTATCAAAGTTTGGGCATTAGTCCTGCTATTGCTCTGCAGCTGTTTTGAAACTATGAGTGAGGCTGGTAATGAGGGTTGGATGTCAGCCAAGTAAGGGTGGCTGATTATGTACAAAATATGTTGGGGAATGACGAAGCTGGTTTGGCGAGATAGAACCAAAAAGTGGATATCTCGCCTGTTGATTCTTCTAAAACGCCTGTTGTCCTTTGGGTCTTCGAATGGATAGAAGAGTTCGCAATTTGGAGATGCGTTTGCCAGACATCGAAAATGCTGAGCTATTGGAGGCCGTGGGGGTGAGTGGGGTGTCGAAAGAACTGTCACTATCGCTGCTAGGGCTGGGAGACAAAGCTTCCAACTTAGGAGACCACGATGGTGGTGTTGAAGGCGCCGTTTCAATAGGAAGAGGTGTAGAACGAGTGGTATTAATGGTCAACGATTGTGCAATTGGCAGAGTAGTATGAGCTACACTGATGTCGAACGGCTGTACACATGATAATGCAATTTCTTTCTCCTGTTGGATGGAAATGTCGGCTCCTTGTAGAGCAATAGGTGTAGGCGGGGAAGACTGGATGGAGGAGAATGAACCTGGAACCAGTTAAAAATATCGAGTTAGTTTCGCATCGTCTATTTGTTTCAGATATCAGGAGACAATGGAAATCACAAACTTACCTTCATATTTATCATTTTTTACTGGTGAGAGATCGACATTGCGTCGCCGAAGGTTGCAGTGATTGGTGATAATTTCTCCTTCCAAGATGTCAACTTGTTCATATACGATGATGGTGGGTGCCTCCTCTGTGAATCGAACTTGCTTCCGACCACCTTTGTGTACAGACTTGGTGGGAAAACTCCTATCTAAGGGGGTCTCCGTGTCAGCCGCTGCTGTACACTCCAGTGAAGCACTGTGTTGAGCATCTAGATTGGAGAGCTGCAACTGAAGTTGACTCAAGTCTACTCTTGGTTTGCCGTTTCTTGAAGGCCATTCTGATACAGCTGGTGGTACGACGGGTAATGAAAAGCTGGAGTGTTCCGTTGATAACATGTTTCGAACAAGTCAATAGGAGGTAGATGAGTGTTTGAATAGAAAAGGCCGGCCTTTATAAACAAAAGATGAAAACAATGTCAAGAGGTAAATCTGCAGACGACAAGACAAACTAAAAGTAAATCTTAAAAAAAAAGTGGGCTGCCGTTTTAAAACTTCGTCTCGCACACCTGCCTGCACAATGAAATCTGATTGGATACTCTAGTACATCTCTCCGACAATGGCAATCTGTTTGGACAGCCTACGTTTCTCCGAATATACAAACGAGAAGCCACGAAGGGATCATAATTATGACTTGCATAGACAATCGATCGAGAGTGTACATCTTCAGAATTGAATTTTAAAGTGGAAGTTTGCTGCATAAAGTGATGTAGAAAAAGTGGTTTGAGAATATAACATCAATGCGTGGATGGTGCACGTGTGGTGATACAGAGCTGCCATAAGGCCAAAAGAGCTTGCTGCGATTTTTTGCTAAGCTAACAAGTCCGGCCCTCAAGCCCATTCGCATTGTTCTCCCAGTTATTTTCCGATAACGGACCTCCCAACAAATAAATCCCATTTTAGCTATGGTATGGACTTTTCAATCCAATGAGTGTTTTATACATGAAGAGATGTACTCGATAGGTAGTTGGGAGAAATCAACAAGAAAGTGGAAAAGGGAAAAGAATTACGGCAAATATTTTTAAAAAAACGTTCTAAGAATCCTTGGAGATGCCCGCTATGTCTCTTTGGATTTTGTCAAGTTGAGATTTAAGATTATCGAGAATTTGAGAGCTGGAGTTGGAGCTTGAATTAGTATTGACGGTGGTGGGTGGAGTGGGAGTAGGAGCGGGAGAGGGGGATGTATTTGGGTTTGGAATGGATATGGAGGTTGACGATAAGGATTTATCTAGCTTGCGACGTTTAGGTGTACTTGCAGTTGTGGAAATGTCTTCGGTATCTTGTTCTTTCTCTAACGCCTAGAGTTAAAAATAACCATCAACAGAAAGCATGAATGTTAAAATATACAACAGCTGAGACCACATGTGTGCATGGTTGTTTACATACCCTCACCCATTGTTTCTCCGTCAGCCCATCATCATAACGGACATGCTCTTTGGATCGTTGTCCACGACCAAACTCGAATTCTTCCATTGAAGTGTCAGTAGGCTCTTCGATTCGATACACATCAGGAAGCTCGTATTCCTGAAGGAGTCTTTCAGGTCGTTTACCACGGCCACCATGAGCTTGCCACATCTCATACTCTTGTTGATCCCGTTCCTTGTCTATTTCCATGAACCTGATATATTCGTCATCTGACCGCTTGAGGATCAGATTAAGTTCTTCATCATCAACACCGTCATCTTCTTCTTCGACATCATCTTGTTCAGTTTTGTTTTCGAGGAGTGATCGCTATTGAACCTATGGGTTCAGTAAAAGATGGTTTGAATTCATGCAGAAAATACTATTCACTTACCAAGAATGCTTCACGATCTTCTTCAGTACTTCGATTATCGAATTTACCAGCTTGGATAACTTTGCCGTCTATATCTAGCTTATACTGTGCACGGGCTAAAATGCTCTCCTCCACCGAATCTTCGGTGATTAGTCGAAAAATGCGGACTTCCTTCGTTTGGCCAATTCGATGTGCTCGGTCCTGTGCTTGCAAATCTTGATGTGGATTCCTAATATGAGTACGACAATGTTTAGCATATAGTATGAGGACATGGAAATGGGTGAATGGAGAGTATGCACAAGGCTTAGGTGCTTACCAGTCAGAATCAAAAATCACAACTGTGTCGGCACTTTGCAAATTGAGACCAAGCCCACCAGCTCTGGTACTAAGCAAAAACACAAAATAAGGGGATTCAGGCGCGTTGAATAAGTGGAGTAGCTGTGATCGGTCGTCTGCTTTCGTAGAGCCATCCAATCGTAAATAACGGAACCCTCGATAATGTAACAGATCCTCCATAATGTTCATGATTTGAGTCATTTGAAAGAATATTAGGATCTGTTGAGTAAAATAATGGCAAACAATTAATGCGAAATTTCCACCGTAGAAACATGATGTGTACATGTATATAGGCTAAGTCATATCAAAGTTGAAAAAGTATCATTGACTCACCCGATGCCCAGTCTGTTGCAGTTTCGGCAGCATACGATCGAGTAATTCGAATTTTCCAGAGACGCGGTATAGTAGATCGTTGCTGAGCCTTGAGGGATTGACGACATTTTCAACGTCCTCAAATACAAATGGGTGGTTGCAGATTTTTCGAAGTTGCATAATGGTATTGTTCAAGCCTTTGATGCCGGTCCGTCCTTTTTCGCCAACGCCGTAAAGCATACCGTCTCGTCGCATTTGCTCGTACAACTTAGCTTGCAGTGCCGATAATTTACACTTGATAACGCGTTCGATTTTATCCGGAAGCTCAGATTCGACATCCTTCTTCAAACGCCTGAGTAAGAACGGCCGGAGGACCTGCAAAATCCAAGCGTCAGCCCACAGGTACCAAATAAATACACCGTCGCTATTAATGTGTCAGCCAAACTTTACCTTGTGTAATCGCTTAATGATAAGCAGCTGCTCTTCTTCATTAAGCTCAACCTTATCTTGAACTCCTTGACTTGAGAATGGCGTGTTAAACCATTCTTCGAAACTCTTTACACTGTTAAATATCTTGGGTAGAATGAAGTTGAGCAAAGCCCATAATTCTGGCAAATTGTTCTGTGAAACAAAAAATTAATTATTGACTATGACTGAGTATCCACGACTCACACCACACAACTAAACAATGTCTTTCCGTACCTGTAGAGGTGTTCCTGTAAGAATCAGGCGGTATTTTGAACGATAGTATTGTCGCAACACCGATGTCAGTTTTGAATTGGTGTTCTTGATACGATGGCCTTCATCAATAATCATATAATTCCATCTTATTTTACTCAAAGCAGGTCTATCCTTGATCACATATTCAAACGTCGTCAACAAAACTTGGAAATTGCCATGCTTGATTTCTTGCTGTTGAATTTGTTTCCGAGCACTAGGAGGGCCTTTATATACAATCCTGATGACGGACGGTGCCCACTTTTCAAATTCAAGGTTCCAGTTTGTGAGTGTCCTGTTAAGCAAATTGAAAAAAAAAGGACATTAGACCGCAAGCTTTTGTAACTGTGAATAGTGAAGATTCGGACTTACGAAAGAGGAACAACAATCAAAAAAGGACCATTTTGCTGCTTCTTCTCAATTAAATATGTAACGAGACTGATGGTTTGAATGGTTTTACCTAGACCCATCTCATCAGCCAGAATACCATTGAGTCGATTGTTATAGAGTGATACCATCCACTGCAATCCTTTGATCTATCGGGTATGTAGAGGTTAGAAGTTGCAGTGATGTAGATTCTTTCTAACCGTTATTTTACCTGATATTCTTTAAGTGTGCCACCAAGGAGCATATTGGGCTGAGTGACCTTTTCTTTGATCTTATGAGCCATTTGGAAGTAGTCGACTTTCTTGCCATGAGCATCGATGAACTGCATGTCTTCATCGTTTTCATCATCGGCAAGCATGGGCTCCTCTTCCTCGTGAACGAAATCTTTTTGCTGATCCACCACAGCCCTTGTAAGTGATTCTAGATAAGTACCAGTCTGCCGAAGCAAGTGTGTCAAGCGAGTGTCCTTGGTCTCATCAATCAGTTTGAGGTAAACTTCTTCGTTATCCTCTCTCAGGGCTTTAATACGCTCTTTGGACAACCTGTCCGTTCGCTTTTGCTCCTCTTTGTCGACATGGTTATGGTATTGCAAGACGGCTCGACCCAATTTGCCTTGCTTAGTGGCGTGAGATTTATGCCAAGCAACAAGATCACGGCCATGATTGCAAATCGTCTGCAAATAGTCCAGCTGCTTCTGCTTCTCCCTCTTCTCACGGTGCAAACGTTGCTGTCGCTCTAACTTTTCCGTCATGCGTGCCTGTTTCATCGACTGTTTCTTCAGTCTACGATACTCTGCCCGATCAGTATGTGAAAATCGGTTTGCTCGATTGATGTCCTTTACAATCTCCTCTCGCAACTATGAAAAGTTATATCAAATGAATGCATTAAATGCCTGGCTACTCAGATGATAAAATAGTGATTTAAAACAACCAACCTTCTTTTGCTGATCCAACATCTTTAGTGACTTCAGCTCCAAAATGGCTTGTAGTTCACTTTCAGAAGCATTCTTCACGGTTTCCTCATAATTTTCATACATGCGCTGGCCCAAAGGTGCGTCTCCATCAGGTCCAGTAATGGCTATAGCTTCCAGTTGAGCGATTCTATTCTGAATTTGAGTTTGCAATCGAATTTCACGCTCAGATAGCACAGATGCAGGATCCAGACCAGACGGTGCAATGCCTGGTAGTAACAGTCGTTGCTGAAGTGACGCATGTGCATGAGAAGCAAATGGCTTCTTAATGAGGTTATAAGGGCCAGTACTGAATTCAAATATTTCTTGAGCCATTGATGACCCTTTGATGGTGGGTTGCGTGAAAAATGGTGTCATAAGCTGCTGACCATCTTTATTGACCATCTGTTCAGCCGTATCTTTCTGCATCAAAGAAGTTTCGATAATTTTGGTATCCAGGCTCAAAGTCTCTCTTGGCTCGAGCAGCTTTTCAATGTTTGAAGGTGATAAGGTTATTTCTTTCAATCGTCCAGGAATCGCACCATTTTGCGACATAAGCTTAAAAGTCAGAATTTGGAGTTTCAATGCTGACAGCTGTGTTGGTGTAAATGTCGCTGCAGGTTGACCAAGTGGAGTGGCTAAAGGACAATAAAGGATCAGAAGAACAGAAAGGGCAAACTATACGAAAACGAGAAATACCAATTACTTTGATTTGGTGGACGTGGTGTATTTTGCTGGGCAACCTGTTGTTGTTGTTGTTGTTGCTGCTGTTGTTGAAGTTGTTGCTGGTGCATTAACTGCCGCTGTTGCAAGTTTCGTAAAATCAACATAAGCTGAGAGAATTCATTACTTCCATCCTCTTTTGCACCTTGCTTTTGTAAGAAGGAAGCTCTCTATGCGGTGAATACAGTTCAGTGACCGATCAATGTACGATGCAAGTGTGGTCAGCATAATACAACGGCGAATTACCTGCAGCATGGCGTTGATCTTTTCTTCCGTAAGCCCAGCTGTCAGAGCAGCTAAAGCATCCGCCGCGCTTGCGTTAGGCGTAGTGCTCATGGTGGGCACACTAAAAAATATTACTGAAGAGGTTTCGGGATAGACAGCGTTGACAAGACGTCAAGTGTCATAAAAAAGATCAGTCCATAGGGTTCATTGATAAATACGATCGGTCACCAGTGTACAATCGTTGAGACAATAGCAAAAGCGACTAGTGCTTCCAACCCCCACTCACCAAAAAAGTTGACCGCTCGCCCGCGTGCTTTCACAAAAGGTGCCTTTGGTAGGATGCAACTTTGAAGCTGGCTTGCGACGTCATCCACGGGGATTCTTGGGTTTGCCAAAATCAAAAAAAAAAAAAAACGTGACGTCAAAAGTTTTTCGAAGCGTGTGTGCTATAGCTTTGGCACAGTATACTGGCGCAGTGCAATCTCCACATCACGACGCGACATGAAAGCATTACGATCGACTCGTAAGAATTGTAAAGTTTTGGTGAGCCTTCATTGAGGACTGATTTGTCTTTTATGGGCTGCAGAAGAACTAATCTTGTAATTGTGTAGTTGGTAGGATCAACTGGCTGTGGTAAACGCACTTTGGCGCAGGCTTTGATACGCCATGATAGTTTATACTTAAAAATGTGAGTATCAATTAATGATTCTCGCTACTGATTTATATATGTGGAATACGCGTCTGCTCAAAAATAAATTTCTGTACACGAAACGAGTCTTACAAAATAATAATTGGAAAATATTGGTTGGCTTCTTTTAGTAAAACGAGCGAGCAACTTCCACGAAATGAACAAGACGAGCAACTCTCCAGCTTAGACTTTATCATCTTCATGGTGGATTTCACGAACGCACACAGCTTGGCTGTACTCAAAGATGCTCTGCAATACGTATCTGCAGACTATCTATTGGACCGTGCCTGGATTGTGGTCACTAAACGTAAGGCAACACCGCCCTCATTTCGATTGGCTATGCTACACAGAAAATCCTTTCCATGTTGGCCACAACCCTAATATGTTTGTGTTTTGTTTTTTTTTGACCGGTAGATGATTTGACAACCAAATGGGCCATTGACGAAAGCAAGTTCAAAAGTGAAGTCGAATATATCACTAACGTGCCTATATCATGGGCAAATTTGGCGGTAATAATTATTTCCAATGGGAATTTGTGAAGCCGCATCGTTTTTCTGACTGTTTTTAAAAAATCATTAGAGCGAAGTAGAATGCAATGTAGTGAGCGGTCAACTGATACAAGCTATACAAGCATCGGCTGGTTTTCGCTCACACATCAATCCCTGGATCATAAACTCTTGTACATTCGAGCATCCAACCTCCACTGTTGTAGATTCCGCCAATCAGCTGAGTTAAAATGGCTCTCTGGCTCCAGCCAAACGCTGATCCACTTGGTTCCCTTATCGGGCATTTTTGATGACTTTTACCAAAATTCAAAGTACTTGACTTTTCGATCGAGCCAATCAGGGTCCTCCGGTCTTTGTTTTTATTTTAGGAAGAGAGCATATTTCTTGAACGTTGGTCTTTTGCCACTCAGTGACAATCATCAAGCAAGGTTAAGAAGAAGGATTGTCACTTACGCCAGCTGCAAATACTCGGATCAACATATCACTGCGATATAAAATACTGTCCATAACCTATTTTTGAAAAGTTTACGTTCCTTTATCTCAATTTTTGAGAAATTCGTTTGACTAGATAACCTTTTGCAAAGGGCATCTCCACAAAAAAAAAAAAAAATTATATATCCCAAACTCCCCCCCCCAAAACGGTAGTAATACTGCATCTCTCTCTCTCTCACTCACACACAATTGCCATCCTTCGGTCTTTCGAGTGTCTTCTCTTTTCCCTTTTTCATTGCCCTTCCATTTTCATGCGCCGCACATGAATCCCTACGGTTTTTCAAACACCCTCCCAGGCTATGTTGAGTTCGGTTCACAGCCCTCAAACGCCTTCACGACCTCTCAAGATACATACACTTCTCAACCACAACCACCACCACCGCACTCCTATGTTTCAGCACCCGCAAATGTTGCTAACAGTGGCCCTCCTCACTCAAACGCTATGGACTTTTCCTTGGTCAACAAGAATGGCTACGATCTGGTGAATTCAATGGTGACAGCCTCATCTGACATGACCGCCTCATTGATGTCGGCCATTGATGCTAACGTTATGATGAGACCAGCTGCTCGACCTTTGCCCACCAGTACGAATACTAATGACTTTACGAAGCGTAAGAATTGGGACCAGCGAATTATTGAAGAGTTGACCGACTTCTTACATGTACTTTCACCCGTCGGTAAAATTCTCTTCGCCTCCCCGTCCTCTGTGGAACTTGTCGGCTATACACCCGACGAACTCCATGGCCGATCGATCACGGATTTCCTTCACTCAGACGATATCGATATGTTCATACGCGAGTTCAATTTGGCTATTCATACGCGAAGTGAATTCAAGCTCTATTATCGGTTCCGAAAGAAGGACGACAAGTTTGTAACATTCGAGGTTATTGGACATCCATATTTTGGAGGATCAGGAAATTCTGAAGTACCCAAATGCTTTTTTGGCATCGCTCAACCTTACCCTACAAAAGCAGGGACAATGCTGGACTCCTTTTTGGAACTCAAGATTGAAAATGAAAAATTGAGAAATCAACTTAAGCTACTTCAGTCATCTCCATCGAATGAAAAAAGTCACGCTGTAGGAGACAATAAGATATTTGCGACCCAAGAACCATCGATCTCTTCCGCAAAGGATGCCGTAAGGACCACATCCAACTATACCAATACTCTGGAGCCTCAGCATCAGGGGGCATCTCAACGCGATAACAACAATAGTAATAGCAATAATTCCATTATGTATGGATCTAGGATGGATCTGGACCGTCACCCCGTTGCTTTGTTATCAACGATCGAATTTTCTAAAAACGAAACGGCTTCTGATTTGAGTGGTCGATCGTTGAATGCAAGTGTCCCGGCATCTGATACCTCTCGAGCTACCACTAACTTGACCTCTGCGTCCATATCACCCAAAGCCGTTCATAAGCAATATGATGGCAGGGTCAGTATACCCACTGGAGCCTCTGGTATGTCTTCTTTGGATAATGAGACCAAATCCAAACAAAGGAAGAAGGTAAGCTAGGGGACAGAAATATTAAGGATATGGAGGAGGACAACATGTCTGTGTTCATATTGACTTATTTGAAATCCTATAGAAGAAGCAGCGTATTGTGGAAGATGAATATGTATGTCATGAATGCGGATGTGTTGAAAGCCCTGAATGGCGCAGAGGTCCCAATGGCCCGAAGACGTATGTAGTATTTTTTAATTTCAGGATGCATTCTATGCCGCTGACAACATACTTTTGTTGCTAACCATACTTTACATTTAAACTATGTTACTATTTTCCCCCTTCTTATCAGTCTATGTAACGCATGTGGACTTCGGTAAGCCTTCTCGTCCCACATTCAGCTATGAAAGAGAACGATAATACTCACTCATACTCCTTTTTTTTTTCTAGCTTTTCAAAGTACAGTAAAAAGCAGAAAAGCAGCAACGGGAAATAATGTTTGATGTTTAGGATGAGCGGAGGCATGTATAAACCTATAGTGCAAGAGGTGTCAAAATCGTGCATATCCTCGTAATGGGGCAGGTGTTCAAAGAGTACCGATATCGTTGATTCATGCCTTCATCCTCAAATTCCCAATTACTGGTTCACTACCCCTACCCCTAAATTCGGCCACGAAAGATATCTTTTAGCACAATGTTGTACATAATACTACAAGGACTTTTTCACACAATGTTGTAAATAGCACAGTTTATCTATTCTTCTACCCTCCTTTCACACTTTTTTTTTTTTTATCGTTCCCATTGTGGTATCGCCACAATGTTTCATCACGACGTCAATACAGTAAAAGCCGTCAACTTTGCACTATAATGGGATGATCATCCAACCCTGCGTGGACATGAATTATAGTTAAGCTTGCAGATGAAGCTCTTAAAAAATAGAGAGAATAGGAAAGGGGGTTTACCGAAATAGCTATGAAAACACGTCGATTTTACACAACGGTATGGTTACTTATCGTAGATTATAAACTGTGTCATAATACACAGTTTACTTCTAAGGAGACGCTTCTGTTTATCTCCTTCATGTTGATACTCATCCGCGGAACTGAATGGCACCTCCCCTTGTGATATGTCGACGTTTTGCTCCCACACCTCATTTAAGGAAAGCTTTTGGAAAAAATTTTCGATCAAACCTCAATTTTCCCAAATATACATTCAGATTTGGGCATAATGTTTCTAACGAGGGGTGCTTACACTGAAGTACGGGGGACCCTACTGAAAAGCAGCGATCATATCTGCACGTCAACCAAGTTGAAGCTGACTGAAACAAAGGTTATGTCAAGATACCAAATGCTCTAGCCCACCCTTTTAAATACATTATCGATAGTGCAAGAACAAAGTTTGTGAAAAAATCGTTCCATTTTGCGTAAGCCTAAGACCAAAAAATCATGTGCGGAGGTAATATTATGTATATGCTATGCTAATGAAAGGTCGAGAAAATTACTATGTATGCTTTTAACAAATTTAATACAATCAGCTAGCTAAACACCCTTGTTTAATTGGGGGCGTCGTTTTGAGTGATACCTTGGGAGGTTTGAGTTTTGTTGGTATCTTTGAGGATGTCTTACCATAACATTGAAAAGAGGTGAGCAAAATGTCTTGGATCGGACACTATCTACAAAAGATTCTTAAAAAAGAGCACAAAATAAGCCCAATCTCAGGCATTGAGAACAAAGTGAGATTTTTATTTTATTGAGATTAAACTCGGAGACTTGACACACTAAATCACTCCATTATAAAGGCGACCACTATAACGTACTTTTGTCGTACCCTCCAGTTTCACGCTTTGTTCGTCTACTCCCTCTCTCAATCTAATATCGATATATCCAATCTACTCGGCTTATAAACTCGTTTTTTATCCCTTGTCATCCCCTCTCTCTTTCTCGCCCTTCAATTGCTCTCGACTTCAGGCGTCCAACTAAATCGATGAACATGTATACTGAATATCAAACGCCACGGAATAAAGCCATTCAACAGCTTTTGCGCCAACCCGTCACCGAAGAAATGATAGGTAGGTTCATACACCTTGCTAAGGTTGAAAATATATATTTGTAGAACTTCTGATTGCTAAATCCTGCTCGTTTTTTTTTTGAACAGATTATGTGACATGGAAAGCAACAACGGTTATCCCATGTACTATTCCCTCACCACCTCAAAGTAGCTCTGATCTACATACTTGGTCAGATACAAATGTTGACATGCAAGGCATGTCTTCTAGCGAGCCGCTAGCGACACCACCACTCAATGCTCCGACCGATCATACATATGATGCCTCGTCTGCGCCACCTCCACTACCTGGCCAAGTTGCAGTTCCTCCTTTACGTGAATTCATCACCAACTTGGTACGTAAGTCTGGGTTACATACAGGCACTTTTTTGGCGACCTTGGTCTATCTCGATCGACTTCGACAATCTTTGTATACCGTTGCTAAAGGTAAGACCCTTTTTTTCGCCTTCAGCGCCATGACAGCTCAAATTTTTAATATGCCTCAATTTAAATAGGAATGCCCTGTACTTGCCATAGAGTATTCCTTTCCACATTGATCATTACAGCAAAGTATGTCAATGATACCTCACCTAAAAACAGACACTGGGCGAGATATTCGTCAGTTTTTTCAGTTGCTGAAGTAAATCTCATGGAAAAGCAGTTACTGGTTCTACTCGTAAGTAATTTTCTCCGCATTGTACTTACCGCGATAACATTCAACTCTTGCCTGGTTTTTGTGTGTGGGACTGAGCGGATGTGACCATTTTAGGAATTTTCAATCTGACAGACAGCCTTTTTATTATTAGGATTTCCATTTGAGTATTACCATGGATGAATTCGTTAAGAATATTGCTTATTTCCTAACTCCAGAGGAAACGCAAACACCAGTTTCCCAACAGCGATACTCCTATCCTCCCAACCCAGTGGCACCACTCTCAAAACCTCATCAGTCTCATCGGTTCTCATCACATAGTGAGCCTGACCCGGGAAATTTAGTCAGAAATTACTTGACCAACTCCACAGATGGCTATCCTATGGGATACGCAAGTGCGGCGGTTACTCCCAAATTTAGCGATAGCGCATATTCCAGCGACGACTATCAGGAAGAACCATTGAACAAATCCGCGCCAAACCTTAAGGCATTAGACAATCTTATCCCGCCTCCACCACCTTCCTATATGCCTCAGCATCAAGCCCACGTTCATTTTGAGGAAACCCTACTTCCTCATTACAATAGTAAGAACCCTTATCGGACCAAGTACGAAATGGATCCGAAACGGCGGTTTGTTTCTGAAGCTGCTCCTCCCAACACGCGTGAATCAATCATGCTCTCTGTCACCAACCAGCCAAATTCTACTACCCGGGACTCAAGATCACGGCGATAAGTTTAAACCTGTAATTATAGATAAAAAAGATAGACCCGGCTTCCTCTTCCCCATCACCCCACACCGACACATTTCATCTAAATAGCCATTTGCACAATTATTAAAAAAAGAAGAAAAGATGAAAATACCGAATTGAACGGCAGTAAAATACATCAAATTGTCAAGGAATATATATGTATGATGAGCATACATAGTTTAATATCCGATATACAGAGATTTGGCAAGAGACGCTACTGCATCCCTTTGAAGATTACTATCACGTACAGCCTGGTTTTTGGAAAATGTTGATTTGAAGGGCAATCCAGTCGATTTTGATCATGTTTTACTACCAACCGGCCGATGCGCCAGCACTTGAACTACCCCAGCCACTACCATCGGCATCTTGGTTGACTGAGCCCCAGCCGCTATTATCTAATCCAAAGTTCCGACTAGAAGGGGGCATAATCTTATCCATCTCGATGAAGCTCGGTTGTCGTCGCTTTCGCCATTCAGTGCCCGTCAACCACTTGGGATTTCCAGGATGCTCTGGAGATGGGGCGGGTTGAATCCTCTCACTTGGATTGGCTGGATCTACCTTCCAAATGGCCATGAGGTTCAGATTAAATATAAGATAGGTTACTAGCTTACAGTGCCAAAAAAAAAAAAAAAATTGCAAGCACAGGGGGGTTTTTTTTTCAAATATGCCAAAGGCGAAACTTGAAGTTTGATTTTCAAAAAAAAAAAGAAAATGGTGCAGGTTCACGTCAAACAAGCTTGCCATTTATTGTACGTAACGCGAAGTTCTACATCTGCATATTCTTCTATTGATCAAGACCTCTTCGTACATTGTTGTATTTACTAGCTTGGTAGTTAATATGGTTGGGTAAATTATCAAGTCTTCCTTCGAAGCTTCTGTATACGGTGTTAACCAAGCTGCGTGGATGCTCCCCTTTATGATCGGCGCTCAGCTCCCAAAACATTGCTCCTGCAAGCCTTCTCTCCTTTACGTATCTACATTTAGCTTCAATGATCTGTGGGGTGTCATAGGTGACGATCTCTCTTGTTTGTGGATCGTGAGACCACGATGCCACCCGTTGCATATCATGATGTTCAGTGGCTCCTGGTTTAGGAAGTTGCTTGTAATCGAAGACCCCCTCATCCCATGTGCCCTTTGGTAAGCCGTTAAATGGTTCTCCTATTCCATTTGTATTCGAAAATCCTCTTCCGTATGCTGGCATGCCCATGACGATCTTGTTGGGAGGTACGCCTTGTTGCAGGTAATGCTCGACTGCTTGATGTGTGTTAAACGAACCGCCATACAGAGAGGCCTGATGACCGGCGACGCTATCCCAACTACCAGCATAATCGTATGCCATGAGGTAAAAGAAATCAACATAGGGCTGCATTTGAGACAAACGCAACACTTGATATTGAGCAGGAGAACACGGTACAGCACAAGTCAATAAATATCGTGGCTCAGACAGCTGGTTCTGGGATTGAGCATATCGATCCAAGGCGATTCGAACTTCGTACATCAGATGAACGTAATTGAAGGCTTCCTTATCATCCTTTGGAAATTCCCAGTCAATATCTACAGGGTGTTAGTAAGTGAATGACATTAAAATTAATCATACAGTGTGTATAAACACCTACCTATACCGTCCAGTCCTAAATCAGCAACCAGCTTAACAGCCGTCTCAACAAACCGAGCACGCTTTTGTGGGCTTTCTGCAACTACAGCAAAGTTGGTGGACCAGCTCCAACCACCAATACTAATGGATACTTTTAAGTGGCGGTAAACCTTCTTCAACAACAGCAGTTGCTTAAAATTGCCATAAAGGTTGTCAGGTTCATCTGTCCATGTGTCTGCAGAGCCGTTGATGGTCTCCTCTGTAAGGTACATGCCTCATTAGTGTTTTTTGATATACGGTATGTGCCGTGGTAAATTAAGCTTTTTCATACCTGCAGGGAAATGCTTGTCTGTATCTGCCCATGCGTCCTGCAACCTCCATGTGTTAACCTCCGTCACTCCACCAAGTTTTATGAGTTCCAAAAATTGATAGTTACCCCTAGGAACACTTCTCCATCCTCTTTAAGGTTTGCAAAACCATATAGAACATGGGTTAACTTGTGCGCGTCTTGCTTCAAGTCTATGACATTGTGCTTTCTGTCATATATACCCCTAATTTCAACAAGAATTAAACATTCCTTGTTACCATTTCGGACTCTTTTACGTGTCAGTAACATGCACTGACGAAATCGCTTACCAATTCACAAAGTAACCAGCGATTACTGGCCCGTTTGAAGCAGGTGTTGGATCCATCTTAGTTGTACGCAAGAGACGTAGATCCCAAGGAAAAGCAAACGGTATAAATAAACTATCTCAGTTTGAAAGCTTGGCACGACCTTATAATTCCGTTGCGCTTTTCAAAGCCGAATATCGTAGGTTCCAGCCATGTATCTTTCACGTAGGCTCTCACTTCAAAAAGCACCTTATCGTCTCATATTGTCATTTAACATAGGTTGCTCGAGGTCACGTAGCCTTCCGTGTAGGTTATGCTATTGCTCTCATTAATTTCCACCACATATTTCGTCCCATGTAACATGTTACCTTATATGGTGACCGACAGCAGGCATTGTTCGGCACGCAAAATTCACCAAACCCTAACATCAGCTCATCTCACCAGGGTACTTTCATCAACAGTCCGATCACTGTAGCGAATGACAGTCGATCGCGCCAGCCAGAGCTCTTTGGAAAAGAGACTCGGCTACGCCGCCTGCGAAGAATCTGTAGCACACTACAGCTCGAAAGGTAATAAGGAGCACATCGCGCCGCACGTACTAACGTGAATCCGCTGGAGCCAATCGATATTCCAAAGTGGAATATCGATAGCTTAAGGGTATGATCTCAGCCGACTTGGTCAGATAAAATCTTTCCAAAGTACAGCACCCCTTGTGCCACTTATTGAGAGAAGAAAAAGGACGGGTTCACTGCGCTGCCGAAGCAACACAGATCATCCATCGATGTATTGCGAAAGGAATGGGAAAGAAGGATATGCAATCACCCGAGAAAGTGGAAAAGGAAGTATAAAAGCGGGTGATATGCTGAGTGAAGGAAACTGGATAAGTTCAAGTGCTTACTTGGAAAATAGCTGCTCCATTTGTTCGAGTGTAAGGTCCTTCGTTTCTGGAAAGGTGCACATCATGATGGCGGCCACGAATGAGCAGCCTCCAAACAAATAGTATGGAGCAGCAGGATAGATAGCCGAAAGTGGCGGCATGATCAGGGTAGTAAAGATTGCGCAAATCCACCATAACCCGGTAACGAATGCAAGGCCTGTGTAGATGTAAAGGTTCAATACCGTAAATGACAGAAGAAAAACCGTTGGTTATGGTTCCCTACCTTTTGCACGGCAGCGCATATTGTATACCTCGGCTCTGATGTATTCCAACAACATTAGATAAGACGTCTCGACCACAATAGGTGTAAGCAGATTCAATGTTGTACTTACGGTAAAACAAAAGAAATGGGTTCGAGTGTCGCATTGTAGACAAAATTGAATATAAAGAGAAATGCGATCACAACGTTTCGAGCAGACATGGAAGTCATTAAGATGTTGCCATCGCTATCTGTTTCAGCAAAGCAACTGAACATTGCGCCAATAATCATCATAGAAGCAAAGAGAGTGAATGCCCCGCTGATGAGGTATACCCTTCGACCAAACTTGTCCAACCACATTACTGTGACGCATGTACCTAACAAAGCTGCTGCTCCCATTCCTCCAGTAGCTGCAAGGGAAGTGCTGACGTCCGATAATCCAGCGTTCTTGAAAATTGCGGGGGCATAGTATGAAACGGCCTGAAACAAAGTTGCAAGTTGAGTCAATTACATGAGGAGCTCATTGCTATGTTCTACTCATCCCCTACCTGAGTCCCAGTTAATGCCGATCCTGCCGATAGGCCTGCTGACATATAGGAACGCATACGATTTCCTTTTTTAAAGAGTTCAATGTATGTACGGTGTCCAAATGTATGTTCCAATTCTAGTTCGGCCTTGATCTCATGATATTCGTCTTGAATTTGGTGATGCTCAACTGGTAGTTCGCGCAAAGACGAGAGGATTTGGAGAGCTTCTTCATGCCGATCATGGTCAATTAACCAGCGGGGAGAAAAAGGCAGGAACCAGGCAAAGACCCCGAGGAAAGCGCATACGATAACATGGATCAACCATACAGCTCGCCAACTCCAGTTGGTCGTCAAGTAGCTTGTGCCGAAAGTAACAAAATAGCCAACCAATGTGCCCGCTGAAACCATGACACTGAACAAGCTAATCAGGCGTCCTCGAATGTCAGCAGGAGCAATTTCTGAGTGATACAATGGTATAGTGCAGGTAATCATTCCTCCTCCAAAACTTGCTACGATGCGTCCGGTAAACAACACTCCAGTTTTCAATCCTATGATCTGCAAGATCAAACCAACGACAAAGATAAAGGCTCCGAGAACGATGGTGTATCTACGACTGAGATGATCTATTTGCTTCATTAGTATGCTTGACACAGGTAAACATCAGTTTGATCCGAAATAGTACATACCACAAAAGAAGCCAGAAGTGAAGGCACCGATCGCACCAGCTGCTAGAGTGACCATGAGAAGGACGCTTTGAAGGTTGGTATCGAGATCTGGAAATGCATCCAGGAAGGTTGGTAATACCAGTATACTTGCAATCGCACCAACATCATAACCAGTGACAAACTAGAGCAAAAGAAATTATTAGCCAGGGTCAAACTGAGGTTGGTGAGCATATCCCGTCTATACTAACACCGCCAGTCGCTGCAAGTGTACTAGATATATACACAGTTCTGCGACGTCCTTTACTTTTAGCAAAGTCGACAACATCCATAGATGATTTTTCCGAGATATCAAGAGTCATAGTGATAGAAGTAAACAGAGAAACTCCACTAACGTCGCCGACTCCCTCATTCGACTAAAAAAAAATTTCTTTCTCGGAATCCTGCACGTGAGCTTTGGTTTGCCGCTCTATTCCGGCTGCAGCATTGTAATCGATATCGATGGACTACAAATAAACTGGACAATAAAGAACCATTGAACCTCATTATGATGGGCTTGCTATGTAGCACAAATTAGTTGATGCAACATGTTCTTGCCATGCGTTTAGGGCGATGGTAGTATCACGGCAAAGCTCCATACATTTAAAGAAAATGACGCTCCAGTCATCTTGATTTGATCGTACATCTATGTTATGTCAAGGGCAAATATACATTGCTCACCACCAATTTTTTTCGTCCAACCGTTATACTGAGATTGCAATTTCCCATTATAGCATCTGTTACCTAGTAGAATTTACCAATTGCTAAAGTCAAAAGCGTACTAGATAGTAAACTTTATTACAGCCGAATATTTCCAATGTCTGTACGAATTTATGGTAAGGGTATTAGAAGTTTATACGATTATTCGACCTCTTTCCGCGGACAATGTGTGATAAAACCAACTTGAAAGAGATAGAGGGAATGGAAGGGAGATCTCTTACTGGTCAAAGGATCACTCGGTGCCCACCAATGCAATAAGTCATACCATCGCTTAAAGTCCCTTTCTTATATGTGCGTACTTTGAGTCGTTTACGTTCGCAATAAAGGTCGACTCTGCCACGGGCCCATCCCAAACGATATCGGAAAGTAGTTTGGTGGAAAGAAACTGATGAGCTGTCATTTTCCTATATACCCACAATACCGTGATCACAGATTTTTTTCTAGTTATATTCTTTGGTACAAAGTTCTAGCAATAGGTTTACCCATGATTTTGTTCAGTTAAAACATGGGGTTCTTGATTTGGGTCAGTTACGAAACAAACTCGCCTAACAGATGACGAAAAATTTGATCTCATACCACCTTAGAAACTCAGTGTCCCTTTTTGATACATTGCCTAGCAATTAATGGAGGCAAAGGATAATCCCCCGGCAGCAAGTCCTGACAAGAAGGAGGACGCCCCTAAAGAAAAAGAAGTTGTTGTAGATTGGGCTCAATCAGTCAAAGATTCCAAGTGGGCATCGGCCGAGCCCTCGCCTTCGCTCGACACAAGGAGTCCAAAGCAAGATCCCAACACTTTAGCTTCGCAATGGGCGAGTGCCGGCAATTCGCAAAATTCCTACGGAAGCAGGAAAAATGTTGGATATGGATATAACAATAATTATAAGAAGGACCAGTCATACAACACGCGAAGTGGAGACTTTAGACGTAACAATGGATGGGACAGTCGTCCTTACGATCGGTTTTCTCAGCAAAACGATCAAAACCGATCGAGATATGACAATCAAGGCTACGAGCCTCGCAACTTTGATAAACGATTTGACAAGCGACAGCAATACCATAGTGATCAAGCATTTGACCGCCAAACATTTTCACCCAGTAGCGAGTCGAAATGGGCAACTGCCAACGTTTTGAACAAGTCAGGAAGCGAAGACCTGGCCCAAGGCGCCGCCAAAACCAATGATGCCTCTAGCTTAGAAACACGTCCGTGGAACAAGCGATTTTTAGCCGGTCAGGACGAGTCGACGGCACCTTCAAAATATGAAACTAAAAACGACAGCATGTCATCAGAACTTGCTGCAGTGCAAACCGAGGTAGATATCAACAGAACAGAGGAGAAAGCCAAAGATGAGGGCTCTCAAGAGCGCGGAGAAATTCAATTGCCTGTGACCCCAGAAACTACCAATATTTCTGAGGATGATAAAAAGGTATCTGCAATGATAGCATTGTGGGGTGAAGTGTAACATTTAATTGGAATTGATCGTTTATTTATGCATGGCAGTGTGATAATGAGGCTGTTGTGACTGATTCGAACGCACTACAACATGACGCAGAGAAGAAGAGTCATGACGAGGGCAAGTCTCACAGCACCGAGCCTGAACAGCCACCCTCCATCAAAAAGCGACCTTCAATTGACATTGGATATTGGGGCCGTCCTCCAACTGTCGACAGCGAAGCTACAGACGTTCAGGATAACAGTCCTAAGAAGAGCCCTGGTGATAATAAACCAGCGACTTCTACTGTGAACAAGAAACAAAAAGATTTTCAAGGTAGCAGCGCTTCTATTTATGCCTCCAAAGCGAGCGAGCATAGTTCAAAGCCAGAAGGACATGCGGATGGTCACTCCAAGAAACCATATGGGTCCAGCGAACGCCATAGTGCGTTTGCGGAGAGTCCATCGCAGCATAATAACGGAAAGAAGGATAGGAGCAATACGCGACATGCTAATGTAGAACATTCTAAGTCAGGGAAGACTGAAGACAGAATAGCTACTGGTGGATTCGTTAAACATGTAAGTTGGAGCTGGCATTTTGTTCTGCCGAATATGGCTTAATCTTATAACTGATGTGTCTTCATCCTCTGTAGAATATAGATGAAGAAGCATTGAATGCTAGGATTGAACGTATACGCCTTCAGAATGAAAAGATTCAACAAAGACAGAAGGTTCGTTGTTAGTTTGTGAAAAGCAACTGTGTCTGTACAGACATCTTACTTAGCATGATTTTTAGTTGATCGAGGAGGAAGAGAAAGAGATTGCAAAACAACTTCAGTCTGAGAAGGAAGAAAGAGATCGAAGACGGAAGGAAGACGAAAAGCTTGAAGAAGCAGCCAGACTCGCTGCTGAGGAAGCAAAGCGTGATCGAATCGAGCGAGAGAAAAGAATAGCAGAGGAAATCAGGTTATTGTTAGATGAAACATTGTTGCGTGAACTTGATTTTATACTGAAACATATATTCATATAGGGTTGAGAGAGAAGCTAATGCTGCGAGAAAAGTCAAAGCACTCGCTTCCAGAGACTGGGATGCGGAGAAAGGTGACGACGACTTGTATATAAAGGAAGGACGAAATAGAGGTGATTTCAACAATAGAGACAGATCTTCGCGCAATCACCGGGGACTCCCTGGTCGTGAAGCGGAAGAAGATCGAAAGAAGCACGCGTCCGAAGCAAAGTCGTTCACGGTGACTGAAGAAAAGTGGCCCGACCTTGGTAGTGCTGTTGCGGGTACTCCCGCGAAGGCAGCCGTTTGGCCTGCACGCGCTGCAGCTGAGGCCAAGGTGCAGCAGAAGCAGGAATCCGGCAAAGAAGCGCCTGTGAAGAGCCCACCTTCATCAAAGGCAAGTGCGCCAAAATTGGCATCCTTGACTGCTCCTAGGAAAGCCGAGATTGAGAATGCCGAGGAAGGCAAGCAGAAAGACTCTATCAGTTGGGAAGACATCATTGCCAAGCAGAAACCGGTGACGGATTGGGCAACTGACTCACCAACAAATGAAGACATCAATTTTGAAGATTCGCCTTTCAAATAGCTGGGTTGTCATATATCTTCGTTATATCGCCGTAACGAGTGACTACATTTTTGTCAGATTCTTGCTTAAAACCATGGTTACTTCTATGTTTTGAATTTTTATTTTTTTACGGAAGTTCCTTCATCACAATCACGATAACGAAAGGAATAAAAGTTGTTTATTCGTTGAAAATACAGAAGTTCTTAAATTAGTATACAATTTGACAAGACAATTGAATATTTACTATTACAGCGCACAAAACGCAGTCAATTGACTCAAGTGTATCAAAAATAGTTTATACTGACATCTTCATGTCTAACTTTCCATGGGGCTTGTAATCTTCGAGCACAAAGTCTTCATATTTGAAGTCATCGATGTTGGTCACATCTGGGTTTATTCTCAGCTTGGGGAATTGCCGTGGTTCTCGTTGAATCTGTTCCTTCAGGGCTTCAATATGATCAACGTACACATGCGCATCTCCCATGGTGTGAATGAATTCTCCAGGCAAGAGGCCAGTAACCTGAGCAATCAGACGAGTAAGCAAGGCATAGGATGCAATGTTAAATGGTACACCCAAACCCATATCACAGGAGCGCTGATAGAGCAAACATGAAAGTTTTGCAATAGGCTCTTCTTCGGTTGGTGTGGATACATAGAATTGACAGAAAGCATGGCAAGGTGGTAATGCCATAATGGGAATATCTACAACGCATCATTAGCACTGCCATCCTACATGAGCTCCAAATGTAGCAACGGTTACTTACCGGCAGGGTTCCAAGCACTCAATATGATCCGTCGGTCAGTAGGCTTGTTCTTAATTTTATCGATAACCTCTTTCAATTGATCCACGCCTTTTCCAGTATAGTCTGTTTTGCAGTCAACGTACTCTGCTCCAAAGTGTCTCCATTGAAATCCGTACACTGGACCAAGGTCACCCTCTTCTCTATGGGACAAACCAATGGAGTCCAAGTATTCACGTGAACCATTGCCATCCCAGATTTTGATGCCTTTCTCGCTCAAATGTTTAGAGTTGGTATCGCCTTTGATAAACCATAAGAGCTCCTCTGCAACGGCACGCCAAAAGACTCGCTTGGTAGTCAAAAGCGGGAAAATGTCGTCTTGCAATGAGAAGCGCAGCTGTGGAGGAGCAAAGATAGACACGGTTCCTGTACCGGTACGATCCGCTCGCTTCTCACCCTTTTCAATAATGTTCTGAATTAAGGAAAGGTATTGCTGCTCTTCATGTGTTTTATGAGTGCCATTGGTGCCGTCGGATTGAAGCATTGTAAGAAGTCGCCCGAGTTAACGAAAAGTCGCCCAAAAAAATTGAGTGGAATTTGTAATGGGACGCGCGCGAGCCAGCTAAGAAAAAAATTGTGACGTTCCATCCCACACGCGACTCGCGAATCTTCCTTTGCCTTGCTGTTATGCTCGCTGCAAGAAATCGCCTTCTAGCATCTAAATCTCGCTCATTCAAAGAAGAAGAAGAGGATGATATGATATTTGAAGAAGCACCTTCTGGAAAGGTAACGATTTTCTTTGTATGCATTACGTTTAGATGATCGTCGATCGCTCACAATACAGTTATTTTGCCATTGTCACCTTTAGGTTAATCAACACAGCTCACAATCATCAACGCGAGAGCACTGTATGTTGCATTTCACTGTTTACCAAAGCATTAACCACAACTAACGCAATGCAAAAGATAATCCATATAGTGTTAACAACGGAGTAGGGCACGCTGAAGGCGATAGAGAGTCGCCATGGCTAATCGATAGACCTAACAGTAAGTAAGCTTGCATCAAGTCATCTTTAGCATGCGCATGCCAATTGTTTCATAGTAACTCATGATGGGTTTGCTTTCAGGAAAAGGAAAGAGTACCTACTTGTCTAGCCAGGGGCGAATGGATTATGTGGTATCCGACCAAGCACGAGCATTGTCGGCAAAGAGAGCTAGATTAACATCTGATTTAAGCGATGATGAGCGCCCGTCGTATGGTCACCAAAGTGCCAGTCAATCCCAAAGGTCAAAACAGCCTCCACCATCACTCAATATAGATGCTTTCACGTTGAGCAGCAATACATTTGATAATCGTAAACTCCGGGCGGACCTTGAGCGTGCTAAACGATGGATCAAACAAGCTGAAGAGAGCTTTGAAGAACTAGTGAATGTTCGCTACACTGAAGCAGAAAAGAATTTGGAAAAAGTTCGGGAGAAATACGAAGACCGATTCGAATGTGAGTCGTATTTATGTGTGATTCATGCTAACCGCTCAATGCTAATGCGATTCTGAACTACAGCGTCTGAAAAACTCATCAAGTCTTTACAGCTTACGCAACATCAGCTTGAAGTTAATCTTGATGCCACACGAGACGAGTTGAAATCACGACGAGAGCAAGTCGAGACTTTAAAGAAAGAGAATGCCGCACTGCAGGCACAGTGTAAGAAACAAGGCACCACGACCATGGACCACGAAGAACTTCAACAATTCAATCGATGGAAAAAGAACAAGTCCTACATGGATTCAGAAGCTAATGACGAAATCATTTCTGAACGGGATCAATTGAAAGCACAAGTTGCACAATTAACGACTACAATTCGATTACGAGAACAAGAGCGCGACATACATATTGAGAAAGCAAAGGCTAGTGATAATAAGAAGTCTTTACTTGCAAACGGGATCTACTCTACATCGGATGGAAGCAAGAGCGACAAAACCGAAATGTATGAGGACCTTACCGGCCTGCTCTTGACTGATGTGAAGAAGTCAAACGATAGTATAGTTTACAACTGCCTGCAAACGGGTCGCAACGGAAGTAAGTATTATGGTATTGTGCAAAAATGTCACACCTGCTGCATGCATTTTCCTTCTAACGTAATCATTCCAATAGCTTTACATTTCAAGTTAACGCAAAACCATAATCAGCCTAATGAACTACACTACCAACCAATGCTTGACGAACGAAGAGATGCTGATTTAATAATGAGGCTTCCAGATTATCTGACTACGGAAATAGAATTCACGCGTGACAAGGCCAATTTGTTCTTTTGGCGTTTATTGACGTTTCTCCAATCCAGCGATAAGAAGGACCATTCATCAAATCACTAGGCGAACAACCTTCTATGGCATGTTTTGCACCAATGTAATATCCTATTGTTCCTTCCATATATCTCTATGCTACATATCGTTTCATTCCCAAATGTCATTTTTCCTATAATACCCTACGAACATAAATCATGCCCTGGCATTTATTAAGTGGACAACCATCAATTAAGAGTTTAGTTGGAGATGTTTACTTTCTCGAGCAGCTTATCAACAGTTCTTTCTGAAGCTTTAAGTGCCTGCTCAAAGTCATAAATAATGTCATCGATGTGCCTGAATGGAAATGCCAGGTTAGCCAATGCATGTCTTGGTTTAAAATAAAATAATCATAAACACTATACTTACTCAATACCAACAGAGACTCGAATAGCATCTTTGGTGACACCACTAGCCGTCTGCTCGATATCAGTCAACTGTTGATGAGTTGTGAGTGCGGGGGCAATGACTAGAGTTTTAGCATCACCAACGTTGGCGAGGTGAGAGGCAAGCTTGACGTTGTCGATGAAATTCTTTATAATCACAGTACATGAGTGGGTTTTGTCTTTCAAGGAGAGTATACCCATAATTAAAAATAGCAATGCTACTTACAGCCACGTTTCCTTCAATTCCAAAGGACAACACACCACCGAATCCATGCTTCAAATACTTCTTGGCAAGCTGGTGAGATGGATGACTTTCCAAACCAGGGTAGCTGACCCACTTCACTTGAGGCTGTTGTTCCAACCACTTGGCTACCTTCAACGTGTTCTCTACGTGACGCTGGCCACGAAGCGAGAGCGTCTCCAAACCTTTTTACGACAACATTAACCATGGAGGTTGATGATACACATGTGTATGCGTTGAAACCTACCTTGCAGTAACAAGAAAGCACCAAAAGGATTTTGGTTGGCACCAAGGTCACGAAGGGTTTCGACCCGCAGTTTGATTGCAAAAGCGAGATTTCCGAAAGTCTCGTAAAACTTCAGCCCATGATATCCTTCTGATGGCTCAGTAAAGTCTGGGAATCGACCATTATTCCAGTTAAAGTTGCCAGCGTCAATAATAACGCCTCCAATGGTAGTACCGTGACCGCTATGAAATAGTTGAGAGCATTAGTTTGCAGTTAGGGAGAGTGTGGATGATCCAGATGGAAAGCGTACCCAATCCATTTGGTTGCAGAGTGTACAACAATGTCAGCACCATGTTCGATGGGACGAACAAGATAACCACCAATACCGAACGTGCTGTGAATGCCAATGAACAGAAAAATTAAAAAACCAAAATTGCAAATTGTCATCTACCCCACATTATTTATGAGACGTGGCTTACTTGTCAACAACAAGTGGAACGCCTGCGGCGTGAGCTACCTTTGCAATAGCCTCGATATCTGGGACAGAGTAGCCAGGATTACCAATACTCTCGATGTACACAGCCTTGGTTTTGTCGTCGATGAGCTTTGCGAACTCTTCTGGTTCATTTGAATTGGTAAACTTGGTGGTGATTCCGAAACGCGGTAATAAAACCTTAAATTGGTTGTATGTTCCACCGTACAACGTTGCGCTGGACACTATATTGTCTCCAGCTTTAGCCAAGGTGGCAATCGTCAAGTATTGAGCAGACTGTCCAGAGCTAGAAGCAATCGCAGCGGCACCACCTTCTAAAGCAGCCATTCGCTTCTCGAAGACGTCATTGGTAGGATTTCCAATACTAAACACAGGTTAGAAGGCTGCCAAATCCTAAGAACTCTCTCACAGTATCTCAGCTTACCGAGAATAGATGTTGCCAAATGCTCTGAGCGCGAATAAGTCAGCTCCATGTTGCGTGTTATTGAAAACAAAGGACGACGAAGCATAAATAGGAACAGCGCGTGCGTTGGTTGAGGCATCAGGTTCCTTGGAAACAGGTAAGCTTTAGTAGGCTGCCCGCCATTGTCTGATATTCGATTCGGTCTTCTCCTATAATGTACGCACCTGTCCAGCATGAAGCTGTAGAGTATCAAAGTGAAGTTTACGGTTCTCAGAGCTCATGATAGCGGGAGGGAGAGAAGCAAGGAAAGTCTCAAGGATGTTCCATACCCATGGTTTAAATCGAACTCTTCGCACACAAAATCTAGCCAATGAGAACTTCACGTCATGATTGCCCTGAATGGCGCCAACCCGTAGCAATATGAGGCTTCGAAGATCACTGGGCAAAAAATAGCAGTCCCTGCACAAAGTTGCCTGCTAAACGGTGCCGAATTTTTGTGGTGGCATGTCTTAGGCGTTGTTGAATGTATGGATAAGGCGTTTATCTCGATGTTACATGGAATGACTTGGTCAGCGCACATATAGATTTCATGGTTGTTTATTTTTTATGAATTGATTTTTTATATCGAGCCATGGGAAACAGCACGCCAGCCCATCAAAATGATTTTTAGAAAAGCAAGCGCGCATGATGAAAGGAAGAAAAGGGGTCCAAAATAGGGATTGTATGATAAGCTGACATCTCGGAATACAAGAACAAAAACAAAAAATTACAATGCCTCAGCTGTGGTGGCAGCGGAAGCGGCAGCAAGTTCTCGCTTCTCTATGGCTGATGCGAAGACTTGTGATTTGAATGAAAGTCCCTTTGTGCGTTCAATGACCTGTTGATATACTGAAGTGATGGGTGTGTTCATAATGACAGTGTTCTAAGTAGGCAAAGCGTAATGAGATTAGAGAGCTTATCCTATCATGGTATAAACTGAAACTATCAATGTAAAATGCACATACCTCCTCAAAGTCAATCTTGGCATCGACTCGAGTGTCCCGGATCAAGTTGACAATCCACTTTTCACCTTCCTCTTGAGTCAAGTTCAAAGTTTGTGACAATTCCCTAGTGTAGACAACGTCAATTATTAGCGTCTGCACAAATCTTATTCAATGTTCTCGTCCTGAAGGTCAACTTACTTGACGTCAATCTTTTGATGAATTCGGCAATATGTTTCTGAGATGAACTGTCGTGCGTTCTCCATAAAGTCTTCACGGGCAGCAACCAAGAAGAAATCGTTGCTCAAAACTTCTTCGCACTCCTTCAACTTTTGCTGAGCACCTTCAAAGTCGAAGTGAACATATAATGCTTCGATGAATTCAGTGATGGGATCTTGGTATTCATATGACTCTTGTTGGATGATTTTGACAAGCTCTTTAATATATGTCTTTCTACGCTTGTTGGTGACAACTGCTGTCGTCAAGTAACGCAAGATCCATGGGCAGGATGTCTGGATAGTATTGATGTATTGTGAAGAGAACAACATATCAACGATGCCGTCGCGCCCCTTGGGGTGGTTGAAGAAAACGAAAAGGGACCAGTGAATCAACCAAGTGCGTTGTTGAAGTTGTTGAAGAGGGGTGCTGAAGCTCTGAATTATGGAAAAGAATGTGTTAATGGAGGCAGCCCAACGCATGAGAGACGAGGCTATTTACCTTTTGATCGATGGCTTCTCTCAGCTTTTGCATCTCTTCCAAAGCAACGTCCCAGTTACCAGTAAGAATTTCAGCAGCGAGCTTTCCCCAAAGAGCGGAGAAGTTGCGCTCATTATCGGTAGACTATAGAAAAAATGCAGCTTGTTATGAAACGATCCAAGAATTATATGTGCAATGTATCATACGTACCAGAACGCGGAAATGGTAGAGCATATCGGCAGCACCACCATAGTTACCACAGTTGAATTGAAGCTGACCGTAATCGTACAAGGTCAACACCATACTGTCAGTGAACTATCAGCATAAAGAAATAGTGCCACACGTTAGTTCAAAGCACTCTGCAATAACCGCAAAACCGTTACAATGATCTTACGTTGTAGTTTTCCTTCAAAAAGTGAAGGTTTTGCAACTTGTCCTGGCGAAGGGCAGCGATGACTTCAGGGTTCTCAATAACTTCGATGATATTCTGAGTTTGGGTTTGGAATTCTTCGAGTTGAGCAAGGACCTTCTCTTTCTTCTCAGCGAATTCTAAAAGGTGCAACATTCTATCAGTTGGTATGGTGGCGTGGCGAAAGTGTCGATCGATTCTTAGACATACCTCTAGGGACATCCTCTGTGTTGTGAATTTCTTGGTACAGCTTGAGCACGAAATCAACCATGTTGGTGTTAGATAATAATTCGTGCTTAGCTTTGAGCAGATCTTCGGTGGGGTAGACCTACGATTGTGAATGAGTGGTGGATCAGCATAACAAGATCAAATCAATATAATTTGGAGGTAATCTTTCTAACCTCCTTCAAAGTCAAGAAATCCAACAACGGAAAGACAAGATGTCTATCCAGGAATGGAATCATTCGCATCGTCAAATCATGTTTGGCGGCCATCTTTGATGTAAGATTCAACTGCTTGACAAGAATAACAAAAAAATGTTTTTTAGAGCTCCAAGTGAAAAAAAGTTTGCTCACGTGATTTGGAAAAAACCTGAGCCCAATTAACAGTAAGACCTTTTACTTTCTCAGTATCTGCACCTTCGAGGAGGAAAGTCTCTCATACATTTTCAAAACACTTCGTATTTCTTTAAATGTTGATATGTAAATAAAAAAAGCTTTGGCTTTGTGAGGCGCTTACTTTGAGAAGGTCGCACTGTCAGCTTCAGAACAATTTTGGGTATCGAGGGGAATGTCTTGGTCAAGCCCAAGGAAACGATAGTTTCCTTTCACTATAATTTTTAACAGAGAAAACAGCCATGGGTTCATAATCTATGAAAAGCGTAGCAAAACTTAACCATTTTTTCGTCCCAGTTACAGTCTATTTCTCATTTTTTTTATTTATTTTTTGCAAATATCTAATGCTTTTTGTCCTCTCCTCCGTAATGTGTAATGTGTCTCTTTCATACGGTTTCTATCCGTAGTAGCCTGTGATTCTATTCAATCTTCTTTAACAAATAGCCTTCTGCATCCATGGGTAATTGTTAAGAGGAAAGTCGCCACTGAGAATGAGAAGGGAAGTTACAAATGTCGTTTTAATTATATTCATTCACTTTAACCCAATTATCATTCATTATTACAGGATAAATCGTCTAATAGAATCAAATGATGTATAAAAGACCCTCAGAAGAGACGAAATAAAAAGGTATGCGTGATTATCGATTGAGGGAAGAAACGGATAATTTCCCAATGATTTCACAAGGCGTGAGTAAAGCCATAGGCACAGTGTCCCGTCCTTAACTGCGCAATCAGCGATCCACAGTGATAACACATTTTGACAATCAGATGGTCATCTTTGGTGGCAAAATGTATCGGAAATATTCGCTTTTGTACGTTTCACACCCTCAGTGGCAAAAGCATTTATCCTTTTCTGTATGATAGCAATTAAGTACTTTATGTCACAAATGTAATATGGGTTCGTCCCATCCATCGCAGATGGCTGGACAGATACAGTCAGAAAGTGTGTCCAAGATAGGATATGGTAAGTGAGCTTGTGAGTTTGAATATGGCGTTGACTGGTGGGGACCGCCGTCGGGTACTCTACTCATATGGCGCTCTGTTGCTTTTTTTCTATCAGAGCAATAGCATGACCCTGCACAAAAATTTACGGTATTGATACTTTTCCCGACTGTGGAGTCACCACAATAATTCAAGGTAGTACTTGCAAACTTTGATCTAATAGATGGCAATGAAGGAATGGAAGGAAATGCGTTCTCAGGCGGTTTCTCGGAGTTAAATTTCAATGTGGCTCTTGTTTTCCAAAGTGTGTTTTTGTTGAACACGAATGATTAGTATCAAGCGATGGATTTTATATGACGAAGGAAAGAGACCATGATGGGTAATGTGTCACATTCATGACAAAAGATGCATTCTCTTTCTGTGAGCTGCATATGACAATATTGGTGCTTAGTGCGAGATCAATAAGTATTATAGAACATCTTCATCGAGTTCTCTGTAGAGTTTTTGATCATTTTTTCTTTTTTGTTTATTTGTTACCTATTTTTTCGTTGTGTTGTTATTCCAGAACAAAGCTTTGACCTTCAAAAAGCGGGACCTTTTACTAATTCCGCGTCATGAATTTTTTTATTTTGGTACAATTGTGTGATCAGAAGACCCACTATGATGGTTAATGGAAAGATAAATACTTGGTGGGACTTTGGGACAGAGCTTGTTGTAGCAACCCCGGACACCAATATGGTAATGCGATGAATTGGAAATGCACAAGCCATAGAGGAGATTCATACTCCAGCTACTAAAAGATAAATGTGTATCATTTGATACCAGATACCGCTTGGATTGTAATAATCGCCTACAAGTTCATGTCCAGCGGTTCCCATCACTCAAAAGACGACGTTTTGGGAGTGTTGCCATGCGATCAAAAATAGTAGTGTACACCTTGTCATTTATGGGTAAGTGGAGACAGACAGAAAAGCAACACATGCCCTCCCACTTTGATAATCTGCGTGGTGGAGTATTCTATACTATTATTTTTTTAACATGTAATTGATGTAGAGATCGTCAAAATAAATTTCCTTTCTGTGACCAAATTGCCGCCAGGAAGGAGAAAAGAAGTAGAACTATAGTGTCATTCTTGAAAAGAGATCTGATGATATCAAGATTTTGGTTCGTTCAAAATGTTCGCAGTATCGTAATCTGAATTCTCGTTCGCTGATATTGGTAATCACCCGACCAACTGTATGTAACAAACTCAAAAATAGAAAAAAAATTAAATAGAACCATCATGAACCGTTGTGCTCAAAACCTTAGATGACAGCCGATATCCTGGTAAATAAAAGTGGTCGTTGCGGTAAAACTTTGCCAGGTAGATAGAATTAGCGAGGGGCGGACAGGACTGGGTGTGGGTAGAGTTGGTCAGTGTGGGTCACAGATAAGTGAGCCAATGTAGTGGCAGCTAACAGCGCGGTAATGAAAGACGAAGAAAACATGTTTCAAATCGCGAATTGAAAGATTTCTAGAAGACTCTGACAATGGAATATTAAGTTGATGGAATGGGAGATGGTATGGAAATGGGGTGAGTCAGTCAGTCAAGTTTGTCAAAAAAGATTGATTGACAGGCGAACGTAACAGATGAGATCTGCTCCCAACCGGTTAAAGTAAAATTTTATAATACCGAATATACAGATACCGTCAATCGTTGCTCGGAGTCATGATACTTTACAAGCTGTGAGGAAATCGCCATCTAATATGGCTCTTTCTTTTCCCCTTCCTTCCTAAACTTCCACAACTTCGCTATCCATTTGCAGTTCGTCGTATTATTTTTCTACCCTTATTTAGGGGTTAAAAATGGCAAACCAACCACACAGCCCTTTGTCTATAGCTGCGTTAACGGACCAGCGTCGTCCCAGCACACCTGACGCTACCACACCTGCTCGATCGCCACCAACTGCCGACAACAACCCACTTTCATTTCAACCACATTCCCCCAAAATCTCTAGTCCAATCAGCCACCGATCGACTTCTTCTGGTCCAAACGCTAGGGCAGCGGAAGGTATGCCAGTTTCTAAATATGTCAGCTAGGTTCCACCCTTGTGAATCTACTCATCCGGAGCGAATGAGCGAACTATGTACAAAAAATTCAAAAAAACATGCGCATTATACTGATTTTGACTATTAACGTCTATTAGAGTCATTTCCCGATGCTGCAAGTGAATCTGCTGCGGCGGACGAGGTACGTTTCATTGTTGACCCATCAGATAATCTAATGATCGTATACTGATAATAGATGGTTCAAAATAGGACGACATGTATGATGATCAGAAAGAAAATGATGAATCAGCATCAGAATCGACTTCGCCAGGTATGTGCTCTACCGTCTTTGAACAGACAAGGTTTTGTCTAGTTCAGATTATCGCAGATTGACTCCCGGTCGCTTGGGATGTGACTTGCGAGTAAATTATCAGCTCAGACTCACCAAAGGCAAAAATCGCCTTTTGCAGTAAGGAAGCTCCAAGCGCCGCCATCCTCAAATAGCGCCGACGAACAAAGCGACCATGAGGACGATAAACCCGAGCAGCGGACAAAGTATGGAAGAGCTATCAATAAGCCTGAGCATTTCTCTGCCATTCAATCTGCCGCGTCAGGTACTGTCAATATATATCTTTTTGCCTTCTTTTATATCGATTTCTTGTTAATCAGCAACGATACTGACATATTGACTATTTAGGGAGAAAATCGCAAAAAAGAAGAACCTCAACGGCTGGTGGTGGTTATACCGGTAACACACAAAAGATTTTTTGCACTATTTGCCACCGAGGGAACTCGCCGCAAAATAACCGTATTGTCCTTTGCGACAAATGTGATCGTCCCTTTCACCAACAATGTCATATGCCTCCTATTGAAAGCATTACGCTGGAGATTGAGGGAACGACATGGTTCTGCAGTCAATGCGAAACGGAACGAGAAAGCCAACTTGTTGCCAAGTACGAAGTAGATGGTCGTGACATCGAAAGAGAAACAAAGCTCGCATACCTTTTATCTCTTCCAAAATCTTTCTTGATCGATATGTTATTCACCTACGAACGAAATCATCCTGGCCTTAGGATGTATCCGGCTTATCTCAGATCGGAATACATTCGCCGAGATTCGCATTCTCATTCGCCTCCAAGACGACCAGACATGCTCGATAGCAATGACGATACTATGTCAGGCTATAATTTGGATGACGTACCTAGCTATGAAGATATGATTGAAAAAGCTCTCATTGCCATCGGGGATCCGCGCGGATCTTCTCCCAGATCCATATGGGAATGGATGGGAAGGTAAGCAGCATTAGCAACATCAAGATATGAAACTGATTATATGTCGTGCTTACAGTCTTCTTTCGGTGATTGGCAAATAGAAATTACCCATTGGCGGAGGCGTTTCCAAGAAGTGCGTCACAATCTCTGCAGAAAGCTGTCAAGAAAGGCCGGTTCTTTAAGGAAGGCAGCTGTTATAAGATCAACCCAAATTACATTCCAGAACCCAAGGTAAGAACCACTTTTTTTTTTTCCATGCTTCTTTTTCCCCCTTCTCGAAGGCGTTTTTTTTCCTATTTGGGCCGTCCAGATCACATTGGTGTTGTTTGCTGAGTGTGCGTTTATTAAATCATATTTTTATTCTCTACCAGTCGAGACGCGGAGCAAGAAAACCCTCGTTTATAGGAAAAGATGGAACGATGATTCGACCATCAAAGCGGATGAAGATACAGCTGAATGAAGATTCAGCGGAGGCCACTGAACATCATCAAAAACCATCATATAGTCGACATAATTCTTCCCCATCCGATACTCGATATAATACTTATTACTCGTCCCCTCGATCCTCAGCTTCTGTCTATAATACGGCCCTTCAACCGGTCCGTCGGCTTGCATCTCCGCTTGAAGCGGATGATAAATATCGACCACCAATAGATTCAGATAATTCAGGACCTTGGCGACAGCCAGAGAAATATATTCACGTAGACCGGATACGTGATGTCGAAGATTTGAATATTAGAGATCAACATCGCTCAGATAAACCAAGGGACTGGAGCCTTTGGCAAAAACATGACGACTATGAGCACCATCAACGACATCACCGAGAACCAGAGCACCAAAGAAGAGAATGGTATGGTCGCAGAGACGATCCAGCTCATGAAAATAGCAACAACGACCAGCAGAGGAAGAATTGGGGCTCATCTTGGTCGCAACATGGGGAGAATGGCTCGAGACCAACCGAATGGTTATCTCAAAGAAGGGAAGTCTCACCAAAACCATCTTCAGCTAGACAAACGTCGCCTTTACCTTCCTTCGCGCATGTCTATCGCCATGATACCTCGCAAAATGACCATGATAAGGCCCCATCGCATTGGGAATATCGATCTCAAACCCGTATCTAATATTGGGCTACCCCAGCTTATTTTTAATGCTTGCATTATTTCATTCTTGTATTTGTTTGATTTTCTCTTTCGCCATTTGTCCACTAGCAAAGTCATATGGTGACCCCACCTTTAACTACTTCAGAATTTGTCTAGTTTACAATGTTTTTATGTTTTCTAATTACTCCTATTCTAGATTTGCGTTTTTTTATACAAAACTCAAGATTTTTTTCCTTAAAAGCAAAACACTCGTTTGAAACGCGAGCTTTTGAAAAGTTCGAGCGACATTTGTACTGGAATGCAGTGAATGGCCAATGTGGGTCATGGCTGATTATACCTCGCTAATCATGACTGTGGGGCGGCAGGCTATGGAAGTCATTTTTCCTAAAAATTTCAGACACTTTGTTTTCTTACCGCAATTGGTATTTCGACCATGTTTCGAACCGTTGATGGCAATAACCTTTTTTTTTTTTTCTCCCTAAGACAGCCAGACATAGGATATAAATCATGATTGACCTGAAACCACCACCACCATCTGCTCTTTCCTCTGTTGTCATTCTTTCTTCAGCTGCCTTCACAAAGCAATCCTATCTTCGCTTTACCGCTGCCACACTCTCAGAGATGTTGCACGCTGCTGGCTATACGGGCTCAATGAAGCAAACCGTCCCGCTGCAGCCGAAAATACGAACTAATACCGCAAGCAGACGATCCATTGCGTGGTCTTGTCAGCATTGCCATCGTCGTTTTCACACTGAAAAAAACTTACACCAACATAGACTGCTCAATCGACACTTTTGATGAACATCTAACTTGCAAGTGGGCTGATGTATAACACCGCAACATCAACTTTCATCTTTGTTTCACCACTGTACTATAGTAATCTCCTTGTAGTAATAAAAAATGCGTACGCACGTCCGTACGCTAAGAAATGCTTTTGAAACAATAGTGTAAGTTTGCCTTTATTGCTCCGACGTCTAATTTCGGAATTTTCAACAGTCGTGCGGGTGGGGTTTGCTTTATTTTCTTCCGAACCAGCCGCCAAACCAGCCACCACTCGCTTGATCTTTTCCGGATCTTGTAGATAAGGACTCGGGGTATTCAACATGGTTCAATGCGAGGTCGAATAGCATGGGCTTCATAGGAATGGGTTGGAATACCGGCGGGAAATCAACAAGGTGTGGAAGACGCTTGGCAGTCATACTAGCGGGATAGTTATCCAAACGTTTGATCAAAGCAACCTAAAGTAGGTAATGTATTGTTGACAGTTTAGTGCAGAGCCCAATTTTCCAAAATGCCACTCTTTTCTTTTGCGCAACTTTACCTCGTCCACTTCATCCAAGTCCATATCCTCCAATTTGCGTGATACATCTTCCGTCTGTTCGCCTTGTTCGAGGTACCATGCAGCATGAGCTTTGCATTTTCGGCCGCGTATGGTTTGTTCAGTTTCCTGCAGTTCCTTCTCGGTAATGTTGATAAGACCATCGTCATTTTGTGGGGTAATTTGCTGTAAGCTCGCACGCGCTTGAGAGATGTAATTGAATGCCAGATCAAATAGTCCCAATGTTTCTGCATATCTTCCCAAGCTCGAGTATGCGTCTGCAACATGAATACATCTATACAAATACATCAAGTTAAAAAATGTTAAACATAACACAACATAGAAAACAAAGCCGCTGCGGCACCTACCTCCATGCTTTAAAGTATTTGGATTGAATTTCGACCTCTTGCTCAAAAGTATGATCGTGCTGAACAGTAGGGAGCTCACCGATAGAGCCCACGTTCTGAGAAAACCATGCGCATCAGTCCATGTCATTGTGCCTTTTTCACCATTTCAGTAAACGACTACTCTACTATACCTTTAGAACATCATCATATAGTTTGACAATATCTTGTGGTCGGCCGCCTTCCTTCACAATGGTCTTTGCAAGTGATAGATTTCGCTGAATAGATCTAGCATACAAATTGTAGGCTGCATAGGTGTAACAGAAATGCAAGTTTTGAGTCGTCTCCGCACTCTTTGATGATTTAACTTTAGCGGTTGCTTCCTCATCTTCCTTGATAGCTTTCTTTGCGGCCTTTTCAGCCTCAGCCCATGCTGATAACACCTCGTCAAATCGATCCACATCGTTACCGGATTCGGCTTGTGCGGTTTCTTGAGCCTTTAGGATAGACATAGCCAATTCGGCATTGCGAAGTTCGACGGTTGTATGGCGCCATGAAATGCTCGTCATTTCCTGTGCGCGCTTCTGGCGTGAATGAGCAGCAACTTCAGCAAGCTGTGCCTCCAGCAAGTCCATACCAGGAGCTGATTTGTCTCGCATCGCAGATACAAGGTCATCGATATCATGCTGTGAGGTTCCGCCGCTACTTCGAAGCATATGGGCGCAGAATCGAATGCTGGGATCAATCTCATCAATAGCCGAGTGGCAAAGTGTTTCTTGATGAGCATTGCTAGCCTTAGCCAAAGTCTCATAAATGGTTCTAAGATAGATTGCCTTTCAGTTACTAAATCATACCAATCTCTTCTGAATGTAGCATGCACTATACCTAGCAGCGACATAGTGATCCAAAGCTTCTTGCCACTTTTGCTCCTCCATTTTGAGGTAGCCATTCATCAAGGAAGCATAAGCCTATTAATCGGTATCGATTAACGCATATCACCATCGATTTTCCATGACTTTACCATCTATTTACCTTGACGTCCAATTGAGTTCTCTTTTCTGCAGAGTGCTTTTCAGCAACTTCGGATAGCTGCGAAGCGTACAGAGCTGCACGTCGGAATCTCTTAACGACATGGTGATGCTTGCGAGATTCGCTGCTGCTGGATTCGCGCTTCAACTCCATAGCGTATGCCCAGGCACGCTCGCTTTGGAATAGAAGTATATGAAGGTATCGTGAATCGGTAATCTCATCAGGAAACTCCTTCTTCTGGTAGGGCTTGGAAGCGCTACTTTGCGTTTGACCAAGCACTTGTCTCAATCTTCGAAGATGCTGCGAGCAATATTGACTGTAATGAAAGATGTTAGACGTTTTGACCAAGATCATATCGTCTGTAAGGCGTACGGAAGGTTACCGGTAGCGTTCGTAATCCTGATGTCTGAGACCATAGGTTTGTCGACTTTCGTTGGTAACATTGAGTACTGTGTTGGATCAGTGAGAACGGATGATCATCTACGGTGAATGCATTTCAACATGTTCCATTACCATCTAGATCCAAAGCGAGATGTTCTTTTCCGTCAACTTCCATTGTCATCTTGATGAAATGGCCAGGGTTGATTAACTAGATTATTTGTCGACCGCTCGCAAATGGATAATCAGAACGTCTGTTTGGAGAAATCACGTGGTTTATCAAGGCACAAAAGCTTTGTTGAGCGACGTACTGGAATTTTTCCTCCACTGGGCTCTCTCATGAGAGAGCCTCATCTTCTGAACGGAAGACAGGCTATGATTAATTTTGAGTGGAACTTGAAGCTTCTCATCGCTACCGTCATCGACTGTGATGAGTACACGATTGTGGCCCTTGCAAACAGACAATTTATCATTGCTCGCGTTTCTTTCGCCTTTGATCAACACCTCACACCAATGACTATTGGGATTCTGATGATCACTTTCACTTGATATGAGCCGGAACCACCTCTTATAAAAAAATAACTTTTTGAAAAGCATATAAAAACGGATCGTAGCATTGTTATGCACACCGGGGTGGTTAATATTTATGATATCGGAAAACTGGGCATTCCAGCAAAGGCACGGCTAGGGCCAGAATTACGGTTTAAAAATTATGCCTTAAGCATAAGCAGATATCATTATTTCACTGGACATTACTATAGACTAATGAATGATCTGCATATTTACAGAGTATAGATGACATTGGCAAGTTTTGTTTCACTAACTGCACATCAGGTTATCTATTTGAACAGGGGTCGACGATTACACGGCATAATCCGGTATGGCGCCAGAGGCCTTCTTCTTCCGCTCACCCCTTCCGCTGTCTCGTTTACCGACCTTCGAGAGCCACTTCCAGCTTTTCATGAGCTCATGATTTCGACGTTTCATGTTACCCGGCAAAATTAAAATATCGGAATTAACGAATCGCTCACGGCCATCGGTCAGGTGATATCGAGATTCAGATATCATCTTACGGTCCCTTGTCTTTCGCACAGTCTGATCGTGGAGCCGTTGAGAACCTTTATCTTTGGCAAGGTACATCAATTCATCAGTAGCCTCCTCCTCTTCCTCCTCATTTAAGAGCGGACTTGGGCTATTTTGTATTTGTTTGTTCTTTGAGTTCCAAATTCGCTTAGGCATTAATTGTCTGGGCGAAGGTCCTGGTGCAGTCACTTTTGATGCTATTTGGACATAGGATAGTGGTACTGGTCTTGGCGCATATTCTATCCAGCCGTCATCGTCATTGTCGTCTTGTTCGTCTTCATCGCTTGATGTCGTTTGGCGTTCCTTGGTAGTCGGAACAACATCCAGGTCATGATCGGCATCGCCTGTATTGATAAGCTCCCACTCAGGATCTTTGGGCAAAGCTGGAAAGTCTGCAGCGTCCAATTGCACACCTTGGGATTCTGTATGTGATACAGTTTCGACAAAGGCTAGAGGCATATCAGAAGCTTGCATACTCATAATAAAATAATGTAAAAAAGTAGTTGGATAAAGGTAGACAAACGATTACAGGATCACCAGGGACCTATCGCCATTTGATAGCGTCAAATGACACCGCCTTTCGTAGTGCACGTGACCGGTCTCATCTGATTCCTGGTGACGGGCACGGTCTCAAAAGGAGGTCATCGAAGGTGTGAAATTGAGGAGAATGATGCGTCATACTGTAAAAGGCGCAGTAAGATTATTTTTGTCTACCAATCCATCTTTTCATTCTTGCGAGTCAAGATAGGAGGTTTGAAGTTGGGCAAATTATTGGCCAAAAGATAATGAATCTCAGACTGGCCAACTTCGTGACTGAAACAATATGCGATGGATATTCGTCAGTTTATAATTTTTTCCTATCGTTATTGCCTTCAAAGTAGACGGAAAAACTACAGCTGAGAGGAAACATAAATTTTTCCCAGAATAAGCACGTTTACGTTTGCCAAGCAACGGTACCGCCGGAGCCAAAGTAAATGTTGTTGGAACCTACAGATCTGCCAATATGACAAGAGGAGCAGAGACGAGTACTGTATTGCATCATATTGCTTCACCGAATAGCGAGCGGAGAACTGCATGAGCAAAACGGATATTAGCAAGTTTTTGGAGGTTAATGCTATTTCATTTTCATATTTTGTTTCTATAGGGGGTGAAATTATGCACTTGCTATAGACATTGACAAATAAAGAGGGAAACAGGATATGGATGACCTCATATGAAGTGCAACACGCTATTTAAGAAGATGAAATGGCCGTAACCGCTGCAAAAAGAGAATGGACGCGTGTAACTGTTGGTGGGCAATGCAATGCACCCCGTATACTGAAACGGAGAACGAAATGTGGGTATTGAGGCTCGCCGTTCATACGAACTAGGCTTTGTTCTGCTCTGTCCACCCAGTACGATAACATATTTTAAATCTACGAATAGATTCACTGCTAAAGACACCTTTATAACAGGCATGAACAGGAATCTAAGAATGATGGTTCCATACATGGAGGTAATCGTATGGATGTCTACATAATGGTAACTCCATTGAAATTATATCACGGCCCTTAGTTGGTCGAGTTCGATTCCATTGTCAAGCTCGTGCCTTGTCATCAAACTCGAAATAGGAATATCCTTTACATACTTGAGTTCCCCTTACCCTATAAGATCATTGTTTGTTTTCAAAGCATCTTAAAAGAGTATCTTCGTAAGTTCAAATACAAAAAAGTTATAATACGTGATACATAGAGATCTCTTCTTGATCTCCGAGGGTTAATGCGTAGGCAGAACGTAATAAATGAATTGATGGTACAACAGGTCTGGGTGAGCTGGTTGCGAAGGTGGGGAGAATGAAAAAAAAAAATTGTGGTGATAGCGTGACGGTCCTTTTTTTTTTTTTCCTTGCATTCGGCTGAAAGTGATATCAGTTTGCATTTTTTAACAAACCCAAGCAACAAGGAAAGGCCTCCATTTGTCTAACAATGGAACAGAACTTGATTCCCGCCGAAGCCTTGTCTCAGCTGTCGTCCCTACTTGTCAGCTTGCCCTCAGCCGACAATGAAATTAGGTAGGCTATCATCTGTCATATTTGATGTAGAAAAACGCGACCAAGTAATGTGCTAATCTGGCCGCCACCATCAGAACACAAGCAGAAGCTCAGTTGAACGATCAATGGATCGCACAGCAACCTGACTTGTTGTTGCTCGGTCTCACTCAGTTGGCCTCTTCCAGCTCTGAAGATCACGTATGTATCGTTAAAGCCTTCCTTTTTGCCTTCTTATTTCATAAGGGATGATGAAGCAAACGATAATTTGGGAAGACTTATTAATTTGATTGATGTAGGTTCGGGCATTTGCTAGTGTTTTGTTCCGTCGTATTGCTTTCAAGTCTATCGCCACCGCTGAAGACCCGGATGCCCAACTTTGGGGTTTGGTGCAGGAGAACACCCGTCAAGGTGTCAAAGCTGCTTTGTTGGTATCTCTATCCAATGAGACCAATGAGAGCACTAGACACAAGCTTTGTGATGCCATTGCAGAGATTGCCAAGACCGATATGTTGAGAGGTGGTGAGTAGCGTGGAAAGATATTCTGTGCGAGAATTTTGAACGGATTGGGGTTATGGGGCTCGTGCTTGATAATCATTGTACTCATCTCAACGTAAACCTTTCCCCTATATAGAAAAATGGGCTCAACTTATGGCCGCTTTGTTCGAATGTAGCCGCTCTCCTTCAGCTGAACTCAGAGAATCTGCTCTTCGCATCTTCACTGCTGTTCCTGATCTGATTTCTGATCAACACAACGATGCCCTCAAGGGTGTCTTCTCAGCAAGTCTCGCGGATCCCGAAAGTCAAAACGTAAGCGCGATTTCAGCAAATATTCAATCCAACATAGATCAATGCATGCTCATAGTAAATGGTCATCTTGTTTAGGTTCGTATCGCTGCTCTTAAGGCTGTTGTTGCCTATATTCTTCAGGCTGATCCCGGTAGTCAGAAGGCCTTGGGTTCTTTGATGCCTCATATGCTCGAGGTATGTATTTGTCGTTTGATGGTTGTTTTCAGATGAGGAATTATGGCTAAAGTTTGCCCTCAAGGTTTTGACACCACTTGCAGCTACTCCCGATGAGGATGCCTTGACAGACAGCATTATGACATTAATTGACCTCGCCGAGAACTGCCCTCGCCTATTCAGATCAGCTCTTCCTAACGTTGTTACTTTTATGATCAACATTGCCAAGGAAAAGAAATTCGAAGATGCTCTCCGCCAGACTGCTTTGGAATTGTTGATGACTTTGACTGAGGCTGCTCCAGGCATGGTTCGTAAGGTTGCTGACTTTACATCTCAAGTCATCCCCGTTGCTCTTGAAATGATGACCGATATGGAGGATGACGAGAAATGGTACACTACCGATGATGTATGTATTCATCTTCAATAACTGGCCTTCGACTTTACACTTTGCAATCACTAACTTTAATGTTTTTTTCAGCTTGATGATGATGACAGCGAAGAGAACTACGTCGTTGGTGAGCATGCTATGGATCGCTTGGCTAGATATTTGGGCGGAAAGGCTGTTCTTCCTGTCTCCTTCCAGTTCATCCCTCAAATGCTTGCATCTGAACAATGGCAACAACGCCACGCTGCTTTAATGGCCATCTCTGCTATTGGTGAAGGATGTGTAAAGATTATGGAACCTGAACTTGGAAACATTATCCAAATGATTGTTCCCTACTTCAATAACCCCAGCGCTCGTGTTCGATATGCCACCTGCAATGCCATTGGTCAAATGTCGACTGATTTCGCTCCTGCTCTCCAAAAGAACTTTCACGAGATCGTTTTGAGCTCCTTGATTCCCGTCATGGAGGATCCTGAACCCAGAGTTCAAGCTCATGCTGCTGCTGCTCTGGTGAACTTCTGCGAAGAAGTTGATAAGGCTGTCTTGGATCCTTACCTTGATCCTTTGTTTGAACGTCTCTTGGTCCTTTTGAACACCTCCAAGACCTATGTTCAAGAACAAGCTATCACTACCATTGCTACTGTTGCGGATAGTGCTGAAGACAAGTTTATTAAATATCACGGTGCCATTATGCCGTTGCTCCTCAACATCTTGAGACAAGCCACCGCTAAGCAATACCGCCTTCTTCGCGGTAAAGCTATGGAGTGTGCTTCATTGATTGCTTTGGCCGTTGGCAAGGAAGTCTTTGCTCCCTTTACCCAGGACTTCGTTAGCCTTTTGATCGAAGGTCAACAATCTGTCACCGAGAGTGATGATCCTCAAACTTCATATTTGCTCGCTTCTTGGGCCCGTATGTGCAAAGTTCTCGGCCCTGACTTCCTTCCGTACCTCCCCGTCATCATGCCTCCCTTGCTTCAATCTGCTCAGTTGAAGCCTGATTTCGCTGTTTTGGATCCTGATGAGGATGCTGAGGCCAACTACTCTGCTGAAGACGGCTGGGAGTTTGTTGGTGTTGATGGTCAACAAGTTGGTATCAAGACCACTGTTTTGGAAGAAAAGTGCACTGCTGTTGAAATGTTGATTTGCTATGCCCGCGAACTTGGTGCTGGCTTCTTGCCCTATATTCCTCAAGTCCTTGACATTGTCCTTCCTTTGCTCAAGTTCTATTTCCACGATGGAGTTCGACACGCTGCCGCTTGTGTGGTGCCTCTCTTACTTCAAGATGCCAAGAAGGCTAACGTTAACGCCGCTGACATTTCATCCATGTGGCATACCATCTATGCCAAGCTTGTTGATGTTATCATGAACGAGATGGATCCCTCTTTCTTGCTTCAAGTGTATATTGCCTTCTACGAATCACTTGAAATCGTTGGTGAAAACTCGATGACTCCTGAAGAACTTGAAAAGTTCATCCAAGCTACCGAGGCTCAACTCAAGGAATTCTATGAACGTCTCGAGACTCGCCAGAACAACCGACGAGCTGCTGACTTCGATGCTGAAGAAGAGGAAACCATGTTGGAGGAGGAGGAAGCTGAGGAATCTGTCATGTCTGAACTTGCACGCGCCATCCACACTGTCTTCATGACTCACCGCCTTGCATTCTTGCCTTACTTTGACAAGATCCTTCCATCTGTCGTTCACTTCTTGCAACACGAAAACCCATCTGCTCGTCAGTGGGCTCTGTGCGTTTTTGATGACCTTGTCGAGTTTACCGGTCCACAATCTTTCGCTTATTCCAGCCACTTCTTGGAACGTATGGTCAACTCTATTCAAGATCCCAACAATGATGTTCGCCAAGCTGCTGCTTATGGATTGGGTGCATGTGGTCAATTTGGTGGTCCACAATACGCTGATGCCTGCTCTGCAGCTTTGAACCCATTGTTTGCCATCATCAACGACCCCAAGGCACGCGATGTTGATAACATCTATGTCACTGAAAACGCTATCTCTGCTGTCTCCAAGATCTGCAGATTTAACTCTAGCAAATTTGAAGTTGACCCTGTCATTTCTGCCTGGGTCGCCGCTTTGCCTATTGTAAATGATGAGGAGGAAGCACCAACCACCTACACTTATCTTATGGATTTGGTTGATGCTGGTCACCCAGCCATCGTCAGTGCTAACAACCTTCCCCACATTGTCAAGATCTATGTCGAAGTTCTCTCTGCTGATGTTATCAAGGGTGAGCTTGCCGACCGCATGGCAAATGGCCTTAAAGCTATTGTGAGTGGACTGGACGATGGTACTCGAAACCAACTCTGGGCTTCTATCGAACCAGAGAAGGCTAGCAAATTGCAACAACGTTTGGCCTAAACAAAAGCAACCACTATCTTTTTTTCTATCCATTCTTCTCCCTTCTTCTCTGACCGCATAGACCGACTTTCCAATAATCCGATTTGTTTCTCTTCCATATGATATCTCTTCCCCCTTCTCACCATTTCAAAGGGTACATTTCCAGGATTTGATTACTTTATTTCATTTGTCATAACGTTTGTCACTCCTATCACATCCTCTTTTTTTTCTCCATTAAAATAAAAAGCCATATGACCTATCATTCATAAATATTATAATTGATAAAAAATTTGTTGTTGTATTCCTTAGATCATCAGTTTTACAGGTCTTGTATCAATTGGTGAACAGCGTCATGGCGTGGAATCAAGCGAACCTCATAAGGAACAGGGGCGAATGTGGTGGCAAGATTCGCTTTGCTACGCGATACATCTGGAGAACCCTCGAATCGATAACAAGCAACCAGCACAGCAGCGGCCATAAAGATACTTCGTTCAGCCAAGTGGATGCCAACACAGGCTCTACGACCAGTCGAAAAAGCCAAGTGCGGGCGATCGTCTACGTTTTGCGAAAACCGTTGTGCGGATTTACCCTTTACGTACTCCATATGACGAGTCGGATCGAACTTTTCCGGTTCCTCATACCGTTTTGGGTCCCTGTGAATAGCATGAACATTGATGATCACAGTGGCCATTTTCGGAATGACAAAGTTGTTGTATGTGTCTTCTGAGCTGGTAGCATGAGGGACTCCCAATGGAACTGGTGCAAATAATCTGAGGGTCTCCAATATAACACACTGTAGGTAAGGTAGATTGGTTTCTGTATGGAAAATGAGCATCAAGCGTCGTAAGTCTTTAATCTGTATATAGCTTACCGTCGTCAGCTGTTGGAAGCCTATCCCTACCAACCACGGCATCAATTTCTTCAAAAATCTTTTGTTGTATATCAGGATTATTGGTTAGAACAGCAAAGATCCACTGTAAAGTTGAAGCTGTTGTGTCTGATCCTGTATTTTGAAACAGATTAAAGATAAGGTTTTCAGTTGGTTGAACTACTCGCGCTTCTTCTGATTTTCACTGCTTACTTACCAGCGCCAACGAATACGGCTGAAAACCCAATTCCCTGGGTCAAAGTCAATTGATCTGCGACTTCTTTGAAAAAGCAATCGCTGACGTTTTCTGGATCATTCTTCATTTTCTCCACCAAGCTTTGGAATAGCGGGCCATAAAAGGAGTGTAGTTTGCTGTGAATATATTTCACCAGAGGAACGTCTTGAGAAAAGATCCGTTTCAAAATTGGGAAGAATTCTAATAGCTGTTCCTTCGGTCCTAAAAAGGTGGCAGCGGCAGCCGTAAGTTCAAAGACTGGCTGAAGCTCTTTGTCTCCAGGTTTCAAATATATGGCATCACCATACGCGACTTTTAATACACTGAGCAAAGCGTAGTCCTCCAAGTACCGGCAAAGCGATATTTCAACGTCAGGATCCTCCGCCAAATCTTTCCACAGGGTCTGTGATAGTGTGCGAGCACCTTGTTCAAATGTAGATTGATAGTCGTCGATTTTCTTTTTGGTCAACCCAGAATGAGCTGTGAAATAGGATACATTCAACAGGGGTAAGTAAAAAGGTGAGCATGTGGATAAATGCCGTCATGGTATCTTACCTATCCGACGAAGATTTCTCCAGTGCTTTCCGTACTCGTAGAACGCGAAGCCACCTCCAGTCTCTAAATTATAGGAAAGTAAGTCAACACACCAAGAAGATGCTTAATCTATCGTACTTACCACCGTCAAAAATCCCATCGGTCATGACAGAAGAAATATCTCTCGAAGAATAGATGGTGCCTCTGCTGACGATTAAATCCTTGACGGTAGCGCTATCGTTGATGATAATCCAGCGTTTGACCCCCAACTTGAGCGTAAATATGGGGCCAACCTCTTGGCTCCATTTCAGGAACAGCTTCTGCAGAGGCTCTTTCGATGTAAGGGCAAGTAAATGACCAATAACCGGAAGACAACCAGGTGCTAGTGGCGGTAGGTTGGGCTCTGAGCGTTGCAATAGCCACCATGCCACGCCGAGAGCAGCCACCATAGCAGAGGAGATAAAGGGCACAGTGTAAGCCGACATGAGGGATAGGAAGTAGTGCAATCGGTGCAAGCTGATAAAAAAAATTATGTGATGGGATTTTATATGGCTGGTGTGAAGTCAAAATATGGCCTTTGCATTGTTCGATGTAAATTTGAAGAATTTTCTTCTATTTCTCCAAATATTACTATGACAATATACAAAAAAAATAAAAATACGCATAGAATTCAGCTTTGTGAGTGTTATTCGGTATGAAATAATCCATAAAGCATAAGGAAAACCCTACTTTTCATGGTTTTAAAAAAATAACCAGGTTGAATTTTGAAAGTCAGATCGGTCACCAGTGTTTAGCTGCAGGAAGCGATATGCTTGAAAGGTTGTTTTACGAATATTTCAAGACCCAAGTACATTATACAAATAATTAATTATCTTAAGACAAGAATCGAACTATAATTTTCCATTTGACATTTGGAAGGTTATCAGTAATAAGCACTATGATCTATGTAGTCATCTTTATCCGACTCACATGCCCCGAAAAACTTTCCCATTACCCAATAGCGAGTGCGCACAACATGAATACACCAAAAGTAATGGGCAACAAACCAAATCGAGCATCAATTACACAGATCGTACCTTAATATAACATCGTACTGTGAAGTTAATAACTCACGACTGTGTCAAATTGGCCATATGAAATCACAACTAAACGTGTCGATGAAGGCTTTCTTTTATGTAGGCGAATCATTTTATTAAATAAGCGCGCTTACATTTAAAAAGTGAAGTGAATGTGATGGGGTTTATGTCAGGCTATTGCTATGGTTCAATATGATACAATATGAATTAATCTATCTTCTGTTCTTTCTTTTCCAGCTCAAATTCGTTTCTCCATTCAACAGGTAGCTGTCCCAACGTATTTTTGGCAGCTCTATCTTTGACGATTTTGGAAAGGATTTGGAAACGTGCCCGCTTGAGCTCAATTTCCAAACCTGGAACTTCGCATTCATGTGCAATGCGATTTAACGTGCTAATGTCAATGACTCCCATGATATCATCGTGTAGAGGGTCTAGATTTGGCTTTCGCTTTGTCTGAGCAGCAGTAGGTTCTGTAGCAGAAAAAGGTTCTGTGATTGTTGATGGCAGTATCAATTCCTTGGAACTTGAGAGCTGTACACCTTGCAGAATTCGATCAAGGTCAGGAGACGCTTCAGTATTAAGACAGTTATGGGTTATGAGGTATTGAAGATGTTGAGCTCCCTTGTACGCTAGTTGATGCCCAAAATTAGATATATTCTGGAAGAACTTTTCACTCATTCAAATGATCACCAACCTTTAAAGTGACTGTACAGTCGAAATGTATTGTACGCCAGAGGGATATTTGGAATAAGTGGAACGATGGCGAATGAAAGAGCAGCTGGTATCCAATATGCAGAATAGTACATGTACTTCTTATGGTAGGGAAGTCGATGCTCGACAGCCGTTTGAAGAAGTTCCCTTATGACCGCACTGTCGATTGACGATGGATGGTGCACAGGGACCTTCAAATACGTTAATCAGCAAATTGTTCATTTTTCAACGGACGTGCCAAGATATGTAGTCGCTTACCTTTGTTAATTCGTGTTCTAAGTCCTCCTTTATAGGTACACCTTTCAAAAACCATTCTTCATAGTCCATACGGTCCATGAAGTTGTTTCCGGTTTTGAACAGTCTTCCTTTCCACGAGGTGGGATCGGCTTCACCAAATTTCTCCCATTTTGAGCCAGTCCAATTCACAAATTGTGTGAGTCTGGAAGTAGTCGGTAGTGTGGAATGGCAATAGTATGCCCAGCGGTTTTTGAGTATGGGAACAACGAGAATGCGCATGCTATTGAAAAGACAGTTAACGAGTAGTTCTCAGCACGTTCAATAATGACGTTTTTCAAAATGCGAAAGCGAGAAGTCACAGCGGAATTTACGCTTGCCGTGCGTGATGCGGTAGCTGTCTCTCTCCACCGTAGATGATAATTATTTTCTCTATTTAATGGGAGGCACGTAAAGACGGGAATAAGGAATGACTCATAAATACATCAACACTTGGTACGCTTTTCCGTTCTTCTTTCCTGTCAAGCTTTTGTGCAAACCAGCTGTGCACGTGACTGTAATATGCGGAGTTTCGCGTTTGCACGTCAGTAAACGCACAGATTTCAACAATTAATCTTTACTGCGAAGCTTTGCAAATGTCTCAAAACAAGCAGCCGGTCAAAAAGTTCGCCTTCAGCTTGGGTGCAAAGAAGCAGCAACCGATATCTTCTCAGAATGCAGATGCCAAACCTGCGGTGATGACGGGGGTATCAACCATTGAAGGAAAACGCGGATCAGAACAAACGAACTCGAACGCATTGAACAAGCGGCCAAGAATCACTCTCGACGACGAAGACGACTTGCTTCAGAGCGCAGGAATTACTGTTAAAGAAGGTTAGAAATAGCGAGACATTCCGTATTGGCGTAGGACAACTTTCTAAGCTGAGCCTTTTGGCTGTCACACAGTAACTGAACCGGAGGAGGACGATCCATTAGAGGCTTTCATGGCAGATATCAGCCATAAAGCGGCAGCAGAGACCACGGAACCCAAACTCAGAAGAGATGATCTGGAAGAAGAAGATGAGATGGAAAGTTATGTGAATCACATGAAGAAGAAAGGGGTCATGGTTGGTAGCAACAACGGCATTACCGAACGCGACGAGGCAAGTGGAAAATAACAAAGAGAAATGTTTACCGCCCAGTTTGCCGGATGTCCAAGCTTAGCCAAAATTCTCATTTTTAGAATGTTGACTCGGATGAAGAAGTGTATTCCACAGCAGCGGCGATTGACGCACAACAACAGCTCGGGGCAGACTGGGACGAAACCAGTATGAGTAACGTCGCCCCAGTCAAACGAGAGATTGAGCCCCTGGCTCGAGTTAACCATGCCGAAATCGAATATCCCGAGATTGAAAAATACTTTTACGTTGAGCATGAAGAAATAGCTGCTCTCAGCCAAGAACAAGTACAAGCCATTCGAAAAGACCTATCACTTCATGTGACAGGTGCGAATCCAGCCAAGCCTTGTATATCTTTTGGTCATTTTGGATTTGATGAGGATTTAATGGATGCGATCGCGCGATGTGGATATACCGAACCTTCCGGTATCCAGAGGCAAGCCATTCCGGTGGCACTGGAAGGAAGGGATATAATCGGAATTGCCAAGACTGGATCTGGCAAAACTGCTGCATTTGTACTCCCGATGCTCATTCATATCATGGATCAAGCGGAATTGGTCAAAGGTGATGGTCCTATTGGACTGGTGCTAGCGCCTACTAGAGAACTAGCTCATCAAATTTACATAGAAAGCAAGAAGTTTGCCAAGGCATATGGCCTCAAGTAAGATAATGTCACCCCATGGGAAGATTAGGTTTGAGCCTCACGTTGTCTAACTCTATAATATTGATATTCTTTAGAGTGGCGGCGGTATACGGCGGTGCCTCTAAAATGGACCAATTTAAAGAACTGCGGAGCGGAACCGTGGAAATTCTTGTTGCAACTCCCGGAAGATTAATTGACATGATAAAGATGAAAGCCACCAACCTACGACGAGTCAGTTACCTTGTATTGGATGAAGCAGATAGGATGTTTGATCTTGGATTTGGTGAGGGACTTCGATACCATTGATGACTCTTTCATATTATGGAACGGACCGCATTGAGACCGATATATTTCTTCCCCTTTTTTTTTCTGCCTTTCTCTCTCCATTGTTGATGGTATTTACCTTGGAACAGAACCACAAGTGCGTTCCATCTGTGACAATGTGCGACCTGATCGTCAAAGTAAGTCTATTGGGGGAATTTTTTTTTTGTCTCCTGTAAAACTGGTGTGGAACGTGTTGACGTTGACTCGTTTGAATAGCACTTTTGTTCAGTGCGACTTTCCAAAAGCGTGTAGAAAAGTTGGCACGTGAGGTTATGGATGAGCCTGTTCGAATCAGTGTTGGTCATGCTGGACAAGCAAATGAAGACATTACCCAAGTGATAACGGTGCTAGAAAATGAATCGTTCAAGTGGAATTGGCTGATGAAGCAATTAGCAGGATTTTGTGCCGGTAAGTAAACATGATAAGATTTGAACATGCGTTTATGTAATCTCGTTTTTGACAATATGATTGGGGGTGGGGGGAAATAGCTGGTAGCGTTATCATCTTTGTGTCACGGAAAGCAGCCGTTGACGAATTGGCAACCAATCTACAGCAAGCCGGATTTCCAAGTAAGGACATTGCGGGTTGCTGGTCAGGGGTGAGGTGGGGTACTGTAGATATTTAAATCTTTTTGGGTATTCCAGGCGGGGCGTTGCACGGTGATTTGATGCAAAGTGAACGCGAGAAGGTTTTAAAGGATTACAAACAAAGCAAGTTTCCGATTCTCGTTGCTACTGACGTTGCCGCCCGTGGTCTCGACATCAAGAGCGTACGAACGGTGGTTAACTTTGACATTGCTAGAGACATAGACTCTCATGTGCATCGTATTGGACGCACGGGGCGAGCAGGAGAAAAGGGAACGGCGCACACTCTCATTGTCAGTAAGGAGGACAAATTTGCCAGTGATTTGGTGCAGCATCTTGAAAGCTCTGGGACCCCGGTTCCTCGCGAACTGATGCAAGTAGCGATGAATAACCCAAGATTCCGGAAGAACCGTGAAGGTCACGGCGGCCGCAGCGGAAGAGGGCGTGGGCGAGGACAAGGACGAGGTGGTCGAATGGGAACATTTAGGGGCGGAAGTGGCCGGGGCGGAGGTGGGCATATTCAACAAGGTAAGCACTTTTTTTTGTTTTTTTTGCACACACTCTTGCCCTTACGGAATAATATTCATCGTGGCACATCAGAGTCAAATAATAGCAACAAAACACCACTTGGATCACGAGGAATGATGTTCCAAAGAGCAAGCACAAGAGAAGCGGGTGCGCACGGATTGCACTCGGTAAAGGAATAAGGAAGCAAGTCAAAATAAATTCTACTATAAAATTTGCATGGTACAAGCCCGCACTGTATATTTATCATTATATAATGTTGTTTGCCGATCGTTCTTCACTCAAAAAAAGGACGGGGGTGAGTTACAAAAGGCTGGGATGCGGGGGCTACCTTTTATGGTATTTAGTCTTTGGCTTCTGAATAAATTGCTATTCTAAACATTTGTGCTTCCGATGTGAAACTCTACATGCCCATTTCATTATATAACTTGATAGACTTTTCTAATTCCTTCTTCCTTTCAACCTTCTCTTCCATCAAGCTTATTTTATCCCGATGCAAAGCTTTCTAGTCGCTGCTCCCTCTAGTACCAAATCACCAGCTTCCAGCAAGAACAACAGTGCTTCACTACAAATGCTGCCCCGTCCGCACAAGTGTCCAATATGTCCCAAATCGTTCTATCGTCATGAGCATCAAACAAGACATCTTCGAACGCACACTGGAGAGCGCCCGCATGGTTGTACATTTCCAAACTGCGACCGCCGCTTTGCGAGGTCGGATGAGCTAGCTCGACATATGCGCATCCACACTCAACCTACATCGGTTTCCTTTCGTAGACCTTCTCCGCGGAAGAGAAGAGAGTCAAAGGACAAGAAATGGAGCGTTGAAGATGAAATGGCCTATAGCGAGCAGCAAAAGTTTTGTTCCGTCATTCGATTTGCCTCTGTTCGCCCACGCCAGTCTAGAAACCTTGGGTCGCCACGCCCAGAAGCAGGTAGTTGGAATTTGCAACGGTGCCCTGTGCCACGATGTCTCAAAAGTTTTTGGAGGCCAGGTCAACTTGCCAGACACATTCAAGTTCAGCATCCTGGTGCTCATGATGGCAACAGCAGCAGTACAGAGGAATCAGATGAAGGCATAGAGACACCCGGCAACACCCCACCAATGAGCCCCGCAAAACCAATGATAATGGAATGCAGCTTGGATACATCCCCTGTGCTCCCTGCCAAACCCTTACCTATGGTCAGCATATTACCACCATTGGATCCTCGCTTAAATGCATACCATACATCAACAGTAGATTATGGGCATCAAGAACAAAATGATTACCCTACACATCCTAGACTTCCGTCAATCCAGTCATTGCTGTGCTAGGTTTTATATCATCATCATCCATATTGTTTTTCTTCTACACAATGCCTTTTAACAAAGGCATACATATACCACTCAATTGCAACCATCTCTATTCCCATTTTACAAATGAAAAATAACAAAAATTTGCGACACACGCAGTCAATGCACCCCCATTCTACTTCTGCATCTGCGTTTTGTGGCTTCAATGCGAAACAAGACATACCGTCCCTCTCCATTTTCACTGTATCTTTTTTTTTTCTTTTCCTTCTCAACTGTATATATAAACTCACTGCTCCCATCGCATACTTTGCTGATAAAATTACCCTCATTTTAGTTTGACTTCCTATAAAGCTTGTCAAATTGAAATTGACCTGGGCCTAATTTGCGCATTCTCGTTCTTCCAAGCCCGTCAGGAGGGAAGGAGGCAGACGCCTTCAATCGATTGAGTCACCAGAAATAATACTGATGATCATTCCCCCAAATACAAGTCAGTCGCATGGTGGAAAGTCCATACTTGGTCATCCGAACAAGGTGGGAGGTTTGGCCAAAAAGAGAACATAATACTGAAAAGAAATGAGTATGGAGAACTGACAAAACAAGGCAAATAACAACCTGGGTCTTACTTCATGCGCTGCGATCGGAAGACCTATCAGGGGACTTTATTCGAATTTTTGTTTACAGTCCCTTGTCTCATGTTCTACGGCATTGTCACCGGCTTTTCTATATCATGCCTGCGGCCCTCCGCACAGTGGCTACATCATCATCCACGAAATACTATTTTCAGCCTACAACATATCAGAATATTTGGACACTATTGAGGCAATCATGCATGTTGCAAACGGTAGGTTAGGTGGTGATACAAAAACCATTTGATTAAATGCATGAACATTGCAGGCCAACAGTATTTGCATCAAGTTCATAAAATACGTTTGGAAATTACGGTATGTCGATTTATTCAGAACCGTTAATAAGGTAATGTACAAACATAACATGGGCTCACATGCTAGAGACTACTTTGATGACTTTCTTTCCGCTGGTCAGCTACTGTGCCTTGGAATGTTTTGGCTGCAATATCTGTTTTTGCGAAGCGCTGATACCATTTCCATAGCTGTGGACTTTCTTGCTGCATTAATTTGCGCTCAGGCAGGGATGCGAAGTCTGCAAACACTGGAAACATAAAAAGATCTGCCCAAGTAATAGAAGAGCCGCATAGCCAACCATTCTCTTGAACTTTCCCAGATACCAAATGCTGCTCAATCGCTCGCAGGACTACTCTGGCTCTGTCGAGGCAATTCTTCAAGCTGGCCTGTATGTCAGCTTCGCATTGACCTTTGCCCTCCATACCTTGACGAGGCTTGCTGATGGCCAGAATAAGTTCTCGAAACGCGTAGTCGCTGGCGATACTGACCCATTGGTCTACTTGAAGTAGTTTTTGGATACCCTCGGGTTCTAGTGACTTTGTGTGGTGTTCATTGATGTGATCGATGTAACGTCGTATAGCCAAGGTTTCGTTAACAACTAGGTCATTGTCAGTCAGGGTTGGGATCTTGCCAAAAGCATTATACTTGTAAGCCAGTTCTTCATGTGGCAATGTTTCGAGCAATTCATATGGGATGTTCAAATGTTCCAGCGCTAGTCGGATAGTTCGAGTAAACGTGGAGATTTTGGCGCCAACAATTATCAGTGTCATTTTTTACTTTTCAATTATTTTCGGTATGCTTCAAAGCGACAAGTCTTTCTTCTGACCGTGAGATCAGATCTATACCACAATTTATTCCTATCCCCTTCTACGCAGTCGGACGAGAAAATCACGCTACTATGACGCTCCTTCTCCGCAATTTATGGTAACTTTCATGTAAGCCGACCTTTAATCTGATTTAAGTATACAATGACTTTATTATCTTGAGCAGGTTTAGATGATATGAGGTCGGGAGAGGTTTAAGCATCGTTGGAGTTTTTGCACAAGAAGAAGTTGGCAGCAACGAGTTCTAAATCGTTGTCTTTACCAAACTTTTCGGCCTTGAAGTTTCTTCTGTCTGGCTTGGTCTCATGAGACAACTGTTGAATTGCCTGGTCCTTGCTCTTCTGTTTGAAAAGAAGGAAGCAGTATCTGTGAAAGCCGCTACCCTCCGGGGGTCCGGGACCAATGTATGGAGTGTGCTGTGTCGCAGAGGCAACAGATGGTTGCGAACCTAGTAGCACCTCGTCAGCATGCAGTAGTAGTAGAACTGCCTTTACCCCAATACTTACCTGGAATGTTAGTAACTATCCAATGTCTCCACTCTCCGAATTTGGGATCCTCTCGACTGGGTGCATCGGGGTCTGTCTGAAGACCGGGATTCATCAAAACTCAATTCATGCGGGACATTAATCGTAAATGCATTATTAAACTCACCATAATCAAGGTATAGTAAGCACTAGGGTCATCGGCAACAAAAGTGACTTCTGGGGCCACTGAGGCCTCCTCGGGGGTCATCTTGTTTCCGATAGCAACATCTTGACCACCAGGATACTTTATACCAATCAGGGTATCGGAGGGTACTTGTGAAAGGACTGACAAAGGAATGTCAGTATAGATAAATATGTTGCTACAGTAGTGTATGCTTGCTTTACTCACCATCAGGAATCAATCCAGACTCCTTGAAGGCAGAGGTAATACTCATACTCGCAGTGACGAGAGGCATTTTTGGTAATAACAAATGGAAAGGGATGCCGAGAAATGGTGTTCATATTCGAAGTATTTAACAAGTCGTCATTGTGACTTGCTTTTCAGAAACTCTGATCTCAAAATTCGCCACTGCTCGCTTGTTGGCAGCAACAATCGAATTGCTTCATTAGCTTGTCGGTTATTGTATCCATTGTCAGCTGGTATTTAGTTCTTTAATCTCATCGCTTAAAATAAAATCATGTGTAGTAAGTTCTGCGCAAATGCATTGGTTATAAATGTATGATCCATGTTGCATTAATTACATCCATGCGAACCGATGTCGTAGCAGTGGGTCATGGACAATATTGATTTCACAAAATTTTACTTCGTGGTAATGTACCATATACGACAGAGAATGTGGTCATAAGAATAAAGAAACTTGAGGATAAACGAGACAATGTTATCGATATTTGATAAAAGTGGATTGATTTTTGATCTGCTCTGCGGTTTTGCGCCGGATAGTTAATGTGTGCTTTGAAAGACAAAGACTCGCACGGCTCAGGTAAACCTTACTCAACTTGGCAATTATATAGCGTCTTCGTGAAGAATCATCGCCCGTATGTTGTTCTTACTTGTATACAATGACGTTTGTCAAAGCTACTATAAGCGACACTGAAACTATATTGGTGGTCATGATGTAAACACTTCATGCTTCGGTAGTCTACCTCTGAAATCCGCTTAGTACATGAGGTTGAGGGTTCCAAGTTGGTTTGCCAACATGTGAATATAGTGAGATGGGGACGCTGCCAGGCATTTTTTTGTTGGGATCTTCACAAGAACGGGAAGGTAAAACACCGCGACATCAAGATTTGTGCATGTTTAGACTACACTTTGGTAATTCTGCGCCTGTCGGTGCTTTCACTTTAAATTTGAGTCTCCAGGAAAAATGAAATAAATAGTACAAAAGGAGGTATAATTTCTAATGGTATCATCGAATGTAATGTCCAGGTCTCGCGTTGAATTATCAACCCGCTATGGGTCCGTGCTAACAGAGTTTGTGGGTTTCTATATCGCCAATATTTGAGTGAAGACGTTTTGAATGCCTTGGTCATCTTGATTAGACTACCTCATTTGATGGTATGCGCTCCACGCCCGTGATCTCAAGCATATTGCCAATCATCGCATCCAGATGTTCATTGATGTGAGTAGTATTAGATGAAACATCTTTGATAAAAGAATCTATAGCTTGTGACCATATTAAAGTCATGTTTTGAGAGGGACTCGGTGAAGGCGTTAATGAAGAAGTAGATGAGGCTGTTGGAGAGGCATGTGCATTGATCAGATTTTGGGTACCCGAAGGTATGGCAGCTGAAAGATGTGATGTGGATATATTTGATGAAGCAGGAGATGCATATGAAATTGTTGCATTAAGGCTTTGAAAGCAATAGTCGGGGTAGCCTGAAGAAATAGACATATAGATGTATGACCTTTAATACGTTGATCCAGACCTAACGAAGTAATCACGGGAAAAACTATCTTCCATCACGTACCTGGTTTATTGGCAAAACATCCAAACTGACAAGCTTCCTTGTCTGTCCATAGCCCATTATCGCAATAATACAAGTGATCGGCTTGCTTCCCTATACTCGTTCCGCAGTAATAGCCGGGTCCTATATACACAGGATCGATGACCAAGGAATGTCAGAAACACAAGCTAGGAACACCTTTTCAAGATTGCAGGCATTTTCTCAAAACCATACCATATGTACACTGTCCAGACGTATCTTGGGCAGAACTAGTGAGTATTGCGCCGAGAAATAGTATAATTGACCACTTGTAGTTTGACATTAGAGCAAGAAGAAGAAGAAAAACATTCACCTGGGTTGGGACTTGCCCAACGAGGCTTTTGATTTCCGTAAATAGCACAGCGCTCAGCCAATTAATAGCGCTTTGGAAGTGTGGTTAAAAATAATACCAATTCTAATATTCTCAACGTTTTATATCGTTGCACGGTAAAGCCAATTAAAAAAAAAAAAAGAGGATATCGCTGACAGTAGATGAGTAATGGGGGTATCGAAAATTACAAAACGATAATATACAATGACGGGGCATAAGCTATCATACAAGAAAAGTCGAGCAGCATCACGAAGCTGTAGTTACATTATATGGGCCATCGCGCGCCCATGAAAGTATATTCGAGGAGTTGCTGTTCCGGCCGTACATTAGTATACTGAATGTGGTATTTTCCGGCAGATTGATAGTGGAAGGGACGGTATAGTAATAGCGTGCGCTATTGACGTTCAAACTTTGAGCGATTGTACTGTTGAAGCTACCCTGGTCTGCCACCAAGTATATGTCCACCAGGTTGATGTTGCTAATCGTACAAAACCAAGCAATGGGAATAGCCTTTATAAATAGTACAGGACATATTTCTTAGCGAACCATTTTTGGGAGTCGAGCCACAAACATATTACTTACCACATTATAGAACAATCTGCCCATAGGAACACTTTGTAGTAACTCGATCCCAGTTCCATTACGGTTTCCGAGATCTGTATTGTTCTGCCCAATACCTGGATCTGGACCTGTGATGAAGAAAGAGGGCTGCTGTCGATTGAGAATGGTGAATGGACCGGCAATTTGGGGATTATCGATGCAAACCGAGGCTATGTTGGCAGTGAGGTTGCCAAGTAGTCCGCTAACAGCAATGTAGGCTCTCCTGTTGAAAGCGGTGTCGCTTGGTATTTCCCATAAATAAACACTGCTGTACGGATCAACGCCAGAAGCAATAAGTGTGGTCCGGTTCGAGTAATTATCAACCAGCGAGAGAGTAAGTTGGTATGTTGAATTCAGTCGAGCAACAGCTATTGCTGCATCGCTGTTCAGAAACCATCGGATGGCTAAACTAGATCCTGCTTGGTATACACCTCCAAATGCCGGGGAGGTGACAATTATGCAGGAATTAGATGCCACCAGGGAATCTGCATTGGTTAAAGCCCATGATGCAGGAATGATGGACGGGTACGTTGAATCTCCAAAGCTGTATTGTGGAGGTACGGAGCCGCCTGCATTAACAAGTCCAGTAAATGCGGCAACGAGTGCCAGCAATAGCGGCATCAGCATGGATGAGGACGCAGGCTTCTGCTAAAGAAATTTAGACGAGGTAGCAAAAGTTTAGGGAAAATCTTCCAGTGGCCAAAATTTATTTAAAAGCTGTGTGGAGGTATTGTTTTTCACATCAAAACACTATTGTTACAAAATCAGACATTTGCCCTTCTTCGACTTGGCCTCGTTACGTTGGAGGGTTTCCTTGCGTACATGTATTTTACGCATCAACTGTGTGTACACTTGCTCGACGTTCTGCCTCGTCTTGGCAGATGTCTCAACATATGGGCAATTCCATTCGGCAGCCAAAGCAGTTGCTTCATTAGAAGACACTCGGCGCAAATGTTCCAAGTCAACCTTGTTACCCACCAAAATGAAGGGAACCTGAATAGAAAGTACAATTGATCGAACTTAGAACATGTCTTAAAAAAATTCAGAATTGATGTGACGACAACTCACCGTTTCATCATCTAGTACTCGGCCAATTTGGTCTCTGAATTCTTGAGTATGTTCAAAAGATTCGTGTTCGCATACTGAAAAGACGCACAAAAATCCTTCTCCAGAGCGATAGTAATTGTCTCGGATCTGAAGCCAGAAGAAAAATTAGTATCATGAGCCAAGAAACTAAATTTGGCAGCACGTTTTTGCGCATGTGGAAAACTTAGGTAACTTGACGTACAGCAGCATATTCCTCTTGGCCAGCGGTATCAAGGATATCGATCTGGCACTCTTGACCGTCGAGCACAACCTTTTTCCGATATGCTAATTATACAAAGACACTCTGTTAGATCGTTGTCTTCTTGAATACAGTAGTGAACGATAAAGACGGTAAAAAAATGCCTTACAGTCGGCTTTGGTTGGGTCATATTCTTCAACGAAATCCCCGTACATGTACTGCAGGGTCAGTGCGGATTTGCCCACACCACCTGAGCCAACCATAATGACTTTGTGCAATGGTAAATTTTGCTTAGCTTTCTTTGGCATGATGCTGGAAAATTAGGGGAGGTGATGATGAGGTGAAGAAAGCTTGGTTTTTGGGGACCTGCAATTGCCCAAAATGGCATTGGGACCTTTGAAAACACGTCACTAAGCGGCAAGAAATTTGTCCAACCATCCATTTGTCCAAAAGCACTTTCCACCGACTTTTAAAAAACGGCTGTGTTTCAATGAAAGACTGGAAGTCAATAACCATTGAGTGTCTCCATCAATAGCTGATGGTTAGTGAAAGGCGTAACAATTAATCGCCAAGAACACCTCCAATTAAGCTTTGGTGTTCCCGCGCTTTACCGTGTGAAGCGCGGCTTGCCCGTCTAGCCCTGTGGCTCTTTCTGGGCTGCGCAATAAAGCTCATAGACTGTCATACAGAGCAAGCCCAGCTTAAAGAAGTCGTCACCACTGATCGGACACTCAGACCCTTTTTCACTGCAAAAACACTGCACCTAATTTACCAGTTGAGATAGTTTTAATTGACCAACTCGAAGTTACGAACAAGCACAAGGCTATCGTTCAATTAGAACTGAACACACGGCTGCGTCATAGATTTTCGACTTCCACTGAATGTTGGCCTGTGTGACCCCCATCAGCTTATACACCACATAGCCATACGTTGTTCCTAAACGATCTATCTCCCACCACGAATCATACCTTCCATATTATCCTCCGAGACTGTATGCAATACGTTTCAAAAATTAAATGTCAGTGGGTCGTGGATCGAGACTGCACCAAAGCTAGGCTGGGTGAAGAGGTTACCCCGGATTTTTGATAGGGTATGGCGTCGCGTGACTTTCTGTTATGGCATCAATCCTTGCGTTGCTTGGATCGGCAAAAGAATGCTCCCCTGACTTTTGTGGGGCAACACTGCAGACTACGATATGTCGGCTCTGGACTCACAGTATTCTACTTGCTAGTAGGTGCGTAGAATGCCAATCGAGAACATAGTATTTAACTCTCATAATATACCAGCGACTACAGTATGGATAATTTAAACTTTGTAACACGACTAGTTTCGATTACCTTACAAGTTGTCAACAGGAAGGTCGTTGAATGAACCGTGTACAGGTATGGAATTTGATATATGCAGACGCCGTGGGTTATTATATCCTTGAACAGTATGCTGTACAAGGAGACACGCTTTTATAGTTGTTTTGGTTGTAATTTCAAGGTGTGCAATACACGGGGGCTCTATGTCTTTTTATGTGAATGCGAAGAGCATATGACCTCTTGTGAGAAAAAAAAATAACCAGTGGGCGTCAAGGACAGGGCTATAAAATTGAAACCACAAGGGCAAAAATTCACGTCTACAGCTCTCACCACTTTCGATTTGTTTCATAATATGGATCTCAACTTTCCTCAAGAAGAAGATAATAACAATTACCTTGACACCGACAGTGTCTGCTTGAATGGCTTCTGCTTCTGTGCCCGTCACTCCCTGGAACTGTGTCCCAAGTGTCCCACGGATAACCGAGGTATCAATAACATGCAAGTGGAGGACTATCTGCACGAGCAGTGCTCTGAAGCCGAGTTCGAAGCCAAATGGAAGGGCGATGACCGACCTCCTCTTAATGTCTCTCACAGATGGACCAAGCTCTCTAATGGTAAGCCTGCTTGCTCAGAACATAAGCAAATCGGTTGCGAAGAGTGCTTCAACTGGGGTCAAGGTAAGCGGTGTTTCTTCTTTGTCTGATCACCTACATGTTGATAAATGCTTACCATTGCAATGTAAAAGGTCTACTCCGTGAGATCAAGGGAGAAAAGAAGATTAGAAAGGCTTCCAAGAAGAGCAAGAAAGACGCTTTGTAATTCCAACCCGTAGAAAGGGCGACGTTATTCAGACAAACAAGATGGTTTACAAAGAAGTTGTAGTAATGGTTGAAGTTCTATGTGAATACCTTTAGGATAGTTGATAGTTAAGAGTTAGTGCACTTTGATTGTAAAGCTGATAGTGATTGAAGGTCATAAGTAAAGTTGAAGGTTATTATAGGGAAAGGACAGTGTGCTAAAGAAAAATCATACGATTACGCCATGAAACAACGGTTGTTTGATGTCAAACAGTGCCTAGGTTATGTTAAAGGAATGCTGATAAATTTTACTAACATATATTTCAAATATCCTACCTTTATTTCCTTCTGCTTTTCGATTTTGACATATAATTAGCATAGCATCGCACTCATATATGGGTCTGATGATGATACTGTCCAAGCGGCGCAAATGTCAAACCTCGAATGCACTGAGTTTAAAATTGGTTAAAAGTGGAGCTTGGGTGCTAAAGACCATTAGCAATTGAGGCAATTTGATTCTAGCTGGCGCAAGGATAACAGAGAAGTCACCAACCATTGCGTATTCTAAACTATGTAAATGCTGATGGAACATTTTAATGTACAATTAATCCATAATCAATGTGGCAACTACAATAAATTGCACCGTTTGATACAAATTTGCAACCTTCAGTTCATATTTGACGCGATACCAAGAAATCTATTTGAATTTTTATAGCTGTATAAGTATATCTACCTGCAATGGTTTATAAAAGCTGGCCGTACAAGAACATGTTGTCAGCAGCGTCAATATATGCTTTCAGGCAAGTTTGAGTTATAATTTTTTGTCAAATGGTTGATAAGCACATTGACAGTTGTCCTAACTATGGTATATGTCTTAATATGTCGACTAAAGCAAATGTACGCAACTTTCTCTAAAGTTAATCACTCAGCTTTGATGACGGTTTGACATAAAGCCCGAAAGGACCAAGTTAGTGGTCGGACGAACGCCCATACCAAGCAGTCACACAGTGAAATGTATAAAGTACTCGTTAGGTTTATCTCTCTCTCCTCAGCAACTTTGTACTATGTCGAACATTGACGCACTTTCTATCAACACTATCAGAGCTTTGGCTGCTGATATTACTTTTGAAGCTAACTCTGGCCATCCTGGTACATTGTATTTTCATTTCTTGACGGCATATATCATACTATGGCAAAGCTAATTTTACTATATTCAGGCGCGCCAATGGGCTGTGCACCACTGGCCCATGTACTGTGGAAGGACTTTATTCGATGCAACCCAAAGAACCCTAACTATCCCAACCGTGATCGCTTTGTTCTCTCCAATGGCCATGCCTGTGCATTGCAATACAGTGTTCTCCATCTGCTTGGATATGACGTGACCATGGACGACTTAAAGCACTTCCGAAAACTCAATAGCAGGTAAAGATCTCATTTATATCATCTTGACGCAGCTAGTCGGACCTTATTCAATCCCCCTTATTGACTAACCATCATGGTATAGAACTCCTGGTCATCCGGAGCGAGGTCATACTTCTGGTATCGAGGTGACAACTGGTCCTTTGGGTCAAGGTAAACTAGATATCCAAGAGATATGACCTGTACTTGTCTGAGCTTCAAGAAGAACGGAGCTGACGTTACTTTATGATGTAATTTATACAGGCATTACCAACGCTGTCGGTCTAGCGATCGCTGAAGCCAACCTAGCTGCTACATTCAACAAGCCAGGATATGAAGTCTTTAGCAACTACACATATGCCCTCATGGGCGATGGCTGTATGCAAGAAGGTATTTCCTCAGAGGCATGCTCCCTTGCAGGGTAAGAATCTAATTGCCATCGTCATGCTATTTTGTGACTTGTTTCTTTCGTTTTCCCTTTAAGCTAATATTTGGGTTTAAGTCACCTTCAGCTTGGAAAGCTCATAGTCCTATATGACGACAACAAAATTACCATCGATGGTGATACTGCCTTTTCATTCACTGAAGATGTAAACAAGCGTTTTGAAGCTTATGGCTGGCACGTTCAGACAGTCGGTGATGGTGACGAGAATACAAGTGCCATCAAGCAGGCCGTGGAAGCCGCTCAAAAAGTCACTGACAAACCGTCGCTTATCAAAGTCCGAACTACTATTGGTAATGTTTTTGCAACTTCCGCTGTGTCTGCATAATATTCTTCATGCACTAACAAAAACAACAGGTTTTGGTTCAAAGAACCAGGGTAAGGAATCTGTGCACGGTTCCCCTCTCGATGGTGAGTTTGAAAATTTTTCAATGTCAACATTCATCAAAAGCTGGCTAACAATTTTGTTTTAACAGCGGAGGACATCAAGAGTGCAAAGAAGCGATTTGGCTTTGATCCTGAAAAGACATTTTCCATCTCTCAAGAGGTAGTTTTTTTATATATCCATTGACTTCAATGAAATTCAAATTTCTAAATATAGTGCTACGCTGTAGGTTTATGACTACTGGCACAAGTTTACCGAGAAAGGTGTAAAAGCTGAAAAGGAATGGAACGACCTTGTAGCAAAGTACCAAAAGGAATTCCCCGAAGAAGGTGCTGAACTCAAGCGTCGCTTAGAGGGAAAACTACCCAAAGACTGGTCCAAGGATCTGCCTCGGTATACGCCAAATGACAAGCCTGTAGCTACAAGAAAGAATTCAGAGGCTACTCTCACCAAGCTTGTCGAGGTCTTACCTGAGCTTATTGGCGGTTCTGCAGATTTGACCCCTTCCAACAACACTCGATGGAAGGGAGCTGTTGACTTTCAACCTGTAAGTGAGAGTTATGAGTGTGTATACAAGACAGCGTTGTCACTAATTTATCGCATCTTCCTTCAGCCCTCCACTGGAATCGGTGAATACTCGGGTAGATATATTCGCTATGGTGTCCGTGAACATGCCATGTTCGGTATCATGAATGGTATTGCTGCATACCAAGGTCTGATTCCCTACGGCGGAACTTTCCTCAATTTCTTGACCTACGGTTGGGGTGCTGCAAGACTTGCTGCTTTGTCTCATCTCCGTACCATCTTCGTCATGACTCACGATTCCATTGGTCTTGGAGAAGACGGCCCTACTCATCAGCCTATCGAAACCTTGGCTATAACAAGAGCAACACCTAACATGCTAACATTTAGACCTGCTGATGGTAACGAGACCACTGGTACTTACATCTGTGCCATTGAGCATTCAAACCGTCCATCTGTTATTGCTCTTTCCAGACAAAACCTACCACAGCTAGAGGGATCGGCTGTAGAAAAGGTCAGCAAGGGTGCATACGTTTTGCAATGTCCAGGAAAGCCCGACGCCATTATTGTCTCTACTGGATCTGAGGTTTGCATTGCCGTCGATACAGCTAAGAAGCTTAAGAGTGACGGAATCAACGCCCGTGTTGTTTCCATGCCATGCAGCGAGTTATTCGATGAACAGCCATTGTCATATAAGACAGAAGTATTCCCAACTGGTGTACCCATTATTTCTTTGGAAGCATTGTCTACTTTTGGATGGCAGCGCTACTCTCATGCTCAAGTTGGCATGACCACGTTCGGTACCTCAGCAGTAAGTACTATTTTCTTGCTAACTGTGAACTATTGATATGCACCGGCATCTGACATTTTCACTTTCAATTTTAGAATTACACTGGTGCCTATGAATTCTTCAACATCACCGCTGAGCACACTGCCAAGGTTACCAAGGAGACTATTGACAAATTCAAGAAAGTTGGACATGTTCCCGAAATAGCTTTCACTCAAATCTAAGCAGTCTTTGAGAACATTCTAAACACTCTTTATTCATCGAGAGATTGATTGTTTCTTCGATGAAAAAGACTACCTTCCAGTTGCTTTGTGACTCTGAAAGAATATAAATACTTTTTTGCTATATGGTATGGTTGTGCAGTTCTATACGGAGCGATGCTTCATTTTTCTATTTTATACATTGAATAGGCAGGGGGTTCGTTGACGCTATGTTTTCTCTGTTGACCGGTTATTCGCTGTCAGACGCCGTACCGGACGTTGCTTTGACCGACTGTGATTGTATGAGATGTTCATGAAGTGCTTTTTGGGCATCTAGTTCTTCTTTATTGGCTCTTTGCTGCTGCTTACGTTGTTGACGCTCTTCCTCCCGCACTAATCCTGCTCTCATGAGCTGAAGGTACCACAATAATTCAGGTAAGTTCTCTTGCATGCAAATAATAAAAACAGCGTTAAAAACTTGCCTCTTTTTCATAGCGCTGTAAATAATGTACACCCCATATCGTCAATCCGCAAAAAGCAAAGGATCCTGCTAGTGTAATCTTTGCTCGAGTTGACATGTTGCAATGAGAAAGGCTCAAAAAAGCAGTCTTATGTTACAAAATTGAAATTTTGTACCGTTTGGACTTTACGGACGTTATGGCTTTCAAAAGGTGAAAGATCTAGGGTCAAATGTTCAATCCTGAATGACTGTTCTCTAAGCTAATCATAATGTTATCCCCTTCAATAGACCAGACGCTAAGCCTCAAGCTCAATATGTCCCTCCAGGGACCAAGATAGTGGACCGCTCGTCCATATTCCAGGATTCAGATTCTGTAGAGCCTGAGCTGGAGACAAGCCACTTGTTAAACGATATGATCCAAATATGTATAAAGGAACCAGAGAATAGCACGCAAGATATATCAGAGGCCACAGAAGCGCCCGAGGAGGAAGCCTTTGAATTCAAGTTATTTTCAAACCGGCCCGTCGCCAAAGTTAGCATAGTCGACAAAGAGCCTACATTAATTGTCACAACCCGTAGGCCATCCGTGACTCAAGAGATTACTCCTGAATTCCAACAGCGAGTCAACGAAGCTTCTATCTCGTACGATGAAATTATGGAGCAGTCTAGAATACCATGGCCGGCCATGAAAATGGCTCATCATGTCATGTCTATACCTTCAAATGACCTTAACGACAACAAGAAGAAGCGTAGGCTTACAAAGCGCCAAAGAGACAGAATAAAAGCTTTAAATAATGGGAAATCTATGCGAAATCCCCATGTTCCCGGCGGCTGGCCTGGATGGCCCGGAGAACGTACATCTCAAGCCATTGTCACCAGTCTTTATGGACATCTCAAGCGTTATTTAGGGCAGCCCAAAAAATCAGGAAATAGACCACCAAAAGCCGTTCGGGACAAGCTTGCTGGAAGGGTTCAGGCACCAAAGACTCAGAACACCCCGCCGTTGGATCAATAATATTACAAGGACCCAATTGTATATAAAATTTCTGCTACATTGTTCATTTGTCTATATGTACATGAGTAAACATCAACTGTTACACCTTTTCGCTCGTCTATGTCTGCTACAGTCGCCAAGCGCTTTGATATCTCAATCAGTTGGCGAAGAAGAGAAGGATGCCGTGATATTACGAGTAATAGAGCTCAGTTCGCTTGCTTGTCGGTACATGTTGGCGCCATACCAGAACATCACCCAATTAGAATTCGGTAGCCTCAAAAATCCGTCTGAGCGCTCGAAATACCTGAACGTAGGAAGAGCTGTTTAAGCAAAAGGGTAGTTTCAATAAAAACCTTATTGGAATCATCTTACCATTTGTTCACTCCGTTATCCTTTCGGCTTCGCCACATCAGTTCCGGCCAAGCATCATACATCTTTTTCCATAAAATGTCTGTCAATCCTATGCCTTGGCTTTGCGGCGCAATGGCAAATTTGTCAAGGTAGCTGCACTGTAAGGATCCGTCATTTGAACTTTCGTTTGTAACTAAAACAGCACCCTCGTAGTCGCCTGCGATGATTGCTCCATCAAGTACATTGCCTAATCGATCATAGTATGCGTCTCTATCCAACTTCTTTCTGAAACTGGCTTCCATTAAAACCGTCAGCTTATCCAAGTCGAGGGTATCAATTGATTTGTGATAATGGATCGAAGTGCCATGGCGCAAAACAGTTGTGCGAGAGGTATTGATAGACAGGTGTCTGCTTGTTAATGGTGTAGATTTGACAGGAAGTGAGGATGAATAAAGCGGCTTATCCGTAATGAGATTGGTGATAAGTGCTGAAGGCAAGGAAGCCACTGGTGTAATGATAGCTGATGAAGTACTTGGTAGATTTTCAAGACAGCTTTGTATCATTGCCAAGTTTTCTATGGCTGTAGGATGGGTTTCGTGCCAGCTGGGGTTAGCTTCGTACGCTTTGAGGATACCACTATATTCTTCCTCGATGTTAATTAAACTATGGGCTGTGCCGGGACTCTCATGATTGGGAATGCCACCTTCATGGTTAATCACAACGATCTTGGCTGGAGTGAGATTTTTGCCACTGTAGCCTTTCTTTGCTCGAAGCTTTTCGGAAAGTGTAATCATTGCTTCATCTGCTGTGATAGGATTTTGGGCACCATCCTCCGCTGATATTATGGGTATGATAACTGGCAAATGATTGTTATCCAAACTTGACTGGATCATGTCGACATGAGCGTTCATTTTTTGTCCAGAGAGCTCGAAAACCCCAACATGAAACGCTCGGGCTCTACCGCCTTGGCGTTCAATCGATTCTACAAGAGCCATACTTTCAAGGAACATCCTATTTCGAAGTTCTCCTTTACTCAGCGTTTTACGCCATTCCACACTGTCCAGCACAATTATGGATGTCAATCCCAACCGCTTGAGCTTGATGAGAGTGGATGCAACGGCATTCCAGCCTCTTTTCGCAAACGGACCCTGGACCTTGGTGAGGGCTACTCTCTCGGTATCGCCTTCAAACAGGGCATCCACAATTGCATTTGTCGAACGTTGCCTTTTCTGTGCTAGTTTCTGCTTGTCCTCGTTAATTGTAAGGTTTGTGTTATTTCCAGAATCGTCTTGCGGTACATATCGTTTCAAGAAATGTCTCAATTCCCTCTGGCTAGGTACGGTGCTCATAACTTTCAATATAAGATCCTAGAGAACTATATTGAGTAACCATTTTCAACGGATTACAATCAAGATATCATGATAATTTAAACCTACCCGAGGACTTTCTGAATGGTCAACGAATTCTTCTTCAGTTACTTGTTTAGATGCAGAGCTTGGTTTTTTCAAAGGTTGCAATGAGAAGTTTCGTTGTGACAAATGAATTGATCGCCAACCTAATCGACGTTGAATGCCGCAACAACGACGTACAAACATATTTGCCACCGTGATTCTATAATGATCACTAGGATTCCCGAATATATAGCTTTGGTGAGAGGCTTCCCGATTTTTTGCCGGGGCTGGATGGGATGCAAACGTTGTGTCACAGATTGTCGCTGAATGAGTCAACTTTCAAAATGTTTCATTTTTTTCATAAAATCGAGGATCCAGTTACTAGCGCTGACGAGACAAATCAATGTACTTTATAACAAGTGATGTTTTCAATTCTGTCTATTTACCATATTACCGTTCCTACGCTCGTCTTTTGATACAGTTTACATTTAGACTCGAACCAAATTTTGCAATGCTAACATATGCAGTTCTCACCAGCAAGGATGATGATGACTAATGAGCCAGCTCAAGTAATAAGCCTCAAACAAGAATTTTTATCTAAAGCCCTCACAAGATGCCAATGCTTCAATGCCATAGAACCTTTTAGCTATAACGATATATTATAAAGAATGAAACTCTGATCCACCACTAGAGGTAGCATGTACAACAGCACTACAGCACAGACAGAACGAGACTTCCCAACTTTCTGAATGGGATATATTTTGCTCTTTGTCGGCAGGAACGCCTTCTACTTATAATATTGATACCCGCCTGCATCATGTCGAAGAATCGAAAATGCAGGCGAATGGCACAAAATTTCGAATCTGATAACAAAAGAGTGACTGCTATTTCGGCCGTTAAACTGGTAAGCAGACGGTGGTGGAGGGTACCTTTGCTTTTGCTGTAAATGGAGTCTAGAAAAATACTAATTCTGTACGGTTCAGAGACTGGCTGTGCCCAGGATACTGCCGAAAGAATTGGTCGTCAGGCTCGACGTCGACACTTCAAAACTCGAGTAATCGCTATGGATGAATACGAGCGGGTACGATTTATCAGTATTGAAAGCAAGCTCCGTAATCACCCAGATCATGTTTGACCAATTGCTTGTTTAATGTTCAGGCCCAATTAGTAGAAGAACAACTTGTCATATTTGTGTGCTCTACAACTGGACAAGGCGATGAACCGACCAATATGAAGGTAAGCTCTATTTTAAACTAAATCAATCACATGAAAAGATGTGAGATGTAATGGTTGTTTGAATATAGCGATTTTGGAAGTTTCTTCTCCGTAAGAATCTGCCACCAAACATTCTCAGTCAGATGGAGTATACAGTTTTTGGATTAGGTGATTCCTCCTATCAAAAGTAAGTAAACTTACTAGTAATTGTGACATTCGGAATTGTAATACTTATTATAACCGCAGGTTCAATTATCCAGCTAAAAAGTTGTACAAGCGCTTGTCACAGCTTGGTGCCGTCAGTATACACCCTCGAGGGGATGGTGACGATCAGCATTATCTTGGGTAAATGCATAATTATTATGGACATGCGATATGGTTCAAAGTTATTAACGATAATTTTTAGTTTGGATGGTGGACTCGATCCATGGCTTGACGAACTATGGCCAAAAATCATGGCGAAATACCCTTTACCTCCCGGAATGCAAATTATACCTGCCGATGTACAATATCCTTTTTTACGCGCGAAACTTTGAATATTCCTTAGCTTGTGTGATTACATACTGCACAATCTAAAGTGCTGAACACAATCCTTGACTCATAGAATACGCCTCCTCCTAGTTTCCATTTAGAGTTTGTCAAAGATGCTTTTTCAAATGGCGTATCAACGACCAAACAATCCGATCTACGCCATGAAGGCGAATTCGAAGTCATTGTGCAAAAGAACGAGCGAATTACGGCAGACGATCACTTTCAGGATGTCCGACACATTGAACTCAAAATTCAAAATGACGATAACGAGGCCTTGTATGCACCTGGAGATATAGCTGTCATACGACCAAAAAATTTACCTAATGAAGTTGATGCTTTTCTTGAATATATGAATTGGTCAGACCTTGCAGATGAGCAAATTATCGTCAGACCAACCTCTGAAGGTAAATGAGTAACATTTGCCGGTGTGATGCGGACCGCATTAGCTAACATCTGTGTGACTAGACCGTCGTGTTCCATCGCACTGGCCACATCTTATGACGTTTAGAGAGTTATTTGTGTCCTGCCTGGATATCTTTAGCGTTCCGCGCCGATCGTTCTTCGAAATGCTCGCGTTCTTTACTGAAGATGAAAACCAGACTGAAAAGCTTCGAGAGTTTTCCTCACCAGAAGGACAGGATGACATGTATGCATATTGCCAACGCCCTAGACGGACGGTAGCCGAGGTCCTGTTTGACTTCCAATCTGCGAAGATTAAACTAGACTATATCTTGGATTTATTTCCTATGATGCAACCAAGATCATTTTCAATAGCATCTGATCCAAAGGTACGGTGTCCTTTATTGATAATGTACAACTCTCCGTTGATATGATATTAATTGGATACAAAATCATTATATACTAGACTCATCCAGGTGAAATTCATTTATGCATTGCTATTGTAAAGTATAAGACGAAGTTGAAGAAAATACGCCGGGGAGTGTGCTCCAAATGGATATCTCAACTGCAGGAAGGCGATTCCATTCCATCAGTACATATCACCAGAGGTACAATGCAGCTACCAAAGGATCCAAATGTTCCATTGATTATGATTGGCCCAGGCACCGGTATTGCACCTATGAGATCGTTCTTGGAAGATCGCATATATCACAACTCTACAGGTAAATGTCGGCAATTCTTGTACCTTTGTTTGACTACACAGTTCTGACACATGAAGGATGTCTAGAAAACACTCTGTTCGTAGGTTGCAGATATGAGCATAAAGACTATTACTACAGAGAGCAATGGGAAGGTTATGTGAACAAGCATCAACTCGAACTGCATACGGCATTTTCTCGGGATCAAGATTCCAAGATCTATGTTCAAGACCTCATTCGCCAGCAAGCACCTGCGCTTTGGCGCTTGATCGACGAAAAGAAATCGAAAGTTCTTCTTTCAGGTTCATCGAACAAAATGCCAGAACAAGTTGCGTTTGCCTTCAAGGAGCTTTTCATGGAACAAGGCGGTTTGGATGCAGAGCAAGCTGAGTTATACTTTTCACGAATGGAAAAATCCGGCCAATTCCAACAAGAATGCTGGGCTTGATGCCAAAGCATTGCCATAGAACGTTTGGTTATTTAGATTTTCAATAAATTAGAACATTTCGTGTATTGTAAACCCAATACTTTTCGCAAAAGTCTGCGTGATGCGCTTTACCAAAGAAATACAATACATTCTAGCTACAATACAATGTGGGGAAGGGAATAGATGCCACTCTTCATCTTGGGGGTTTCAGCCAGTTGATGTCTAATAACAACTTAGTTTCGAGGGCGATAACGTGCGCAGTCTATGCTAATAAGATATTCTTTAGGCTGATGTGCGATATTATGGTAACCGAGCGGGCCGACGTCGCAATCTGCACAGGAGAGAAACTTGGTGTCTCCAACAGTTTTCGAGAATCCAACATTATCGAAGTCCATCATATCCCCAACGTGCCAAAAATGTTCATTGGTTGAAGGGACATCGCTTTCGTCCAGCGGCTAAACATGAATAGAGCAGGTCATTAAATATTGCAATACATGCAAAGTCATTCGTAACAATGCAAACCTTGATGGGATCCCGCTTCACCAAAGTCGCTGCGCCTTTACGCAGAACAAGGCATCGGCAGTTGTCGCGTGGACAAAGAATATCATATAGATTAGTGTTGTTGGTTGCATCAACAAGATCTGTAGTTGGGGTCGCGAATGCAGTGAATTTCGAAATTTCTGCCATGTTTTAAGGGATTAAAATGACTTTCAGCCTTGTTGAGAAAGAATCAGGGCCCACAATACCCCGCTCTCCGTTAAATTACTTCCTTGCACATAAGGACTAACAAATAAAAAATATACAATTTATTACGCCGTTCAGCGTTTACGCAAATCTGATATTGAACGGATCAAGTCGATGCTTGCTTCTGGCTGTTGCTGCGCCATTTGCGCAACATGGTCTGACAAGGCATCAATGGAAGACGTATCCCCAGGAGCAATTGTGGTAGTGTATCCCGTATCGGTCAGTGATGGGTATGTCAAAGTTGGATTACTGCCATCATCAGACATCCAGCTATTTTCTGGCCGGTGTATCAAGTGTCTAAATCCAGCTGCATGTTCACTGGGGTTATGCGTAGCTGTCAATCCTCGTTCAGGATCGTAAGATGCTCGGTAAATAACTGATACATCTTCCTCGGTAAAACTATCTGTTCTTTGGTCTTTGACTTGCACTTGACGTTGATTATTTAATGAAGCTCCTTGCTGAGATTGTTGAGCCATCTTTGCCCAGTCCTCTGTATTATTTCGCGTGTGCGAGCCAGATTTTCTCTTCTGTCTTGGTGAATAGCCATACATGTCGTATTTCTCTGGGAAAGCATTGCGAAATCTAGAAAGGAGAGCCAACAATATAAATAAGCATTACGGTACGTATAGTCACTTTTTAGTGAAGTCAAACACAATTTACCTGTCCCTGAGATCTGTGCTTGTACGGTGTGCCAAATTAAATTGTTCATCTCTAGCGATCTTTGCCCAGGCAACGCCATGCTGTTAAATTGAACACGGATACAAATGAGTCAAATGTAAAATGGCAAGCTCGAAGGTCATCATTTTCTGTCGGAATGGGCACCTTTTCAACACCTTTCAACAGCATTTCATCCTCTTCTGTAGTGAACGCCCGCCTCTCTCTTCTTCTAACTCGCGTTAGCTTAGGGGCTTGAATGTCCGGAGACTTTTTTCGTTCGTGTACGCGTTTAGAGCCGGGATAAAGTCGCTTGTATTCAGACGGATAGACAGTTCGAAATCTGTAATTTAAACGGAAAATCAGTATTAAGAAGAAGGCCGTATTGATCGTGAGCTTATCAATCTATACCTGTCCTTCAAGTCTACTGCTGATCGACCATGAAAATTAAACTGTGAATCCGTCAAGATCCTCTTCCAGTTGCCTACACCATACTATTTTACAGGTACTTATTAGAGTTTGCCATAGCTATGCCGGAAGAACGGGATGAATCTTACTTTGACACAACCGTCAATGAGATCTGCCGTTTCCAACGCTGTCCATTTTCGACGCCCTGGAGTAGTTGTGATGACAACGTCCGGTGCTAACTCTGCTACAAGCGATCCACTGAGGTCCTGCTTCTGCTGAAGACCGTCTTGTTGAAGTTGTACTGTTGTGTCGGACATCCAACGCAAAAATAAGTGGGTTTGGGTTTCGATGAGGGTTTGGGAACTTGAACAAACTCCTTTTGAACACTCCTTTTTGCAGAAAATTTATGCCGTCACATAGTTTATATGACATAATTAACTTTTTGATCTCTTGTTTTTGTGATTCTGCCATGCCTCGTTGCAGAAGATAATCATGGAAACCAACATGAAGTACTATAGGTAGTAATTATTTTGTTGGAATTAGAAAAGCTTGTGTAGACGGCGTCAAGATTAGAGGCTGAGTCTCGATGTTTTTTACGACCACGGAGAGTGAAGGCAGTTGGAGAATGTTTTGATCAATTGAGATTGTTTTTTGACCAGACGACGGCATACAACGAGATATTTCAGACTTTTGAGTTGAGACTAATGATAGTATTGTATCTTTAAATGGCGGAAAGTCTGTGGTCAGATGACTACGATCTACCACTGATTAAATCATCAATCTTTGCTACAAACATCCATTACAAAGGCAATCAAAGGATTGAAAGGCTGTATAAATGTATAATATCATTCACTACGATAAAAGAGCAGAACATCAGTTACTCGGCGGCCAAAAAGGCCATTTTAACGACTGCAGGCTAGAAAATTTGAAAAATGGAGGTTGTGTAAATAATGATCAATAATGAAATCGAGATGTGCGTCCGCCTTTTCCGTGTGAACAGGCCCCGCATTTATTTGTCAAAAGGTGGGTAAGACAAGGCATGAGACTGGCTATGCGTGAACATTTTTGTAGAAACGGCGCGAGTGACAGAAAGACAATAAGTTCATTAAGGCGAGATCATCTAAATATATTGAAATCAGAGGCTGTTGGCGATAATATGATAGGCGGTATCTTTACAATTGAAGCGCAATATCGCATAGAAACTGCAAAGCAGGTTAGGGTTATTATGGTCAGGCCTTGTCAGGCGGCTAACGGCGGGACTTGATTTTTCACATTCCAGATCGAACCAACGTCCGGACGTTCTTACCTGCCCCGCCTTGCATGTTAATTCTTTGAATGCCGCTCCTGTCCGCTAAGATCCCTCAGGAGTACCAGGTCCTTGAGTCCAAAGAACCTTCCTCATTTCAGCCGAATCCCTTCCTAGAATCAAAGATTGTCTCCATACCTGACAATCTGGAGGCCAGGTCAGTACATTCGCTCGTCGGAAACAAACTTGAAGTAACCACCGTGTTGATCAAAAAGAATATGACACTGAACTTCCAACACACTTTTTAAACAGTGAGGATGAATCTGAAGATGACGTTGATCAAGGCTTTGGAGCAAAGGGTTTGATGCGTATCCGAGACGAAGCTGCCAGCGATGTACAACCTCAACACAGAAAAAGTCAAGATATAGCACAGTTCTCAAGGGAGTCCCTTCATTCATTTAGTTTCTCGACTGCTGAGCCAGCAATGAATGAAACTCGCAAGAGCATCATTCAGAGGAGTATCGGCTATATGATGTCCAAATTTGGTTGGTCCACAACTGATGACGCCGTATTTGATAAGTTCAAGGCATCTGTCATGGAGAAGTACGGGTACCCGGTCCGACGAGGAAGCACTGCGTTCTTTAGTCAGGATGATCTTGATGTCCATTTCCAGTCTCCCAATGCCGACTCAAAACAAAGACCGGGAATCCTGCAACGTGCTTATACGGAATATCCCAGTTTAGATAAACTCCATATCAGTTCGACAGCCGAGGCCGCCGGTCCTCCTAAATTATTGACTTCCAATTCGACATCTCATCTACCAGGACTATCAATGGCAGCACCACAGCAACATGGAAATATTCATTCTCCAACGAGATTTTTGCCGCAGAACCAAGCCATTATAACAACATCAGCTGATAACTATTGGCGGATTATCCTGGCGAATGACATCTCTTCGTTAATATTTGGATACGACCGTAGCCAATTGCAATCGATGAGCGCTCTAGACCTTATTGGAAAAGAATTTGCGCAAAGGCAGGAACAGCTGCTTTCACAACGTCGTCTTGAGTTAGCGAAGGACAAATGTCATAGTACAGAGCAACGAGACGATAAAGGCATTGTTTTAGTTTGTGGTAAAGTTGTACGTATGAGAACTCATCCGTGATATTCGTTGAATTGAAAAGTATTATCGCGCTAACTGACTTTCATTTGTTCGTAGATACCTATCATTAAAAAAAATGGATTTAGATCTGCGTGCTCCTTATGGCTCAAGGAAAAGAGGGACGATACTGGGAATCCCATCTATATATGGATCTTTGAAGAGATCGCCGAGAGTCTTGTTTCAGTTTTTGTGAATGATGCCGTAAGTATTATTGGAACCATAGCTGATAATTTATAAAGCGGAGCTTACTAATCATATTACAGGGCATCATACAAGATGTAGTAGGGTCTGTTCATGAACTTTACGGCTATCGCCGTCATGATGTTGTTGGCAAAAACGTTCGCAAATTGGTTCCTGTTTGGCAAAAAATGGAGTCTCACGATAGTGGATACGCAGAAAACGTTAGCGAACTCAGTGAAAAACTCTTGAACTTTGATCAAATCAACAATATCAAGTTTTTTGGAAGCATAAGCAAGTATGGTGTGTGCTTCCCGATCATCACGAAGGCACGACAAATTCCAGAGTCCTACAAAGATAAAGTACCGAACGCCACAAACATTATCAAAATCATTTCTTTACCGACGGTAAGAACCGAACAGCATGGATTTAACAGTCTGTCTTCGATACGAACATCTTCTCACTTAAATGTGCTTTCAGATTGCCGGCTTGGTCACAATACATGCTGATGGTTTGATACAAAGCTGCAATCAAGTCTTCGCAAAGTATCTCTTTGGCTACACTACTGAGCAACTTGTGGAAAGACGAAGAATCGACGACTTACTACCACAATTTCCTGCTTTGATAGCACATTTGGGCACTGACGACCGTTTCAAGCTTGGCAATATCATAAGCTACACGTCCTGCCGTCGGATCTTGCAAGACGTTCAAACGACTGAGGACGTCCCCATCTTTTCATATCGATCGCCAGTCAGCTCACCAAAACCTGGATCCGGCAAGCCTGGTAGTCGACGACCAAGTACTGTATCTCGGAGAGCATCAATTGGATCTATGGGCCAACCATTACCACCTATAGTTGCGGTCCATCGAGATGGCGCTTTTTTCGAGGTACATTTACAAATGCGACTAGTAGATAGCTCGGATGAAAATCTTATTGCGCTTTGGATTACATTTGATCGCGCAAAAGTATTTTCAAAACACGGACACACTGCCGGAGTAGAACACGACAAGACGACATCTGGAGATCTTTCTCCTCTTCTTGAAGGCCAGCTTTTGGATTTGCCAGAGACACCGGATGATAAGCCGAAGATTCCAATGGCTGCACCAAAACCTATGCACATAACGAAACAGCCAAAAGGTATCGATCCTACCAACATTATAGCCATGACGCCCCCTATTTCAGAGACCCCACCGCCGAGCATGTGCAAGTATTCAGCACTAGATGCCACCAGCAAACAGTGTATCGACGATTTCGTGATTATGCATTCACTGGGGCAGGGTGCCTATGGCCACGTTAATCTAGCATATAACAAAGCCACTCCAAATAAGGTTAGTAGTTCCTTATCGATTTCGATTTTATTTTGTTGGGGGGTTTTACTGACATCCTATTACAGAAAGTGGTTCTCAAATATGTGATCAAGGACAAAATATTGTCAGATTGTTGGATGAACGATAAGCAGCTGGGACTGATACCAATAGAAATTCATGTCTTGCATACACTTCGACGAATACCACACGAAAACATTTGTAACATGAGTAAGTAGCTTCGTCTAATCTATATATAGTGATCTTCCGATGACAGTGCATAAACTGATTTTTCCCCATCACAGCTGATTTTTTCGAAGACACAAGTAACTATTACATAGAAATGGGTCTCCATGGTGAAGGAATGGATTTGTTCGATTATATAGAACTCAATGAGAACATGACAAGAAAAGAAATTCAACATATCTTCCGACAAATTGTGGATGCAGTTGCACACCTACATCGACACAGTATTGTACACAGAGATATCAAGGACGAGAACGTCATTGTAGATAGTAACGGCCATGTTCAATTGATTGACTTTGGAAGTGCGGCATATCTCAAACCAGAACAGAAATTTGACACGTTTGCTGGCACTTTGGATTATTGTGCACCAGAAGTACTTCGGGGCAACACTTACACTGGCCCACCTCAAGATATATGGAGCCTTGGAATTTTGCTCTACACTCTCATCTACAAGGAAAACCCATTCTACAATATCGATGAGATAATGTCAAGAGACCTACGTATACCTTATACTTTGGATGATGGTGAGTACACTGCATGGGCTTGGTTATTGTGTTTGCCAGTGCCAATAGATGAGCTAACAAGTTTACCATTGTAGGTTCAATCGATTTAATCAAGCATATGTTAGATCGGGATGTCGACTGTCGACTAACCATCGAAGAAGTTGTACAGCACAGATGGTTAACTGCCGAAGAATAAATAGCCATCATCTATCTTATTTGTAACAAAATTTGAGTAATCTGGCAAAACTGTAGAAACGTAGCAAATGAAACAAAAATCATCAAACTGTAAACTATTCTATTGTATGTTATGAACCTGTCGAGAAGTGAATCTACCCACATTACAAGTCGTGAGTGCGTGTTGCGAGAGTAGCAGAGTTGACCATGCTTCCTTGGAAAACCAAGCTGAAGTGAAAGTAAACCATAACTTGACGTAACTCATTGAGTCCATGAAATTATTTTATTAGCAATTTACGTATACTAATCAGTTATAGTGAGTACAAAAGGAATTAGCAGTATTAAAAATGGTGGACGAAAACTTAGGATATACACTTTGGCAGGTTGCTTAACGACGTGATAGTTGACGAGATGTTCAGAATTTTAACTACTAGGTGCTCCGGTGCTTCTTACCACTCTGCATATTATATGTATCATAGTAGACACAGGTCAGAACTCTGTATTTACAATCGGTCCATGCCTAAAACTTCGATATCGCAATCAATCATTGGCCTGTATATAAGCTCCTGTTTTGCATCTGCTGACAATATGTCCTTTCGTTTCTCTGATACGGTTGGAAGCAAGTTAAACTTGATATCAACTTGACAAGCATGCAAAAGCTCACGCCATTCCTTGTGGTCCCCCCGATGGATTGTATTCATTTTGAATACCTGGGCTTTGCAGCATAGCTTCAAATCATGGGAAACTAACGTGGCATGACCGTTGAATTTTTCGCAATAATACCTAGTATTTCACAAATCAAAAAGTAAGGTTAATACTAATATTGAATATTAGGTGTTGAATCATGGAAAACAAAGCAATACACACAGTAAGCAGTCCAGGAGCAAATCGTCAGCGACCTAGTAGAAAGAGCTATTAGTATATCAAAACTACCATTTGTGAAAATGATATGTGGCAAGAAAAGGCAACGGACCACCACAGGATAGTCTTTTGTTTCGTGATTGCCTTGATAACATAAGTTTGGAATGCGTATGGAGCGACATTTTTCGATGAAGTTAATCATGAAGGTAGCTTGTTTAGCAATCGTTGTTGAGTAGCATTTGTAAGAGATGTGACGTTCCCAAGATAAATAAGTATCTAGTGATTTGTGGCCCATTTCATTGTACTTCTTCTTCATTAGCACAAATGCAGCTATGATTTTCAAGTGTATTGTCTTGCTTATATACCTGTTGCTTTTTCAGTTCTCTAATAACTATAGTCGGAATTACTAGTTGGAAATTGAGCTTGTTTCTCCATATGCTTATCAGTATCCGGATAATGAGATGACCGCAGCTGAGTAAGGTACAGGTGTCGAGGATAATATAGTTGGTTTCATTTCTTGCAAACATTTAGTCGGCCAGCCTTCTTTTGTTCAGCCTACTTTCAGCGGTAGTAGCTATGTATAAAGGTGTAGACTATTATTCCAGCAAAAGTAAAAGTGGTAAATGGTAAAGGACCAAAAGAGAATGACTTGAACAAATGCGCATAAGAAGATTTCGTCCAATCATGTACCTGATTTCATTGTATGAGCTTTGCCACTCAAGGAAGCGTTTTGCAAACCGACAAATCTAAACTAGCCTAATAATCGATAGGAAGATACCTTATGAAAACATGCGAACAATAGATAATGGTATTCTTATTCCGTATCCTTGATCAAATACAATCATGAGACTACAAGTTTTGGTCTTTTAATTTCTTAGCCAGGCCAACCTCTGAACTGCATCATTTTCAGCGATTGCAACTTCCCTGGCAGCCGGACAAGTTTCGAGCACTCCACTTTACATTTCAATAGAATGTTCATGCTTCTTTATTTTGTGAAGTGATGTGTAAGAAAGGGTACTGGGATGTTTATGCCCAAGGCGATTGATCCACAGTGAGTGGTACAGCCAAATGGTGAGCATTCATTGGCGGAGCATTCATTATTTTTTCATGAAAACGCAGCAAGCTGGAGCATTTCATTGGCTGTCAAAAAAAATTTGTTGTGGACGGAGTCTCAACCTGGAGGGATTTGACCATCGTAACACTGTAATGAAGGTCTTTCTCTCTTTTGCACATCTTTTTTTAGGTAAATGTCGTGTCCATCCATCCATCCGTCGTATGCATCCAGTCGTCTAACCGTCTCATCCATCTCTTTAGCGCAACCATGGGTAAGGAAAAGACTCACGTTAACGTCGTCGTCATTGGTCACGTCGATTCTGGCAAGTCCACCACTACTGGTCACTTGATCTACAAGTGCGGTGGTATTGACAAGCGTACCATTGAGAAGTTCGAGAAGGAAGCTGCTGAACTCGGTAAGGGTTCCTTCAAGTACGCTTGGGTTCTTGACAAGCTCAAGGCCGAACGTGAGCGTGGTATCACCATTGATATCGCTCTCTGGAAGTTCGAGACCCCTAAGTACCACGGTAAGTAACGTTTATTGATCATGGTAATGCCGGATGACATTGACTAATGAAGACATCTACTTTTTTTTTGCACTACGTAGTCACCGTCATTGATGCCCCCGGACATCGTGATTTCATCAAGAACATGATTACTGGTACTTCCCAGGCTGATTGCGGTGTTCTTATCATTGCTGCCGGTACTGGTGAATTCGAAGCTGGTATCTCCAAGGATGGTCAGACCCGTGAGCACGCTCTTCTTGCTTTCACCCTCGGTGTCCGTCAACTTATCGTTGCCATCAACAAGATGGACACCACCAAGTGGTCTGGTGACCGTTATGATGAAATCGTCAAGGAAGTTTCTTCCTTCATCAAGAAGATCGGTTTCAACCCCAAGTCCGTTCCCTTCGTTCCCATCTCCGGATGGCACGGTGATAACATGTTGGAGGAGTCCACCAACATGCCCTGGTTCAAGGGCTGGACCAAGGAAACCAAGGCTGGTTCCAAGTCTGGCAAGACCCTTCTTGAGGCTATTGATGCCATCGACCCCCCTACCCGTCCCACCGACAAGCC